AGACCGCGGAGCGTCTGCTCTTGTTGGGTCTAGCCGGAGGTTGCGATCGCTTGGACTGCAGGCGGACGACGCAGCACGGGCGACTAGGACAACAGCTCAGGGCACGTCCGAGGAGCTCCACCGCAGCGCGGGGGGGGGGGGGAGCTGTCTTCGACTTGGGCGTCAGGAGGCGTCTGGAGAGTTGGTAGGAGAGTTGGTAGGGGAGTGCGCCCGTGTTGAGGAGGGACATGCCGAGGGTCGACGTGATGGCGGAGGGGTTGAAGGGGCAGTCCGCTTGCGGGAAGAAGTAGTACCTGTTCACAGCAACGAGGTGTGAAGAGACGCTGTTCACAGTCCGCTTGCGGGAAGGTGGTGCCCCTGCGCCGGCCGAGAGGTGCGTTGCGGGAGCGCAGCGTCGCGGCACCGCAGGGGCGAAGTGAGTGCGAGGGCTGCGAACACTGCGGCTGCAGCGCGAGTGCGAAGGGATGCGGGCGAGTCTGCACTCTAACGTGCATGAGTGTCTTGACGCGGGTTGCGCAGAGCGGCATGCTGCTAGCGCATCTAGAGGGGTAGTTCACATCGCGCCCGTGCCCGCGAGGAGGGCCGAGTAGAGGCAGAGGCAGAGGAGCAGGTTGAGCCCCTTCCACGCCACGCCCGACCCGTTTGCGAAGCAGAGCAGGGGCCGCGGCGGCGACTCCTGCGAGGTGACGTCGCGAGGAGGGTCAGGCCCCGAGGAGGAGCAAGGGGTCAGGCAAGAGGAGGGTCAGGCAAGGGCTCCTCCCTTCGCTACAGGGGGAGGGCGGGCGGCACGGTCTCCTCGTCGCGGTCGACGAGGCGTTCGTTGATCGTGTAGCCGGCGTCCACAAACGAGACCAGCTGGTAGAGCAGGAAGCCGGGCGCGATGAAGCGCGCCACCCAGGCATAGTACGCAAAGACGTCGTTCGGTGTAAAGAGCGTTCCGACTGATATCGCGGCGAGGCCGATCAGCTTGGCAGCCCAGAAGCCGCGGTGGACGAGGACGGAGAACTCGGACTTGCAGCACGAGAGCAGCAGCAGCACCGAGAAGAGCGCCGCGAGCGAGAAGGAGATGCGGAAGACCGCCCACATGCCCTCGCACCGGCCTCCCTCGCACAGGTCGTACGACGCCGAGCCGGTGGGCATCCAGGTGCTCGCGCTGCCGTCGTCGCAGTCGCCGCTCACGCACACCGACAGGTCCTGCCGCGTATACCGCAGGATCAGCGCCGCGACGGTGGCCACCAGCAGAATCGCCGAGTAAAAGATGTTTGTGCTTAACGGCGAAGCGAGGCAGCCGCACGTCAGCAGCTTGCAGCAGGCAGTGGCGGCGCATGCGCCGGCGCATTGAGCGAGGGCCGAGCCGACGCAGCTGAGCGGCGCGAGCAGGAGCGAGGCCATTCTTGGCACGCTGTTCTCCGAGAGGCGAGGCCGAAAGGGTGCGGACTGAGGCTCAAGAAGCGAAGAGAAGCGAAAGAATTCTCGTCTGCTGCTCACACACTTGGAAAAACAAGAAGGGGGCGCACTGGCGCGGACTGGTACACACACCGGCACACCAAAGAGTTTTACTAACGGCTACCTCGCACGACACTGGGCACGGCCACGGGACTGGCGCGCACTGGCACTAACACAGGTACACAACCAACGGGAGCCGCTGTTCTCCGACCGAGCGAGGGTGCGGACTGAACGACCGCGCTCAAGTAGCGACGCGCAAAAGAATTTGTCAATCTTTGGGCACACCGCACACACATCCGTACACCAAAAGAATGCAACCCTTACAAGCTAAAGATGTCCATCCATGGGCCCCCACAGGGAGGTCTCCCGCATGGGGAGCCCCGGGTACTCCTTTAGTAGCTACACTCGTCTAGCTCTAGGCAGGGGTTGAAAAGAATGTCCGCCGGCCCGGGACTGGCGCGCACAGCGTGCCGTTCTCCCCCCATCCCCTCCCTCCTTAGGTTCGCCGATTTCCCCTTTCCGCGCCCGCGCCCGCACTAGCAGAGTCTCGAGTCTGTCGAATAAATAAACAAACGAAGAGTTGAGAAACCCAAATTCCAAAGCCGCAGACATAGAAACCCAAACACAGACAACTCTCAAACACAGACTCGAGGAGAGGTGGAGAGGGGGGACGACACTGCTTCTCGGCAGCGTGCACCTCGATCCTGTACCGTGTTTGTTATGACCCCCCCCCAATGAACACAACCCCAGTGAGGGAGGGCGAGACGATCGAGGGGTCCCGTACCAGGCGGAATCGACCCTATCCAGTGCTCAAGTGCTCAACACAGACGGCGACGTGATCCACGTGGATGTGCAGGGCGCGGACGCACGTCGCAAAGGCGCAAGTGACAAAACGCAGCTCTTGTTGCTTGGCCGCGGGTGATGATACTCGTGGATCTCGATGACGATCTGTTGATAGCGATTGTGGCGGAGTCTGACCTCGCTTCCGCGGTCGCCCTCAAACGATGCAGCCGCCGCTTCAAGGGCCTCGCCACCCCGCTGGTGGCAAACGCCGTGGAAAGGATGGACGAGAAGTGGCGGGACGCGGCAGCCAAAATAGGCGGCCGAGGCGAAGCTGAGATCACAAACGGGCTCGAGCGCAACGAAGTGCTGACCACCCTCTCGCTCTGGAGGAACAAGATCGTCTTCGTCGAGGGCGCCAAGGCGATCGCCGAGGCGCTGCGCGGCAACGGGGTGCTGAAAAACCTGGCAATCAGCGGAAACAAAATCGGCGACGAGGGCGCGAAGGCAATCGGCGGCGCTCTCGCAGTCAACGAGGTGCTGACCTCCCGTTGGACGTGGGCTAAACAACCTCACCGAGGAGGCGGCCCTCGGCATCGTGCGTGTCGAGCGGCAGCGCAACAAGCTGACCTCGCTGGGCCTTGCTCGCTGCAATATCGGCCCGACTGGCGCCGCAGAGATCGCCGAGTACGTGTCGGGCAGTGCGGTGCTGAAAACCCCCTCCACATCGGCGGCAACAAGATCGACGACGAGGGCGCCGCTGCGATTGCCGAGGCGCTATGTGGCAATAAGGGTGCTGACCAACCTCAACCTCGGCCATAACAACATCGGCCCCGAGGGCGCCAAGGCGATTGGCGAGGCTCTCGCGGTAATAAAAACGGACACCTCTACACTGTGAGATGGGAATAAAACAGACAACCCAAACGAGAGATGGGGGAGAGGAGGACAGGGTCCCCACCTGCACGACCACGACGCACGAGCAGGATTTTGGAAGGACGATCAGGGCACAGGGGCACAGCCACAGGTAATAAATAAAACGGACACCTCTACTAGGAGTCTGTCGAGAGTCTGGCACTAATCGATTGATTGATACACTAATCCACACAACAAAACATGAGATGTGTTGCGTGTCACGTGTCAGGTTTTTTTGTATAGCTAAATCTCTCTCTCTCTCTCTCTCTCTCTCTCTCTCTCTCTCTCTCTCTCTCTCTCTCTCTCTCTCTCTCTCTCTCTCTAACCCAGCTCACAGGTTCACCACGGAAAAATAAATCAGGCACCGCTTCTACCAGAGGCACATCGGCAGTCGTCCATGATCGGCGGCATCTTGTCCAAGCCGGAGCTTCCGCGGAAGACGCGGTCACCGCTCTGATGGCGGAGAACCTCCTCTACGACGGGGGGCGAGTCCCGGGCGGACCTGCCCCGGGTGCTGACGGCGGGCCTGATGTGTCTGCCCACGCTCTCCCGAGCCGCCTCATCGAGAAGGCTTCGATGCTGCCCAAGTTTCAAGCGCTCGCGGGCGCAATCGCGGGACTGGACACCGCCAACTCCGAAGTCAGGCGCCAAATCCTGGCAGCCTCGTTCGCAAGTGGGAGCGACATCGTCTTCCGAGTTGTCCTCGGGCCTGGGGGCCGCGAGGCCAGGATGAATGCGACGCTCGCCAAGATTGCCCACTGCAAGGTGGAACTACCCACCTATCTCACATGGTGCCTGGTGGTCGGCAGCGGCGGCCAACGCCAAGAGGAGCTCGGGAGGTACCACCTCACGGGCCTCGACGGCACAGAAAACCGCCTCTTCAAGTCGTTCATATCGGGCAATCTGGTCGGCACCGACTACATGAATGGCCCGAACGGCGCGCTGGACTGGGTCGGCTCAAGAATCCGGCACAACTTCCCACGCGTCCACCCAAAGGATCTTTACACCATCCGAGACAAGGTCCGCCACCTCGGCGCGTTCCTTAATAAGCTCTTCGTGGGCATCGGCTTCCTGGAGGCAGTCCCAGCTGGTGAAGGCTTCACCATGAAGACGTGGTTTGAGTTCTACATAGAGCAGCGCTCGACCTCACCAGCTACTACACGCTCTATGAGCGAAAGTGCAATCACCTTTATCAGTGCAGCCGGCAGATGGGGGCCTTCCTCCGCCTCGCCGAGATTGCCGTGGAGAGCCTCAAAACGAGGTCGCACCCCGGCGAGGAGGGATTTGGGGCGCTCGCTCCCGAGGACTGCCAGCCGGCAAAGATCCTCCGCGGCCGAGTCGAAACTGCTACCTGGCGGAACGCGGCGGAGCAGCTTGACGAGGCTCCTATCAGGCCGGTCACAACCTGCGACGGAGATCTCTTGCCGTTGCTTTCGGAGTGGGAAAACCACCCGTGGGACAACCGCCAACCGGGTAAGCTGCCCAAGCCCAACCCAGCACGGCGAGGCGGCCCCTCCGCCAGCTGCGACGGTCGTCATGGGGGTCAAGTGGCAGCAAATGGAGCGGAGGTAACCTGCGCGTCTGGCCGAAAACGCCGCCATGAACAGCGGCGCGAGCGTCAGCGCTACCAGGGCGCATCATCGTGAGCGGTCGGGCAGCGGCTACACAGCCCGGCTTGTGTCGATCGTCAAGATCAATGGACGCACTCAAACTCCATCGTGTCTGGAGGCACTCAAACTCCATCGTGTCTGGAGGCACTCAAACTCCATCGTGTCTGGAGGCACTCAAACTCCGTCGTGTCTGGAGGCACTCAAACTCCGTCGTGTCTGGAGGCACTCAAACTCCACCATCGTGTCTGGAGGCACCATCGTCACGCGGCGGTCGGGTGGCGGCTACACAGCCCGGCAGCGTGTCAATCACATCGGAAGCTCGCGGCACCGCATAGCGGACGCGCGAGGTACCGTAGTTGCTGGTGTCGGACGCTCGCGGCACCGCACAGCGGACGCGCGAGGCACCACCCAGCAACAGGCGACGGAAGGAGGCTCACGGCACCGCGCAGCGGACGCGTGAGGTACCATCCTCGCTGGAGACAGACGGACGCTCGCGGCACCGCATAGCGGACGCGCGAGGCACCATCGGTTTCCATACACAAGCGGAAGCTCGCGGCACCGCATAGCGGACGCGCGAGGTACCGTCATCAACAGCGGCGCGGCGAGGCAACTCGGCGCGTCTCTCAAGGGTGGGAACCTCTTATCACCATCGGCATCTGTTCGTCCTCATCTGCGTTTGCATCACGGCTGTATTGGCAATCGTCAACGCCATGACATAATCGCCATCATCCTCATGCCCAGCTTGCGCGTAGGGAGGAGGAGGCTGCGCTGCGCAAGCACGGGCGGGAGGGGTTTCTCCTGCGGAGTCGTGCGTGCGCAGGGCTCCTCTTTGCTTTCTTCTACTCCCTACTATCATCTCGTTCCCGTCCTACCAGAGAAGGTTACTTCCCCCAGGATTGGTCTTCTCTGCCTGCGGGAACACCCTCGGGCGGCCGGGTGGGGCTGCGGCTGGAGCTAGCATGGCTCGATAGAGCCGAGACCCCGTGTTGAGGCGGCGCTCCTGTGGGCGGCTGTGGAATCGGCAGATTCGACCTCAGATCTCCAGTATTCTCATCCCAGTGGATGGACGTCCGGACGTCCCTTTGTGTTCCTCTCCCCGTCCGCCAGCGAGACGCTCAGTCGCTGGCGGCCGCAGTTTTCTGTGACCCACCCACCTCTCCCTTGTGTTTTGTCTGGGGAGGGGTTTCTCCTGCGGAGTCGTGCGTGCGCAGGGCTCCTCTTTGCTTTCTTCTACTCCCTACTATCATCTCGTTCCCGTCCTACCAGAGAAGGGTCAATAGCCCTCTCCACCCCGTCGTTATCCTAATATCCTAATAGAGAGAAAAACGGCGGTCCACACACACCATTAGACGCACGTCACACAGTCCACAGCACCGTCATTTTGGGCTCGTGGGCAGCCCACCACGGGCCGAGGTGTCTGTCGAGTCGACCTCGGAGTCGATGCGGCTCCGCCGATTGCCGGGCAGCGAGGCGACGGCGTCGTGCTTTTGCTTTTTTTCCGTCTGGTAGGTGACGAACCAGGAGAGCAGCTGCAGCGGCTTGTACGACTGTCGCACAAACAGGAACTTGCGGTACCCCCACGCCGACATGGAGAGGATGACGAGCGTGTTTGCGGCGGCGATGCCGGCGCCCCACGAGTCGCGCACCGCGTTGTCCCTCGGGTTCCGCGGGTCGAGGCAGGTGATGGAGAAGGTGCCTACGAGGCTCGAGGGCAGGGTGCAGGGAGGGTGCAGGGAGGGTGCAGGGAGGAGGCAGGGAGGGGGCAGGGAGGGTGGCAGGGAGGGGGCAGGGAGGGGGCAGGGAGGGTGGGGCGGGCGCCGTCGAAGAGCTCGACGATCGACTCGAGCTCCGAGCCCCAACCCTCCTGCGACTCGCCCTCGCCCGAGAGCTCGCTTAGGCGGTGCTCCTGCAGGGAGGAGCCTGGGGTGAGTGAGAAGCTGCACCTCCCTCCGTCAGTCGCCCTGTCCCTGCTCTCTCTCTCTGGTGTCTGCCATCCGTCTGTCGACCTCGCCTGGGTGTGGAACGGCGGGACAGTGCACACGGTGTGCTCGGAGCACCGCGTGGAGCTGGGGGCTGCTCATGCAGCGTGGAGGCGGCGGGAGCCGAGCGTCTGCCCTTCTCGCGCGCCAGTCGGAAGAGAGCAGGGGCGTGCGTGCTGGCGCATCTAGCCGGCGTCGGCACCGCCGTGTCGGCCGGCAGCCGTGAAGGGAGCCCCACGTAGAGAATGATGAGCAGCACCTGCCGCACGGCGGCGAGGCGGTCTCGCTGCCATTCTTTCGGGGCTGGCTGCCTGCCTACCCGCCCGTGCGTCCGTCCTCGACCGCCCCGAGTGTGCGGGTGCTGGATGTGTGTCTGTGGTGTGCGCTGTACCGCGGAGAGGGTGAAGGAGGCGTAGGCGACGACGAAGTAATAGTTGAGCGTGTTGAGGTGCTGCCTCGTGACCGCGACGGCGGCGCCGGTGGAGACGATGAGCGCCGCCTCCTGCGCCGCCTGCTTGATGTACGAGACGATGGAGACGATGATCAGGCAGCACGAGATGCAGACTGCGACAAAGATGAAGAAGACGGACGCGAAGAAGAGGTGGTACCACGACTTCCAGATGCAGAGCTGCGAGTCGTCCTCCAGCAGCGGCATCAGCGTCTCGCCCGCCCACATGCTCAGCGCGAAGCCAATAATCAGAGTCGCCTGCACCGAGAGGTTGTCCATCTGCGTCTGCAGCACGCCGAGCTGCAGCATGTCGACCTGCATCAGGTTGACCATATTCTCCTGCGGCGTGCGGCGGGCGGGCAGTTACATCGCGGTGACGCTCCGAAGAGATTCTGGCTTCAGGCACCCGGGAAACCAAGGGTGCGCAGCAGCAGCCTCTCGCGACGGCAGCACTCGGTCGGGCTCCCGGGCAGAGAGCTTAGGCGCGGGGCGGTTAGAGCAAATGCGACGGCACACCTGCATCACCGACGCAGCATTGACCTTGGCCCACATAACGCGCTGGCGACGAGCGGGCTCGCTGCACAGCCAAGCAAGGGAGGATTTCGCAGTCCAACGTCGTTTTTCTTTTTTCTCTTCGCCTTCAAAATCTTCCTTTGAAGTCTTTCTTTCTTACTTTGAAGTACTAGTATTTCAGTACTTCAAAGGAAGAAAGAAAGAACAGCCAAGCCAAACGAGGGATTAGTACTTCAAAGGAAGAAAGAAAGAACAGCCAAGCCAAACGAGGGATTAGTACTTCAAAGGAAGAAAGAAAGAACAGCCAAGCCAAACGAGGGATTAGTACTTCAAAGGAAGAAAGAAAGAAAGAAAACAGCCAAGCCAAACGAGGGATTAGTACTTCAAAGGAAGAAAGAAAGAAAACAGACACCCCAAACGAGGGGTGGGAGGAGACAAGGTCCCCACCTGAAAGGAAAGAAAACAGACAACCCCAAACGAGGGATGGGAGGAGGACAGGGTCCCCACCTGCACGAGCAGGATTTTGGAAGGACGAATCAGGGGCACAGGTGGGGCCGCTCTCCTGCTCCTGACAAGGGACACGACAGGCTCGCAGCGCGGTGCACGGTGGACTCCCAACTCCACTGGCGGTCTCATCTCAGTCTAGCGACCTGCCTCCAGCTTCTCACCGGCAGTCCTCTCGCAACCACAAGCACACTGACACAGGGGTGGCAGGGGCGGCGGCAGGAGTCTCCTACATACTATGCGGGCCTCACTAGAGGTGCGTCCTGTGTGTGTCCTCGTCCTTCATGAGGTCTTGAGGGGGAAGGGAAGGGGCTGTGTGTCTGTGCATGCATGTGTGCATGTGTGTGTGTGCTGTTTGTTTTGTGTGTATGTGCGTCCGCCTCTTCCTATCTCTCTTCGCAGTCTCTCGCCGATTCTCGCTGCAACCTTCATGCCACCTCGCGGTCGTCCCACTCTCGTCGTTCTCTCCCTTGTCGCTTCTTCCTCTGTCGCGTCGCTCTCCTCTGCCTCGTCTGCGACGCCGCCGCCGCCTGCAGGTCCCTTCTTCTCGCGGCTTCTTTCGCCTTTCGGCGCAACTCCGCCCTCCTCGCAGCATATCTTGGCCCCTCGAGTTTATCGAGCTCTCCTTGCGCAAGGACGACTCTTCTGACGCCCACTGCGATCATTTGCCGCCAAGTCATATCGTTGCTTAGGTCCTCTCTCTCTTCGAACACTTGAGTTGTGCCTTCACGGATGATGCTGGCGCTGGGGTCCCCTTCGGGTGCATCGCGTGACAGCTGACGACGGGATTACCACAGGTGTTTCGTCCTCCTCGGGGTCGTCTTCCCCGGCTTCCTTGGACCTTGCGTTCGGCGTGGCTCACCCTCCATAAATAAATACAACGGACATCCCAAGCTAGGGCTGGGTCGACATGGACGGGAATGTGGCGACGTGGGCGGAGAGGTGGGGGTTGGACAAGGACAAACTGAAGCGGACAAGGGTAGCACTAGAGGGCGGAGGCTCCTTTGACTTCGGGGCGTACCTCGGGCGCAAGCAGAGGGCACGCTCTGGCTGAGTAATAGCCTGGGGGAGAGGACGGGAATGACCCGCTTTGTCACGGATTGGCTTGCGCACCACAAGCCAGGGAAGGGGCACCCGGAACGCACAGTCAAATCTTTCGCCTTTCAGGAGGCGGAGAGTATCAGCCGAAGGGCGAAGGTGCGTTGGGCCACGCGCAGCGGCCACGCAGTGCTGTCGCTGCAGCACGACGGCATAGTCGTAGCGGTCAAGGGAGGGAGTGACGCCGGCGACGTGGCGGAAGAGATGGCGAGGGCGAATGAGGAGGCGCTCGGATACCGGCAGCCGTGCGAGCTGAAAGAGCAAGAGCCCCCGAGCGGAGTAGCGAGACCCCAACTGGCGACACGCGAGGAGGTGGGAGGGGTAGTGCCGGGGCTAGGAGAGATGGAGGGCTCGCCCCCGAGGCACGGCGCGTGGGTAAGAGACGCCGAACTCCAGGAGGATCCGCTTACGCGCTTCCTACTGCGGTGGGACGAGTTTGAGGTCGGGACACGGGCGCTGCCCGACAGAAACGGGACGCAGGTCATAATGGGCAAGGATAAAGGGCCGCTCGGCTCAGGGAAGGGCCGTGAGCTCAACGCGGAGGTGGCCAGGATATGCCTCGCGCTGCACAGAGCGCGGCCATTCACGCACCTCGCTGCGACGGATGGAGGGAGAGACACGCCGAATAAGTGGGTGGGGGATAGGTTCGTACCGCGACCGGTAGTGTCGTATGGGGTGTACGAAGGGCCGGCCCGATTCGGGAGACCCGTCGAGGGATCTGGACAGCTCGAGAGCGGGGACGATGAGCTGCGGCTCGCGTTTGGGCAGAGGCTGTGGGGCGGCAGACTGCCAGACGACTGGCAGGTGATAGACGCGGAAATGTACGCGGTGCTGGCTTACCTGCGTAAGATGGCGACGTCGGAAGATGCGGCGGACAGGAGGTGCCTCGTCTTGAGCGACTGCAGCCCGCGCTACAGCAAATCGAGGCGGCGTACCGAAGAGGCCCTCTTGAGGGGCTCCGGGAGTGTTAGAGGGGATATGCCGATATCGCGCCCAGCTCGAATCTGTCACGTTCCTGTGGGTACCGAGCCACGCGGGGTGCGCTAGCAACGCCTACGCCGACGCCGCGGCGACTGCATACATGGGGGCCAGCGAGATTGAGGATGCCACCTCCGTCATCCGAGGAGCAGTGAGGACACGCCCGTGCCTATACACGGACCGCCGGAGGACGGCAGGCGGAGAGTGGAGGGGAGACGTACTGGACCGGAGGACCTATTACGCCACACGCGGCCACACGAACGAGTGGGTGCGAGGACGGCTCGGCGAGGGGCTCACGGCGGGGTCGCACACGGCGGGGGTGCCTGGGCCGCTGTGGAGCGATGTGGTCAGGGGAACGACGAGACACAAATGGGACAAGCGTCAGCGGATCAAGGATCAGCACGGCGAGCGTGAGATACAATTCGCCGACGTGGATGATCACAACGTGGTGACAAAGACCGTCATGGGAGCGCGGGTGCGGCAGCAGGCGGGGGTGCCACACGGAGCGCACCACGAGAGGATCATGCGGGGAGAGGCGGGGAGAGAGACCCCGGGCGCCGCCACGAGGAGCGAACTCAGGGGCTGCCTCGTATGTAAGGCCGCGAGGGACGCGGCGAGGAGGGCGGCACTAAGCGGGACCCGCTGTGCCCGATCGTGCGGAAAGCCGCGCAGCAATGGACCGAGGAAGATGAGAACCCGCCTAGAGCGACAATGGCGCACTTGCTTAGCGGCGCCTGCCCGGGGAATAGGGAGCAGGCCAGATGGTTCCTCAGAGTAGCGCGAGCGCAGACGGGGACGGCGATCAGCAAAGTAGCGCAGGCGGCACCCGACTCCAAGGATACGCTGAAGACGCTGAGAATAGCGCATGTCGCTGCGCTGAAGGGCTCACGCTATAGGGTGCTGGATGAGGACGGGTACGATGCACTAGCACCAGCCGTCGGGGGGGTGCTGCCAGCACTGGTAGATGACCTCTCGGAGAAGAGTCGGAGGGACCTTGGCGCCGGGGTCACGAGGAACTTGCAAGTCGTGGCCGAGGCGGCGACGGGAGCGGTGCAGAGGTGGATCCAGCTCAATGATGAGGCTACGGCGCGCATAATGAAGAGAGAGGAACACATCGAGTGGCTGAGGAAGCTCTTCGCTGGGTGGAAGGAGGCCCGGCCAGCCTTGAGGGAGTCGCGGAGGAGGAGGGATAATGGAGGTAACGTGGGAACAGGCCAACAGCCAGTGGGACGAACGAGGGCCGCGACGGCGGCTCAAGCGGGAGGGAGCGGAGACGGTGGGCAGAGAGCGAAGTGGGTGAGACTGATGATGCTCCTTCGACTTAGGGAGCGGTTCAGAAGCTGGGCGGGCTTCAGGCTGGTGCTCACGCGAACAGGAATCGACGCGATGTGCAAAGCATACAAGAAGGGGAGAGGGAAGAGGAGAGACGCCGGTGAGGACGAAGCAGAAACTAGCGCAGACGAGAGCAGGGGAGACCCGGGGACTGGGGAGCCGGAGCAGACGGCATCGGCCGCCGAGGGAACGTTGGGAAGAGGCACGAGGAGGGCGGCGACCTCGACCGACTATGGAGGACCCGTCGCCAGACGACGCAGGGCAGAAGACGGTGAGGCGGAGCAGACGCGCAGGGCGAGACGAGGGAGGGAGCAGGACTTTGCGGAGATCAGCAGGAGGATGTACGAAGAGATTAGGAGCAGCAGGGACCCGAGGGACCATGTGGAAGACGGCTAGTGCTAGTCCCCCATCGGGAGGACGACCCCGGCTAGTCGCCGACCACACCCACAAAGAACCCTGCACAAAGATCGCAAGGGCGGGGGCCTGTTCCTTTTTACCCATCTCACAGTAGAGAGGTGTCCGTTTTTTTTTATTTATTTATTTAGGGCTGGGTCGAGGACAGACACGTCCCCACCTTTGCAGGATTTTGCAAAAGCGAGGGGGGAGGGCGCATCGCCGCGCGGAGAGGGCAGGGCACAGGGCACAGGGGATCTCTCTCGCTTAGGATATGCACTCGGCGGCACGAGGGCAAGGCTGGGCGTCCTATGTTTGTGCTCCCCCCCGGACCCCTCGCTCTCGGGCACTATCCATCTGACCACTCATCGACGGGGCTTGGCGAGCGGCCGCGCTGCGGGGCAGGGCTGGTGAGAATGGGCTCTGGCCACTCGCCCGTGCGGTTGTAACCGCGCCGATCAGCCGAACGGAGGCCTCGACCGCCCCTCGCGGCAAGCTCTCGAGCATCTCGAGCAGCTCGCCCGCCGCCATCGCCGCCTCGAACTGCTCCCTCATGCCGAGCGCGCCGCAGACCTTGCGTACAGCCTCTTGCTGCACCTCGTCCGGCCGGCAAATCGGTGTCGTAGCCGGACGAGTCGGCGGAGGAAGTCCGCTTGGCGGGCGGCGAGTCCGGTGAGGGAGAGCGCGACTGGCGTGAGGGCCCGCCGCCGCGCGCTGAGAGCGCGTTTTTGTCGAGCCGGGGTCCAGATTGGGCGCGGCCGCTCCACCTGCAAATGAAGGCAGGGCGATTTCTCCTTCTTTCTCGGCGGCCCCCGGGGGTGTATCCGCAAGGCCGGTGTGCCGCAAGGTACTGAGCGACAGGGACAAATATGGACCACTCTGCGATGGCGCGCCCCGCCCTCGGGCTGGCCGGCGCGGAGAAGCGGCTCTACGAGCTGAATATGAATCAGGGTGAGATCAGCGTGCAGCGGCAGGTGATGCAGTTCCGCGTGGACTACCTCTCTGACCTCAACACGCAGTCGATGCTGATGGCGGGCGTCGCTGCTGGCATGATCTCGTCGATCGAGCTCGAGGCGATGCGGCCCGAAGAGGACGATCCCGAATTCTGCTTCCGGACCGTCCTCTGCTTCTTCTACATCCTGGCGGCCGTCACCTCGCTCGGCGCGTCCATCTGGGTGCTGTACACGTCCAACAACCTCATCAACTCGGCGCTGGTGGCGCAGCTGTACGGCTCGACGCTCGCCGACATGCAGAACGCCGAGTCCGTCCTCGAGCTGCGCATGCTCGACGTGCGCGCACCGCCGCCCGCGCCTCCTCCCTCCAACACACCCTGCGTCGACGGGTGAGTCCTCTGGCTGCCGCGGCTGCTCAGGTGAGGAAGATGTACATCCTGGCGCTCGTGACGATGCTGCCGGCGCTGCTCGTGATGGCACGTCCTCGCCCTCCCGCACCTCTCTCCTCTTCTCTCTCTCTCTCTCTCTCTCTCTCTCTCTCTCTCTCTCTCTCTCTCTCTCTCTCTCTCTCTCTCTCTCTCTCCGTCTCGCCTGCGCCGGCATGCCGCCTCCTGTGCGACAGCCCTGCTCGCCCGCCCGCCCGCCCGCCAGGTGCTCGCCCTGATCCCGTGGTACATCTCCCTACCCGCCGTCCTCGTCGTCGGCTGGTACTCTCGAGAGACAGAGAGCCCCTGCCCGCTGCTGCCTAAGATCACACACCTCTGCCCACACACCGGCCTCTCCTCGCCCACGCCACACACCACGCCGACTCCGCGGAGCCTCCCCGCACCGTTCTCGCGCCCTCGCTGCAGGTTCCTCGCCCACGCCATCCACGCCGACTTCGCCACCGCCTGGCACCTCGAGCGGTACAGCATCCCTCCTGACTCAGGACGAGTCACTTTGAAGTGTTGATTGATAGGCACCTCGAGCGGTACAACATCCCTCTCTCCGAGATGCGGCCAGAGTACTGGGTCGAAGGCGTGGCGCAGCGCTTCTTCGGAGGCGACGGCGGCGGCGGCGGCGGCGGCGGCCCCGACTCGGCCTCGCGGCGCGCGCAGCCCCGCCTCGCCACATCGCGCGGGTGTGGGCGCGAGGCGGAGGTGCCGAGTCTGGTGCCGCGCGCCTTAGGCGTACTCTCGGCGGGGCGGCTCTCGGCGCGCCGGTCGAGTCACCGCGCAACCCGGTCTCCAAGCTGCTCGGTGGCTGCTGGCCGCACTCCACTGGCGGTCCCCACCCTCCCTCTCTCCCAACGACAGGTCTCCAACTTCCTCGAGAGCAGGCTCCGCTCCATATTCGGCGCGGGCTCGCACAGCCGGCCCGCTGCTTGATTAGCAACCAGTGGAAGAGTGGTCCGTCAGCTAACGACTAGGCACGAGCTCGTACAACCGGCTCGGCGACCGCGTCAACGCTCTCGACGAGAAGCGGATGTCTGCCGCCATCAAGCGCGGCGTCTCCTTCTCTGGCGGATCGCCCTTCGGCCCGGCGGCGACACACCACCACCGCCGTCTCCAAGCCTGACCCTAGCCTCCTCCGAACCTCCCCGCGTCTCTCTCGCGCAGGCGGGCCGCAAGACCGCCTTCGCCACGCAGCTCGTGGAGTCGGAGCTGTCCGACGGCGAGCCTGCGGAGAGCAAGCCTCGCCCGCCCACCGCACCGCGAGAGCAGCGTCTCTTCACAGGCGGACCCGCTGTGGACAGGAGAGGTGCGGCTCGCCCGACCTGCACCGCGACTCGGCCGCGCTCATCCAGCGGACATGGGTGGACCGGCTGATGGCAAAGACGGGGCACGCAAAGGGCGCCGGAGCGGGCGGGGGCGCGGAGCTCCCGCACGGCGGTATGCCCACGACCAAGCAGCCGGGGCCGGCGGTGGTGGTGCGGCTGGAGGCGGCCGCCCCGCCGGCGGCTACGCCTCCCCGAGACGGCCCGAGGTCGGGTGGGGGACGGTGTGCGCGAGTGCGTAGGCGGACGCGACCCTCGGGTACATGTGCAAGACGCCGTCGGACAAGGGCCCGTCCGCCGTGATCCACTCCCTCGCCATCGGGCCAATGGGCCGGCACGAGCTGCTGCGCACGACGCCCGCGAACACGCCGTCGCACACCCGGTGGTGGGTGCTGCGCGGCGCGCGGCGGCGCTGTGATTCGTCGGAAGGGTTGCTGCCCCGAGCTGACCCGAGAGAGCGCGAGACTAGGCTCTCGGCTTGCTTGCTACAAGTCGGAGACGGAGCAGGCGGACGGGGTCGCGCCCAAGCTCGTGGTCGACTTGCGCAGCTACGTCGTCGTCCGCACGTGGGACCCGCACGGGCTGCTCTGCGTCGCGCTCGTGCCGCGGCACGTCCTCAAGCCGCCCGTGCCTACTTCGGCCAAGACGGGCGGGCCGGGGCAGCGGAGACCGACCGAGGTGCGGATGCAGGCGGAGAGGTCGTGGTACCTCTGCGCCTACCCCGCCTCCATCTCCAACTCTGTGCACACGGAGACGTGGTTCGCGCGGCTCGAGGCCAACTGCGGCACGCCGTCGAACCCGTCGCTGCCGCGGTGAGGGGAGGAGGCGAGGGGAGGAGGCGAGGGGCGAAGGCGAGGGGCCGCCCGTCCCGCCCGGCCTCCGTTAGTCCTCCGGCCCCAGCGGTAGTGACGGCCGGTAGTGGCGCACGGCTGCACTAGATGGGCGGTGCAGGAGGACGTATTGCGCGAGCGTTCTGATGGCTCATCCTCGCCCGGGGCTCGTCCGCCTATTGGCGGCCGTCTCAACTCTGTCGCCCACTGTGGAGAGAGAGAGTTCTGCTATGGCTGTAGTCGCCTCGAGGGTTCTCCGCCTACCCTTAGCTGTCGTGGCGTCCAACCGTGGTGTTGTGTGTGCCCGTGGGAATGTCTCTCTGTCGATTGTGCGTACGGTAACGTGTCTCTGATTTCTGTGCATCGATGTATACGGGGTCCGGAGGGTGAGTTGACCAGGGGGTTGTGCGCGCCGGCGCGGGCCCGCTCACCTGCTCGGCTCCAGCCGCGGGTAGACAAGTCTTGTCACAGCAAAACAGTTGGAGAGGAGGAAGGATCTGACCTCGGGCCCTAGCTCGGGCCTCTCGGGGCCGATGTGACCAAGCGCTGGTAGGTGGTAGCGTGGTTTAACCTCACAGACACCGAGAGTGCCGCACAGAGAGATAGATGCGCCAATGGCAATGCGCCATGGTCTCACAGTGTGCCGGCAGTCGCCGAGCAGTGTCTCGCTCACACACAAGCCGCAGCACAAGTGACTGAGGGCCAGTGAGGGGGCGAGCCCATCGCTGTCACAGCTGTGGCGGGGAGCCGCACAGTCAGTACTGTGTAGGCTGTGCCATCTGACTGTGCAGAGAGCACAGAGAGAGAGTGTGTGTGTGTGTGAGCAGCAGAGGTGAGCTGTGCTCTCCAGGCTTCTGTCGCAAAGAGCTGCTGCGACAGCTGCATGCCACCGAAGGCGCTGTCGAGATTCGCCGATCGCGACACAGATTGGGGGCTAAATTGGGGGACACTGTCACCGACGAGCGTAGAGCGCTGGTCGGAATCCGCTTATGTGACGACGGCATACACACGAGAGCTGCGGCCGTGCCGCCGTCATAGCGGCGAGCCCGAGGCGCGGGACCGTCTGTGGCGAGGTGGGTCGCGTCCCTCGATTTCCGTCATCTCAGCCTCCATACCCTCTGCCTCTATGCTCTGAGCGGAGAGTGAGACGACCGGGTCGCGGGGCCGGAGCTCCGGCGCTTGTGTGCCGATGGGGCGCAGGCGGGAGGGACCGAAAACAAGACGTCAAATAAGACTAGGGTGAAACTGTGCACCCTCCGCACTTTGTCACCTGAATGCCGGGGAGAAGCCATCCGCCGCGCTGAGACTCGCGGCTTGCGAGTTTTCTCAAGCCGGCATCATCAAACCCCGCGTGCATAGCAGGGCGCACATGGGAGGGGCCTCAAGCCTCAGACCTCGTCCTTCACAGCGGCAGCAGCGGCAGCGGCGACGGCCGCGGCAACGGCAGCGGCGTCGTCGTCGGTAGTTGCCGAGACGATCCCGGGTGTCTCGGGCTCAACGACGGGCGCGGCGGGATTGGCTGGATCAGGTGTGCACGTCCTACAGAGCAATGCGAAACGCTGCGGGAATTCTGGGCGCTCGTGTTTGCAGGTCTGTTTGCGCCATGGCGCACCCGCAGCTCCTTGGGCAGCTGATGTTCATGTAGCCTGCGTTCGCCGCGCACTCGCCCGCAGCCGCCCACCTCTCGCAGTCCACGTTCCTGTCCACGCATGACCCGTCGATTACCGTCGCCGCCACCCTCGCCGCCTAAGGTAGGGAGCGGTGTCTCCTCGCGCGCGGTTGGAGGGCAAGGCTGGACTCTCCCCCTACGCGACCCACTGATTGCAGGCCCGGGCGATGATTGCGCCTCCTCGAGCGACATCTGAAAGCCCTTGCTCATGAGAAGGTTGTAGATGTCGTCCACGTCGGGTGACCTTTTCGCGCCCATCGGAATCGTGAGCAGATTGATTCTCTCCTGTTCCACGCCCCCCTCGTAAATGACCAGGTCCGGATTGTGGCCCGGAATGTATTTGACAGACAGGCCAATCCAGTTGGCGGCGTATCCCTCTTGAGCACCGGCGTCGCCCTTCACGAAGCGCTTGATGCCCTTGTGCTTGTTTAACTTTCATCCGGAACACGTCTCGATCACGCCGGTCAGCTGAGCGTGCGCGGCGCACATCAGCGACAAGAGGCCCAGTCGCCACATCGACGAGCTGACGTGTGCGCTGATGTTGTTTGTCGGTATCCGTGATGACGTGGCGATGGGGGAACGTTCCGAGGCGAAAGACGGACTTAAAATAGACGAGCAACAATTGTTACACCACACTTTCCATGATCGCAGTGGGCATCAGAAGACTCGTCCTTGCGCGAGGAGAGCTCGATAGACTCGAGGGGCCAGGATATGCAGCAAGGAGGGCGGAGCTGCGCCGAAAGGCGAAAGAAGCCGAGAGAACAAGGGAACGGCAGGCGGCGGCGGCGTCGCAGAACGAGGCAGAGGAGAGCGACGCGACAGAGGAAGAAGCGACAAGGGAGAGCACGACGAGAAGGGGGAGACCGCGAGGTGGCACGAAGGTTGCAGCGAGAATCGGAGAGAGACTGCGAAGAGAGATAGGAAGAGGCGGACGCCCAAGGGTGGGCGACGGCTAGCGCACCACACCCCTCTCCTTAAAATCCCTGTGTGGTGGCGGCGTGCCGTTCTCCCATCCCTCCCTTGGGTTGTCTGTTTTCTTTCTTTTCTTTCTTTCTTTTCCGGAGCAGGGCACCACCGCTAGATCAGTGGTCCCCCCCCCCCCCCCGCTTCGACACCAACTCACCCGGGATCGGCTGGGTGCGAGTAGGTAGGGCGGTCGTCGGCCTCGCTGTTTGTTCACGGCACGCCACTCCAGCCTTTGCAGAGCGCGCTAACTCCCATTCCGGTCCGAATCAGTCTAGGCTCTGGTCAGAATCAGTCTGGGGCTCCGATCCGAATCAGTCTGGGCAAAAAATCTCTCTCGGCGTGCGCACACAACAATGGGGAGGGGAACGGCGTGCGCACTGGCACGGACAGGGCTCCGCCTCTCCCCATCAACGTCGGCGCGATTAACGGCCGCTCCGGCTGCATCGATGCGTGGAACACCAACCTGTGGTCAGCTACAACTACCAACCAACCTCTGAAATGGTGCCACAACTACCATCCCTTCTTGCCCGGCATAGGCCATAGCAAAACCAAGCGGCCGAGTGTACTAGCTCGCAACCGCCCGATTTTTATAATCCTATACTATTATACTATAGTCACCGCCACGCTCCACGCACCACGGTGTACACGGAAATCGGGAGAGGGCTGAGGTGCAATCCGCGGTCGTCCGCGGCGTCCGCGCTGCACCCCCCCCTCCTCTGCGCTTGCCGCTTCCGGGCGTGCCAGGGGCACCACCGACCCGTGGCGCGTGGGCTGGGGGTCCCGCGAAACAAAAAACTTTTTGCCGGACCCGGGATCAGCTGTGAACAAGATCGGCCGAATGCGGTCGGCTTGAAGGTGGGACTGGGACCCCGCGCAATCGCTTCGCCGTGGTCGAGTTAGTGGGGTAAGCCGCTGACGGCAGACCCGCAGCTTGGCTCCCCGCGTGACAAACGACGGCCTCCAGACTTCCTGTACCTCCGGCCTTTTTTTTCTTTGGGGCGGTTGCGCCGCCCTGCACACCCCGTTGGCGGCACCGAGCGCGAGTTTCCGACGCGCTCGTGTCTGGTAACAGACACGGATCGGTCGCCGGTGGGCTCAGCCAATCGCCTCCAGCAAATGCTTCATCACACGGACGAGACGCGTTCGTTGCTGCGAGGCGGCAATATTATTATTTGATGCTTTTCGCACGGCTGAGCCCGTCGGGCCAAAGCCCCGCCCAGACTCCCTTCACACACTCTCTCTCCTAGAGTCCCGTGGCGTCGTCCTAGAGTCCGGAGGTTCCGTCCGTCCCGTCTCGTGACCGTCTCCGTACCACCAAGACTCGACCTACTATCCCAGAGTCGGCCGCCGGGGCGGGCGTCTGCCCGCCCAGGACGCTCCGGCCGAACGTGGCAGCGTCGTCTGTTCACGAACAGCCCTTTGGAACCCCCAACACGCTATCCACCTCATCCGCTCAATGCTCGCAATCTTCATCCCCGCCTTTCTCTGAACGGAGCCCCCCCTCCCTCCCCCGTGCCCATTCCCTGCCTGCCCTCCCCCGCCACGCGCCGTCCGAGCCCTCTCCGCTCTTGCACAGGAGGAAATTGGAATTAATCAGTTGGCTTCAACAAATCAGGTGATGATGGGAGAGGGGGGACGACACCGCCCGTCTACCCTCCGGGGTCCCTCGGCGGCGTGCACCTCGGGGCTCGATCCTGGAGCCGAGTGAGGGGTCCCAAAATGGTCGTGGCTCGTGCGATGGTCTCAGGCCCAGTGAGGCAGTGCATCCGACTGCCCCGGATCCAGCTGAACGAGCTCCTCTTATAGCATGAGCATCGAGCATGAGCACTCTCATGGTCTTGCTATGATCGCACTCTCATGGTCTTGCTATGATCCCACGGTCGCAGCTGGAGCCTGGAGAGGAGGTCCTGGGGAACGGGAACTGATGGCGACCTCTCTCCAGCGGAGGGAACGACGCCCGGCCCAATTTCTTCTGGGTCGCGGACACCTCCCGCCGTTCGGTGAGCTTGCGCCTTGTGCATGCCGATGGCAGCCCATGTGGCGGACGGCATACAATGCGGAATCGACCCTTTCCAGTGCTCAAGTGCTCAGCAAAGGAAAAAGAAATTTTTCCCTCAGACGAGGGTTTGCAGCCCCCCACGCCACGATGCCTACGGCGAAGGGTGGCAAGCGACAGAAGCAGAGCGACGCTTCCGCGGCCTCCTTTTCGGACGAAAACAAGTCCTGGCTCAAGCCAAAGAAGCGGAGCCTGTTTGAGGACGACGAGCCAGCGCCGAGGCAGCGGCCCGGTCCCAGCGCGGTGCGCAAGCGTGGCAGCGCGGCGCTGTCGCGGCCATTGGCGCGCGGGCCTCGCAAGGGCGCAGCGGCCGCACCTGGCAAACGCCCACCCGCCGCCGAGGTGGTGGAGGAGAGCGAGGAGTCGGATGACGACAGCGAGGAGGATGTTGGCGACGAGTATGAGGGTGCGGACAGCGTCGAGTCGGGTGAGGAGGAGGCTGAGGATGAGAAGGACGAGGACGAGGACGAGGACGAGGACGAGGACGAGGACGAGGACGACGAGGAGGAGGAGGAGGAGGAGGAGGCGGAGAGCGGCGGCGACGAGAGCGGTGGAGAGGAGCTGGCTTTCGAGCGCAAGGCCCGCAAGACGGTGGCGAGGATGGAGGCGGAGGCGGCGGAGCAGGCGTCGGAGCAGCGCGGCGCGGCGGCGAGCTTCACAATGCCGACCGGTCCGCGCGAGGAGATGCCTGACATCGGCACGCTCAAGAGCCGCATCGCGGACGTGGTCGACGGTGCGACGCTTCCGAGACGCTTCCAAGACACTCTTGAGACCCGTCCGAGACACGTCCGAGACACCTCTCACCGGCCGGGAGGTGCGCAGCGCCACACACGCCCGACCCTACGCTCCGCGAGCCCTCGCCCTCGCGTCCGCACAGCACGCGCCGCAACAGACGCCGCAACAGACGCCTGACACGTCCCTGACACGTCCCTGACACGTCCCCGTCCCTGACACGTCCTGCGCAGTGCTCGGCGACTTTGCGTCCAAGCGGCAGGAGGGGGTCACGCGGGTGGAGTACGTGTCTCTGCTCGCCGAGGACCTGCAGCAGGTGTACGGCTACAACGGCGAGCTTGTCGAGCTGCTGCTGCAGCTCTTCTCGCCCGCAGAGGTGCGACCAGTTCCGAGCGATCCCCACGCCGTCGCACATGCGGGACACGTCCACGTCACGTCCATGACACGTCCATGACACGCCCGCCTCCCTCCCCGCAGGCGCTCGAGTTCATCGAGGCCTCCGAAAAGCCGCGCCCCGTCACCATCCGCACGAACACGCTCAAGACGCGCCGCCGCGAGCTGGCGCAGGCGGGGCTGGCCGCACACACCTCACACACCTCCCCAGGCGCCCTCCCTACACCTCACACACCTCCCTACACCGCTCCCTAGATCACCACGCTCCCCAGATCAAGGCGCCGCCGCGCTGCCGCAGGCGCTCATCTCTCGCAACGTGTCTCTCGACCCGATCAGCAAGTGGTCCTCCGAGGGGCTGCAGATCTACGAGTCTGCCGTGCCGATTGGCGCGACGCCAGAGTATCTCGCCGGCCACTACATGATCCAGTCCGCCTCCTCCTTCCTGCCCGTCCTCGCCCTCGACCCGCAGGCGCCCGCATCCTCCCCTCCTCCCCTCCTCCCCTTTCCCCCTCCCCCCCTCCGCTCCCCTCCCCCGCCCCACCCCCTCCCCCCCTCCCCCCCGGCCCGCAGCCCGGCCAGCGCGTGCTCGACATGGCGTCGGCGCCGGGCGGAAAGACGTCGCACATCGCCGCACGCATGGGCAACTCCGGCACCCTCGTCGCAAACGACTTCAACAAGCAGGGCCTCCCCTCGTTCGCCTCCAACCTCGCGCGCCAGGGCGTCCGTTGCGCCATCCTCCTCCACGCCGACGGGCGCGAGTTCCCGCGCCTCATGGGCGGATTCGACCGCGTGCTGCTCGACGCGCCGTGGGCATCCCCCCCCCCCCCCCCCCTCCCTCCCCGCCCTCCCTCCCCGCCACCCTCCCCGCCGCCCTCCCCGCCGCCCCATGCCGCCCGCCCCGCCGCACCATACCACCCGCAGGTGCACCGGGCTCGGCGTCATCTCAAAGGACCCAGCAGTCAAGGCCGAGAAGGGCTTCACCGACGTGCAGCGCTGCCAGCAACTGCAGAAGGAGCTGCTGCTCGCCGCGATCGACTCGTGCACCGCAAACAGCGCCGGTGCCGCCGCCGGCCGCGACCCCTCCGCGCCCGCGCCACCTTGCCTGAGCCGTGCTGTCGGGGCGATGTCTCTAGGCGGCGGCATCGTCGTCTACTCGACGTGCTCCATCGCTGTGGAGGAGAACGAGGCTGTCGTCGACTACGCGCTCGCGTCGCGCAACGTCAAGCTGGTCGACACCGGCCTCCCCTTCGGCGTCGAGGGGCTCACGCGCTACCGCTCCAAGCGCTTCCACGCCTCGCTCAAGCACGCGCGCCGCTTCTACCCGCACACGCACAACATGGACGGCTTCTTTGTCGCCAAGCTGCGCAAGTTCTCGAACGACTTGCCGCCGGGCGCCCAGCAGCAGCCGCCGCCGAGCAAGGCGGCGAGCAAGAAGAAGCCGCCGCCGCCGAGCAAGAAGCGGCAAAAGTGAAGTTTTCCGGGATATCTCTGACGGTCTCAGTGAGTACCGAACGTGGTCGTCGACGCGTGTGGGTCACCCGTCGCAGTGCATGTGAGCTACAGCTAGTCCCAAGGTACTCGAGCGCGACTAATTTCTTCTCAAATGGTCAATAAAGTGCTCTCTCTGCCTGGGGGGGGGGGGAGGGGCACGTGGCGAGAGCTGTGCAGAGCTGGGCCTGGGGGGCAGATATCGGTTATCGGCGGTGGTCTCTCTGCGGTTTCTCTCTGCCGCCCGCGTTTCTCTCAGAGTCTCTTTCCGCACTTTCACTTGGACTTGTGCGAAGTCGTCGCGTTTGCGACGACTGCGCGACGCAGGGCAGACGACGCGGGGAGGCGGAGCAAACGCGGCGCAGGGCGAGACACGAGGGAGGGAGCAGGACTTTGCGGAGATCAGCAGGAGGATGTACGAAGAGATTAGGAGCAGCAGGAACCCGAGGGACCATGTGGAAGACGGCTAGTGCTAGTCCCCCATCGGGAGGACGACCCCGGCTAGTCGCCGACCACACCCACAAAGAACCCTGCACAAAGATCGCAAGGGCGGGGGCCTGTTCCTTTTTACCCATCTCACAGTAGAGAGGTGTCCGTTTTTATTTATTTATTTATTGGAGAAGTGTCCGTTTTTATTTATTTATTTGCGTCATGTCTCATGACTCAAGAGGATGCACACTTTTTGGCGGGTTTTCGTTCATGGGGATCGGGTACGGCGGTCGCCCGCCGGTCGTTTTCATCCGCGTTGCGGGTACAGCCTTGGGGCTTGGGCGCCCGGCCGGTGTGGGCGCACTGCCGTACTCGCATACTTCTCGTCGAATGGCGAGACCGCTCGTGGCACGTGGGGTGTGGCCACGCCTCGTGCTCGTCCGAGCGGTGGTGCTAAAGCCGTAGTTCTGCGCGGTGAAGTCGTTCTGCGCGCTACTCTCTAAACTGAGTCGCACACACTGTGTGTGACTGTGTGTCAGACGAGTGGGTGAGGTCGCCGAGAATTATTCATTACGTATATTCGTTCGTTCTTTTGTACGCGGTCTGATGGCGGGACCTGGGGCGCGCACGTCTTGACGTGACGCTGTGATGTGCAATCACAGACGCACACATCGGAGAGGGAGAGGGAGAGGGAGAGAGAGAGAGAGAGAGAGAGAGAGAGAGAGAGAGAGAGAGAGAGAGAGAGAGAGAGAGAGAGAGAGAGAGAGAGAGAGAGAGAGAGAGAGAGAGAGAGAGAGAGAGACGGGGTAGGTGGACGGGCATATCTGTGTCGGGCAATGCACACTAAGGTCGTAATCTCTCGTCAGCCAGCAGCACCCACATCCCCGCCGCAGACGCGAGGTGCCAGGCGCCGTGGCAGAGGGCGTAGCCACGCGGCGCGTTCCTCCGCTTGAGGACGGCGCTGGCGGTGAGAAGCGCCACCGGCGCCGCAAAGATACGCAGCGCGAGGCCGAGGCCTGCGGAATTGGCGAGGGCGAGGCCATACCCGTTGGCGCACACCAGGTCGAGGGCGATGAGTCGGGACGTGCGCCGGCCATTGGCCTCCGAGCTGCCGCCGAACATCTGGGCGCCGTGGAAGGCGCTACTGGCGGCCGCGACACAAGCGGCGGCGCTGGCGTGGCCGAATCGGCCCGAATCGGCCAGCCAGGCTGCCAGTGCCCAGTACGGCAAGTTGGTGAGCCAGAATAAGACTCGGTGGTGCAGCGAGAGCCCTGCGACGAGGAGCCGGTTGTTCTTGGTGAAGACACCGATCGCGCTGGTGCCGTCGCGACGAGCAGCGAGCGCGTCGAGGACAGGCCCGACCACCATTGTGAGCAGCAGCCTGTGCTTGCTTCCACAAAAAGAATTTTAGCGCCGTGCGGGGCGGGGTGCGCACTGTCCCTCTGTGTTCGTGCGTCGCCCATCTCTCCTGGAGATGTCTGCTCTATTTATTAATCGGGACTGGCGCGCACTGGCACTAACACAGGTACACCACTGGGAGCCGCCTAAGCGACTCCCGCGAGGACGGCGAGGCACTTAGCTCCGTGCACTCGACCGCCCTCGCCGCTGGCAAGCTCATTCACAATCTGCTCTGCGATGGCCGTGTGAAGAACGACTGAGATGCGCTGCTTCTGCAGCCCCAGCCAGCTCTTTGTGGTCCAAGTCACCTCATCGAGGTACTGGGCCCGCGTCAGCTTGTTCTGCAGCACGTTCGCCGCCCCCAAGAGGATCTCGCCGACCCCCTTCCCAAACCCACCGAACGACTCGAACAGCAGCAGCCGCACGTCGACGTCCTTGTCCTCCCTGGCGTAGCGATACTCGCCGCCATAGGACGGTATGCGGCGATCGCCGCCCACTACCCTGCCCCCCCTAGTATGCAGACGACCAGTCCCCTGCCCCCTCTCGCCCTTGCTCTTCCTCTCTCCCTCCATTCCCTCGCCCCCATACCCCTCACACTCCCCTCCATCCCCCTCCCCCTCCCCCTCGCCTCCCTCTCCCTCCGCGCGGTAGGGCCCATGCCCCTCGACCATGTTCCGGTAGAACGCCTCGGTGTTGCCGAAGGCGACAAAAGCGCCCTTCCGACCATGCTCCCCGCCGCTGGTGAGGGGGCAGACAACCTTGACATCGCCTGAAAAGCGCTTGCCGCCCCTGCCAATGTTGCACGCGTCCACGTCGGATTGTTTGTTGTAACTCTGACCGAGGTGGCCTTTCGGCTCCATTCGCACAGCGGTGCCCCACGCGGCGCGTAGGGCGAGGATGAGGCGCTGAAGTACACACTTGTGTCTGGTGTTGTGGCTCTGCTGCGGCACGTTGACAGCAGCGTCGCCGAACTCGTCGTGGATCTTCTTGTTCCGAGTCTTCTCTTGCCCGCCGCCGCGGCCTGGCAGGCCGCGTCGAGGGGAAGGCCCAGGCGGCGCTGCACCGAGATCCGCATCGCCCAAGTCTCCATTCTAGAGCTGTTTAACGTTGTGAGCTGAACAGTGTTGCTAGTGTTAACAGTAACAACAGAACAACAGTGGGGCTCCCCAACAACAGTAGCTAACGTTAGGCCGGCTGAACAACAATAAGGAAGGCCTGGCAGTGACCCACGACGATCTCCAGCGTCCAGTGCGGGTAATACCCGAAAATACCTGGGAAAAATCAGGTATTGGCTTTGGGCGGTTTTACCCCCGGGTTTTTTGCCATTTTCTGCTTGCTGGCCGCTGAACAACGGTAACAACAATAACAAACAGTAACAGCATGGGCTGTGGTGAACACTTGAACAACGTTCAGGATTTCAGCCAACACTAGCGCAACTGTTAGGCCCAAAGTTAATGTTAAACAGGCCTACTCCATTCGCATGTCATCCCGCATTGGGATGGCGTTGAGGAAGGCGCCGGCGCCGTCTTGGCTCGCCGCCACGAAGCGGACCGCCTCCCGCCAGGCCGCGTGCTTCGCCCGCTCCCTGCCCTCGGCGCGCGCCTTGCCCTTCTTGCCACGAGGAGCAGACCGCGATCCCGCGGAGCCCTCCGCGGCGAGCTCCTCTGCGAGGTCGCGCCAGTTCCTGTGCAAAAAGAAATAAAGACTCGCAGCGCCACGATGGACGGAACGACAAGGGACTTTTTTGCGAGTTCGTATCAATCGATATCAAGACACCGCCGAAAAAGAACTTTTTTTTCATTTCCTGCGTCCGTCCACGCGCTGGCTGCACGCCGAACCTATGCTTCGCTCCGCCCAGACCGACGAGGTTGCGACCGTTTGGGAGATCAGCGGCCCGAAAACCATCCTGGTTGCGTATGCCATCGCCTTCAGCACCTTCAGCGCTGGCGTGTGGATCGGTGCCGCCGTCTACAAGGAGTTTGAAATGCCGCAGCAGAAGACCTGGCAGCTCCAGCAGAACGCGCAGCGCAACTTATTTTGGTGGAATAGCACGCGGGCTTCGGGAAAGCAAAAGCACAAGCACAAGAGCTACGCCGTAAAGCACAAGACGGCGGCCGCGGCGCAGCACAACAAGACGGGCGTTCGGCGAGAGGCCCGTCAGAACAAGACGCACGCTCGGCGCGTGGCCGCACGGGCCGCGGCGCGGAGGACGCTCGAAGTAGTGCCGCGCATGCTGCCTCGGCCGCCAGAGTGCGCAGAGGACTGGGGCAGGGACCTGCAGCCGCCGTCAAAGGGCCCAACCATCCTGCGAGACTTTTCGGAGGCGAGCTGTGCATGCAGGAGCACAAAGTGCAGTAAGCTGGCGATCACGGCCGACCTTTGCTCCGAGTCGGCGAGGAGGGTAATCTGGCAGCTTGATCCGAAAAAGAAGCAAGTAGGCATGCACCGGAAAGAATGGGAGTATCATTACATCATCCGCGCGCTCAACGCGTCGGGCAAGCTGCGCCCGGGCATGCGAGGTATCGTCTTTGGGGTCGGCCGGGACCCGCTGGTGAGCTATTTTGCCTCGCTTGGCGTGCGGGTGCTCGCGACCGACCTCGGCCCCAAAGACACAACTGCATGGGACACGGTGAGCAAGGACTCGCTTTTTCGGGAGCACTTGCTGTCTCGCTCGCAATTCGATGAGCTCGTGGAGTTCCGAGCCGCCGACATGAACGACATCTCCACCATCGACGGGCAGTTTGACTTCGTGTGGTCGACAGGCTCCGTTCAGCACGTCGGCTCGATCGCGCTCGGCAAGGCATTTGCGATGGCCTCCATGCTGCTGCTGAAGCCAGGCGGCATGGCCGTGCACACCACCGAGTTCTCCCTCTCCTCGCTCGAGAAGACGGTGGACAGCGTCCGTGGCAGGAAGACTAACACGGTGATCTGGCGGCGGCGCGATGTGGAGGGTCTCCTCGGCGAGCTGCGCAAGAGTGGCTACAAGACTGCCGAGACTTGCCTATCGGCCGGGCGCAGCGGCCTCGACACGCTTGTGGACTTGCCGCCATACCACCCGACGAGACACTTGCGGCTGCAGGTGCTGAAGCACGTCGTAACCTCGTTCGGATGGGTTGCCTGGACAGACAGGGCTTAGAGACTATGCGCATGCCTCTCGAAGAGAGAAATTTACGTGGGATGCCCTCTTTTTATTATGGTCTGTGTTTCATTTACACTTTTTATGGAGATCATGTGGGGCGTTATTCTGAAGGGGCTCACTATTAGACAAAAACGCTCTGCGGCCGGGACCATTCGCACCGGCGGCGCCGCGGGACTCTGCGTGCTGAACCGACATCGTATAGTGCACACACACAACATTCAGAGACACTGGCGCAACTCGTGCCAGGGCAAGAGATCCTTGCACGCCTAACGCGCCATCTCTGCGCCAACAGGCGGGGCACCTGCCGCGGCCACCTTGGGAGTGCCGACCGTGAAGTTGCCCGCAGCAAGGGGTCGAGAGGTCGGTGGTGAGTCCGATTGTGAGGCAGCCCAGCCCGAGCTTGCAGACGCTGCCGTTGGAGTCGTCGTCAATCATGCCGATGGGTAGGCACTCGGTGTTCACGTCGACGCAGCCTTGATAGGTGAGGCAGAGGTACTGGCCGCGGCCCTTGAAGCAGAGGACGACGTCGCTCAGGTCGACCGCGTTGTAGCAGCAGAGGCACGCGTTGAAGAGCACGCCGTCCTCGCTGCCCGCCGCTGCCGCGATGCCCTTGGCGGTACCGCTCGGGTCGCGCACGGCAGCTTGAACGTCGGTCGCCATCTCGTCGCGATGAGCGATCAGACACCAAGGAGCGTGACGCGAGCGAAAAGGGAGGCGCCGGCGTGAAATGGTTTTTTTTCCCCTATCGTGCCCGTCTTTCCTTCTCGCGTATATGGAAGTCTAGCGCCTCGGGGGCAGAGCGCATTGGTGTGAAAGTGAGGATTCTGTTGCTGGATACCACCAAAGGGTTCCGTGAACGGCGCCTCAGAAGTGGAGGGGTGCAGGATCTGTGCTGTATCTGAGTATAACTCTGCCGGTCCGGAGGTTTTCATGTCGCCCTCACGCCGCATCCACTCGCCGGCCTTCAAGGTTAAGCTCGTGGAGGAGGCGCTCGCCCTGCCCGCAGCCTGCAGGATCAAGCCGACGTGCCGAAAGTATCCCGGCGTCGAGCCGACGCAGCTGCGGAAGTGGATCAAGGCGCTCGACAAGCTGCAGGCGCAGGCGCGGGAGGAGTCGTGGAAAACCGCCATGCTAGGGTCCATCACCACCGAGGCGCCCGCCAGCGACCTCCACTCCTTCCAGAAGCTGCTCGAGTCGGAGCCCGCGCTGGGGCCCGTCCCCGCGACCGCCTTCTGGCAGCCCGCTCTCAGGGCGTGCGAGGAAGGGGAGGGCGGGTGTGGCCAGGCACCGGCAACGATACCCCGCAGCGCCGACAGACGCAGCTGTGAGACCCCCCTCCCCCCTTCTAGGCGTGCGACCTCCCCGGCGAGGAGTTTGAATTTCTGGGGGCGGCGGATGTCGCTGCAGTCCTCGTCGGGACTATCTGGGAGCAGCCGGCGTTGCTGATGCAGCCGATGGCGGCGCGCTGAGAAATTTGCGCGCGCGTCGGGCCCTCCCCTTCGAGGCTCAAGTTCCATGTTTGGCATGCCCATCTCACGGGAGAGGAATTGCCGGCCGTCATGACTCATGTACGTGGCATTCCTGCCGTGTCGTCATGTAGGACCCCACGTTGATCTCGGTGTATGTTTTGTCGGTGCGGGTGTGCGCGCGCGTAGTGCGCGCGCAACACGCGATCGTGTCATATTTGTGTACACTTGGTGCCCCTGTGTCTCATTGGTAGATGGTACATGCGTGTGCATGCCGACGTGTGTGCTTTTCACACATGCACATATGAGTTAACAGTTATGAGATATGATTTTTTGTACATTTCTTTATGTTTTGCTCGCATCGGACCCCATCGACAAATGTTTATAACAGCGTGAACGGAAACACACTCCACACACTCTCCCAGAGTTGCCATGCCTCAAGCTCTCGCTCACGTCTCAGTGTCAGTCAGGTAACAGTCAGCTTGGATGCGCGCCGCGAAAGGCAGCGGCCTCGAGCGACGCCGCGAGACGCCTCACTTCGCGGGACGAGTCGATGGCGGCGAGGCTCGCCAAGCGCCGCACCACCGTCCGGAGCAGTTCCTCGGGCTTCGGCCCCCACACCGCCTCGGAGCCGCCGCCGGCGAGTGCCAAGCCGAGCAGCTTGAGCGCGCCCAGCCGAGCCGCGGCGTCGGCCGCCTCAGAGTCGGCCACTGCGCGGAGCAGCAGCCGGTGGGCGAACGGCGCGTCGAGCGCCGAGCCCGCGTGGTAGGCGAGCGCGAAGATGGCCTCGGCGGCAGCGGCGCCCTCGCACGCGAGCAGCCGCGGGAGTGCGCGCCGAGCGAGCCCCGCGGCCGCCTCCTCGCCGTGTGCCTGGACAGGCGTAGGGGAGATGAGAGGTGGGGGGGGGGGGGGGGGTCGAGTCCCGCGCCGCGCGCCGATCGCAGGAGCTGCGCGCTCATCGCGAGGGAGAGCTGCGCACCCGCCGCGCCGCCCTCCTCCAGCAGCCTCTCCAGCAGCGGGGAGACCACCCCCGAGGTGCCCCCCGAGCCGGAGGTGCCCCCCCGCCCGCCGGCGCCGGCCGTCTCCTCACGGACACCTGCGCACACGAGGCGGGCGATGCAATCGCGGCAGCCCGCCTGAAGCTGCGCCGCCGCCGCGTCGCGTGGCTCGGCGCACGCGGCGGAGACTAGCGAGGCGCCGAGCTCGCACGTGACGCTGGCCGCCTACACGGCAAGGAGCCACCCAAGCTCAAGCACGCAAGCTCGGGCACAATCCTCCCGCCCGGTCGGCCGGGGAAGCTGCGCTCGCCGCGGCGCGGTGCAGCGAGACGACGCAGCAGAGGTAGAAGAGGCCGAGAGGGCCTGCGAGGCAGCTGGGAGCGCCGGCCGTAGCCACTGCCGGTCCGGCGCCGGCAAGGCCGACTCCGACTCCGCCCCCGCCCCCATGCAGCAGGGGGGCGAGGGCGGTGCGGACGGAGTCGATAGCATCGTCAAGCAGCGGCGCCGGTGGGAGCCTGGCGAGCAGAGGACGGGCCGAGGGTAGGCGAGTTGGGAGGTGGGGCCAACTGGGAAGTGTGCGCAGAGAGCGGGGAGTGCGATCGCCTGGCGAGCAGAGACGCGGACAGCTTCCTCACCTGCTGCAGCTCAGACGCCTCGCACGCGCGCGCCAGCAGCAGCGCTCGCAGCTCGCTCTCCTCCTCCTCCGCAAGCCACACGCCCCGGCCGGCCTCCTCGCCCGCGGCGCTCCCGCCGGCGGTGTCGCTGCCGGCGTCCACCCAAACGTCCTCCGGCAGCAGGTTGAGCAGCAGGAGGGGGCGCAGCCGCGCCAGCGCAGCCGCGTCGCCGTCGCGGGCAAGCGCGCCGGGCGGCGCCGCAGCAACGGCGGCGGCGGGCGGGGCGGGCGCGGCGGCGCGGAGCCTCGCAAAGCCGAAGACGAAGACCTCGCGCTGGTGCGGCCGCGCGGCGGCTTGGGCGAGCATGCAACGCAGCACGCGCAGCGAGGCGCGCTCGCCGGCGCTGGCGAAGAACTTTGCGGCGACGACACGAAGAGCAGAGGCCCAGCCGGTGCCGTCGAGCTGTGCGCACCACCGCGACACGACGCGCAAGAGGCGGCTCTCAAGCCGACCGCCTGCGGGGAAGTTCCGAAGAAGGCTCAGGGAAAGGTCCGGGAAGAGGCGGCTCTCGAGCAAAACCGCAGCCGCCTCGGCCGCCGCCACCGCCGCCGCCACCGCCCTCGCCGCCGCTGTCGCCCTCGCCGCCGCCGTCGTCGTCGGGGAGGCCGCCTTGCTGCGTGCCGCCGCAGCTGCCGCTCGAGAGGCTCGCTGCAAGCAGGGGGGCTGCCTGCGCCGGACCAGCCTCGCCGCACCTCGACGCATCTCGCCCGATCTCGCCCGGGTGACGCGGCGGTGCGGCGATGCCAGCTGGCGCACCGGACGCGTCGCGGAGTGTGTCGACCACAGCGGCCGCGGCCGCGGCGCCGCCTCCGCCGCACAACGACGCAAACATGGCGTCGGCGGCGGCGGCACGGGCCTCAGCCAGCGGCGAGGTGAGCAGCGGAGCGACAGCAGGAAGTACGCGGGCCGGCTCGAGGCGGTCAAAGAGGCCGGCGGCGAGGGCGCGGGAGGAGAGCTCCGCGTCGGAGAGGCGAGGCACCTACGCGGCGGAGCGGCAGAGGCTCTCGCGCCCTGCTACCTCCCCCGTTGCGTCTCCCGTAGCGCGGGGCGCCAGCGAGGCGAGTACGTCTCCCGCCATCCCGCGCCGCTCGAGGCCCCTCCTCCCCGCAAGCCGGCAGGCCGAGGCGAGTACGGTGAGCCCGTTTGCACGCTGCGTCGGCAGGGGCGAGTCGAGGAGCCGCACTACCTGCGGAGGGGGCAGGCAGGGGGAGGGCCAGGCAGGGGGGTCACCGAGGGATCAGGTCCACGGCCCGGCGCCTGTGCCCGTGCCTGTGCCTGTGCTAGCGGCCTAGCGGCCCTTCTCGCCTCTGGCAGAGCGACGCGTGGGTGCGCGAGGACGAGGCTCGCGGCGACGGTGGCGGCGGCCGGCGTCGCCGCGCTCGTCGAGTGGAGCGCGTCGATGAGGGGCTGGAGGGCCTACGCTCACAGCAGCGCGCGTGAGGAGACGCAGCCCGCGAAGCAGCTCCGCGTCGAAGTCGGGCGGGAGGGCCGCGGCGGGCTCCACTCCGCGCGAGAGGAGCGAGGGGAGGAGCACGCGGAGCAGCGCCAGCGGAAGCGGCGCGCCCGAGCAGGCGGCGGACGAGGCCGCCACTGGCGGGAAGAGGGGGCGGGCGTGGCGAGACAGAAAGGCGGAGGCGTCAACGGGTGGCAGCGAGCCAGCGAGCAGGCTCACGCACACGAGGCCCCTGTGGGCAGCCGCTCCGGCTTGAGCGACCGCCTCCTCGCCCCGCCGAGCCGCCCCGCCGCCCTCGCCGCCCCCGCCCCCGCCCTCCTCGCCGTCCGCCTCCAGCGCCGCCAGCCAAGCGGCGGCGGTGCGGTCGATGTGTTGGCGGGGCGACGCGGAGGCGGAGGGCGGAGCGAGGCAGCTGGGAGCCAGGTGGGAGGAGCGGAGCAGAGGCAGCGCTTCGGCCCAGAGGAGCGCCGCCTCCGCCTCCCACTCGACGGCCGCCCCTCCCGGCCCCTCCCACCCTCGCCCCTCCTCCCCTCCCAACTCCGCGCCCTCCCCGTCTCCTCGAGACGGGCCGCAGAGACGCGTGGGCGCGGGCACCGCAACGAGCTCCGCAACCGCCGCCGCCGTCAGCGCGAGCGACCCTCCCGCGTGCATCACACCCCCACCGGAACTCCACGACGCGCAGTCCTCCTCCTCCTCTCCCGCCACCGCTGCTGCGGCCGCCGCTGCAGCCGCCGCCGCAACGTCGGCCGCCGCCTCTAGCGCCGCCGCCACGCCGCTCGCTACGTCCTCCACCGCGCCGGCCTCGACCGGCTCGCCCTCTGGAAGGCCTGCCGCACGGGGTGCTGTCACGGGGTGCTGTCACGGGGTGCTGTCACGGGGTGCTGTCACGGGGTGCTGTCACGGGGTGCTGGGGCGCGCGGGCGGGCGGTGCGGCGGCGTGGGATGATGCGGCGCGGAGAGTTGCCTGGTGGCGCAGCGGGAGAGAGGCCCGATGCCGCAGGGGGAGGACGGCCTGCTGCCGCTGCCCTCCACTCGAGCGTGCAGCGCAGCAGCAGCGCCCCTTCCCGGACGAGGAGCGGCGAGACGCGCACGCGCGAGCCGTGCTCCTCCCCACCACCTCCCTCTCGTCCCGCCGCCGCTCGTTGGACGGCCGCAGCGCAGCCGACTCCAACAGACAGCAGAGCCGCGTCCATCGCAGCAGCGGACAGGCGGGTCGGGCTGCCCCGGACGGCGCCGAGCGCGCAGCGGCGCAGCTCGGGGAGCAGAGTGAGCCGCCACGACCCGCGGTGAGCAGCCGAGCTGCCGGCAGAGGAGGCGGCGGAGGAGGCGGAAGAGGCCGTGGCAGAGGCCGTGGCAGCGGGTGGCCTGCGGCGCAGCTCGACTTCTGCGGCGGAGGAGAGCAGCGTGGCGGCCGCGAGCTGGAGGCGAGCACGGCCGGGCGAGGAGCTGGGCGCGTCGAGCACGCCGCGCAGCGCCGCGACAAAGCCACGTCCAAGATCGGTGTGCGAGAGCATCCACTCGAGGAGCGTCGAGGCGCGGGCGTGGCGGCGGCCGGCGATCGGCTTGCCTGCTGCAAAGTCGAGGACCAGCTCGATCAGCCGCTCGCAGCCAGCCACGTCCGCCGACCCGCCGGCGCCACAGGCCGCCGCCTCGAGCGTGCGGAGGGCCGTGGCGAGCGGCGACGCCGCGTCAGGCGATGCGGACCCAATCACGTAGCGCAGGTCGGAGGAGGCGGAGGAGTGCAGCAACGCGCTCACAGCGGCGCCAAGGCTGGGAGTTTGCTTGGCCCGCGCCTCGCACACGGGCTCGGCATCGTCCCCGTGGAGGACCACCGGCGGCCTGGCACTAGCCATCGCCCGTCTTCCAAACGCGGAAGGATGGGAGCCTCGCCCGAGCGCAAGATTGCGCGGCCCGGGCGCCACAAGCTGACACGTGTATTCTTTTTTTGCTCTCCCGTACGTAATACTACCTACCTACCTACGTAATGCTGAAATTCTGCAAAAACCTGGACGGCCCTTGCCCTGCCCCTACCTACCTACCTACCTACCTACCCTACTTAAACTAAAAAAAGAAATCACTCGATGGGTGAAGGTGGGGTACCATACCAACTAAAGTGATGGTTGGTGGTACTCTCCTGCAACCACAGGCCTTCCTGTGACATGGCAGGCCACTCTCAAGCCCTACAAGCACCAGATCACCCATTTGGGGAGGGTTGACATCGTGATTTTCGCGGAAAATTTCTTTTTCTGCTGTGAAAATTCCAGCGTGAAGAGAGGGGAAAACCCGACGGGAGGGCCCAGACCTACCCTACCTACCCCGGCATGACGTACGGGAGAGCAAAAAAAGAATACACCTGGCTTACTGGGAAAAAAGAGAGACGCGGAACGCATCTCCATCGCTTCGGTGAAGGGGGTGAACCGTGCCATCCTCGATCGCCGTGCAAACCTACTGTCTGAATTCGCGGAGCGAGGAAAATTTTATACGGAATACGTCCATTTTGAGAGAGAGAGATTTTTAAAGACCAACAAGAAATCACGACTCTCACAGTGATTTGGGCTCGGCAGCTTGTTAGCCCTCAGCCGAAGCTGGGGCCGGTCCCGTAGCCGAGAGAGCCCGCGCCGATGAGTTCGACGCGGTCGGGGGGGCCTGCGGAGAGGCCAGCGAGATGGCGATCGCTGTACTTCAAGGGGGTCATCAAGTGACCGCGGCTGACAAGCCAGAGGTCGATACTCTGGGCGACCCATCGGATGCCACGAATGCCTGAAGGAGAGGGAGGCGAGGCCAGACAGAGGCAGGCTCAGCTGCTCTCGGGTGATCTCACTTTGGAGGCTGAAGGACCCGATGGTCCTGTCACATTCGTTCGTGGGGTCGCGGGGGTAGAAGAATTCGAGGTAGAATCGAGTCAGCACATCCTTGTAGTACAGCGGACCGCCAGGCTCGCCGGCAGCATCCGCAGGGAGGCAGCATATGAGGCACCAGTCTCCATTCCTTCCATTTTGGGAGCTTGGAATACGGCGTATTCCATGGAATACGTGGAATACGGGTGGAATACGGCAGAATACAGGCCTCTGGGAGGTCATTTGGAATACGTGGAAAACGTATTCAGACAGTAGGCGTGCAAAGCTCGCTTCCGAGCTCTCACGCCGCGCGTAGGGCCCTTAGGGGCCTAGAGAACACAACCCCCCCCCCCTCTCTCTCTCTCAGTGTATGTAGCTCTTACGAACATACCGGTAGAGAGAGACCTCTCTCTTTTCTCCCAGTGAGGGATAACGACGATTCGAACTACTGTTTTTTGGCAACCCGCCGTGGCTTCACACAGCCACACCACTCCACGCATGTCGCGAGCGAGCCTTCTCCTGGTCATTTTCGCGTGCGGCCACGCCTGCGCCTTCTCGCTGCCGCCGCTCGCCGCTCCCCTGACTTCGCGCGCTGGACGCTGCGCCGCCTCGCACGCCTGCGCTGCGCCGGACCGTGACGCGCCGGACGGAGACGCGCCGGACGGAGACGCGCCGGACGGAGACGCGCCGGACGGAGACGCGCCGGACGAGACGCCCGGCGAGGTGCAGTGCAGCGGCGCACGGATTGTGACGGAGCTCGGCGCCGCCGAGGGCGCCGACGCGCTGTCGCAGCGCTTCAGCTTCAAGCTCAAGGCGCTGAAGGGTGACTTTTCGCCCGAGGACGAGGAGCGCGACACGGAGGAGGCGCTGGGAGCCATCACCGAGGGCCTCATCGGCTTCCCATCCGACGTGCCTCTGCGCGTGGTCGCCAAGCCATCGAGCTCCGGCTCCCAGGCCGTCGTCGATCAGATCTGCGCCGTGTGTAGCGGCGCCGGGATGGCTGCGTCCGGCGTCGAGGTGAGGGAGCGGCTGGGCGGAAAGATGCTGTCGGTCTCGTTCGTGGTTCGTGCCGCCTCGGCTTCGGCGCTAAGCGAACTCAGTGAGAGGCTACGTGCCGATCCCACCGTGAAGATGGTGTTTTGACGCGCTCGCTCGGTGTGGAGAACTGGAGATCGTGGAGATGCGCATGCGGCTTTGCGGGTGTCGTCTCGCGTGTTGTGCTGTTTTGCATGTGTTCGAGTAATAACCCCCAGCAAGGGTGGCTTCACAGCTTCACAGCATGCGCGGTCTTCCAGTGTTCGGGGACGGGGTCCAGGACGCAGGGCGAGGCGCGCTCCGCGCTGCGCACGGTGTGTGTGTCGTTAGTAACAAGCCCACCCAACCGTCAACCGCCATGGACTGTCGACTGAGGTCATTTTGCGTGGTTTGCACCGCCCGCGCCGCCATGGCACCCGTCGCTTCGGCGGGGCCTGCTGGCGCGCGGCGCGGCCTTGACATGGATTCTGAGAGGTTGAGAAGGGACCGCGCGCACTCAGGGTTGCAGCTGCTGCGCGTCGTTCTGCCGTCTCTGCACGGCGCGTCGAATCTCGGCGGAGCGCTCGGTGAGCTCGCGCGCGGAGCGCTGCAGCGCCTCCAGCCGCTCGGACCCGGCCGCCTCCACGGCGGTCACCTACCCGCCTCAATCTCGGCGTGAGATAGAGTCGAGATTGGGAGAGTTTTGAGACTGGGAGAGCACACCGCGGCAACCTTAGCCAGCACACGCTCGAGAGCGGCGTCGTTGCGGCTCAGCGAGAGGACCGCCTGCCAGTACTCGCCCCACGCGTCCACCCGCTCGCTATGCCTCGCGCCGCCACAGCCAGTGCCGCCCCATGCGCTGCTCACCGGAGGCTGCCTCGCATTGCCACGGCTGCCGGCGCACGCGACGTGCTCGTTGGAGGAGGGCCAGGAGCACACTATGTGCTGGACCGATGGCCGCTGGAGCAGCTCGTACGCGGCAGTCACACGCATGAACTCCTCAGCAGAGCCCGCTCTGTCGGGGTGACTCTCTGCGGCACGGCGACGGAAGGCGGCCTTAGTTGCGACGCTGGTGACCGGAGGGCGGAGCGCGAGGGTCTCAAGCGCCGTGCTGATATCGCTTCGCATCGTGACCGCCTGCGCGCAGAGCGGGAGGAGCGCGAGCATCGGCCACACCTCGTCGGGTACTCTCGGTGTCGCGGGAGAGTTTAGGGAAAAGAAAAGTTCGCGCTTCTCCCCTCCCCCTCTATTGGGTTGCGAAAAGAGATACGAGGAGGCAGACCCCCCAGGGTGGGCGACGGCTAGCGCATCACACCCTCCTCTCCTTAAAATCCCTGTGTGGTGGCGGCGCGTGCCGTTCTCCCATCCCTCCCTTGGGTTGTGTGTTTTCTTTCTTTCTTTCTTTCTATTGGGTTGTACGTCTTCTTGCTTTCTTTCGCACGGAAAAGAAAAAGACTACTGGTGCTCCGCATATGTGAGCCGTGAGCCGTTCGTGTCTCCGGGCCGCCCGCTCGTTCGTCGAGACACGAGCTCGCCTCGGGAGGCCCTCACTGCATCAAACAGTCGCATCCGCACTCAGGATGCCGCACTGAGATCCGTGCCCTCCAGTGGGCCGGCGAGGCTCACGCCGCACCATCCACACGCACGTAAGAAGCAAGAAGGAGAGTCACATCAGCAGGTCTGCAAGCACTGACGGAATGCAGCTAGCTGCCAGGCGAGGCCAGCGCAACGCTGCGACCGCGGGAAGCTGCGACAGCGGCAGCGCGCTGGGAGAGGCCAGTAAAGCTCCCGCCCTCATCGGAACCGGCCCTCCCGCGACGTCATGTTGCTCGCGAAGGTGCTGGGCGCGAAGGAGATGCCCTTGTAGACCGGCTCCGGGTAGAGCGGCCGCTGCATGTCTGTGTGGTACGGAGGAGGCGAGCGGTTGAAGGACTTGATCGCCTTGTACAGGAAGTAGCAACCCAGCGGGATGGGCAGCAGCGGGCCCATCGCCTGGATCACCTGAGGCGGACGGCGCGGAAGGAGGGGCGGGAATGGTGGGAGTCGGCGCTGCTGTCGGCAGGTGGGGCGGCACTGGGCGGCGGTAAGGCACGCTGGGCAGAGCGTGTGGATGGATCGTCTGCTAGTCGCAGCAGTCGCGCCGCCGCCACCGCGCAGCCGCGGATCGGCGCACCTTCCACCGAAGGCGCTTGTCCTTAATCATGCTTGGGCGGCTCGAAGTGGGCAGCTGCGACGGTGTATCGGTGCGCCGCCCCGCCGCAGAGGTGCCCCACGCTTGACCGAAGGGTGTGCCCGGAGAGCGGCCCACCGAAATTTCCGGGAAGTCTCAGATTTTTTATAATAGACCAAAAAAAATAAGAGGGGGCGGACCGCCGGTGAAAGTTTGCGCGCGTCCTCGCTTGTGATGCCAGCTCCTATCACTACATGCAGGCACACAACTGCTCGGCGCCCTACCTCGCCCACTGGCACCTCCGCAAGTGCGGCGGCACCACCATACGCGGCATCCTCCAGCCGTATGAGCGGTATGTGGAGGCGCACACTGACTGGCGGGGCTTGCACCTGCTGGAGCGGCGGCGGAGGCTCCCCCGCGGCGAGGCAGACTGCGTGCGGCGGATCGTCGTGCTGCGCGAGCCGTACTCACTCCTGCTCTCCGAGCTCGATAACTTCCCGGCTGACTTTCCGATTGTCGGCGGGCGGTTGTCAATCATAGACAACCATTTTGTCTGCTCCACGACGGCGATGCTGGGCATGTGCCACCTGGACGGCGGCGCCACCAAGTGCGACGCCAAGCGAGTGGTGGATGAGATTGACGCGGCGGTCGACTTTGTCGGCTTTTTTGAGCGGCTAGACCATACCTTCCTTGCCCTCGGGCGCTGGCTGGCGTGCCACAGCAGCCACGTGCCGGCCGCCGCTTTGCGCGCCCTCTCTTACGCGCGGCGGGCGTACACGCAGAGCCGCGGCAGTCAGCAGGACAACATCACCGCACGACTCAGCGCGGGTCACCAGCGCTCGAGAGGGGAGGCGTCGCGGGAGGAGGCCACCAGCAGGCTGCTACTCGCTCCGACCCGCGAGGAGTTTGGCCGCAGACACCCGTGCTCGGTGATGGTGTACGAGCTCGCCCGGGCGCGCTTCGGCCCCAGCGGGGGCAGCACTGCGCGCGGCCGGCGAAGTGGCGCCGCCACAACGGGGGCCGGCGCGTGCCAGCAGGCGCCGGGCGTGCCGCACCTCAGGTGGTAACGGTGGAGCCGGTGGAGCGGAAGAAGGAGAGAAAACGGACACAGGCCCACAAAGGAGGCGTGCAGGAACGGGACCGACCTACCGCCAAAACAAACGGCCACACAGATATTTTCCAGGAAGGAGGAAACTCCGTCCGCGGGCTAGCCACATTCCGCCTCGGTCCTCCCGACGGTCCTCCGCACGCTCCGCTCCTGGGGGCTGCGGGGTCCGCCCCGCTCCCTCGTATCGCGCCTCCATCTCCAGCAGTTTCCTGCTTGCTTGAGCTGCAGCCCGCGGCCGTCGCTTCCTCTCCTCTCCTCTCCCTGAGCCTCCTCCTGCTAGGTAAGAACCCGTCAGTCCTCTCCCACCCCTTTCACCACCGCCTCCTCCTCCACCACCCCCCTCACCTCCACCACCCTCGCCGCCGCCACCATCTCCACCACCACCCTCTGCCTTGGCCAAAGTACAGGTTTCGATCCGGGCCACCGCAAATTTTGATCAGCAAATTTCGAGGGGCGGCCGCAAATTTTGAGGTAGATTTTGATTGTCAAAACGTGTCCGTCTTGGCACAGGATAGAGCATATAGGCAGCGAACACCCAGGTGCGCAGGGACATCGCGACTCTGCCCGCTCGCTCGACCCTTTTGCCGCGAGAGGGCGCCGGCCGCGTGTAAGAGGTGGCTGGCGCCCTGAGGCGGCAATTGGTGGCGTGGGGAGTGCGGAACGCTACTGGCGGCGCGACAGGGCCTCTCTCGATTGCGTGTGCCGCCCATCGGCACGCGGGTGCGCAGACATCGCGACTCTGCCTGCGCTCGCTCGACCCTTTTGCCGCGAGAGGGCGCCGGCCGCGTGTAAGAGGTGGCTGGCGGCCTGGCGCCCTGAGGCGGCATTTGGTGGGGTCAGCGTGCGGTGCTGAGTCTTACTCGTCGGCGCTGGGGCCAGATCCCAGCGCAGAACTCTGCAACGCTGGCATACAAACACAAGAAGACTAACCCTAACCCTAACCCTAACCCTAACCCTAACCCTAACCCTAACCCTAGGTCAGCGTGCGGGGCTGAGTCTCAGTCGTCGGCGCTGTGGGGCCAGATCCCAGCGCAGAACCCTGCAACGCTGGCATATACAGACACAACAAGACTAATCCTGACCCTAACCCTAACCCTAACCCTAACCCTAACCCTCTAACCCTAACCCTCTAACCCTATATAACCCTAACCTAACCCACCCCCCAACTCCACACCGCAAATTTGAAAGACATTGTTGAAAATCAGGCCCGGCCGCAAATTTCTTCAAAATTTTCGCAGGCGCTCCGCGCCTGCAGATTTTGAAATAAATTCGACAAAATTGGTACCTGGCCCAACCTCTGCCCCTCGCTGCAGTGCTCTCGGGATCGACGACAGAGGAGCAAACGCCGGCGAGCCGCGAGATACGCCGAGATTGGCCGAGATGAGCCGAAGGTAACCTGGTCGGATTGGCCGACACGGGCCGAGACGGAGCCGAGAAGAGCCGAGCTTAGCCGAGATGAGCCGAAATGGTTAGCCCAGAGAGGGTTCCTCGGAGCGTGCGAGCGGCCTTTTCTCTTCACACCGCCCGCGCCGTGAGCAGGCAAGCTGCGCCTGCCGCGACATCTTCGACGTACCGCGCAGGGCCAAGCGGGCCGCCTGCCCGTACTGCGGCACCGCCAACCAGGTGTGAGCGTGCGTGTTGCTGTTAAGCGCGTGGTGTGGAGCGGCAAGCGCGTGTTCGGACGACAATTGAACAGCTGTTGTGTTTCGCTTCCGGTGTTTGCGGCCTCTTTCAGTCGATGATGAGGGTTCTATCGGTACACGTATGAAAGGGCATGGTTTGGGGCCACCTGTGTTCTCTCATTATGCATGTAGTTCTTCGCACAAAAAAGACCGCGATTATGTGTTCAATAGAGCTTAGAGGGCCGTGTACTCAAATAGAGCCGTACGGGTTGCGCGGGCTCGAACATCTTGTAGTCAACACCAACCTCTAGACCTGCTACACCGCGACTCCCGCCTGGCGCGGCGCCTCAAACAGCAGCGCGATCAGCCGGTCCACCTGCTGCAGAAGCCCTCCCTCAGCGGCGACCCCTGTGCTCTCGTTCGCCGCCGCCACCGCCGCAGAGAGCGAGGAGCGCGCGTCCAGCCCCAAATGCACACAGATCTGCGAGACCTTCTGCGGCAGCGAGGCGCCATGGAAGGTGCCTCCGACGCCTCCTCCCACAGCGTTGTTGTTTGCGGTTGCCGGTGGCGGGGCGGCCGCTGCCCGCTGGGGGTCCTAGCTCGAGCGCCGCGAGTCGCATGGTGAGCGCCTCCTCGCTCGCGTGCCGTCGCCGCCTCCGCCTCTGCCCTCGCCGCCTCCTCCCGCCCCCTTGCTTCCCCCTCTCGCCCCCTCGCCTCCTCCTCTCTCGCCCTCGCCTGTTCCGCCTGAACCTCGCCTGTTCCGCCTCTGACCTCGCCCCGCCGTCGCCTCGCGAACCCTCGCCGCCGCCTCGTCTGACCTAGCCTGGGAGAGCGCCTGCTCGATCGCCGACCGCATGCTGGACTGCTCAGCCTGTGTCGTCCTCAGCGGTGCCGCGGCCCGCGCCGCCTCCTCCTGCCGCGCCTGCGCCTCCATCTCGTCCACCAGCGCCGCCCGCGCTGCTCGCTTTCGCTCCTCCGCCGCCGCTCGCGCCGCCTGCTGTCGCCTGCCGCGAGCCTCGCTCTCCGCCGCAGCCGCGGCCGCGGCCTCGGCCCTAGCCTCCCTCTCCAAACGCTCCTCCCTCTCCCGCCGCGCTGCCTCGAGCAGCCTCGCCTGCCTCTCTCGCTGCGCCGCCCGCTCCGACCCACCCGCCCGCCCGCTCCGACCAGTCGGCAGCCGGTGACCGATCCTCGCCAATAAAGTAAAGCTGCTCTCCCACTCTGAAGCCACCGGGAAGGCTCAGCTCGTGGGACAGCGAGGCGAGGTCGCATTCTACCCTGCCTTTGTTCCCTGGAAACAACATCTTCAGAGGCCAATGCCTTGGTGCTCGCCGGTCGCAGGGCCGACGACCTCGCCCTGCTGGCCGTGCACGAGCTTATCGCCACTCTCAAACGACTGGTTTAAAGCCGTCCAGTACAGCTGGTCGCCGGCCTCGTGACCGCCTGGCAGAGGCGTCTTCTCGCGGCTGAGACAGAGCAGAGAGCAGTTTATGGAGACTTTGTTCCCTGGAAACCGCATCTTCAGGCCGTTGCCTTGGTGCTCGCCGGTCGCAGGGCCGACGACCTCGCCCGACTGGCCGTGCGTGAGCTTATCTCCGTTCTCAAACGACTTGCTCGAGCCCGTGTAGTACAGCTGTTCGCCTAGTTCGTGACCGCCCAGAGGCGGCGGCTTCTCGCGGCTGAGCCAGGGCAGATAGCATGCTACCCAGCCCGTGTTCCCTGCAAACAGCACCTTCAGGCCATTGCCTTTGTGCTCGTCCAAGGTCGCAGGGCCGACGACCTAACCACCGGGACGACCTCGCCCTGCTGGCCGTGCACGAGCTTATCGCCACTCTCAAACGACTGGTTCGAGCCCGTGTAGTACAGCTGGTCGCCAAGCTCGTGACCGCCCGGCAAGGCTGACCGCGCGCCGCTGGCCATAATCGGGCCCCTCCCGGCGGGCACCACGACGACGGGGCTTCAGAAAAAGAAAGAATTCTTAAGATACAAGCCTCTCTCACAGCAAAAGAAAGAATTCGCCCAGATTTTTCTCGTTCTCCGGAGTGCCGCCAGGATTCGGTACTTCAGCTTGGTATAGTATCATCGTATTGTTCTCGAGGGGGTATCAAGGTATGCTCTAGGCCTCTGTGGGGACTTATCTCGGCTGGGTATCAAGGTATCATCGGCGGCCGCGCAGCGAAGCGACAATTCACACCTCGCGCGGCTGCAGCCGCACCGGCTGCGGCCGCGGGCCCGTCAAACGCGACGACGGCCGCCATTAGCGCCCTCCTCACCCAGCGCATTGCTTAGTGGTGCGCTCGCCTCCCTCCTGCGCGACGCTCACTCGAGCGCGTTTGTCTGTCTTGGCGCGCGCGCAGCGCGCGAAGAGGTGTGAAGAGGGGGGTCGTGTCCGGTGTGAAGGGTAACCCACCAGGGTATCAGCCTATCCTCTAGGGGCCCAATGCGGGTCCTCTCAAGAGGGTATCAGGGTATAGCCCTGGGGTATGATCTGCAATACGATGATACTATACCAAGCTGTAGTACCGAATCCAGCGACTCTGCGGGAGGTGGCGAGCCTCGCCACAAAAGCCGCCGTCGCCACGCGCCTGAGCTCATCTCGCCTCCTCTTCGGTGCGGCCCGCTTCCGCAGCGGCGCCCTCCTCTTCGGTGCGTGCCGTTTCCGCAGCGGCGCGAGCGGCCGGCGCGTGGCAGGCACCGCCTCTGTGAGCCAGGCCGAGGTCGAGGTGTGGGCGGCGAGGATCGCCGCGCTTCCGCCCGAGCTGATTGAGCAGGAGACGCTCGATGACATCGGACGGCTGCGGCTCGGGCGGCAAAAAGGAGTCTACAACCCAAAGTCATCCAGCCTGCGGCGGGCCTACGACTGCTCTGCTTCGCTCGTCGGCGGCGTCCTCTCGCACCGCGACCCGCTCCCAGACCTCGACCACCACGTCGACCCGCGCGGAGACCCGGTGCCCGAGGTGGCGCTCGCGGGGCGGTCGAACGCGGGCAAGTCGTCTCTGCTCAACGCGATGACCGGCCTCAAGCCCGGCCCCGGCTCCGCCTCCGTCTCCGCGCGGCCGGGCTGGACCCGCTCCGTGCAGCTCTTTGAGATGGCCGAGGCGGACAGCGGAGAGGCGGTGCTGCTGCTCGCCGACCTGCCCGGGTACGGGCCGCTGCCGAACACGCCGCCCAAGGAGCGGACCGCGTGGGCCCGGCTCACCCGCCACTACCTCAAGCGCGCCCGCCGCCTCCGCTCCGTCTTCGTGCTCATCGAGTCGTCTCTCGGGGCGCGCCGCAGCCTCGCCGCTCACTGCCTCGCCGCCGCAGCCTCGCCGCTCACTGCCTCGCCGCCGCAGCCTCGCCGCTCACTGCCTCGCCGCCGCAGCCTCGCCGCTCACTGCCTCGCCGCCGCAGCCTCGCCGCTCACTGCCTCGCCGCCGCAGCCTCGCCGCTCACTGCCTCGCCGCCGCAGCCTCGCCGCTCACTGCCTCGCCGCCGCAGCCTCGCCGCTCACTGCCTCGCCGCCGCAGCCTCGCCGCTCACTGCCTCGCCGCCGCAGCCTCGCCACTCACTGCCTCGCCGCCCCGCCGCTGTCGACCCCCGCCTTGTGCGCACGCAGCTGCACCTGTCACACAGGTGACCGCGGACGACCACGCGTTCATGGATGCGCTCGACGAGCTGCAGCGACCCTTCCACGTCATCATGACGAAGGCGAGAGGCGAGCCGCCGCACCCCCTCCCTCCTCGCTCCACTCACCGCCGCCCTCGCACGGCCAGGCGGACCTGCTGCCGCCAGCCGAGCTCGCCGCCTCGAACGTCCTCGTGCGCGCCGACGCGTCGCGCCACGAGAGCTACGCGGGCGGAGACGTGCCGATGTGCTCCTCGCGGAGCGGCGCCGGGGTGCAAGAGCTTTGGGGGAGGCTCAAGCTCGGCGTCGAGCTCACCGCGGCGGGGGTGGACCTCGCCGCTCTCGAGGCGGGCGGCGGCCGGCGGGGGAGGGGCGGCGGCGAGGTGGAGGAGGAGGCGCGGGAGGAGGCAGAGGGGGAGCCACCCGGCGCGAAGAGGCGGAGGCGAGTGAGGCGGCGGCGCGGCGGGGTGGGACACTCCGAGGGGGAGCGAGCAGCGAGCTGACAGTACTGAGAGGCGTCTCTTTTATTCTAGTACATCTACATGCAACATGGTTGTTGGTTGACATCCGAGGAGACTTGTGTGCACACTCAAATATTTTACGCCGCGGGGTATAAAATAATTACGCCCCGATATAACGAGTAAAAGAGACACTGGGGGGGTTTTGCTAAGCGTATTTTTGCGCCTCCGTATTTGCAAGGAATACAGGCGAACAAATACGGCACGTGAAATCGAGTGTTTTGCTAGCGTATTTGCCGGGTGGCCGTATTTGCGGCGTCAAACCCAACTTAATGCAAGGAGCTCTTTGTAAAAATGTCGTGCACACAACATGGACATGTCAGTCTTGGAGAACCCTGTCCACGCCTGAGAGGATTCTGCACTAGCGATTCTGCCACCCAAGACAGGATTCTGTATGCGGAGGCTCGAGAGGGATTCGTGTCCGTTTCTTCTGATTCTCACTCTCCTTTTCCAATTCTGCCTACTCGATCTGATTCTGCCCGTCCCCTTTCCACGCACTCAGCCTCCGGGCAGGATTCCTCACCCAGCTTCCGTTTCTGCCTAATCGATCTGATTCTGTCCGTCCGATTCTCGCCTTATCAGATTCTGTCGCGCGGTTGCGGTTTCTGCCTCCGGATGCCGGAAAGGGATTTTCCCTTCTGCCCGCCGATTTCTTGGCAACCCGGCGACTCTCGTTTCCTGATTCCTGTTTTTGCCCGTCGAGGGGCGGTAGCCCGGCCGGCCGGCCATCTGGGCATGCTCACTCAACCAATCACGCTCATGTGTACGCGCCGTATCCTCCGCGCCACCCACTTTGCCATCGAAGTGCGCTCCGCGCTCCGCACAGTACAGTCGCTTTTGAACGGCGGCTCATCACACGTGCGTCAGAGATCTCATGGGCGGTGAGCATGGTGGAGCCGGCCATCTGGGCATGCTCACTCAACCAATCACGCTCATGTGTACGCGCCGTATCCTCCGCGCCACCCACTTTGCCATCGAAGTGCGCTCCGCGCTCCGCACAGTACAGTCGCTTTTGAACGGCGGCTCATCACACGTGCGTCAGAGATCTCATGGGCGGGGGCATGGTGGAGCCAGAGCAGTGCGCGGCCGATCTTAATTCTGGGCAGGCGGCCTCCCATTCCCGCGGGCGCTTGGTGCCGGGGTTTGAACGGCATGCCGGCGTCAGATGCAGCTTGGCGCCGGCCTGCGGCGACCCCGCAAGCGGTCGTTGGTGCTGCTCAGCGATGCTCACAGCGGCACGTCTGCTCTTTTGCTGTGGGGAGTGCTGTCTGATTGGGTCTCCAAGCCCGCGGGCTCGCTGTGAATGCACCCGCCAGCTAGGCAGCTCCGCGGCGGTGTGGGTGTAGAACGGGTAGGCTGCTGTCTCGTGTCTCGGTGCTCGTACTAAGTCAATGGGAGGAGTGCTTCAATTTCTTCTTCTTATACGCCCAGCTCAAAAGCACACACGCATCACGACGCCTAGACAGGCGAGACGCGGCGACAGCCGCGGCGAGCTCGTTTTAGAAGCGAGCCGCTCGCGGCGAGTAGTTTTAGAAAAAGGGAAAAGGGGGGGAGGGTTAGTTTGAACCCGAGCCGAGCTTCGCTCGGCTCCCCCCCGCGCGGGAGCGCCCCCCCCCCCCCCCTCTCCTCGGGGGGGCGGGCAGAGCCCGCACCACACACTGCGCCTTTGCGGACGCCGGACCGAGGCCTAAGCGCTGAGTGCGCTGACGTGAGGCTGGAGCGCCAGAGAGACCCGCGCCTGAGCATGCTGCCGCGGGCGAAGTTTGAGTGAGCTGTGTGAAGCCCCGCGCACACGCAATATCGGCTCAGGAGTGTTCGGAGAGTCAGGCCAACATAGGATCCCGCCGAAATGCGTAACTCCGAGGAATCAGGAATCAGGAATCAGGAATCAGGAATCAGAATCCCGGTCAAAATGTTGGAATCAGGAATCAGGAATCAGGAATCAGGAATCAGAATCCCGGTCAAAATGTGGGCGATCCGACAAATCAGGAATCAGGAATCAGGAATCAAATGGAGCATCAAGAATAGGAAGCGAGACAGGAGAATCGGGAGGGGGGAGCAGAATCAGGAATTGGCTCTGGCTGCCCTAGAGAATCGGAAAGGAAGCGGAGGAAACGAAAATGGAGAATCAGGAAGCTGAAAGCGGGGCCAAGATGGGAGAGTCTGGGGAGAGAATCAGAATATCTGAGCAGAAGAGGAACCTGGGAAGGGGAATCTAGTGAGAGGTAGAATAGCAAGAATCCTTGTGTAGTAGAGCAGAATAGGAAAGGCAGAATCCTTAGGCGCGGACAGACTTCTCCATTACTCGGACATGTACATGTATGTCCATAAATTATTCACAAACGAATGCTCACATGGCAGGTAGCATATGCGCCACGCGCCCCAACCGCTCCTCTGGTCGCCGCCGGCCTCCGCGGTGGCGGCGATGTCGCAGCGCCACCCATCGGCCAGCCCTCAGATTGATCGATCAGCGCTCAAAGTCGGCTTCAGATCCGAGAACGCTGCTGGCGCCGCCGCCGATCCCAGCGGCGACGCCAGCAGCTTCCTCTGCTCTCCAACGTGCCGAGAAGCGACGCGGGGGTGCTCGGCCCGCCATGCACGACGAAGGCTCCGCCGGGCGCGCGTCGGCCGGTCCGGTGGCACCCTCTGCGCACGGCTGCCGGCGCCCCGACGACCGCCGTCGCGCCGCCGCTGATGGAGGGGCGGTCAGCGCCGCTGCTGCCGCGCCGCCGGTGGGAGGGGCACTGGTGGTGGCCTGGGCGGCCCTCCGCCGCCGCTCGACGCGCTGCGAGCAAGGGGAGATATTGGGGGTCCAGAAGGACGGGCGGGCCGGGGGGGGGGGGGGTGCGCGACAGAGCCGGTGGGCGCGCGGGATTGGGGTTAGGGAGAGGTGCCGGGCGGGATGCAACGCAATCGCACGCATTGTTCATGTCCGGTCGACGGGGGAGGGAGGGAGAGGGGGCGGGGAGAGGGGGCGGGGGAGGGCGGCGTGACCGCTCGTCAACGATGCGATCAGACCCCACACAGTGCCGCGTCTGCACTCGCAACAATGAGCGAGACGAGCGAGGACGATCACCCGCCCAGCCAAAGTACGCACGCGGAGCGCGCGAGTAGCGTGCATGAGGCCCGCGTAGAGCACCATCAGCCGCCCCTCCGACCACTTCATACTCTTCGCCTTGGAGGAAGGCTCCACCTCCACCACGTCGGGCTCGGGGCCGGCCGTGCCCGCCGTCCCACCGGTGCCCGCCCCAGTCTGGTCGGCCTGCGAGCGAGGGATGGACGCCGGTGGGTGCCGTGGGCCGGCCATGGCCGGCTGTGGCCAGCTCGGGGCCAGATGCGCGCACCATGGTGCGTGGCGAATACAGATACGGCTGTATCTGTATGCGTGGCAAATACTGTTGCACGCGTCTCCGGAACTGCCGTATTTGCGCATACAGGGAGACATACAGCGGGAAATACGCTTAGCAAAACACCTCTACTGTGTGCTCTATCCGCGGGTATATTTTTGGGCTATCTCTCCTCAAAAACGATGTCAAGCGCCCGCTCGCAGCCAGCACGCGCCGCGCCCCTGGGCGCTCCCCGCTGCGGCGCGCCGCCCGCGCGCGGGTTGCCCGGGCGAGCGACCGCCACCGCTCGCCCCTCCGCGCCCTCTGCCCGCGCACGGCCGACGCGCAAGCCCGCGGTCGCGCGCGAGCCGTCGCTTTGCGGACGCCACCGTCTACCCGCGCTCGCTCGCGATCGAGTCAGACGACCCTATATTCCGAGTAGCGGAGGTGTGCTTGCACCCCCTTCCCAAGGCACATGCACTTTGGAGGGAGAAAGTAACCGCGGCGGCGGCCGCAATCTCACATTAGGCACCTCGCCCCCAGCAGGCGCGTTATCGGCGTGCTGCTCCTGCACAGGTTTTGCGGCCGCCCCGAGAGGGGGAGCGGCCGCTCCTCCGCACCATCGGCCCACGGCATCCTGAGCGGCGTCGGCGCCGCCCCAACGGCCGGCTCGGGCGCTTCCCGCCCCGCCTCGGCTACACTTTGTCGCGGCGATCCAGCGGTGCGCCGCCGCACCGCGCGCCTCCCCGGAGCCTCTGTACGGCGCGATGAGCCGCCTCGGCTGCCGCCGTGGTTGCGCCGGCGCCCCTCCCGCACGGCGCGACGCGACCGCAGCCGCGTGCGTGGTCTCACTCACCTCTCCCGCCCGCGCGTCCGCCTCTCAGACCCGCGCCTCCCCTTTCCTAGGCGCCATCACCGGCACGGCCGCCGCCGCCCGTGCGGCACCCGCGGCACCGCCCGCCCCCCCTGGCGATGCTGGCCGCTACCCCGCCGCCGTAGCTACCCTCCCCACCGCTGGTGCACCGCCTCCGCCGCCCCCCTCGGCGCTTCGCCCGTGATTTTGCCGCCTCCTCCTCCACCACCACCCGTCTAAGCTTCCGCCCGCCTTCTCGCCACCGCCGTCCGCGCCACCTCAGCCGCCCTCCCCGGCGCTGCACCGGCGCTGCAGTGCCGTCGGCGCCGCCGCCCGTGCCGCCTCGGCCTCTGCGCCTCCAACCTCGCCGCGTCCGCAGCGGTTCCGCCCTCGGCGCCTCCCACCTCTCACCCGCCAGGTCGAACTTCCGCCGACGATGGTGCCACCGCTGCCGCCCCCCCCGCTCGAGCCTCGGCCGCCGCACCCCGCCGCCCGCGCCCCGCCGCCACCCCCTCCGTCACGGCACACGCCGGCACCACCGCTACTACCGCTGGCTCCGCCCTAGACGCCGCCGACCGCTCGCAAGAGCGGCGAGCCCGGGGCCGACACCCCTCTGTTAGGTGACGGTCGACGGCTCCTTTCGAGGCTTTGTGGCCCTTTAAGAGGGCACCAGCAGCTTGGGGGGTGCGCGCTGGATGGCCGGCGCGGTGGAGCAGCGGCGCGGAGCCGGGGGTGCGATGTGCGGCCGTCGGTGGCGCGACACGCGGCCTCCGGTAGCGATTCGCCGCGGCTCCGGCGGTGCGATTTTTGTGCGTTTTCGAAGGCTGTGGGCGGGATAAGGCCGGCTAGACCGGCCCTGGTGTGCCCTAGTGTGTTCCCTTACACCCCTGGCCCGGGAGCAGTAGCGCGGTGCGCGTCCCGAGGGCGTAGGGGCTCAAAAAACAATTGATTGTTTTTTCAGCCACTTAGAGCACACAGTGAAAGTCGAATCTTGAAAAGTTCGGCGCCGCGCGCAGAGTCCAGAGAGAGTGCAGAGAGCACGTTTTCGGTTTTAACAGATACGATTACCTGTCGCAGACGACGCTCGACGGGGACGACGCACCCCCCGCCTCGCTCGCTGGCCTCAGCGCGGCCACGTGCTGCGCCCTGAGCTTATCCTTTTTGCTCATGCGCCGGCCCTTCACGCCTCCGTGCATGCGGTCGTGCGACAAGCCGAGCTTCGAGTGGCGCACGCCCGGCAGCAACCCCTCCTCCGCCTCGCCCGGCGGTCCCGCTCGCTCCGCGCCTTCGCCGCCGGCTCCTCCTCTCGGCGAGACGAAGAAGCGATCCCCGTCCTTTGGCTCGAACCCCTCGACGGCCTCGCGGGCCACCTGCATGCCGTGCCGCTTCTCGATCAGCGCGAAGTGCGCCTCGTTGGCCGCGCCCGTGCTGGCGACAAAGCTGACGGCGACGCCCGCCTCGCCCGCGCGCCCCGTCCGCCCCACGCGGTGAGTGAAGTCGGCGGTCGAGCGAGGCAGCTCATAGTTGACGATCGCCTCGAGGCCGACCACGTCCAAGCCTCGAGCGGCGACATCCGTGGCGACGAGCACACGCAGCCGCGACGCGCGCAGGTCGTCGAGCCGCTGCGCGCGCACCTCCTGGGAGAGCCCGCCGTGGAAGGCCTCCGCAGCGACGGCCGAGCGGCGCAGCTTCGCCGCCACGTGCTCGGCGCTCTTCTGGCTGGCCACAAAGACGAGCACGCGCGTCCACCCTGCCTCCGTCTCGAGCAGGTGGCGCAGCAGCGGGGTACGCTCCCGCACGTCGACCAGGATCGCCCGCTGTGCAATCGTGGCCGGCGGCGCCGCACTCGCATACCTCTCGGCACACGACAGCCGCCGCCGTCCGGATGCGCCGTCACCCTCGCCCGCCTCTCCCTCCTCGCCCTCCTTCTCCGCGCCGTCGCTCGCGCCGGCCGGCCGCAAGCTCACAAAGGGCCGCGACCCAAACATGCGGCGGGCTCGTGGCCGAGAGGCGTACGGGAAGGTGGCGCTGTAGAGCAGCGTCTGCAGCCCCGCACGAACGAAGTGAGCGAGGATGGCCTCGAGTTCGTCTCCGAAGGCGGGGGCGAGCAGCCGGTCCGCCTCGTCGAGGACCAGCGTCGAGACCGACTCGAGGGACACGCCGTTGCTCTCCAGCACCTCGAGCAGCCGCCCTGGAGTGCCGACCAGCACGTCGGCGCCGCCGGTCCCGAGGGAGCGCAGCTGCGGCTGGATGGACACGCCGCCGGTGACGGCGACGACGCGCGGGTTTGAGAAGTGAGCGCCGCCGTCTGCCGGGCGCGGCAGCTCGCGGCACAGCGCGACGAACGCGTCAGCGGTCTGCACCGCCAGCTCTCGCGTCGGCGCGACGATGAGCGTCTTCACGCGGCGGCGGCGGCCGGGTCTGTCTCCAGTTTCCAGATGGCGCTGCAGCAGCGGCAACGCAAAGGCGGCGGTCTTGCCGGAGCCCGTGGGCGCCTCAGCCCACACGCTCTTGCCGTCCAAGATCGCCGGGATGGACTGCTGCTGGATGGGCGTCGGCGCCGGCCAGTCCAGCCGAGACGCAGCGTGCGATAGGTCGGCGTGCAGGCCGAGCTGCACGAAAGATGGCTCGGTCATGCCGACGGCACGTGGCGCAAGCCGCAGCGTGAGCAGCGCTGGCACGACGGTTGCGAAGCGCATGCCGTGGCGCGGAGCCCCGGGCCAACTGCGGTTCGTGTGGCGCGGCGCTCTGGCCACCACAGGGTTGGCGCAGTCGGGGGAAGCCGCCACCGACGGTTGGAGTATTACTCCGCGGCGGGGGTCTGCAGGTGACACCTATGCAATAGGTAGGGCCGGTTTTGACCGCCCCAGAGGGCCCTACAACATCATATTTTCTCTTTTTTTTGCTTCGCTGCGCGGCCTGGGGATAGGTAGGTAGGTAGGGCGTTTTGGCGCGAGTCATGGTCAACAGACCCCCTATCTCCGGGGCCGAATAAAAGAATTTCTGGCTTCACAATTGTTTGCGCCGCGACGACGGCGCGGTGCCGCCCGCCGATTTTCGACCTTTACCTATGAGCACTTCTCCCATGCTTCCTGCGTCGACCAAGGCCGTGGGGAGCAAGGTGCGCTGGAAGATTGCAGTGCGCAGCCTGCAGGCGAACGCCGAGGCCGCTGGACAGGAAGGGAGAGAGGATGAACAGGCTGCGTTGGGGTGCATCACGCACCTCCGAGCCTTCCTGATTGTTTGGTGCCTCATCCAAGGATGGTGTCTTCTCGGTGCCGCCACGTTTGCCGCCTGCGAACAGCCGCACGCCGAACTGCAGCTGCAGAGACGAGCGATTAAGCAGGGGAGGTTTGAGGCCATTGTCGCCCGTTACGGCCTCAACGACACTGTCGTGGATGATCTTAGGGAATGGTTTCAGGACTTTGAAGACCTGGGCGGCGGTTGGACGCCGAACACCTGGGACTTCTACAACTCTTACCTCTTCTGCTTGACCATCACCGCGTTCAATGGACTGTGGTACTTCGAGCCCGCCACTTCAGGTGGCAAACTTGCGCTCGTCCTGTGGGGGGCGCCCGCCCTCGTAATTGGCGTCATGGGCGGCATGGTCATGGCCCGGGTCCTTTACCTCGCCTTGTTTAATCATCTCCGCGTGTGGTCGTGCTTCACCCCGGTCGGCTCAATGTGGGAACGCGCAAGGCTTTGCGAGGCCTCGTTTAGCAAGTGGCGAGACCAGGTTCACTTCACGTGCAAGTATCTGCTACTCATTCTGCTGCTCATTCTGACCATCCACGTGCCGTTGACATTTTACCTCATCGACAACGCTGTGGAGAATGACAAGGACCCCGGCGACGACTTCAAGAGAAACTCGCTTGGCGAAAATCTCTACTTTTCGTTCCAGTGGGTGACGACGATCGGAGTCGGCGAGTTCCGTCTTGACGCAATCTTTGGGAGCACGCGCCTTGCGAGCGTGTTGGTAGTCCAGGTTCTGATCCTCGTGCTCTGGGTCGCTCTCGGCTCCGCCTTCCGACTCTTCGATTTCATGGGCGAGAAGGGCGCGTTGCTGCTGGGCCTGTCTCACATTGTGGGAGCAGATGAGGAGGAGGAGACAGAGGTCGGCCTCCATGAAGAGGATTTTAGTCCCAAGAGGCCAGCTGGGGAGGAAGGCAGGTCAAAGGCGCGCTGGGAGGGCGTGAGAGGGCTCGTGGACAGTGCATCACCACGTTAGCCGGGTGCCCACCAGGATGCGTCGCTGGGCCGGCCAACTGCGCGTCTCGCTCTCGGTAAACCGTACTCGGGCGGCTCTCTATACGGCTTTAGCCTTGTTATCCCGCACTGCGCACAAGTGACAAGAGCCGTAGGTCATACGATAGGTCCAATACGTGGTGGGTCCGGGGGTGTGCGCTGGGAGAAAATCAAAGCGCGTCTGAAAATTGCGGACAAAGCTCAAAGAAAAAACCCCTGCACAAAGAGATCGCAAGAGAGGTGGCGAGCGGAGCAAGCGCGGTGTAGGCGCGCCCACGCGGCGCAGCGGCTCTCCCGCGACCATAGCCCCTCCCGCAGCCGCAGCCGCAGCCGCAGCCGCAGCGCGCAGCCCCAACTCTTGCTGCTCTTCTAGTGGGGTCGGGTAGTGCGACCAGGGGTGAGGGGACGGATTGAAGATCCCTCACACCAAGGTCGTGCAGGGCGGGGACACATGTCCCTAAATCCCCTGAGCCCTGGTCTGACAGACTGACAGCAAACCCCGGACAGCGCCTGACAGTGCCCGACAGCCTGACAGCGCTGACAGCACTTTCTCTGACAGTCTGACAGCACGTATCTGACAGCCTGACAGCAGAGCCTGACAGGCGAGGTGACCCGTCGCTGTCAGGCCCTAACGTGACAGCCTGACAGCTGCCTGACAGCGCCCGACAGCACACAGTGGCCTGACAGCAGCGCTGACAGCCTGACAGCAGCACAGACCGTACACAGACCCCGTAGAGCCTCTTTCTTATGCCCCATGAGGGTATAACAAAATTACATGCAAAGACATGACATGTGAGTGTGGTCCATGTCCATGTCCATGTAGTCATGGGATGGTCATGGGTCTCTCTTTCAACCCTCCCGCCCCACCTCTGCGGACCCCTCTCCAGCACCGGCGGCTGTGCTACTACAAATGAAGCTACCAGCTAGCCTTCTGGGGCCCTACAGTCATATGCCTACGGCGTCTGGGTGGGGGTGGCCGCCGCCGTCTGTGCCGCCGCCGCCGCCTGTGCCTCTGCGCCGCCATCTGCGCTCCCCAGGCGGCCGCCGCTGCCGGCGTGAAGCGCGTGATCACGCGGTAGGAGGGGGGCAGCTGCGTAGCCGCCGGCGTCATCGGCGTCAGCACCCCCTTGATAGTCAGCGCCCTCTTGATAGTGTCATAAGTGTGGCTGATGTGTGTCAGAGCCTGACAGCACCCCGACAGCACCACCTGACAGCACCTGACAGCAACAGCCCAACGTCTAACAGCAGCAGCAGCCTGACAGCTCTGACAGCTCCGACAGCGTCTGACAGCAACACCCGACAGCTCCGACAGCACCCGACAGCTACAGATCACCTCGCCTGTCAGACACGCACCCGACAGCACCTGACAGCACTGACAGCACCTGACAGCTGGTCTGACATAGGCACCTGACAGTGCCTGACAGTGCCCGACAGCCCGACAGATCACCTGACAGCACCTGACAGCCTGACAGCCAGGGCTCAGTAAATCCCATCTCGTCTCAGAGTTTGACCGTTTTTATTTATTTATTTATTTAAGATCGCAAGGGCGGGGACCTGTTGCGGTGTTGCTGGTTCTTTTTTACCCTAACCCACCTCACAGTAGAGAGGTGTCCGTTTTTATTACTTTGTTTATTTATTTATTTGACATTGGACGTAATACACACGGGGCAAAAACGTGGCGTCTGGCGCGTCGGGTGCGTCCTACGTGGGCGTGTGCGGCGGCGACACATCTCACATGGGCGGCGACGGCAGTCTTGGGCGTGCACCGCACACGCGGTGTACGGACAAGTGATGGCAAGAGAGGTGATCTCCAGCCTGATCCACGCTCATCCGCGAGCCACTCGCACGCACGCCGCCTGCTTGAGGGGCGGCAAGTGCACTCTCAGCTCCTCCGCCTGCAGCACCTCCTCCAGCGGCGTCTGAGGCGTCACGCGCAGCAAGCCCTTTCGCCCCTCCGCCTCGTAGAGGATGCGGAAGCCGTCGACGCCTCCGCCGCCGCGCCGCTCGAGCGCCGCCCGCACCGCGCGCCGCAGCTCGAGGACGGAGCGCAGCCCCTCCGCCTCCACTGCCTCGAGCCGCTCCAGCCGCGCCTTTCCATCGAGACCCACCCGCCGCGCCACGAGGCGAACGGCGCGGCCGCCGCTCGCCGTCGCGTCAGACGGAGCCGGCGGCAGCTCGCCGTTGCGGCCGCGGGCGTACCTCGCGGCGCGGCGGGCGCCTTGCTGGCCGGCGCGTCGGCCGGCCTGCCGGCGAGGGAGGAGGCCAGCGGCGAGCAGCGCGACGAGGCCGGCGGCGGCGGCGAGGGCTGCCGCCCCCCGAAGCGCAGCCAAGTTGCGAGGCGGGGGAGCCGTCCCGGGCGGGGGCGGCGGCCGGCGCAGCGCGGCGGGCCACCACCGCAGACCCGTGGCGGCGGACGGAGAGACAAACGCGTGCGGCACCGGTCCCGAGGGCGGCGGCGGGGGGCGAGGCGGCGGGGGCGACGGCGACATCGGCGGCGGCGTTGGCGACGGCGACGGCGGCGGCGACAGCAGCGGCGGCGGCGGCAGCGGCGGCGGCGGCGGCGAAGGCATCATAGCGCGGAGTGTTCCCGCGGTCCCGTTTCTGGCCGCCGCGTGGCCCAGCCGCGAGACGAGGCAGGAGGAGAGGTCGAGGAGCTGCCACTGGGCCGTGCCGCACGAGACGGCCGGGGCCAGCATGCTCGCCTCGCCCGCCTCGTCCGCGAACCCGTCGACGAGCCCGTCCGGCGAGAGCATCAGCCCGCGGCCGCGGCACATGTACTGCGGCGCGAGGGAGCCGCCCGCATCGGCGAGGGGCGGCGCTCTGCGGCGGAAGAAGAGGACGACCTCCCCTCCCGGCGTGGCGCCTAGTCGTCCGCCCGTCGACTCGTCGGTGGATGCTGCTGATGGATGGTCCGGGACACCTCTCCGCGCGGCGTGGGGCACCAGAGACGCGCAGCCGCAGCGGCGAGCAGTCGGTGACCGAGGCGGCGAGCGGAGAGAAGCCGAGCTCGCCGTAGAGCGACGCGGCCATGTCGTCGTAGCCGTCCGTCGTCGGGTGGAGGCCTATTCCCAGCTCTCTGCCTCCGCGCAACTCTTTCTCCTCCTTCGTCCGCCTTCGGGCGGAGGCCCTCGTACAGCCGCGTGGGGGAGACGAGCGGAGCCCCCTCCACGAGGGCCAGGCGGCGGTCGCCGCGGCCGCGCCGCGCAGCAACCGCGTCACGGATCTGCTGCCTCAGCTCCTCGACGCCTCGCCTGCGGGACAAGGGGCGGGGCGTGTCTTGGACGTGTCCCGAGTCTGCTGCCTCAGCCTCCCACGCCGCGCCGCCACGAGATGAAGCGGCCGGCGGTCAGGATGGGTGTGATGACGGCGATGGGTACGCCCGGCTGCGCCTGCCGCACCTGGTCCACCACCCTGCCCACCGCCTCTCCCGTCGACCCCTGCCCTCGAGCAGGCCAGCCGGCGCCATCGACGACGTGAGAGAAGCAGTCGTTGATGCCGATGAGGAGGGTGACGAGCGAGCGGGCGGCGGGGTCGGCCTCCCGCCCCACGACCGCCCCGACCTCCGCGCCGTGCCTCCACGCGGCTCCAGAGGCGGCGGCGAGGCCCTGAATGCCCATGTTGACTGGCGTCCAGCCGGCGAGGCGGGCGAGTCGCTCCGGGTAGGAGGGGCCTCCCGAGCAGAAGCCCTGCGTGATCGAGTCGCCGTACGCCACGTACCGCACCGGCGCAGCGGAGGGCGGCGGCGGCGGAGGCGGCAAGATGCGCGGCGTGTCGGCAAGCGAGGAGAGGCGGAGGCCGCGAAAGTCGACGGCGGCGCCCCACGGCAGCATGAGCGTGTAGTCGTGCTCGGCGCCTCGCGTCGGCGGCGGCGGCAGCGTGAACTCGAGCAGGCCGATGTACGATCCGTTGGCCAGCCGCAGCCCGGGCGCGTGGATCGGCTCTCCTCGCACGAGCAGCTCCGCCGCACACGGGTTGCCACACTTTGACCCGGCGCCGACGTCGTTGGCTCGGTAGCAGGACTCGTGGTCCAGGTTGACGGAGCAGCCGACCCGACACCGCCGCGTGTACTCGAGCCGGACGGTCGTCTGCTCTGCCGCCGCCGTCCAGCTGATCCGCGCGCCGCCGTTCAGCGCCGCCGCCGGGCCGTAGCCGCTCATGCTTCCGGAGCCGTACTGGCGGTCAAAGCGCGCTCGACCGGCCTCAAAGTTCAGGTGCACGTAGCCAGAGTAGTGGAGGCGGGAGTCGGACGGGGTGACGGTGAGAGCTGGCATGATGGGTCCGCCCCGGGCCTCGACCAGCCCAGGTGCCCGCCGGAGAAGAGAACCACACCGTTTTGAGTAACCGGGGAAGCCGCCGGTGGCATCTCTTTCCACCCAAGAAGCCCGTTTGGAGGGATGGGCGGCAGTGTGCGGGCGGTGAGTGCTAGTCCTCTCATCAATTTAGAACGCGGGGAAACGCCCCTCCCTCCCTTTCTTCCCTCTACTAGCATCTAGCTGAGGGGCTCGCTAAACGCTCGCCGAGCTCCATGCTGTGCAACACCACCTCCTCACTAATCGTCAGGGGTGCGGAGAGCGCAGTGCACTACGGTGAGGCTGCGCAGCGGGGGCTCACCCCGCCCTGCACCGCGCTCAGCGGCGCAGGGGAGGGCGGTCGGTGGCGGCGGCGGCGAGGCGCGAGGCGGTGGCGGCGGTGGTGCGGGCGGCGGGTTGACAGGGGAGGCGGCGGGATTGACAGGGGAGGCGGCGGCCACGAGCGGAGCGGCGCGAGGGGGGGGGGGGGGGGCGGCGGCGAGGCGCCGGTGAGCGAGACGCCCGCGCCATCAGAGGGACGCGCCGCTGCGAGATGGAGGGCGGCGGTGACGGAGGCGAGGCGCGAGGCGGCGGCGGCGGCGGCGGCGGCGGCGGCGGCGGGTCTCGGTGAGCGGCGGCGGGAGGAGGAGCGGCGGCGGCGGGAGGAGGAGCAGCGGCGGCGCTCGCTCGCTGTTGACGGGAGCGCTTTTGAGCCTGGGAGCCCATGCCACTGCGACCGGCGTGCCCGGGAACGGAGATCGCGCGCGCGCCGCCACTCACGACGCGCGCGCGATCTTCGCGGAGTCGGGTCCCCAGAGGGAAGCGGTCTTCTCGGCCGACGTCCAGCGGCGCGCAAGGAAGCAGGCGCAGCGGAGGCGGCCTAGCACCGGCTCGGCGCCGGGCGGTTGCGCTGCCCGCGAGCCGCGTCCTGAGCCTCGGCAGCGCGCTTCGCGGCGCGGCGCTCGCGCTGCTTCTGTGCCGAGAGCGGCATGGTTAACCAGCTGAAGCTCCAGACTCCTCGGTATCACGAGTTTTGGGTCACGATTTGCGCCACTTGAGGGGAAATTGGCGTAAGCGTCTGAAAGCAGTCTTGGGTGGTAATCCGTGCACCCTAAGTGCTCCTAATGCTCCAAGTCCAGCTTCACGTAGATGATTCTAGATATAGGACCTTGGTCCGCCCACACACGAATACAACCACAAGACGACAATCGACACACATAAGCAGACCGGTGAGGGTGTTCCAGCGGCGCAGAGCTGGAGAGCTGGCCCCCCTCTCCGGGAGACCGAATCGCAAAAGACTCTCCCCCTCGCGTGAAGGCGTACACGACGGGCAAGCTGCTGCGCTACCTGCTCCTTCCTGCCGTCGGGTCGTGCGCCGCCCCGATGGCGTGCGAGACGAGCAGCCGGTGCAGGTACTCGTACGAGACGAGCGTGACGGACGCCGTCGGCGCCGCGCGCCTGCGGGACACGTCGGGGGGCGTGTCGTGGGCACGCCGCGGGGAGGGGCGGACGCCGGTCGGAGCCGCGCGCAGGATGTGGGGCACGAGGCCGCGGTAGAAGCCCCTCAGCCGCTCGCTCGACCAGAGGTGGCGCACGGCGCCCGAGGCTGTCGCGTGCTGCACCACGTCGCTCCCGACGACGGCGCGCTGCTGCAGGATGGAGCGGACCACCTGTGTGCGAACAGTAGGTAGGTAGGTAGGTAGGTAGGTAGGTAGGTAGGTAGGTAGGTGTTAGGACCACCTGTGTGCGAACAGTGTGCGAACACGGTCTCGGTTGTGATCTCAGACAGTCTGGTGCGGTCTCGGGAGGCGGGAGTGGAGCGCGGGAGGCGGGAGAGGAGCGCGGGGCACACCTGGTACGGGTAGGTGACCAGCGTGGCGACCACCTTGGAGCCCGTCGCGGCGGCGGTGAGCTGCGGCGCGGAGAGGTCGGCCTCGGCGGCGCCGGCGGGAGCGCGGCCGGCGTTGAGGCCGCGGAAGGCCTGCTTGAGGTGCTCGTACGAGAGGAACTGCACCGACCCGTGCGAGACCTGCGGTGAGCCCACGCGGCTGAGACGGGGAGCACGAGACGGGGAGCACGAGACGGGGAGCACGAGACGGGGAGCACAAGACGGGGAGCACGAGACGGGGAGCACAAGACGGGGAGCACGAGACGGGGAGCACGAGACGGGGAGCACGAGACGGGGAGCACGGGTGCCGCAAGTCTCGCATCCCTCCCGCGGGAGCACGAGAGCTACAGCTGCAGCGGGTGCGGCTTGAAGACGTGTCGCCTCTGCAGGGGCGTGTGTGTGCGCCGCATCTAGTCTGGCGGGACGAGCAGCAGGGACGGGCCGATCCCGCGGTAGAGCGAGGCGACGCCCTCCTACGCAGAAGCGTCCGAGGAGGGTTCGAGGAGGGTCCGAGGAGGGTCCGAAAGAGGTTCCGCAAAAGGGAGGTGACGCTCCTCGGCGACGATCCGGCGGACGGCGACGAGGGAGGAGGAGTAGTTGTCCCGCTGCGCCTCCGGGAGCAGCCCGCGCGGCCCCTTGCCCCGCGCGGCGAGCTGCAGCTGCCTGGAGGATCCGACCCATCGTCCGGCTGTAGGAATACTGTAGGAATACAGCATCGAGCGGTAGACTTGTAGGATACAGCAATGGGTAGACTTGCAGGAATACAGCATCGAGCGGTGTACGCGGAGCAGCGCGGGGAGGCAAGGGTTGCGAGTGCAATCTCCAGGGCGTGGCTGCGATGGGGCACGTGTGATCTCGAGCGCCAGCTCCAACAGGCCTCCGACCCGCATCTATCCGCCGGCTGCATCCGCGTCTTGATTGTGAAGACGGGGTGCATCACGAGCGAGACGGCCGTGCCGGAGGCGGTGGCCGCAACGATGTACACTGCCGACGGCGAGAGGCGCGCGTCGGCGGGCCGCGCCTCCTGCATCCGCGTGAGGTCGGCCTTGAGCTGGTTGTACCCAAACATGTAGAGCGCCCACGAGACGGTAGAGCCAAAGATGTTTGGCCCGACTCCCTGGTAGAGCCCGCGCGCGCCCTCGACGCGCACAATCACGCGGAAGGCCTGCAGCACGTTCGAGTAGTAGGGCAGCCGACGGCCGCCCGCCTCCTGCACGTGCATCCGTGTCTTGATCAGGTCGAGCGGGTGGAGCAGCACGGTGGTCAGGAAACCCGCGCCCGCGCCCGAGAGCAGATGCGACCAGTCTTGGGACTGGCCTGCGCTGGACGTGCCCATGGCGTACACCGTGGGAGGCCAGCGCCTCGGCCGCCGTGGCGTCAGAGGACGGCGGCGTCGGATCGGCGGCGTCGCGGCTGCCAGTTCCGATCCTCGCAAAAATAGAGAAAGCTAGGCGCCAGGCCTGTGTTCTTCTTCGGTTTTCCCGAGGCGCGTCCCATGTGGCCGAGCTGCGCATTCGTGTGCATGTCGCTCATCCTCGAGCGACGAGCGTCACAGGTAAGGACTGACTGCTGGCGGCTGCCCACATCCCCATCCGCTGTGCCCACTCCCTGCTCTGCATCCAACCATCCATCCACATCCTCCCGCCGCGGCATGCGAAATCCAAGTCAAGGAGAGGGACACCTCTGGCCCTCGGAACGTTCTGGGATCGGCCCCCGAATCGGCCAATCAATGCCGCCAGACCGGGGGTAGATGTGTGGGGTGGAACGAGTCAGAGGCAGATCATCATTCGTCAAACACGTCGAAGGCCGCCACCGCCACCGGCTTCTCGACGCGCCTCGTCGCCGGCTCCTCGCCTGAGAGATAGGGCGCACACAGCTCACGTGCTCTCGATTCGTCTTGTATTCAATACGTCTCGGTGAGAAGTTGAAGCGCAGGCGGGGCGCGGACACGGTCGGCATCGGTTCTGTTGACATCTCGTGCGATGGGGCGACATACCGTCGCCAAAGTCGTACGCGTCCCACTCGAACGCAGCGGCGGCGCGAGAGGCGCGTGGCGGGTCGTCCTCGGGGCGCTGGCTCGCCGTCGCGACGGCCACGCACTGCTCGCCGAGGTCGCCCCCCGCTGCGCACGCTCGCGGCGCCGGCCTGCACTGCACGCGTGGGAACATCGGCAGCCGCCGCCGCCGCCGCAGCGGCGGGTGGCGTCGCGACAGCGGGCCCGGCGGTCGCAGGCTGCTGCCAAGCCTCTGCGCTCTCTGCGGCACGTTTTCAGGGTCGGGCAGCGGCGGGTCGCGCAGCGGTTGGAGCGGGCGGTGCGGCGACCGTGACGGATTTTCCCTCCAAAATGGCGCGATCGTCTCCTCCTCCTCGCCGGAGCTTTGCTCTGCATTGCCACGCTCGCGGAAGGACCCCGTCTCCGCCACGGTTGACCACCGCCAAGGCACTGGCGGGGAGAAGGACGGCGGTGCGCACAGGGCCGCCGCACAAAAGGGGGAGGCGCTGGCGGCGGAGGAGGCGGGAAACGGGCTGGTCATTTGCACAGCGGCGCAAAAGGGACTGGCGGCGTGACCGGCCTCGCCGAAGGGGCTCGTGGTGTGCGCGGCGGCGGCAAAGGGGCTGGCGGTGAGGGCAACGGCGGCAAAGGGGTTGGCGGCGCAGGCGACCGCGGCAAAGGGCGCCGGCGAATGGCCGGAGGCAAATGCGTGCGCGTCCGTCGACCTGCACCCCGCCTCGCATCGAGGTGGCTCCGCCGCCGGTGGCGCGGGAGTGAGGGGCGCTGGAGGAGGGCGTCGAGGAGCTTCGGCCGCCTCCACCGCCGGCCGCGCCTTGCGCTTGCCGCTGGTCGTCGTCGCACCGTCGCGACCAGATGGAGCGGCATCTCTTCGGATCCGCACATCTCGAGGCTCAAGCCAAGTCACATCGCAGTCACCGGCGCGAGCGTTGACCCGCCGGTCCGCCGCCGCGCCGTGCTGGTGGGACCCGGAAGGGCCGGACGCTAGGGTGCTCCAGGCGGAGGGAACTTGCTCGCCCCACTGGTCGTCAACACCGAGCCGCACTGGAGGCGCGCGCAAGCGCGTTCGACACATTGCGAGGGAGGCGAGGGCTGCCAAAGAAATTTAAGCTGCGCCGAGCCGCAGCAGAAAGCAAGTTTTGTTGCTTCTGCCACCACCAGAAGAGAAATCTGAGCGGCCAGCTGCGGGACCTCTGCACCATGCGTGTATACGATCGCAGAGTTCTCGCAACGGGAGGCTAAACGCAGCCTTGGTTCGTTATCTTCGCCGTGTGCCTCGCGCGAGTATGGCCTACTCGAGTACGAGCTTTGGTGTTCGCCGCGCGCCGAGACTGTACGGTATAATGTCGTGAGTCGTCCCTCCACACGGAGCGAGGATCTGTACTGAGTGCACAGCGATCAGTGTACAAGACACACCAAGGCTCACGCGGGACCTGAGTGAAGCGACCAGGAAGCGACGGCAACTGCAGAATGACCCGGCCCACCTGATGCATGTTAGACTTTTACACAATAGCCCCTTGGGTTTGAACACCATTCTCGGAGACCTATCACTCGCCGTGGCATAGGGGGCCAGTCTGGCCGTGAGACCGCTCCCTCCCCCGCCGGTGTCTTTGTCTGTCACGTCCACCCACACATCGCTTCCCACATGCGTGGCTAGGTTGCGCGCAAAGCCACGCTGCCCTTAAAGAAAGAAAGAAAGAAAAAAAACAAGCCCAAACGCTGCCCTACGCTGCCCTTTGCATCCCTGTGAGTACCGTTCTAAATTCTTTTCCTGGCCACGCCCACCCCATCAACAGCGCGCCGGTCGAGACACGATGCCAGAGCTCACGCCGACTCTGATCTGGGCGCAACGCGCGAGCAAGGTCCGCCACAACCCGGCCAGCAGCGCCGGGGGCGCGGCGCGGAGCGATCTCAGACGCTGCGCACGCTCCACATAAGAGCGCGCAGCGGCAGACACCCTGACGCCAGCACTGCTTCAGTGTGTGCGGCATAGCCGCCGCTCCCAGATCGAACCGTCCTGATTCCGCGGAGCCCGCCGCCTCTAGGTCTTTGTCACCTTCGAGCAGCTGGGCACCACCGACGTCAAAGTCTCGCTGACCGCCGGCCTCTTCACGCTGTCGGCCAACGTCAAGGACAGCGACAAGAGCTACAAGATCGAGAACATGCCGCTCTGGGATGAGATCGACGAGGAGGGCAGCACGTGGTTTCAGAACGACAGGCGCGCCACGCCGGCCGGCTCTGCCTCTCCCGCGCGGCGTCGCCGCTGCGCTGCACTCCCAGCCGCCCAGAGCCGCGGCGCCGGCTCCTCCCACAGCCGCCTGGTGCCTGCGCAGGGCTGTGGTGATCTCGCTGAAGAAGAACAAGGAGGAATGGTGGGACGGGCTGACCAAGGAGAAGTCGCTCAAGCGCTTCATCAAGGCGCGCGCGCGGCCCCAGTCAGAGCCCGCAAGAGGCGGCGGCGCGGTCTCCGCCAGAGCCGCAGAGAGTGGCGCCCAACCGCCGCCCCCGCGCCTGCGCCGCAGGTGGACTTTGCCAAGTGGTGCGACGAGGACGACAAGGAGTACACTGGCGAGGACTCCTTCCCGGGCGGCGGGTGACGACCTCCCCTGCCCTGCTTTTCTCACTGCCTCACCTGCCGCATCTCCTCCCAGCCGCTCCTCTCCACTTCCTCCTTCCTGCCGCCTCGCCACCCTTCCGCCCCTCGTCACTGCCGCCTCTCTGTGCTCTCCACTCCTCCAATCGCTCGCCCAGGTACGACGAGATGGGCGGCATGGGTGGCATGATGGGCGGCATGGGCGGGATGGGCGGCATGATGGGCGGCGGCATGGGCGGCATGGGCGGGATGGACATGGACAAATTGATGGCTGGCATGGGCGGCATGGGCGGCGGCGACTTTGATGGCGACGACGACGACGCGCTCGACGACATCGACCACCTTCCCGGCCTGCCTTCGCTCGCGGACGAGGACGGCCCGCCTCCTCTCGAGGACGATGCCAGCAAAGCGGCGGAGGCGGAGCTCGAGGAGGCGCGCGCCGTGTGCGGCGGAGAGCGCCTCCCACTCCCGAGGGCCGCGACTCACCGCCCTCCCCTCCCCCCACGCAGGTGGACTGATCGCGGCACACACGCCCTTCTACCGCGCCCTCTCCAGACCCGCCAAATACTCGTGCGCAGCCCCGTGCGCTCCTACCCGATGTGTTGCGAACCTTATGTGTGGCTCGGGGGCGCCAACGCGCCCCCGCGCCCGAGCCTGCCGAGGCCCCGAGCAGCCCCCCCCTTCCCCCCCCTCCTCGCTTTGAAAGAGTTTGAGGCGTCCGCTCCGTTGTCCCCGCGTCGCCCACGTCCCAGCATCAGAAGAGCGGCTCCCCCCCCGCCCCCCCGCACGCCCCCCTCTCCTCTCTCATTGTACGTTTAGATGAAATTAGCAACACACGAGGGCCGCCGCGCAGCGTTGACGCGCGCGCACCGCTCTTGCTCCGCTGTGGAGCAGCTACAGGGCCCCACACATCGGCGATGCCCAGAGAGCCGCGCCGCGCGCGAGCCACGAGCCGCGGGACACCGAGCCAGGGACCCCCCCAGTGCCGGCAGACGCCCGCAGACCGCAGACGGCGGCACCCTGGGGCACCCGCGGGTGCGAAAAAAGCAAATCGTGAGATCAAAAAGCACAACATGCATGCATGGGGGCAAGCCGGCCCGCTCGACTGCGCGTTTGCGGGGTGCGCGGCCCCGCGCGGCCCGCAGGGCGCTCAGCCGATGCGGAAGCCGAAAGGCAGTCTGCCTTTGTCCTGCTCCCTGATGGAGTCGACAAACTCGCCGACGCCCCTCCCCGGCACGAAGCCGAAACGCGTCAGGAAGGTCGCCGGCTCGAGCTCGCCCCCGTCGTAGGAGTTGAGGAGCTCCTCGCCCGCCGCGATCGGCCGACGCGCCGTCACGACCACGCGCTGCCGCCCGCCGCCCTCCGCGCCGCCTCCGCCCTCCGCCGCGCCGTCGGAGACCTGCACGTGGCGCACGTTTGGCTCGGCGGCGTGCTGCAGCATGTCCAACAGCGGCACCAGCCGCTTCTCCTCGTCGCCGCCGTCCTCCTGCGTAAAGGATCGGGTGAGGATCGAGACGAACGCGCCTCGCACCGCGCGCTCGATGTCGTCCTCCGCTCGCCAGACCGCCCACGGAGGCTCGCCCCGCTCCTTGTACGCCCTGCGCACCGAGGCACCGATCAGCGACTTGATCACCTTGGCCGCCAGCGCAACCTCGTCGCGGATGCCGACCGCGTCGGAGTAGGCGGGGCTCCCCTCGAGCGCGTCCACCTGCGCCTCGGACCACCAGAGGCAGTGCTCCTGCTCCTGCTCCGCCTCGGGTGGCCACGCAGCGTCCCACGGCAGCATCGCCAGGTACGGCCCGCGCGGCCCCGACTCGCCGGCACACAGCCACTCCTTTGCCAGCAGGCCCGCCAGCGCGACCGTCGCGCCGCCCTGCCCCTTGACCACGAGCCGCGCGAGAGCTTCTCCCACGTCGGCGTCACCACACGCGTCGTAGAGGCCCACGCACGCAGTCGAGGGCACGGAGAAGAGCAGCTCACCCTCCGTCACGTCGCGAGACGCGAAGGCGCCGTAGCCAGCGCCAACACTCGACTTGCCCAGCGTGACTGGGCCGAGCTCGGTGCCCCACCGCTCGAGCCACGAGAGCAACGGCGCGTGGCGAGGGTCTGTCGCGGCCACTGCGGAGACCGCGAGTGAGACCGCGGCGAGCGGGAGCTGCAGCAGCGCGAGAGTCTGCAGCAGCATCGGGGACTTCAGCGGGTGCCGGGGATTCACGCGCTTTTTTTTTTGAGAGCGCCTTCGTTGTGAATAATACAAGCCCAATGGTCCCTTTCAAGCGGTCCCCTGTCGTTTGAGAGCGCCTTCGTTGTTAATAATACAACTTTTTTTTCAGTGTATGTAGCTCTTACGAACATACCGTAGGTGAACTGAAACTTTTTTGGACTTCAGGAGCCGGTTTTCTTATTTTTTAATTTTTCCCGCCGAACAGAGGGGGAGGGCTCCCAGGGCTTGGGGGTCTTTTCAGTTGCAACCATGATGATAGGCAAGGCTTTCAAGGTAGTGAAGAAATAAGAAGAAGAGGACATGGTTCGACCTCGCGTGCCCGTGCGAGATGTGTGAAACAAAACAACTTCCCGAAGAACTACCGTTCTCAGGGCACTCACCTGTACGCCCACACCGTCGCGGGGTGGCACGGCACGAAGCCGGAGAACGCGACCATCTCTGGCGACAAAGGAGAACTTCTACAACACGATCCCACGACGATCGCCCACTCAGACAACAAGCCTGACCCCAACGGCTGTGGGCGCGTCAAGCTCCTCGACTGGATCCGCAAGCGACGCCCTGACCTCCTACCCGTCGCTCGCCTCATCATGGGCACGCCCAGCTTCATCCGCCTTGTCAAGGCCGAGGGCGCCTTGCGGCTGCCTTCCGCCGACGCGCGACGGCGACGACCTGGACTTCTCCGCCGCCGATTGGGACCCACTCAGCCTCGAGTGCCCCGACTACAACGACCCCAACTACCCAAGTCCGCCTGCGGGGGGTCATCCAGGGACGTGCGCTGTCCACCATCCTCAGCGTCTGCTTCCTCCACGACATCTGCCACGAAGTTCTGGGGGGGCTCTGTCTAGCTCCTTTTGAAGAGATCCTGGCTCTCTCCTCTTGAGACAAGACCCTATTGCTATCACTCCCCGGTAGCGGGGTGGGCTAAAAAAAAGCGCTTTAAGGTTGGAGATGGTAATGAGCTCAATGAAAGTGTTGGAGCGCCTCCTTCTCTGCCGGGCCGCCCTTCTCGGCTGCTAATATGCGAGCATGTTCTTGTGCTTGTTCTCGATCTCATCATCTTCTACAAGCGCGAGGCCGAGTACGACGCCGAGGGGCACCTCGTCTCCGACTCGCTCTACGCGACAACCCGACCATGCGCCTCATCGGCTTTGCGGACGACATCTGCCAGAACGACGAGCCCTCGCACGCCGTCGCCGCCTTCTCCGGACCAAAGGGCCTCCTCGAGGCGCAGAAGAAGGGAGCGAGCGTCGTCGACGGCGTCAGCAAGTCGCTCATCTACTCGCCCGAGGGCGACCTCTCGTGCGCGCCGGGCTGGCTCCGGGGCTGGGGGCTCGCCGGCGCACCGCGACAAGGAAGGCAAACCCACGGGGCGAGTGGACTGCTTCAAGGCTGTCGGCACCTTCTTTGGCGACCCTGAAGCCTGCAAAAAGGAGCTCACCGCGCACCTCAGGAAGAATCTCGCGCCGCTCGACGTCATCGACACGATCGTCGACACTGACTGCGTCACGAACACCTCGCAGCTCCGCCTCAACCTCGTCCAACGGATTGCCTGCGCAAAGACCAAGTACATTGCCGGCATCACGCCGCCCAATGTCGCGTGCGACGCTCTCGAGTTTGCGCACAACCGCATCCGCAAGTCCTTTGAGAGCATTGCTCGCGCCGACGCCTCGCCCCAGGCGCTCCGCGACCTCGCGTGGCTCCAGGCGCAGCTGCCGACCGAGATGGGCGGGTGCAACATCGACACCGCCTTCACGCGAGCCGACAGCGACTTCTCCATGTCGCTCCTCAAGAACTGGCGCACCCTCGTCGCCCACAACCCCGACTTCGCCCTCGACGAGGGAGGTGCGTCCAAGTACCCCGCCATTGCCGCAGCTATCGCCACCTACGAGTCCGCCCTCTCGGACTGGAAGGAGGTGTGCGAGAAGCGCACCGCCCGCGACAAAACCAAGTACTACACCGTCCGCGGCGGCTACCTGACTGAGTTCTACCCCAAGAGCGTCCCGCTCCCCGAGCCCGAGTCCCTTCCAGCTACCGACGCGATTCTCAATGGCACTTGCAAATCCACGTACCCGCGGCCGCGGGCGCTCGCTGCCATCAAGAATCACAAGGACTGGTACGCGCACCAGGAGCTCGTCAAGGCGCGGGATGTGCACGTCAAGAACAACCCGTCCCTCGGAGACAGCGCCGTCAACAACCGCGAAGCCGCGCGCCTCATCTCCGCCTCAACGCCTTTCGCCGGCAAGGCCCTCGATGTCCGTGTCGACGGCACGTACGCCACCGCCCTCTCCTCCGACACCCTCCAGGACGAGCTCCAGCGGAAGCTCGGCCTTTGGCTCTCCGCGGCGCTTCCCACCCTTCGGGTCGCGCTCGAGCGGGGCATGCCAGTCGATTTCTTCGGCGACTACCTTTACAACAAGGCCCACCACCGGCGGCCCCACGACGGCGTCCTCGCCGCCTGGGCGGACGCGATGCGCGCCCCGGCCAACGCGCCGGTCGTGCACGGTGACAAGGAGAAACCAGAGCTCACCCGGCAGTACAACGAGGGGTACAAGACTGACCTCGCAGAACCCCATGCGGGACCGGGGGGGTGCGATGAAGTGAATGAAATCAAGCTCTGGACGCCCCTCCTCAAGACCTCCTCGCCGGGCGTTGGCAACGCCTCGAGTGGCGGCACGCCCGCCTCCGTTGGCCACTCCTACGCCTTCGGCAACACCGAAGAGAAGGCCCGCCGCCTAAACATGGGCTGCAAGGCGCGCGGGCAGCCCGGCCAACCCTTCTCCCACAAGACCGGCCACGGCTACGTCAAGGCGCATCGCGGTTTCTACCACGACGCGATCTTTGTCAAGCGCAACAACTTCAACCTGCTGCTCCACGAGACGTTCGGCGGCGGCTTCTCGCCCACCGCCGTTCTCAAGCTGCGCCGCCTCGCGCGCAAAGTCGCGCGCGGCAGCGTTGACCGCACGGCCTACTCGCCCAAGTACTCGCTCTCTTTTATGTCCCACCATGCAGAGCGCATCTCTCTCTCTGTTGTGCGAGGCGTGAACCGCGCCATTCCCTCTCACCTGGCAACCCTGTCTGCACGTCTCGCGCGCGCGTGAACAGGGCTCCAGGCCCCAAATGACGTGTGAGTGTTATAGAGTTGTTTGGTATTGCTAAAAATCTCTCTCAGATGTGTGTCGCGACCCCTCGTCGCCGGTCACCTCCCGACACGGTGTGAAGAACAACTCCTCTCTCGACCGCTACTACGCCGCCGCCCTTCTCACTGCGCAGCTCGCGCCTCCTCCCGCTCCTCGGCTCCTCCATCGCCGCCTCCTCCGCCCGCTTTGCCTCCTCCTCCTCCGCCCGCTTTGCGTCCCTCTCGCTTGCCGTCAATTTGACGAAGTCGACCTTGACCGTCTTGCCGATCACGGCCTCGAAGTCGTCGTGGTAGGGGCAGGTCACCTTCCTCTCCGATCCTTCGTCGTCGTGGTGAGGTTGTGGTCCTTTGAGCAGCAGAGCGCGCAGCCGTACTTTCTCGGCGGCGCCGCCGCCGCCGCGACGCCGGCGTCCCCGGCGGCGTCTGCGGTCCGGCCTGGGGGGGGGGGGGGGGGGGACCCCACAAAGAGTCAGGGGGAGGGGGGGGGGGGGGGGGCAACAGTCCGGCGGGTCGGGTCGGGTCGGGTGCGGCCGGGCGGGGCGGTCCGGGGTGGGCGCGTACCGCGCCAGCACAGACATGGGCGATTTGTGTTTTTTCCCAAACTTGTCATTCTCTTTTTGCGGGGCGCCGCCCCTTTCCCACCGCCTTCGGGTACAGTTGGTTGCTGGCCGCGTTGGAGATGGTCAAGGAAGGGCACGACTCCACGCATCGCCCGAAGCTGAAGACCTACTCGTTCGACAACGGCAGGCCCTTCCTCGACCAGTGGAAGGCGGACGGCAAGCCAATGTGGTCGCGGCGCGTGCTCGGGCGCTTTAACGCGCTCGCCGTGCTTGCCAGCGCGGCCGCCGCGCCGATGCTCCTCTTCAGCGACTGGGGCGAGGAGGAGACCGTAATCTCTCCGGTGCAGCGCGGCGTCCGCGACTGGTGGCAGACCTTTGTCGCTCTCGACAAAGGCGACGTGGCCAAGGCGCGCAGTGTCGGAATGTGGCGGGTGATCCGCGAGCGGCACGAAGCGCCGCCCGAGGACAGCTTCTGGACCCTCAAGGGCAAGAAGCGGGTCCGGCCGGAGAGCGACGCCGAGGCGGCGCGCATCGCCTTTGGAAACATCGCAGTCAGCAAAGAGTATGTGGAACTCAAGTCGGAGAGTTGAACGGCTCTCTGATCCACGTAGCACGTTGGTGTTGGCGGCTTGGCGCGCCCGTCTTTCTCACGAGAGAGCGACGAGAGTCCGGGCGTGATTAGTGAGTACATAGAAACAAAGACACGCGTGTGCCCCCAGATAACGGGCAAGCCACCCGACTGTAAAAGGGAACTACACATGAGGCCTGCGGTACGTGTGTTTTTTTGCCATGTGTGTATGTCGTATGTGGAGCTCTCTCTGCCTGTGCGTACGGCCCGCCGCCTCGCTCTCGCACCCCCCACCGCCACGGCCCCCGTCACAGACCGTCATCGTCGTCGCTCGGCGGCTCCTCGTACTCGCGGCCGGGCTTGTCCGTGTCGAGCAAGTCGCCCTCGGCGTCGTCGTCGTCAAAGTACTCTGCGAGGTGGGCGCGGCGGTTGCGGTGCGGCCGGAGGTCCCACTCCTCCTCCTCCTCCTCCGAGTCGTGCTGCAGCGCGTCCTGCGGCGGAGGGAGGGCGGAGGGGCTCTGCACGCCGGAGAGAGGGCGAGGAGAGAGGGGCTCTGCGGCGAGATCTGCAGCGAGATCTGCAGCGAGGTCTGCAGGGAGAGGACGGCGCGAGTGTGTGTGAGCCGTCTCGCGTGCGGCGCACCGGGTTGATTCGGGTGCCGGGCTGCCCCGTCTGCATAGTCGTGCTCGGCGCGTGCTCGAGCTGAGAGAGCGCCTACCGCGACGCGTCAAAGACGCGTCCAGGACTTGGCGGGAAACGTCTCAGGCAAGGCGGCGGGACACGTCGCATAGCGCGGTCTTCGGAGCGCGGTCCTCGGAAGTGGTCCTCGGAACGTGGTCCTCGGAGCACGTTCTCGGGGAGGTGTCTCGGGGAGGTGTCTCGGGGAGGCGTCTCGCGCCTCGAAGAGCTTCTGCTTCTTCATCTCGAGCTGCTCGCGCGTGTTCTCGTTCTCCATATTTGAGACGGGCACGTGCAGCTTGTAGTCCGGCGAGTAGTAGTCCATGTACTCGTGCCACGGAACCTACCAGGACCAATCCGACAGGGCTCACACAGGGCGCAGGCAAGGGCAGCCCGTTGCACTCCCACGGCACCGTGTCCGAGATTGGCTGGTTCGTGAGCCGCGCCTGCACACCCGCGACACGACACGGCCGTGAGCTGCGGCGGCGGCGGCGGCGTGGGAGCGGGGAGTGGGGTGGGCGGGGGCGGAGAGTGGGTGGCGGGCGCCGTCTCATAGGCCCAGCAGCGCGAGACGTTGCGCACGGTGTAGCCGCCGCCGCCGAGCACGAGCATCGGCACGCCAAACGACCTAGAGAGAGCGGGGTGGGGCGGCCGAGGTGTGAGCGCTTGGAGGAGCGGCGCAGGCGAGGCGGCCGGAGGGCGGCGGGCGGGCGGATGGCGGGAGGGGCTGGAGCGGCGGTGTCGCGCACTTGACGTGCTCCAGGCAGGCTGCGTGGCCGCGGATGGACATGTTCCAGCAGCCGACCCGGTCGCCAGAGAGCGAGTCGGCACCGCAGCAGAGCACGATCGCGTTGGGCTGGAAGTGCTCCATCACCTGGCGGCGAGGAGGCGAGGAGGCGAGGAGGCGCGCGGTCGGCGACGCGCCGGGGGCGGCGTGGAGGGGGGCGGCGTGGAGGGGAGCGGCGTGGCGTGGAGCCGGCAGGTGAGGGCAGGCGCGGGGACGCGTCCCGGACGGAGCCCACGAGCGAACGGCAGTGCGGTGCGTGCGAGCGGGCGGGAGAGAGAGAGGGAGGGAGGCGCGCCTTGTCCACCACCGGCTTGAAGATGCTCTCGTACGCCGCGTCGTCCATCCCCGCCAGCAGCGGGAAGTTGAGCGAGTAGTTTTTGCCCGCCTTGGCGCCCTGCGCAGACGAGGCCGCGGCAGGGCTCAGCCCGCTGGGCCAGGCAGGAGGAGCGCGCGCCGAGGGCGGGCGGCGGGCGGGGCGGCAGCGATGGCGTGGGGAGGGGGGCGGGGTGTGCGCGCGGCGACGCGCGGCCGAGGTGAGGGGCGGGCGAGGGTCGTGGCTGCGGCACCAGGTCGTTAGTGTGGCCCGTTCCGGGGAAGAAGGCGCCTCCGACCTGGTGGAAGGAGAGGGTCATGACGCGGTTGGTGAGGTAGAAGGCCTCCTCGACGCCGTCGCCGTGGTGGATGTCGATGTCAATGTACAGCACTCGCACGTGCACCTTGAGCAGCTCGAGGATCGCCAGCACGATGTCGTTGACGTAGCAGAAGCCGGACGCCTCGCCCTTCTTCGCGTGGTGCAGCCCCCCCGACCAGTTGAGAACGATATCCGAGCAGCCCTGGTTAATGCGCGCTGCGCCCGAGATGGAGCCGCCTGTGTACGTCTGGCAGTACTCGTACAGCCCGTCGAAGACTGGGCAGTCTGCGCCGAGGTTGAAGCGCTCGAGGTGCGACAGCGCCTCCTGCATGTTGTCCTGAGTGATCTCCTGCAGAAAGCGGATGTACTCGTCGCTGTGGAAGGCCGTCATGTCTGCGCGCGTCGCTAGTTTGGGCCGGAAGACGTTGAGGTGCTTGTACAGCCCGTAGTTTACGACGAGCTGGTGCGTCAGCCTCACTCTGTGCGGCCGCATTGGGTGGCCCTCGCCGTAGTTGAAGTTTCCGATCTGGGCATCGTAGAAGTAGTCGATGCGCGGCCTGCCTGAAGACGCCGCTTGTGATGCTTTCGCCATCCGCCCAGGCAAGCAGGGCGCGCGCTAGCGCTTTTGCCGCAGCAAGCTGGGTCGAAGGGTGGGCAAGAGGAACCAGGTTCGTTGTGAAGAGGGGGCGCGAGACCCAACCAGTCAACGCTGGAGGCGTATTAGCGGGGTCTGTCCGACTCGCTCGCTGCACGGTTGGCTGCGGCGCTCCGGCGCAAGCCGACGCTCGAGAAGTGGCGCCACTCTGCGTGGCTGCCCTCCGGGCTTGTCCTTGGCTCTCCGACATCGATCGAGCACGCCTGTCCGACGAGCGGCTTGCCGTGCGGGTGGCTTTGTGTGGCTCTTGTCGAGAGCGTTTTGCGGCCCGCCGGGTGAGAGAATATGTGTCGTCTGATGTGTCACTGTGTACGTCATATCAGTCTTGATAACAAGCACGGTCGATCCGTCGAAGCGATATACTCGTCACGTCACGCTGGACGGCTTGCACGGAACTCTGTGCCGGCAAAACAGGAAGAGCCGTGCGGCAAGAAGAGCTCGATATGGAGCGAGAATCGTCAAAGGTGCTCACGCAGGTTTGGACGTCCGTCCTGGTGCGGTCAGTTCCCCCCAGGTTTGACCGCGCAGGTCTCAAAACTCGTCGAGCACTCGTAGCCTTTCTGCGACTCTCTGCGTGCTGCCGGCTCGGGAAGAGCAGATTTTGCAAGATATCTCAACGAGATCCGACATCTGCGTGGTCATTTTTGGAGTGATCTTACCGCGTCATGACGGAGTCTTGATACCTCTCGGAGCACCTCTAACGGGTCTCGCTCCCTATCGAGATCTTCTTGCCGGATGGCTCTTCCTGTTTTGCGGGGCGCGCTGAGCTCTGTGTCAAGCTCGAAGGGCAACGGAAACGAGTGCATCGCTTCAGATAGACCGACTGTGCTTGTTACCAAGACCGATCTCACGTACACAGTTACACTCCAGACGTCCTGTACTCTCCCATCCGACAACTGGCAAGACGCTGTCGTGAGCCAGCCGCTCTTGCGGCAGCCGTCAGCAGAGACCGAGCGCATCGGGCGAGTGGAAATCGAAGGTGGGCAAGAGGAGCCAGGTTCGTTGTGAAGAGGGGGACCCAAGAACCTCACTATACTGAACGGCAAAGGCGCGACGCGTAGATGTACATGCGCACGTGAGCCCCGCGGCGGCGCGGCGCGTCCTGCAACGCCTGTCCACACTCCTCGGGAGCACACACACGGACATGAAGCGCGCACACGGCCCAATGGCCGTGCACGAGCAGCAGCGCAAAAGCGCCGCCAACCGCACCGACACTTTTGACCGCGTGCCGCACTTCCCGAATCCCTTCGAAGGTGGGGAGCGAAGAGGAAAAGGAAAGCAGTCTTCCTGCCTGCTCTCAGGCAACGTCTGTAAGATGGAGGGATGGGTAGGAGAGAGTGCGTCATGTGTGTGTCGTAGGAGTCAGTCCTGTCTGAGTGGGGGGGGGAGAGACGGAGAGGAGAGTCATTGAGCCTTGGCACCAGCCAGGCAGTTGTTTGGCCTTGGCATCAGCCGGGCGGGCGTGTTGTTGATTTGGCCTTGGCATCAGCCCTGGCGGGCGGGCACGCGGGACACTGAGGGAGGGTGTAGAGGATGTAGAGTGTAGAGCGCTGCAGAGCTGTAGAGATGTAGAGCGCTCTGGAGCGCTGTAGAGCTGTAGAGCTCTACATCGGCTGCGTGACGAACTGCGTGCGTTGTAGAGCGATGTAGAGCGCGATTTTGCTGTAGAGTTTGTTGTAGAGGCTCTACAGCCAAACCGCCGGGAAGGCAGTGACTCAAATGGGGTGTCTCCGAGCTTACTGGAGCTCTGGTGGACGGCCCTGACTATCCCTGACACACAGAGAGTCACTCTGACGGCACACAACACCCTATAACTGCGTCATGACCAGCCTGCCATGCGTCGCCGGTGCCGCATTCGTCGCTGTGTGTGCTTCTTTAGCAGGCGGTGGACTGTCGGCTGCGAGGACGGTCGCATTTGCGCGAGGCGAGGCGAGCATTCAGACGCGTTGCATGCGCCATGACTCGCGCCAGCGCGTGCGGGAGCTCCTGGCTGAGCGTTGAGTCCAGGCGAGTTGCGCTGGCCACTATCGCTACTCCGAGCCGAGCTGTCCTGACGCGCCGAGGCGCCGGCCAGTCGCAGCCGTGAGGCATGCCATAGCAGCAGAGGCATCTGCCACCCATTGGGCGGGCAGACAGAAGGCCAGGGCAGCACTGGCAAGTGCAACGCGCCTCATGTCGGAGAGCGACCGTGCCTCGTTCGCGCCGCTTATGATGTAGAGTTTGTTGTAGAGATTTCACGTTGTAGAGCGCCTCTACATCGCTCTACAACGCACGCAGTTCGTCACGCGGTGGATGTAGAGCTCTACAGCTCTACAGCGCTCCCCAGCTCTACAGCTCTACAGCGCTCTACACTCTACATCCTCTACACCCTCCCTCAGGCGGGACATGCACACAAGCGCCAAAGGGGCGCAGCACCGACCTAACCCGTCGGAGGTGGGGGGAAGGGAGTCCCCCGGGTCCTGCGTGAGCGCGAGAGTAACCCCAAGAGAGAGAGAGAGAGGGCTGAAGATGAGCGGTGCGCGCAGGGGTCGGCGTGGAGGGCATGGTGGAGGGCGATATGAACGCGCCGCGCGGGGCGCCGCCTCACCGGCCCTCGCCAACGCCTCGAAAGTGGCGCAGAGTGAGGCGGCGCCCTGAGCGAGTGCGTGAGCCCCGTGGCTCCAACCGGGCCCTTCCGTTTTTGAGCAGGTGTGACGCCGCGCGAGCGACGCTCCGAGATCGCCCGAGACAGCGCGGCGCGGCGGTGGGTGCTGACAAGGGACACGACAGGCTCGCAGCGCGGTGCACGGTGGAATCCCAACTCCACTGGCGGTCTCATCTCAGTCTAGCGACCTTCCTCCGGCTTCTCACCAGCAGTCTCTCACTACCACGGGCACACTGACACAGGGGTGGCAGGGGCGGCGGCAGGAGTCTCCCACATACTACCTCCGAAGGGTGGGCAAGAGGAAAAGGGAGCGGTGGGCTAGGGTGTGGCGCCACCAGGCCTTCGAGACTGGCAAGGATCCCACGGTTCTGACTGTCAACACGGGGGGGCTGCGCCAGGGCTTGACCCCAGACAGAGCGACGTGCCTGGCTGCGGTGTGGGCGAACCGGACGTGGCCCGAGGCGCAGCGGCTGCCCGCCGCGACAGTCCGGGCGTGCTCCGAGGCGGTCCGAGAGCGGGGTCGTCCCAGAGCTGCGGGGGTGGCTGAGGGATGTGTTCAGTTTGAGAGGCGAGGTCCTCACCTCGCTCGGCGCTCGTCACCATGATCCATGTCGACGCTCTCTCCTCGAACGACCGCGCCTAGGGTGGTGGGAAGGGCATTGACCATTGTCGCAGAGCACAGAGGAGGGGTGGGAGGGGTGGAGGTGGACGACGTCGCTTCTGGCTTCCATTGCGTCCGCGCGCCCGCGCCTTCGGCTCGCTCGAGAGGAAAGGAGAAAACACGCGGCCCTGACGCAAGAGAGAAAGATGTCTCTGTCTTTCTCTGACGCAAGACGCAAATCGCAACTCAGACCACCACACATGTTTGGACAACCACCGCGCGGACGATGCGCACGACTACTAGGTACTAGCTAGAGGGGGTTTGTGAGGGTGTCAGACGGAAGACTCTCACACACAGCTCACGGCCCATGTCACGCCCCCTTGCGCTTCGTGTGCGGCGCGACCAGCTCCTGGTAGGCGAACGCGCCCGCCACGGCGCCGATGACGGGGCCGACCGTGTACGCGTACCACGCCGTCGTCGCCGCGCCGCCCCACCCTGTCAACAGCGTCACCAGCCGCGGCCCTAGGTCGCGCGCCGGGTTCATCCCGCAGCCGGTGACGGGCCCAAACGTGCAGATCAGAGCCGCGACCGCGGCGCCGATGACGGCGGGCTGGGCTCCGGCGGGCACCGACGCCGCGTCGGCGTCTCCCGCGCCGAGGATGATGAAGGTGAGAATCGACGTCATGTACGCCTCAGCGAGGAGGGCGCCGGCTGCGCCGACGACGGCTGCATTGGGCACCATTCCAAAGGCGCCGGCGTACGACGCCGCCGAGGCGGCCGAGCCGCGCACGATACCCGCCGCCGCCTCGTGCGCCACGATGGCGGCCGAAAAGATGGCGTAGTTCACACCGGCGGCGACAAAGGCGCCTGCGCACTGAGCGCCGATGTAGAGAGGCGCCTCCTCGGCGGGCGCCTTGCCGATGGCCACCAGCGCGCAGGTCACCGCAGGGTTGAGGTGGGCGCCAGAGACAGCGCGAGTCACGTAGACGGCCAGCGCGACCGACATTCCCCAGGCCGCGGCAACGCCGAAGAGGGTCGAGTTGCCGCCCGCGTACTTGCTCGTGCACACTGCACCGCAGCCGCCGGCGACGATGATGCCGGTGCCGAGGGCCTCCGCAATGCAGCGCGCAGCCAGCGACGGCGTGGCCTCTGCTGGGGAAGCGACCAAGAGCTTGGCTTCGCGCCGGCCCGGCGCGGCCTCCTCGCATGCGGGCGTGCGATGACTCGCGTGCCATGCGATGGCTGCGCCTCCGAGGCCGAGGCCGACGCAGCGGCGAGCGGCGGGCGCGGACGCAACGGAGGAGGCGAAGCGCAGTGGCGTCATCTTACTGTTGAAGGATACCGTCGGGTCTCTATTTTAAGTAGGCAAGGAGAGTTGGAGTATTTCACAGTATTTCCAGTATCCCAGTATCTGAGGTGCTGTGGCGCAGTATTCCAGTATTTCAGACACGCAAAGCAAGTATTTTTATTGCAATACGGCATGCTACCTGCACACGGCCCTTGGCCAAGTATCCCAATATCCCGCAAGCGAAGGCCAAGTATCGGTGGCGCAAATACCTCTCTGCCGCGAGGGTGATACTGCAATACTGGGCCTGGGGCATGCAGATATTGTGTCACTGAAGTAGTGTGGCCATGACAGTATCGCGCAGTATTTTCACCGCATTACTCGGAGCCGGCGCATCGGATACTGGGATACTGCAGGATACTGCGGGATACTGCGGGATACTGCTGGATACTGCTGGATACTGGCAATTCATGGAAGTGTGCCCGTGTGTAAGCCATGGTCCAGCAGCCAGCTGCATCCCCATCCTTCTCACTGGTAGCTGTCACCATGCAGCTGCACCCCTCCCTAGAGCATCCCCGGCTGATGTGGATACCGGATACTGGGATACTGGGATACTGCGGACCGGCTTGGGCCACAACTGTCGCAAGTGGGCTGTGGTGATGGCAGGCGTTATGTGATTGCTCCAGAGTGCATCGGCAGGAATTGTGATGTGTGGAAGCTCACGAGTTCTCCGACTGCCGCTCGACAGTCCGTAAAGAGCTCGTATCCGCTGCCATTTCTGCCGCCGAGCTGAACAGCGGCGGTGAAGCACGGCCGGCTGTGTCAGGACCGCGCCCGGCGCTGGAGAGTGCTCGAGAGCATCCGACATTGTCGGCCGCAGCGGCAGGGTCGGCCGAGGTGATTCAGTTTATGTGCAGGTCCGTCACCCGTTTGCCGTGATGCTCAGCGGCGGCGCCCACACCGGTGGGTTCACTCGAGACGGTCCGGCGCCAAGCAAAGAGGAGCGTGGTTACCAGAGCCTGCTGTGTGGCGGTGTGCGGCCGATTGGGGTCGTGCGGGGCTGGTTGGGGTTGGCGGGAGGAGACATCGAAGGAACTTCGGCGACATGACGCTCGAACTTTGACCGTTCGACACGCCCCTGGGGTCACAGCACTTGCGAGAGGCGCCGCGACGCCCGGCCGCCTGAGATGCAAAAGTTTGCACACGCCATTCAGGCGCTGCAGGCATTGAGCACGCTGGTGCTCCTGCGTGCCGGCGCCAAGCTTCAATTGCCAAGGCTGACGCTGCATCACAACGTTGATATCGCATGCGGTGCGCTTGTGGGAGCTGACGCGCCCAGCCAATCCAGCGCCCCTAGCCATCGAGATAGCTCTGGGACCCTTTTACGGCACAGCTGCTGTGTGATCTACTATGATTCCTGTGCGTGCGCCGCAGGACGTGACCACCTTGCTGCGCTCAATGTTCGCGGCCGTGACGCCTCCCCGATGTGAGTCTTCCTCCCCACACCACAGCACCAGCACCAGTACACTGCCACGACACTCTCCCTCAGTTCCAGCACTGGCGCCTCAGCCGTCTTCGCCCACCTCGTGCCGTTGCCGCCTTCCCCACCCCGCCAGCCCTTGCACACGCGTTTACACCATTGCGCCGGCAGGGCGCGGGCACACACTTACGGCAGTCCTCGCTTGCCCACGCTGCTCAATTGGCTCAACCCCTCCCCACCTAGCTGCTGCCTCGCATCCCACTGCCGGACGTACGACTGCGGCCGCAGCGCAATGATCGCTCGAGGGCCGACCCCGGATACTGGGATACTGCAGGATATTGCAGGATACTGCGGGATACTGCTGGATACTGGCCATCTCTGATGCGGATACTGGGATACTAGGCGGGGCTGGAGGACCAAGTAGCGCCCAGTATTGCAGTATTATTACTTGGCATTTAGCTCTGTAATACTGGGATACTTCGCCGGCGTGGATCGAGTACTGTGATACTCACCGGGTGCGTCAACACGAGTATCGAAGTATCCGCGGTACCAGCTCGGAGTATTGAAGTATTGTTACTGCGCCATATCTCACAGGGAAATCTTTCACAGTATCCCAGTATTTGAGGCCTGCTGCGAAGTATCCCAGTATCTGGACAGCCTCCGCGAAGTAGAAGTAAGAAAAAATACTCCAACTCTCCTTGCCTACTAAAGGCCTATTTCCACTCACGGCCACAGCGCCGTCGAGGGTGATTGCGTCTGGCGGCGCCCTGCAAGGCCACCGACGCGGACCTGTGGCTGCCTGCCGCCCCTGCTGGTCCATTGGCGGTCCCACGGCACCAGGAGACCGCACACGACGCGTGCTCGGGGCTCGCTACAGCACGCTCGGTTCGACGGTCGTCGGAGGAAGTGCTGGCGGCAATCGCAAAACTGCAGCGGGCGAGCTCCAGCAGCGCACAGTCGAGCGCCCGAAGCGCGTCTGGCCTCGGCAAAGTGGCTCGGCGTGCTCACACACGCGGCTCGCGCGTGTGCAGGCGTGGTCGCTGCTGCTACCGCGTGTGCGAGCGCATGTGCGCTCGAGACTGCACTCTCAGCTGACACAGCGCGGCGGAGGCGAGCCGACGACGCACCGCGATCTGATGGTCTCGAATCTTCTTCGCTCGCGGCTCGATGTGCGCATCAGATCATACTACTCACCGCCGGCACAGTACAACGCAGCCGTCTCGCCACTCTAGTACTCAGACTCGCCGCACAACACAAACTATACACACACATGCTCAACGAGAGAAGCGAGTACACTGCTCACTGTGCGGCGGCCTGCCCCGCCAGCACCTCGCCCGCCTCCGGCACGCGTGCGGCATTCGCCGCCATCGCCTTTGCCTTACCCCAGGTCTTCCTTGGCGCAGGGGCAGGCGCCTCCTCCTCCGGCGGTTTCAGGTCGAGGTAAACAGCAATAGATCCGGCCCTCAAGCGGCCTAATCGATACCCAGCCCTCACGGAATTGGTCCCTCGTTGTACAGCAATCGATCCTTCACAGTGCCCGTCCTGCCAACTTGCCGAGAATCGGTCCCCCAGGTCACCTGTGGCGCGAAGCTGATGTCTCCCGCCCTCTGCGCGCCCAACGCGCAGCGGCGGCAGACCACCCTCCGGTTCGAGGGGCGCCTGGGGCTGAGCGGGCTGCCTCCGCCAGAGTTTGGCTCGCACCGGTGGGCTGTCACCCTGCCACGGGTCGCAAGCCCTCTGCCGGCCGGAGCGCAGGCTGCGCGGGCTTCCAGCAATTGGTCCCTTGGCAAGCGCGAATCGGTCCCCCTGGCTCCAGGAACTGATCCGGCACTACACCCGGATCTATTGCTGTTTACCTCATCTTAAAATAGAGACCCGACGGTAGTAGTGGGGTCGGAGGGCGGCCGGGTCGCTTTTACGAGCGTCATTTTGTACCCACCCCCCCTAGTTCGTGGGGACCCCCCCGCCGGTCGGTGGTCTGCCCCCGAGGTGGACCGGACCCCCCCTCCGGTCGCTCGCTCTCTCGGCGGCGGGAGGTGTGACGACCGACGCCCCCCTCGGTCGGTGTCTTGCCGTGAGCCCCCTCAAACGCTCTCCCTCCTTCTCGCGAACCGCCACGGGCGCTTCGAAATCGCCGGTTTTCACTATGAAAACTAGTCACGCAGCCAAGCGCCAAGGAGACTTCTTCGCCGAGGCCCGAGCAAGCCCGACCCCACAGCAGGCCGAGCGCATCAAGGGGCTTGAGGGCGCACTCCAGAACGCGCGCGGGTTCATCAATGTGCAGGCGCAGCACATCCAATTGCACTGTGATTGCGTTTTCTGTGATAGGAACGAGTGTATCGCTTCGACGGATCGACCGTGCTTGTTCTCTGGGCCGGCGCGGGGGCCCCAGAGGGTGTCCATGCGGGGGGGAGATGGGGTCCCCCAGCCCGCCGCAGGCGCCGATTTTTTCGGGCTTTTTTTCTTTTTTGGCGATTTTTTACTTGTTTTCATGGGAATTCGGCGTACTTGCGGCCATGTGTATCGCGCGCCTTGCGGGGGGGGCGCGGAAAAGAGGAACCTCTTAGCGCCATCGCCACGGTGCTGCCATGCTATCACGCCTTGCGACAGCCTGTCGGCGCTGCTGACCGTGCCATGATGCACAATTGATCACCTGCATAGCTCGCGGCCTTAGTATCAAGCATTCAGTGACGACCTGATCGTACGGCCAGTAGGAAGGTGTCCTTCCATCGTGTGCACGCTTCTGACGCAATGCGCGTCACAAACTGCCTCGGATTGGCTGCTGGCACTCTCGAGGCTATGCCTACACAGCCTCGCGCGCATCGGCAGTCAAAAGGGACCACGCACTTCTCAGGACAGGGCCGGTGCCTCTCTCTTGGACCGGAAAACTTGGTGGTATCGTGTCACCAATGTGGGACCAGTGCGGCATCGCGCCACCGACAGCTCTGAACTGCGCCTCACCACTGACCGGGAAGGCCGCCAAGTGGGCCAGCACAGGTCGCACATGTGGCAGCAGTCAGCAGTGCATGGCTGATAGCTAGAGCAGCAGCGTCAGGGTCGCAGGGTCGGATCGTGTCAAGCCTCTCGCCCGGCCGGCCGCGTGCAGACGTCGGCCTGTCTGCTGTCTGCAGTGATCTGTCGGCGGTCAGTACGACCGATCAAGTTGGAGGTTTCTCATGATTGGAGGGTCTATCTGTGTGTACTCCTCGAGATCTCTCCAAATCTGCCCTCTAATCAACCGTAATCATTCGGGAAGTTGGTGCTCATAGAGACTCATAGAGCCGGAGCCCCGTTTCCGCACTGCGGCGCGGCGCACGGTGTGGGCCGGGGCCCCCGCGCCGGCCCAGAGTGCTTGTTATCAAGACCGATGTGACGCACACAGTGACACATCAGACGACACATGCTCTCCCACCCGCCGGGACGCAAAACGCTCTCGACGAGAGCCACAAGAAGGCGTCCACACAGCAAGCCGCTCGTCGGACAGGCGTGCTCGCTCGATGCCGGCGAGCGCATTGCGCACGCTTTGGACGGTGGCGAAGCCAAAAACACCGATGGTGGCCGTCCGCTGGCGTGAGCGGCGGCGGTCGAGACCTCACCCTTCGCGCCGACGACCCAACCTTACGCGGAACAACCCAACCCCGAACCAACCCAACCCAACACCAAACAACCCCACTGAAAGCACAATTCTCCTGTTGGGCCCTCAGCCTCCAGGTCAAAAAGAAGAAGAAATCGGCATGTTCAGCGACGACGTACTGGGAGAACAACGAAGAGCGGGATGTCGAGTACGAAATGAGGATGCCGGATGGCATGCCGATACCACAGCTGAAGGGAGACGAGAGCTACAAATATCTCGGAACGGAGCTAAGGACCGGGTGGGCAAACGGCGAGGGCCAGACGGAAATGAGGGAGCGGTGCGTAGCGGACTGCAAGAGAGTAATCTGGATCATAGGCAACCTGCCGCACTTGAACAGGAGAGAGCAGATCCGACGCAACATGGCGCTAGCACTGAGCGGCATTATCGGTTACTACGGCCGGTCCACGCACCACGGTCATCACATGGGAAGACTGCCAGAGCATCGAACAGGGGTGAGGAGGTGAGGGCGCGAGTGCCCTAAACGCAAAAGGTTACTCGGTAGGAATCCCACGACTACAAATATACGACTTGAAGGAGAGAGGAGGGATGGGAATGGAACACGCATAGTTACACGTATGCAGCGGCGGCGCTGATCGATCAAGTGGACCGGGCCCTCGGCGCGGTGGAAGGGGAACCAGCGAGGGTGGCCGTCGAGAGCAGAGCCAGCGCACACTTTGAGGAGGCTGGGATGCCGAAGTGATAACCCGCTGGAGTGGAAGCCGAGTTGGGACTGGGAAAGGGAGCTCTCGGACGAACTAATGATCGAAGCATACCTAAAGGCAAAATGGAGGTGTGGGGTGGAGACGGTCACGACAGCGGGGTGGGACGAGAGCAAGAAGGGGCCGCTTAGACCCGAGGCGTGGAGAACGACAGAGAGCCAAAAGAGAGTATCGGGCCCGCTCCTCTTCGAGACGAGGCGTCACGGCTGGAATAACAGAGGCCTCGCATGTGACTTTGCACGCAACCTAGCCAAAAACAGACAACCCAAGGGAGGGATGGGAGGACGGCACGCCGCCACCACACAGGAATTTCAAGGGGCGGGGTGTGATGCGCTAGCCATCATAAAATAATTCTAAACTGCCTAAAGAGTTGGTGAGAGAATTCTTTTATGCTACCAGGTAGGGCGCAGCACTACCAGGATAATCTCTTAGCAGTTGTACCGGAGGGAAGGCGGATGACAATCGTTGCTGCTGAAGCCAGCAACGAGAGAGGAGACGAGAACCGCCTCGCCGTCGCGTACTCGGACGGGGTGCGTGAGGAGTGGCCAATCTCCGCCGACGAAGCTGAACGGTGGCGCTTGCCGGCGAGCATGGCGGTGCCCGGCCAGTCGGGTTCTTACCTCTTCCGCAATCTCACCGCGCGTCCCTTTTGGGACGAGCGGAGCGGCGGGCTGGCTGCCTTCTGCTATGCGCTCGAGGAGGCGCACTCAGAGATGCGCCAGGAGGCGATGCGTCTGCTCCGGGCGTCCCTTCTCGGCGAGGCAGGCGGCAGCGACAGCGAGTGCGACGAGGAGCCCCCAGCCTGGGCCTCGGCCCATGGCGAGGGCCTCGTCGGCAGCGGGGTGTGGCAAAAGGTGCACCTGTGGACGGGCCGGACGCGGCACGCCGACGGCTGCGCGGCGCTCCCAAGGACTGCGGAGCTGCTGGAGCGGTTTGGCGACGCCGTCGTGATGCGGGATTCGCCCGGGCGCGCCTTCCTCTCGCTCATGCTGCCGGGCACCCGCGTGCTTCCCCACGCGGGGCCCACCAACCACCGGCTTCGAGTGCACCTGCCTCTCGTGCTGCCGCGGAGTGACGCCGGCGGAGAGGCGCCTTGCCTGGTGGTCGGCGGCGAGGCGCGAGAGTGGGCGCTCGGGCGCGCCCTCGTCTTCGATGACTCGTTCACGCACGAGGTTCGCTTCCCGCAGGGGCGGGCGGAGCCTGGGCCAGAGCAGGCAGCCGGCGGCGAGTGCGCCGAGGAGGGTCGGTGGGAGGCACTGCTCGCCCGGCTGCGGCTGCTGCTGGTGGTGGACGTCTGGCACCCGGAGGCTCGGGCGGCGGGAGGGCCGTTCCACGCGGCAGGCGGACACGAAGCCAGTCACATCGGCGGTGCCAGCGTCACCACCTCGGCCGGCAAGAGAAGAAGACTCTCGCCAGACCACCCATCTGCCGCGCGTCTCGAGACGAGAGGTGAGATGTGAGACTCTCTGTTGTTGCGCGCCGATATGTTATGTGTGCGACCGGTTTCGCGCCGAAATGCGAAATCGATGAGAGGACACCGACACAGCGGCTTCGCACAGGACAGCCGACGCGCGGCCGAGGTGCATGTGCATGTGCATATGTTGCTCATGTTCACAACACGTTCTACCGGATTGGGCCGGCGCTCTTTCACAGTACACAGAGAAAGCGAGACGCGCGACATGTGAGTGAGGGGCCGATCGATGGGCCGCGCTTTGCATGGGTCGACAATATCGTTGTCCGACCGACACGCTGCGCCTATAGGCCCGGGCTCCTCGAGTTATGGCGTCTGCGAGCCATACTCACCCCGCGCCAGCAGCGAGGGGGAGGGAGAGTCTGCGTAGGGTGGCCGTCTCCAGGTGCGGCAGCGAGCGGTGGGTGCGAGGGTCGACGCACGCGAAGCGCGTCTGCAGGATCTGCAGCACGTCGCCGTGCGCAACGAGCACCACCATGCACCGGCCGGGCAACTCCGCCTCCAGCCGCTCGACTACGCCCCACGCCCGCTCGCGAACGCTGGTGACAGGCTCTGATCCAAACTCGGTGTGGGTTGCGCTGACCGCGTCGTGCACCCACACGTCTGCGTATCGACTGTCTGGGCCGCCGCTCAGGGTCCCAAACGAGCGCTCGCGGAGCAGCGTCTCAGCGCACACGGCTGAGGCCGGAACGCAGGACAGCCCGCGGGAAATCACGGCGGTGTGGACAGCCTGCGCCGTCTGCCAGGCGCGTTTAAAGTCCGAGCTGACGATTGCGACGCCGTCGACGCCCGTCGAGAGCGCCTCCGCGCACACCGCCTCTGCGGCGCGCCGAGCTTGCTGGAGGCCCGTCTCGCTGAGGCCGTGATGGTTGCAGGCGACGGCTGGGTCGGAGGAGATTACGCCCTCGACGTTTGCGAGCGACTGGCCGTGCCGAAGCGCGTAGTAGTTGTGTCGAAGCGGTGTGACGGCGGCGGACGCAGCACACATCAGGAACCAACAAGCGCCAACAATACACCTCCCCCTGCAACAAGCGCTCATACCAGGGCCCAATGTCAAAAAGAATTCGGAAACCCAATTGCTCGCGACACACATTTCTTGGTGAGCCACACATACCGGACATCATCACGACGTCGGCGTTGGCGTCAGGATAAGCGCTAGGGAGCGGATCGCATTCAGCGCAGCCTCCGAGGCCGTCGGCGTGCAAGCCCCGCAGAGGTGCGGGCGAGAGGGCGGCCCGAGCCCGAAAGGGCCCGCCCTCGACCTTGCTCTACATGGTAACGGATAAGAAGAGAAACACCCCCGGACCGGGACGCCGGCGGTCGAGTCGGGACACGCTGTGGTTCAGACGTCCCCCCCCTCGACGCAGTCGAGTGACTGACATGAATAGGGAGGAGAAAGTGTCCCCCACATATCACCACAGACGCAGCACAGGGGCTCCAATCCTGTCCGCCGGGGCCTCGGCTAGATCTCCAGTGGGGAGTGCGAGGGCTGGATCGACTGCAGCGAGAGTGTGGGTTGTGGACCGTCGGGATAGCGTGTGGCGTAGATGTTCTCCTGGAAGTAGAGAGGCTGATGTCTCTCGCCCTGCAGGAAGGAGAAACTCGGACGGCAGAGTGAAAACTCCTCCCTGCGGCATGTGCGCAGAACGGGTTGCGCAATGTGCGGCATCGTGTTGAGGGCTCGGGAGGGCAACGACGGCAGCGTTGCCGAGCTTGTACAGGGGCCTCAATCCTGTCCCCGATGGGGTGCGCCTCTCGCCGCGCGCGTAGCAGTCGGCGCGCGGGTAGCCTCAGAGATGCGCAGAGCGAGATGCGGTTATCAGCAAACCAAGCCCTGGGCTTGGATGGGCGCGGCGAAGCCGCGGCGCAGTGGATAGCGTGAAGAACTCGAGATCGCTGGGATCTTGAGCCGCCGCTACCACGTGCAAGCCCCGCAGAGGTGCGGGCGAGAGGGCGGCCCGAGCCCGAAAGGGCCCGCCCTCGACCTTGCTCTACATGGTAACGGATAAGAAGAGAAACACCCCCGGACCGGGACGCCGGCGGTCGAGTCGGGACACGCTGTGGTTCAGACGGTCGGGAGGAGGAGCGGCGGGGCCGTGATTGCACGTTCCACGTGACTCCGCACATCCGTAGCCCAGGTTTGCCCACGCTGGAGCGGGGCGCAGCGGCGTCGGAGGTGCCGACATGCATCGGAGATCCGGATGACGTGGCGAAGGGGACATCTAGGGAGAGCTGGTCGTTTCCGCAGGCGAAGGACAAGACGGATTTTTCAAAAAAAGAATTGGGACAACGAGTTTAAACAAAAGAACTCGAAAAAGAGTTGGGCGCATGATACACATTTCTTGCGGGTGCGCACTGTGCCTCTGTGTTCGTGCGTCGCCCATTTTTGAAGGTCAGCACACAGCATTGTTTCGGCTTCAACGCGATACATGTCGACATGTTGCACTCGAACGATAGAGATCTATAAATAAATAAATAAAACGGACATCCCAAGCTAGGCCTAGGGCTGGGTCGAGGACACAGACACGATAGAGATCTGCACAAGAGTCAAGACCTCTGGGGGGAGGCGGGGGCCCCCGGAGGCACCATGCGCCGCGCAGCAGTGCGGAAACGGGGCTCCGGCGCTCAGAGTCACTCAGAGCACCGACTTCCCGAATGATCACGGTTGATCAGAGGGCAGATTCGGAGAGATCTCGAGGAGTACATACAGATAGACCCTCCAATCATGAGAAACCTCCAACTTGATCGGTCGTACTGACCGCCGACAGATCACTCCAGACAGCAGACAGGCCGACGTCTGCACGCGGCCGGCCGGGCGAGAGGCTTGACACGATCCGACCCTGCGACCCTGATGCTGCTGCTCTAGCTATCAGACATGCGCTGCTGACTGCTGCCACAATGTGCGACCGGTGCCACTGTGTGCTTTATCGTACAATGGAGAAGTTTACTTCGTAAGGTACCCACTCCCAACATTATTCCGCGACCCCCAACCTAGCTGCCCGGGCCTCCCACCTCACAAAGATTTGGCAAGAGCCACAAAGATTTGGCCGTCCACAAATGAGTGGCCAGGCCTCGTCCTCGACCGCAGCCGCGCCCGGCGCTCCACATCCACGGCCGCAAGGCAGGGCGCCGAAGGAGCACACGTGGGATGGAAGCTACGGGGAGAGCGGTGCCTGGCTGCACAACGTCACCGGGCTGCCCTGGGCCAAGGGCGGGCGATCAGCAGCCTCGATGGCTCAGCAGCGCGAGCGCAAGCGCGAGGACAAGCGCGACAGGAGCGGCAGGCCGGAGGCGTCCGGCGCGCAGAAGCGCAAGAAGGGCGCGGTGGAGGCGGAGCGGCGCGACAGGAACCGGCGGCTGAACGTCATCAACCAGTACCGCACAGCGGCTCGCAAGAAGAAGAAGATCCCACTCGACTCGAGCCAGGTGGCGCGCACTAGGGAGGAGAAGCGGCTTCTGGGCGACAATTTCGTGCACGAGGGCCAACGCGTGCGCGTGATCGAGGGGCTGCACGCTGGCTGCTGCGGCGTCGTGCTCGAGCGAGCCGTGCTGTGGGAGTGCGGCAGGGCGGTCACGGCCGTCGTTGAGCCGGAGCATCACCATGATGTGCTGCTGGACGAGGATGAAGATGAGGCCGGGCCGCGCCGCATTTCGCCTTACCAGGTGGAGCCGTGGCCTCGCGTCGGGCAGCAGGTCGGGCTTGATCTCAGCTTGATCTCAGCTTGATCTCAGCTTGATCTCGGCTGGACCCTGGCTGGATGCCTGGATCTCGGATCTCGGCTGGATCTCTGCAGGTTTGCTGGCTGCCCGGCGAGCCCAACGCGATCGCCACGGTGACGTCTTTCCACGGCGGCGACGACAACGGCAGCGGCTACATCCTCTCTCGCCGCCTCTACGCCTCGCCGGCGACCGTCGAGGCGATGGCGGGTGGCGAGGTGCGTGGGACACGAGCAGCTTGAGTCATGAGCAGCTTGAGTCATAAGTCACGAGCTAAGAGTCACATAGCCGTGCAGGTGCGCGTCGGCTCGTGGGTGCGGCTGCTGCCGCCGCATCCAGAGTCATCGCCCGAGCTAGACGTCTCGACAGCCAGGCTGCCCGACGAGCCGTCGATCAAAGACGCGCAACGGATGCTTCACGAGCTCAACCTGCATGACGTCGCTGAGTTCAGCTCGGAGCAGCTGCACGAGCTCGTGACGTTCCCCTACTATCACCGAGTGCCCGGCTGGCACGCGCCGGCCATGTCTGCACAGCCCACACCGAGCACGCATCCGCATAGCTGGGTCTCAGCAAGCGCCGAGTTCCTGCCGTTGCGAGATGTGTATGTCGTGCGCGGTGCATGCACGGCGTGCGGAGATTGCCTCGAGCTGGAGTGCGTGACCATGGCATCTCATGATACTCTAGAGCCGCTCGGTAGCGAAAGCGAGCGAGATCCGTGCTGCGCACATTGCAACCACGACCACATGTTCAAATGCGCGCACATGGGTCACGCCGGCGAGTGTGTGTATTCGTGCCCAGAGTGCGAAGTGTCCGGTTCGAGCGATGGCGAGTCGGGTGCCAGCGATGACGACAGCGGTGAGTAGGTGAGTCTACCCTAAAAGTACTCCATTGTACCCATGCGGAGCCTTTATCCGGCGGTATTTTTGGGCTATCTCTCCTCAAAAACGATGTCTAGCGCCCGCTCGCAGCCGGCACGCGCCGCGCCCCTGGGCGCTCCCCGCTGCGGCGCGCCGCCCGCGCGCGGGTTGCCCGGGCGAGCGACCGCCACCGCTCGCCCCTCAGCACCCTCTGCCCGCGCACGGCCGACGCGCAAGCCCGCGGTCGCGCGCGAGCCGTCGCTTTGCGCACGCCGCCTTCCACCCGCGCTCGCTCGCGATCGAGTCAGACGACCCTATGTTCCGAGTAGCGGAGGTGTGCTTGCACCCCCTTCCCAAGGCACATGCACTTTGGAGGGAGAAAGTAACCGCGGCAGCGGCCGCAATCTCACATTGTGCGCGTCACCCCCAGCAGGCGCGCTCTCGGCGTGCTGCTGCTGCACAGGTTTTGCGGCCGCCCCGAGAGGGGGAGCGGCCGCTCCTCCGCACCATCGGCCCACGGCATCCTGGGCGGCGTCGGCGCCGCCCCAACGGCCGGCTCGGGCGCTTGCCGCCCCGCCTCGGCTACACTTTGTCGCGGCGATCCAGCGGTGCGCCGCCGCACCGCGCGACTCCCCGGAGCCTCTGTACGGCGCGATGAGCCGCCTCGGCTGCCGCCGTGGTTGCGCCGGCGCCCCTCCCGCACGGCGCGACGCGACCGCAGCCGCGTGCGTGGTCTCACTCACCTCTCCCGCCCGCGCGTCCGCCTCTCAGACCCGCGCCTCCCCTTTCCCAGGCGCCATCACCGGCACGGCCGCCGCCGCCCGTGCGGCACCCGCGGCACCTCCCGCCCCCCCTGGCGATGCTGGCCGCTACCCCGCCGCCGTAGCTACCCTCCCCATCGCTGGTGCACCGCCTCCGCCGCCCCCCTCGGCGCTTCGCCCGTGATTTTGCCGCCTCCTCCTCCACCACCACCCGTCTAAGCTTCCGCCCGCCTTCTCGCCACCGCCGTCCGCGCCACCTCAGCCGCCCTCCCCGGCGCTGCACCGGCGCTGCAGTGCCGTCGGCGCCGCCGCCCGTGCCGCCTCGGCCTCTGCGCCTCCAACCTCGCCGCGTCCGCAGCGGTTCCGCCCTCGGCGCCTCCCACCTCTCACCCGCCAGGTCGAACTTCCGCCGACGATGGTGCCACCGCTGCCGCCCCCCCCGCTCGAGCCTCGGCCGCCGCACCCCGCCGTCCGCGCCCCGCCGCCACCCCCTCCGTCACGGCACACGCCGGCACCACCGCTACTACCGCTGGCTCCGCCCTAGACGCCGCCGACCGCTCGCAAGAGCGGCAAGCCCGGGGCCGACACCCCTCTGTTAGGTGACGGTCGACGGCTCCTTTCGAGGCTTTGTGGCCCTTTAAGAGGGCACCAGCAGCTTGGGGGGCGCGCGCTGGATGGCCGGCGCGGTGGAGCAGCGGCGCGGAGCCGGGGGTTCGACGTGCGGCCGTCGGTGGCGCGACACGCGGCCTCCGGCGGCGATTCGCCGCGGCTCCGGCGGTGCGATTTTTGTGCGTTTTCGAAGGCTGTGGGCGGGATAAGGCCGGCTAGACCGGCCCTGGTGTGCCCTAGTGTGTTCCCTTACACCCCTGGCCCGGGAGCAGTAGCGCGGTGCGCGTCCCGAGGGCGTAGGGGCTCAAAAAACAATTGATTGTTTTTTCAGCCACTTAGAGCACACAGTGTGGCCCACTTGGCGGCCTTCCCGGTCAGTGGTGAGGCGCAGTTCAGAGCTGTCGATGGCGCGATGCCGCACTGGTCCCACATCGGTGACACGAGACCACCAAGTTTGCCGGTCCAAGAGAGAGGCACCGGCGCTGTCCTGAGAAGGTGCATGGTCCCTCCTGACTGCCCATTAGCACGAGGCTGTGTAGGCATAGCCTCGAGAGTGCCAGCAGCTGATCCGAGGCAGTTTGTGACGCGCATTGCGTCAGAAGCGTGCACGCGCTGGAAGGACACCTTGGGCCTTCCTACTGGCCGTACGATCAGGTCATCACTGAATGCTGAAGACTAAGGCCGCGAGCTATGCAGGCGGTCAGTTGCTGAGCAGCATGGCACGGTCAGCAGCGCCGAAAGGATGTCGCAAGGCGGTGATAGCATGGCCGCAAGTACGCCGAATTCCCATGAAAACAAAGTAAAAAATCGCGCAAAAAAGAAATTCAAAAAATCGGCGCCGGCGGCTGGCTGGGGGACCCCATCTCCCCCCCGCATGGGTACCCCCTAGGGCCCTCGCCTCCCCCCAGAGGTCAAGACGGGCCGCCGTTATTTTTATGTTACCATCTATACTGGCTAGTCTACTCCCATGCGCGGCCTCCAAAGAGGACCCACCTCCGCACATTCTCGCCAAAGAGCATCCTCCTTTTCCGCCACTTCTTCCTCCGCGGTGCCGCGGCGCCGTACACCTCGGCGCCAACCCTGGTCTCGCCTTCCGGTATCAGCGGTGGCGGCGGCGGCGGCGAGGCGGCCACAGCGTCCGCCACCGCCACCGCCGGCACCGCCGCATCCGCCACCGCCGGCACTGCCACCACCGCCGTCTCAGGCACTACCGCCGTGACCTTTGCCACCGCAGCCTCCGCCACCGCAGCCTCCGCCGCCGCCGCCTCCGCCGCCGCCTCCGCCTCCGCCGCCGCCGCCGCCGCCGCCGCCGCCGCCGCCGCCGCCGCAGCCTCCGCCCCCGCCGCAGCCACCGCCCCCGCCGCAGCCGCCGCCTCCGTCGCCGCCTCCGCCTGGGCCGCCGCCGCCGCCGCCGCCGCCGCCGCCGTCTCTGGCCTCTCCGCCTCTTCTGCCGACTCGACTGCCGGCGCGTCAAAGCCGAGGTAGCCCTCCTTGAGGTTGGCGAGCAGGGCCTTCCCGTTGGCCTCGCACGCGCCCTTCACGATCGCAGTCCCCGCCGCCTCCCACGCCCTAAGGGCGAGCCCCCTGAGCGGCGCCTGCTTGATGGCGAGCTCGAGCGAGATGGCTGTGTCCACGCTCCAGCCGCCGGACGCCTCGGGCGCCCACCGCACCTCGTTCAGCGCGTCGATGGAAATGGTGCGCGAGAGCTTCTCGCCGACGCGGCACTGCCCCTTGAGCACGCGAACGGCGACGGCGCCGCCCGCCGACGCCGCCGGCTCCCGGTCGATCTGCATCGTGAAGACCGGCGTAATGGCGAGCGTGAAGAATTTGATCGGAGAGAGCTCGCACTCGTAGACACCGTCCGTCGGTCCGGAGACGGAAGTCGCCGACAGAAGAGCCTCGTCGCTGTGGCGCGAGCCCAGGTACTCTGAGAGCGGGCCCGCCGGCAGGCGCAGCGAGCTGCCGGCGCTGGCCGCGAGCCGGTTGGTGACGAGCTTCAGCAGCACGGCCGCACGGCCGTCCGTGTGGGCGCAGAGCCGGCGCTGCGGCGACGAGAAGAAGGCGGCGGTGGTCGAGAGGAGTGCCAACATCGGGTTGCGAGAAGCGGCGAGTTGAAGGCCGATCGTCGCAGTGGTCGCAGCTCACGGCCCGCGTTTTTCTTTCTTTCAAGGCCGGTCCACTCCGAGAGGACCGTGTGCGTGCCTGTCGGAGCCACTCAGAGTGGCTCGACCTGTGGGATGTGCATACGCCCTTCGCCTCGGGGTTGCAGGTTGGTGCGTGACCGTGTGTTGCGTAAGTATGTATGTACCTACAACCGACCGGGTATCCTCCTGCCGCTCGTCATCCTCCGCCTCGAGGGCGTCCGCCAGCGCGCTGCGCCGCACACCCCGGCGCACAGGAGGCGGCGCCGGCCGCACCTCGGCCGCCTCGGCGTCGCCCGCGGCACGGGCGCCCCGCTCGCCGTCCGCGCGGTCCATCGCCGCATCCCCATCCCCGTCTGCGGCAGCGCCGCCTGCGCCCGCGCCGGCCTGCTCTGGGACGGCGCGCCACCGCTCGTCGTCCAGCATGTGCCACCACCGCCGATCCGGGTAGCCGTCGTACTCGACCTCGTGCACGATCCGTCCGTCCCCGTCCTCCCCTCCCGCGCCATGTCCCATGACGGTCGCAGGGTACCACCGCTCACTGTCGCAGAAGATCTCGAGGCGCGATCCGGTGGACAGGACAGTGTGGCCGTTGAGCGCCGCCCTGGCACCCTCGCGCTTTCGCTTCCGGCGCATCGCCTTCGTCTCCTTGCTGCGCAGCAGGGTGTAGTTCGGGCCCGCCTCCGCCACGCTGTCCAGCACGTGGACGGCGCTCGCCATCTCGACCGCGTCGTCCTCCGGCGGAAGCTCCGCGTCGCCCGCGGCCGCTTCCCGAGCGCGCTCGTCGCGCATCCGCTCGTGGTGGGCCCCACGCCGGCGCCCGTGTGCCTCGCCGCCGCGTCCGGCGACGGCATCGATGCTGTCCGCCCGAGCGTGACTGTCTCGCCACTCCACGATTTGCGTCCACGACCCACGACCGCCGAAAAGTCTCCCATTGTCGCTGCCCCAAACCTAAATCGTCTCTACAGTTACATACATACTTGTCGGTGATTGCGCCCACTCTCGTCGAACAGGCCGCCGCGACTCCCTCGCCAACACCCAACTCCAACAAGGGCGACCGCACCTCCAAGCACAACGGGGTGCTAAGGGCCGCCCAGAATGCCATCCGGGCACGCTCGGTTGGCAGCATCATCCTCGGGGACAAGGAAAAGCCCGAGGTGACGCGGCACCTCAACGACACGTCAGTGACTGACATCTGCGAGCTCGGCAGCGACTTCGCCACGATGCGGGACGTGCATTACGAGGTCAAGTGCTGGAACCCGCTCATCAAGTCGACGACGGCGGGGAGAGGCTCGTGGGACAATGGTGGCAATGTGGCGTCGGTGGGCCACCTCTACGGGTTTCTTTGGAAACACGCTAGACAAGGCGTTGACGGGGGTCGTGGGGTGGCCGTCAGGTGTGGACGGACCGCTCGACCGCTCGACTGGAAAGGGATGGGTCAAAGACCACGCGCGTGGAAAGGGATGGATCAAGACGGATGCAGGATCATGGAAGTGGACGGGGGCGCAGTACTACGACGCGAAGTGGGTCAAGAAAGCCATAACGCGGCTGGTGCTTGTGGAAACTTTGGGTGGCATTGCGCCGCCCACCAAGCAGTTCCCCTCCACGTGTTCGCCAAGGAAGCGGCGGGCACCAACACGGACCGGACGGTGTATGGGGCGGCGTCGGCGAGCGCCTCCTCCTTTGTCGTCCACCACACGCAGCAGATCTCCATGGCGGCGGTGGCGGGCGACGCCGAAAACATCAACAAGCAGGCGCGCAATGCGCGTGCCGACTGCGGACTGGGTTAAATCCCCTGGGCGTGCCAAATGGGTCAACGACGTCGTCGTCGATCGAGAACAAGCAAGCGGCAGACGTCCTCTTATCCTCGGCCCCAGTGGGGGGCGCCCACGCCGCCTAGCTCTGCGGGCGGGCCCCTCCACCCTCTTCTGCCTTCACGTACGGATCATGTATAGTCCCCACAATCGCTGTCGTGGGATCACTTGTCATGTGAGTGCGTTAAAGAAAGAAAGAAAACAGTCAACCCAAGGGAGGGATGGGAGGACGGCACGCCGCCACCACACAGGGATTTTAAGGAGAGGAGTGTGGTGCTAGCCGTCGCCCACCGGCTAACCCTTGGTTGGTCGTCTGCCTCTTTCTATCTCCCTTCGCAGTCCCTCGCCGATTCTCGCTGCAACCTTCATGCCACCTCGCGGTCGTCCCACTCTCGTCGTTCTCCCTCCTGTCGCTTCCTCCTCTGTCGCGTCGCTCACGTCTGCCTCGTCCCGACGCCGCCGCCGCCTGCCGATGTCTTTCTTTTTGCGGCCGAGCGAGGTACCCCAGTCCAGGTACACTCGATCAATGCGATCCAGCCGACGGCTGACTCACCACGCCGCGTCGCCCTCGCTCGTCCTCCCCGTGATCAGGCTGCCCTCTGCTATCCTTCCCGGCACGCCAGTCTCGCTGCCCGTCGCCGAGTCGCGCTCCGAGGAGCGGCCACCTCCGGGCTCCATCACGCCCGCCGTCGCCGGCGCCATCTCTGGCGGGCGGGTCGCGCTCTTTTCGGACGGCGCGCGCAGCGGTGTCGTTTGCGACGTGCTCACCGTCGGCGGCGGCCTCGCTCACGTCGTCGGCAGCGCGCAGCGGGTCGCGCTGCTCGAGCCGCTGCAGCGCACCAGCGAGGGAGCGCGGCTCGCCCGCTTTGCAGCGCTCGAGGACGATGCTGTCGAGGACGCGCGCTCGCTCGAGGGCGAGCACGCCTCCGCGCGCGCTCTGCTCGAGGCGCACGTCCGCACGCCCGCCCCGGACTGGGACCTGCTGCTCTGCACCCTCGACGAGGAGCTGACCGTCCTTCCGCCCGGCGCGGACCCGGCCTCGCACCCGCGGTGGGTGGAGTGCGCGGCGGTGCCAGAGGACGCGGTCGGCCTGACCTGGTGGCTGGCGAGCCGCCTCCCGCTCGCGACGGCGCTGCGCCACCACCTGCTCGAGTGCGGCTGCCCGCTCAAGCGGCTGCGCGACACCGTGGACGCGATGCGGCTGCTCGCCAACCCGGCGGCCGAGTACGCGCGGCTCCGCCACTGCGGCTCGGGCGCCAAGCTGCGGCTCGTGTGGAACACCGCCGAGGCGTCGGGGTGCGAGCTGGAGCCGCCGACCCCGGTGGTCGACTGGGCGCACGGGGGGTCGATGGGCGTGTCGCGGTACTGACACACGGGTTCGGGAGAGGAGCACATGCGTGCTGGCTGCGTCTTGTTCGCAGAGGATGGAAGAGGGTTCGTGTATTTACTTGCGCACTCTGACACGAAAAAAGCGAATACCACCACATTGCCGATTTAATGTTCACGTCGATATCAACGTCCACCGGCACTCGCGACTCGGCAGACGGCACTCGCTTGTCTCGCTACTCGCAAGCTTTTTTTTCGCTCCAGTCCTGCGGATCTACAGTAGACCGGAGGGCTACGAAGCCTTCACACTTCAAGGGGCTGGTCCACCGGCTCGCATCGCATATCTCTCGGGAGCTTGTGTGTGGTTTGTGCGAAGCAATCGCGCGCCCCGTGCCCGAGAGCCCGAGAGGAGAGGGTGTGGAGCGAGCTGCGAGTTGCAAGAGTGGCGGTGAGCCCTCCCTCCTGTGCTAACCGGGCCACAACCAAGACGTGTTGCGCCCCCCACGATTCCACAATTCCACATGCACATTCAGTGTTGTCGAAAGTACGCAACAAGCTAGGCAGGTCTCGGCAAGGCAGGTGGGAGAAGCTGGCGGCAGCGCGGCAGGGATCCGAGTGCAGAACACATGTAGAGGCTCTCTTAGAACGGCTCGAGTGTGGAGGCACACGCCCCTTTCTTTTTGCGGGGTTTCACGCATCCAAGAGGGGGGAAGGGCGAGGGGCGGGTGCGCTTCGACACGCTGCGAGGGGCGAGGCGACTATGGGTGCGCTAGGTACTTACTGAGAGCGCGGTGCATGTTGGCGACGGAAAGCTGGCAGATCAGGAGGTCTAACAGACTGGTTAGCCAGGGGGCACTTGGAGCACTTGGAGTGCAGTCGGTAGCCTCACATCCAGGGCGGGGAGCTGAGAAGCGCACCCAGCGGGCCGGATGATCCAGGGCTTCACAGCGCCTCGCTTGCAGCTCCTCGGCCTGGGCGGGCTGGAAAAGCTTCTTCCGCCGGCACGCCCACCCCGCACGAAGCCAGAGAGGGAGGAGAAGCGCTCGAGATGGACGCCGGGCCAGCGCAGAACGTGCAGGCCAGCGACGACGTATCAAAAGTTGCGGCGGCCACATCGCCGCGCAGCGCCAGCGCACGACGCTGCTGCGCTCCCGACGGCCAAGAGAATGGTCAGGAGCCAAACTCGACGGGCTTCGTCAGCGATGCACGGCTGGCCTCGCTCAGCGGCAGCGGTACGCGCGATGTCCCTCTCTCGGACCACTTACGCTTACGCTCGGACCGCTCGTCGGATCAAGACAACGCCGGCGGGCATGCTTCGCCGAGCACTGACCCCCCGCCGCCGCTCGCGTCCCGCGGGGCGCTGAGCGCCGTCAGCCGTGCGCCAGGAGGCGGGCGTGGCGGCGGCGGCGCCTTCCAGTCGCCGCCAGAGTCGGTCAAGCCCTCCGAGTCGCTCATCGCGCCGATGGCACAGGTGAACGCAGCGCCGGCGCCTCCACCGCTGCAACTCCCGTCCCCCTACCTCTCGCAGCAGCAGCAGCAGGGACGTTGCTCGTGGGCACGCGCCGCTCGCCGCTCGCCCCCCCGCTCCTCCGCTCCGGCCACGGATTCAAAACCGGTGCAGTGCCCTCTGTGCTACCAATACTTCCACCCCGACGTGATCCGTGGCCATGCCGCCACCTGCGGAGACCCCCCGTCGCCGCCTACCAACTCGCCCATCCCGACCGAGCCGCGACGCATCGCCGACGCGCCGCCGCCGCGTCACGCCGAGAAGCAGCCCGACCAGCTCTTTCACAAAGTGCAGCATATCTCCACGCTGCTGGGAGAGACGCCCCTCCGACCGGACGAGGACCCGACCGCCTTGCTTTTGCAGTGGGTCGACATGCTCGAGATCAAGCCGACGAGCGCCGGCGATCCACTCTGGCTGGCCGACAAGTGCATCGAAACCTTGCAGCGCGCCGTCGTCACCGTCCACAAGCCGGACGACAAGCGCAACTTTCGTGTGCGGGTGCCGTGGATCCGCGAGAAGCTCGGCCTCCCGCCGCCGCACCAGCCGTACTTTCTCGCCATCAAAGCAGCGAGCGAGAAGGCGGGCCTCGCCTCCACCACCGTCGGGCTGCTGGTTCAATGCGACCGGCTCGAGGAGGCGCTGCGCCTCTGCGACGAGATTTGGCGCGACGGCCTGCAGCTGCCCTCCGATGGCACGACCCTGCCCAAGCAAGTCGAGGTAATACGACCAGAGAGAGAGGATTGGCCGAGATTGGATTCACACGAAGCGCCCCACGCCGTATGGCAACGATCCGGTATTGATCGAGACAAAGTAACCCCCGCCCCGTACCCCCACCCCTCCCTCCATTTCATACTAACAGGTGATTTGCACAGCGCTCTCCCTCCCGCGGCGGGGCCTGCTCGATACGCTTACCGAGGCGCACAAGCGGATGTTTGAGGACGAGGCGACGGAGCCCGGGGCGGCGCCATTCCAGGTGGCGCTCCCCGAGAAGGTGGCGCAGATCGCAAACGTGCTCGGCACCGACTCGCTGCCCGTCGGGGGGAGCCTCGTCGACACGCTACACGCCGCCAACGAGATGGTGGGCCTGCAGGGCGAGGGAGGGCTGGTCGAGCAGGCCGACCGGCTGCTGGAGATGATGCTGCGTCCGTCATGCCCGCCGCCGCCGCCTCCCCCGCCGCCTCCCCCACCGCCGCCGCCCCCACCGCCGCCGCCCCCGCCGCCGCCGCCGCTGCCCCCGCCAGACGTTGAACCCGAACTCTCGCCGTCTGTGGCGTTGGCCACTGGCGACGATTCGAGCACAGGACCGCTCACAACCTTCTCGCCGGCTGCCGCCACCGCCGTCCGATCCGAGCTCCTGGCCTCCCTCGGGCGCCGGATGCCTGCCCCCGTCCCTCACGCAAGCGTGCCCTCCTCTGCGCGTGCGGCCTCGCCACCTCAGAGCCCAATCCCGTGGCAGCCAGCCTCGCGCTCCTCGCCGCTCTCGCCGTCCGGCGCCGCGTCTCCTCCTCCGTCTCCAAGGTTGACACAGCAGGCGGCGTCGCCCTCCCGCTCGCCGCTCACCAAGGCCGGCAAAAGTGCCGGCAAGACCAGCGTCAAGACCAGCGTCAAGAGCGGCGAGCCGTCGCGGCTGTTCAAGGCGGACCGTGGGCGGCTCGTGCTCGAGCGGACTGACCAGCTCTCCGCCAAGGCCGTGGCAGCGGCGAGCGGCGAGAGTGCAGGGCCACCTTCGCCCTCGTCGCTCTCGGCCAGTGCGCGGTCCGTCTCGCCCTCCTCGCCCTCGGCCTCGCCGAGGACCGGTGCACGGCCGAGCACGCCGCGGACGCAGCCACGCAAGCCCGCCGCAGGTGCCCGTCTCGCGCCCTCGCCATGTGGCCCCTGTCGAGACAGCGCCCCCGCCACACACCGCACACTCAGGCGTCGCCCCCCCCCCCCCCCCCCGTTGCAGGGAAGTCCAGCTCCAAGCCCACGCCGCCACCCGAGCCGGTGCCCTTCAGCATCGCCCCGCAGTGGTCAGAGGCCAAGCCGATCCCGCAGCGGCCCGCGCCCCCGCCAAAGCCATCGGCGCCCGCGCCGGCACCGCCGCCGCCAAAGCCGCCAGGACAGTCCTCCCCCAACGGCACGAACAAGGAGGGCGTGGCACCGGCGCCCAGCCCCCTCGCGAGGGCGTCCTCGTTGCCGGCGGGCAAGACCAAGGACAAGCCCGCTCAGGTGCAGCGGTCGGTGAGCAGCACCGCCGCACTGCACGCGCCGCGGCCACGGCGCTCCGTTGCGCCTCTCGACGCGCCCGCGGTGCCGCCTCTGAGCCGCCTCGCGCAGCGCACCCGCCTGGACCGCGACGCGCTGGCGCGCAAGCCGACGCTACCGCCCGCCGAGCTGAGCGCTGCGGCCGAGAAGAGCCTCTCTGCGTTCGCCGGGCCGACGCCGCCCAAGGCCGCCCCCGTCAGCGCCCCTCTCCTGTCGGAGGCAGAGATGAAGCCTCGGGTGGCCCGCTGCGAGGAGTCCCTCGGCATCGAGCCCGCGGATACGGCCACCCTCGCGCAGCGGATCGGCAAGCTGGAGCGCAGCCTCGGCCTGGCGAGCAGTGCGAGCGACGGCACCCTCGAGGAGCGGCTCGTCGCCATCGAGAGGGTGGGTCTGCCGCTCAGCCGCATCGCCAACTCGGCCGCCTTCTCGCCGTCCGAGGGCAGCGAGATCAAGAAGCAGCTCGTGGCGTTCGAGGCGATGCTGCACGACGGCGCGCTGCGGCTGCGGCCAGGCCCCGAGGCGGAGCCGAGGGGCGTTCTGCGGCTGCTGACGGCCGCCTCAAAGGCCACCGCAAAGGCGGCCAAGGCAAAGCCGCCCCACGACAGCAAGCCTGCTCAAGACGATGCGGCGCTGAGGCAGGCGCGCCGGATGAACGACGCCAACGCGCGCCACGCGGCGGGCCTGCTGCTCGCGAGGAAGATGGGGCGGGGCCACCTGTCAGAGCTGGGCGCACTCTCGAAGGGCGTGGGCGAGGCCGCCATCGCCTCCCACTACGAGGACCTGCCCTTCCGGGCGATGGAGCTGCTGTTTGAGCAGGCCGCGGTGAGCCCGAACGCGTGCCTGCGCGGGCTGCCCGAGGACGTGCTCCGCCTCTGTGAGCCGCACGTCGAGCGCGTCGGAGGCCTCTCCCACTCCGATGCTCTGATCGGGCTCGGCGTCTGCGTGCGGTGCGCCAGGCCCCTCGCGCTGCCAGGGCCACCCCCCACGCTCCCCACCGAGACTTCCCGTTGCGCACAGGGCCGGCCGCGTCGACCTCCTCAACGCCCTCTTGGCGATGCCCCTCACGGCGGGATCGCACCAGGCACGCTCTGTCCCACTTCCCCGACCTAGCAGAGCCACCCCCAAACACACACTCCTCCCTGGCCTAGCGGAGCCACCCCCCCCCCCCCCCACACACACACAGTCACAGTGCCACTCAGCCCCTGGCCCGACTTATGACCTCTGCCGCTGCCAAGAGCCGCTTGACGCTGGCCTCCGCAGGAGCTGGTCCGGCGATGCGAACGCGACCTCGGTGTCGCGGCAGAGGCGACCCCCACCGAAGACGGCAGCGACGCTTTCCTCCTGACCTTCACTGGTACGACCGAGCCGCACAAGACGGCCGGCGCGCTGCGCGAGATCTACGGGAGCGTGAGTGCGCCAGTGCGGTGCGAGGTGGAGGAGGAGAAGCGCCTCACGACGATGACGTTGTCGAGCAAGGAGGTGGCCACCGCCTACCTCCAGAGGAGGGACAAGGACGAGGCGCGGACGGGGAAGCAGAAGGCGACGCAGGCAATGAAAGCGGAGCTCGAGAAGACGGAGGCTGAGGCGCGCTGAGCCGTGCATGGCGAGGCCATGGCCCCTCAAGACGCGTCACCGGCTCGTCCACGATAGGTGGAGCGTGAGAGGGGGCAGGAGAAGGAGGTGGTGGCGCACGCGGAGAAGAAGATCGAACAAGCCCGAGACTATCAGACCGAATGCGAGACATACCTGAAATTTCTCGCCTCACCGGAGCATCAGCAGAACTACAAGAAGGCGTCGCTCCGCTGCGCGCGCGAGGCGCATCTGCAAGCGGGCTGGGCACGGCTCCTCTTTGGCATCCGCGTGGCGCGGCGCGAGCGACGCACCGCCGCGCCCGCCGCGCCCGCCTCGCCGCCCGCCTCGCCCGCCTCGCCACCCACCTCGCCCGCCTCGCCCGCTCGCCCGCCCGTCTCGCTCGCGCTGGCGGCGACCTCCCCCACGAGCGTGCGAGTCCAGCTCAGCGAGGCCACGCCGGAGGCTGGCACGCTCGTCGTCAAGTCAAAGCCGGCGCCAACCAAGCCGCCGACCAAGCCGTCGACCATGCCGCCGATCACGGAGGCATCCCCGGCGACTCCCAAGCCGTGGCCGCCGAACATCCGCATCAAGGCGCGCCGTCCCTCCCCCCTCTCGCCTCCACCGCAGCCCCGCTCCCACCCACCATCACAAACCCCACCCCTCCACCCCCTCCCTCCACGCACAACACAGGTGCTCGTGGACAGCTGCGTGGACACGAAGACGCGGGCAGAGGACCCCAAGGTTGCGGAGGAGACACGGCAGTCGATGCTCAAGGACCTTTCTAGCAGGCTGAGGGACTTGAAGGGGGCGTTCGGCGTGAGCATCTCTTTTCCGGCGAAGCGCTGGGTCTGTGCTGACGGGCGCGCTGGAGACATCGAGCCGTTCAAGTGCGATTCCGACCCGGCGCCGCGCGCAAGCTCGTCCACGCGCGACTTCACGCAGGAGCAGGCGGAGAAGGCCATCCTCTTGGAGCACGAGGAGGACGCACTCGAGCCCACGATCGAACCTGAGGAGCTCGCGGAGGTCATCCGCAAGACACCCGAGTACATCAAGCAGAAGGAGCTAGAGATCGCCAACTTCAAGCACAAGGCCAAGGAGCGCGAGCAGAAGTGGGAGCATCGCCTCGTCGCTGCACGCGCGGCGGTCACGCAGGCGGAGACAGAGGAGGCCGCCGCCGAGGTGGACCTCGCCGCCAAGGAGGGCAAGCTGAAGCAGTTGAAATACTGCCATCGAGTGCAGCTCCGGCTGCCGCGCCAGACGGTGGCAAGCCTCGTCGGGGAGAGCCGGACGCTGAGCGCCTGCCTGCTCAAGTTCGACAACGCGTCGATCGGCTGCCGGCTCGCCCTCGCGCCGTCGGGCCACGGGCTCGTCGTGAGCGATGTCGCGGAGGGCTGTGCCGCCGACGCCGCAGGTCTTCTCTCAGACGACGTGATCCTCAGCGCCAGCGTGATCGCACGCGGGGACGAGACGCTCAAGGAGCCGCTCCTCGTCAAGGACGCGTCGGCCATCGCCTGCGCGCTCTCGCCCGCCGACGCATCGCTGCGCCTCTTCCTGGGCAGCGAGGAGCTCCGCTTCGAGGAGCACCGGATGATGGCCGAGGACGACTTTGTGCGGTGCGCTCCTCCGGCATGCGGGCGGAGCCCGTTGGCGACACCCACGTCACTCGCCCCCTCTCCTCCCCTTGGTGATGCCCCTCGTCTCTCACAGGTGCTACCGAACCTACTGCTGCGACAACGACCTCGTGCCGCTCGGCTCGGATGCCGCGAGCGGCTTCGACGTCTTTGCCGACCAGGCGCTGCATGACCCGAAGAAGCCGCTTGCTGGGCTGGCCAGCGACGATCTCGACCAGCAGCTCCGCAGCCTGTGGGCAGGAGCTCGCCCGGAAACGCGCAAGAAGTGCGACGACTTCGCGCACAAGGCCCGCCGCAGCACCGGCCCCCTCACTGTGCCGCGAACCCTCGCCTCCTCCATCTCGCACCGCCGCCTCTGCAGGTCGCTGCCTTCTGCGCCTTCCGGGACAAGCAGCTGGCGCGGGTCCGACGCGAGTGGTCCGCGTGGCCGCAAGAGAGGGTGGACAAGAAGCTGCTCGAGCTGTCGGGCGTCAGCGTCCCCGCCGAGCGGCGGCAGAAGCTTCTGCGCCTCGCCACCGACCAGGCGCGCAAGCTGTCCAAGCCGCACTGCTCGGAGGCGCTCTCCGACTTCAAGCTGCAGGCAGTCTCCCACCGCCTGACCGACGAGGCTGGCGTCGTGACCGCACTCGCCGCTCTCGAGTCCTCGCTGACCAAGCTCCTCGGCGCCGGCGGGGTTGTCGAGCAGATGGCCACCTTCCTCGAGAGCGACCTGGCGAGCGACGCGGACGAGTGGGCGTCGCTCCGCGACTGGGTTCTGGAGATGCGCCGCACTCACCTCGAGCTGGTCCGCGCCAAGCGGTACGACGAGGCGACCGCGCTGCTCGACTCGGCCAAGGAGAACGTCGAGGGGCGGCGCGAGGCGCTGCTGGCCAGAATGAACGAGAAGAATGAGGAGGCGATGGCGGATGCTGCCCAGTATCGCGCGCGCCCCGTCGAGGACGAGAACACGTTGGAGATGGACCACGCGGCGGCCGCCGAGGTCAAAGCGAAGGAGGTGCGCGCCGCGTTGAACAAGAGCTTGCTCGGAAAGGAGAAGGCGTTCCGGGTGGCGAAGCATCGCGCTGTGGCGGAGCATGACGGCCTGACGGCTGCAGCGGCGATGGCTACCCTGAACGGATCGCTCGTGGAGAAGGAGTACTTGGAGGCAAAGGAGGCGTCCGAAAACGCCGATGCCGACGCCAGCCGCGCCAACTCGCTTTTGCGCAACCTCGAGCGAGAGGCGCGCGAGCGGGCGGCGAAAGCCAAGCGAGAGTACGAGGCGTCGGCGGCCTTGAGGGCGGCGGCTCAGGCGCACAGCCAAAAGGCGTCGAGGTTGCTCCAGGCAGCCGAGCACCAGCTCGAGTCGCTCGCCGAGCAGGCCGACGCCCACGCGGCAGTGCGGGCCATGCTGAGGAGCGCAAAGACGACCCGCTTCGTCCGCGGGTGCAGCACCGGCGGCGCCCGCCCGAGCGGCATGCCCGCCATCGCCGAGGCCGAGGATGAGAGAGAGGCGGTGGAGGCGCCGCACCAGCAGCAGGTCATCACGCTGCAGCTGCAGGTCGAGCGCAAGAGTGCCATCCGGCTCGCCGTCGAGCGGCGCAGCGTGCCAGCGCTGCAGGCGCTACTCTCTGCCGCGGCCGCAGGCGCCAAGGCCAGCTGGCATGAGGCGCCAGACGTGCGCCGCGCGCTCGCGGACGCGTGGCGCGGCGCGCTCGCTTGCCCGCCGGTCGACAACAGCGTCGTGCTCGGCCCTCGGTCTGCGGCGCAGGCCGACGCCCTCGGCGGGTGGCGGGCGCCTCTCGAGTGCTTGTGGCAGGCGCTGCCCGCCGGCGCACTCACGCGGTGGTCTCTCGGCGCTGCCACCGAGGGCGAGGTCGAGGCGTGCCTCGCGTCGGAGTCGCGCACGACCAACGGCGTGCTGGCCGGTGTGCTCCGCTCCGACGACGGCTCGTTGCATTCGCTGCTGGAGTTGCTCCTGAGCCAGCGCGCCGCCGACCCAAAGGCGGGGCCGCACGCCCTCGACCGGCTGAGGAAGAGGCTCGGCGAGTGCGGCATCGACGAGGAGAGCAAGCCCGGCACGCCGCTTGCGCCAGGAGCGGCCCTGTCGGTGCTCGCTGGCGCGCCAGCGGACCAGGTTTTGCGGGTCTCGAGCATCAAGGCTCTCGCGTGTTGCTGCGGAGCCGAGCGCCTTGCGTGCGATGACTGTGACCAGCGTGACGCGAGTACTGTAGGAGCTCTGCTCGCTGCTCGAGGGCATCGCCGCCCTGCTGCCCTTTGAGGTTGGAGGGGCGCCACCGCTGCTTGAAGCGCTGCAGGAGGCGGCTGCGGGCGACGTGCGCCCTCGCGCCCTGCTCGTGGCGCACTTGTGCGAGGAGGCTGCCGACCTGAGCGGCTGGTCGCCCCTGCACATCGCGGCGTGCATGGACGACGTCGAGGCGACCGAGGCCCTCCTGCAGGCGGGCTTCTCGGCGCTGGCTGAGGCGCCGCTCACGGGCGCGACGCCGCTCTCGTGCGCCGCTGTCTGCGGCAGCCAGCGCGCGCTCACCTCGCTCTGCGCGTTCCAGCTCCCAGCTATCGAGGCGGAGTCCATCAAGACGGATGCAGAGAAGAGGGCGGCGCTGACGCGGCTGCTGCCCGCGGTGGCGGAGCAGTGCGACGAGTCCTCGGTCACTCTGCTCGGGCCGATGCTCACCTTGCTCGTGCGCCACGGCGCCAACCCCGCCGCGCAGAGCGAGCCGTTCGAGCTGAGCGCTGGCAGCCCCGCCCGCTCCCTCTCCCCCTTCGAGGTGCTGCTGCGGCAGTGCCTCCCGTGGCTCGCGTGGGCGCACCTGGGGCTCGAGAGCAGCAGCGGGCAGGCAGAGGCGGCGGCGTGGCAAGCCGCGGCGCAGAGCCTCGCCGTCGGCACGGCATTCGCGCGGCCCTCTGAGGGTGAGCCGCCCTCCGCCGCCGCGGTGGGGGCGCAGGCTGTCGGCCGGCTCCTCCTTGCGTACGTGCCGTTTGGCATCTGGCCGGCGAAGGCGCAGGAGGAGCTGAGGACGGCGCTCGTCACCAGGCAGGATGGGCGGTGGGCTGACGCGCCACTGCACGCCTTCGCCATGGCGCCGCACGCGGCTCTGCTTCCCGTCGTCGAGGCGCCTGCGCCTGGATGAGCGCACAGTCACCTTCCCGGAGGAGTTGGAGCTGACGCCCCCCCCCCCACCCCCCTCCCCCCTCCCAACCTTTTGCTAGGCGCTGCTCCAAGGCGACGCCGACCCCAACCTGAGGTGGCCGGACACAGGCCGTTGGTGCGGCCAGTCGGCGACGCACCTCGCCGCCGCGGGCGGGCTGTACGTCTGGGGGCGCGACAGGGACCGACCGACGGTGCGCAGTGGCGGCGAGAGTGGCGCCGACCTGCTCAGGTCGCTAATCCCTGACCTCCCTCTGGCCTTCCCCGCTTTCAACGCCGTTTGCTCTCTTGCATAGGCTGCTGCTCGACCCGCTGCTCGGGAGGGCCAACCCGCTGCAGCGCGACGCGCGCAGCAACCTGCCGCTGCACCTCTGCTGCGCCATCGACGACCGCGCGGTGGCAGGCCTCCTCGCGGCGCAGCCGGAGATGGGCGCCCACAGCTTCGAGGGCTACGGGACGCAGAACCGACGGCACGTGACGCCGCTCGCGCTCTGTGACGCAAGCGGCGGCGTGGCGGCGCTCGTGGCCAAGCTGCGCGAGGAGGCCGCGCGGCTGGCGCAAGCGGCGGAGGAGCGGCTGCGCGCCGCGGGCGGCACGCTGCCGTCGATCGACTCGATCCTCCGCCCCGAGGTGAGCACGACCCGCAGCCTGTGAGGGCGGCACTTCGCTTGGTCGTCTCTCGCATGCTGCAGCCCCTGCTCCTGCACGAGAACAGATAGCCCCCACTCCTCTCGAGTCCGGTCCGCCCGCCCGCACCTCAGGCGAGCGTGGCCGAGCTGCTCAGCCTCCGCGGCGCCGCCACCGGCGCCACGTCCAAGGCCGCCAAGTCCAAGCGTGCCGCTTCACCCCGCGCGCCGCCGACGCACAAGCCAGAGAACGGCGAGGCGGAGGCAGAGGCGGAGGCGGAGCCTTCACCGGCGAGCCTCGTGGTGAGTGGCGAGGCGTGCGCCCCCGCCGCCGCTGCCACCCTCACCGCCGCCGCCCTCACTTTCGCCGCCTTCCCCCGCCGCCTCCGCCGCCCCCAACAGGAGCGCAGCCGGAAGCTCGTGAAGCGTCTCTGCTTCGGCGCCCAGCCGATCCGCGTCGTCCTCACGCGGCACGTCTGGCTGCAGCTGACGATGATGGACGTCGCCCGGCGGCGCAAGGCGCTGGCGCTCTTCCACACGCTCGCCTCTGGCGCGGGCGAGGCGACGTCGAGCCCTTGCCCCGGCTCGGAGGCGGTGCCGCTGCGCGTCAGCGCGAGCCTGGGCAAGGGCGGCGAGGCGGTCTTCGCCGTCGTGTGGGAGCGGAGCAGCGAGGGGCGCCCCTTCTTCGAGGCTGCGCGCGGCGCCGAGGCGATCCGCGTGTGGTCGATCGAGACCTCCGACGTGTCGCTGCACGAGGTGGCGCTGTACGTCGAGGAGGCGTGGGCCTACGGCGAGAGGGGGCGGCGCGACACCGAGGGCCGCTTCCCGATGGGCACCACCAACGAGCTCTCGCACCCGAGCGACAAGTGGCACCCGGTCCACGCCGAGGACGGCGGCGAGCTGGCGGTGCCGCACGCCTGCCAGTGTCGCAGAGCGGCGCGGCGGCGATGCCCCGACATCCGGCGCTGCGCCCTCAGGTACCCTACGTCATCAAGTGGTACGCCGTGAGCGACACGCTGCCCAAGCTCCTCCTCCTCAACCCGGACGTGCAGGACGTCCAGCTGCCGCTCCTCCTCGACGCGCACGAGGAGGCGCTCGTGCCGCCGCCGCAGCCGACCTGCTCCACGCTCCTCGTCGGCCGCTCCGGAACGGGCAAGACGTCCCTCTGCAACGAGCTCCTCTACCGCACCCACGCGGCCAACGAGCGGCGCCGCGTCGCAGAGCAGCGCGTGGCTGAGGGGGCGCCGGCCCGTCTGGAGGCCGATGGCGAGGGCGCGCCGCCGCACGCCAACGTGCTCTTCCTCTGCAAGAGCCGCACTGTGAATAGTCCAGCTGTGAACAGCGCAGCTGTGAATAGGTGCTCTTCCTCTGCAAGAGCCGCACGCTCGCCTCGCGAATCGAGAGCCACCACGCGGGACTCGTGGCTCCGCTCGGCGCGCAGCCGCCGCCCGCCGCCCGCCTCAAGGAGGCCTTCGTCGCGGCCGAGCCCGAGCTGGACGCGCCCCTCTTCCTCTCCTCGTCCGAGTGGCTGGTGCTGCTCGACCGCTGCCTGCCGCCCGACCAGCGCTGGTTCAAGTCCGACCAGGAGGAGGCGCGCTTCCTCTCTGCGACGGACGGCGGCGGCGACAGCCTCGCGCCGCTCCTCGCGCCGGCGGAGCCCTCGTCGCCGCGCGACCTGGCGAACGGGCGCGGCGAGGCGGGCGCGGCGGGCGCGGCGCGGCGGGCGAAGCGCGCCAGCGGCGCGGGCGAGCGGTCCCTGCTCACCTTTGAGGGCTTCGGCCGGCTGCTGCAGGGCCACAGCTCGCTCAAGGACAAGCAGCTGCACGTGGGCGCGCTCTACCGCGAGGTCTCGCTGCCCCAAGCCACACCGTTGTCGCCCGCCCCGCCGCCTTGCCCTACATCGCCAATCGCCACCACTATCCTCGCCGCCGGAGCCCCGTTTGGCATCGCCGCCACCGTCGCCACCTGACCCGCTTAGGTCTTCAGCTACATCAAGGGGAGCCGCGAGGCGATGGCGACGCCGCGAGGCTCGCCTCCGATGGAGACGGGGCGCTGGCACACCTCGATGACACGTCCATGACGCGTGCCCTCAGGCTACCTCTCGCGCGATGAGTACCTCGCGCTCGCGAGCAAGCAGTCGCCGCTCGAGCCCGCGATGCGGCCCGCCGCGTACGACGCCTTCGAGGAGTACCTCAAGAAGAAGAAGAAGAATGGCCTGTACGACGTGTGCGACCTGGCGCCCCTCTCCCAGCTCTGCCACCGTGGCAGCCGTGCGAACGGGCTCGCCATCCACGAGACGCGTGCTTTCGGATAGGTCTTCCACCTCAAGACGCAGCCGCGGCGCCACTCGCCGCTCCACAAGGTCGTCATCGACGAGGTGCAGGACCTGACCATGGCGGAGCTGGCGCTGCTGCACGACACGTCCGCCGATGAGGACGGCTTCTTCATCTGCGGCGACACGGCGCAGACCATCACGCGCGGCGTCGGCTTCCGCTTCACCGACGTCAAGCTCCTCTTCGGCGGCAGGCCGAAGCTGGCCCAGCTCAAGACCAACTTCCGGACGCACGCGGGTCCGCCGCATACCACCCTCGCCCCCGCCTCCACACCGCCACCGAGGCAGCGCCCTCATCCCAGAGCCTGCCACGACGGAGCCCTCACCCCCAGGCATCCTCGGCGCGGCCAACGCGCTCGTCGGCCTCGTCACGCGCCTCTTCCCAAACTCGCTCGACCGGCTCGAAGAGGAGGTCGGCCCTCGACCTTCTCCCAGGCATGCCCATGACACGCCCCTGACATGCCCCACGCGTAGGCTCGACGAGGAGGTCGGCCACTTTGGCGGCCCGCCGCCAGCCCTGCTGCCCGACACGGACCCCGCGCGGGTGGCGGAGATGATGCTCGCCGCGGACGACATCGGGCTCGGCGAGATGGGCGCGAACCAGGTCGTGATTGTGCGCAGCGCCTCGGCCAAGAAGAAGCTGCCGCCGCTGCTGCGCTCGGGGCTCGTCCTGACTGTCGAGGAGAGCAAGGGCCTCGAGTTTGACGACGTCTGCATCTTCGACTTCTTCGCCGACTCCGACAAGGCTTGCACCTGGCCGGTGGTCGGCGCCATCGACGGCGAGGTGGCGCAGGGCGCGACCGCTCCGCACGCCTTCGACTCGCTGCGCGACCAGGTGCTGTGCGTGGAGCTCAAGATGCTCTACGTCGCCATGACGCGGGCGCGCAAGCGCTGCTTCGTCTACGACTCGTCGACCGAGCGGCGCGCGCCCCTCTTTGGCTACCTCAGCCGCGCGGGCGTCGCCGAGAGCGGGCTCGAGAGCCTCCTCTCCGTGACCAAGACGAAGAGCCGCAAGTCGAGCGCGCAGGACTGGCTGCGCCAGGCCGCCAATCTCGAGCGCAACAAGCTGTGGGCGCACGCCGAGAAGGCGCAGCCCCTCTCTCACACGTAGTACCCTTACCCACACCATTCGATTCTCATCTTGCGGCCCCCCAGGCGTACCTCAAGGGCGCCGACCGCGCCAACGCGCTCGTGATGGGCGGAAAGCGCCTCTACTTCGAGGCCAAGGAGGCGAAGGACGCGGCGGCGACGGGCCGACTCCTCCACCTCGCCGCCGTCGCGCTGCTGCAGGGCGCGGCTGCGCAGCCGGAGGGCGCCGCCGCCGACAGGCTGCGCAGCTCGGCGGCGCAGGTGTGGTGTGAGGCGGCGGTGACGACTGCGCCGACGCCGCGCTCCGCGGCAAAGTCCTTCTACACCAAGGCGGCGGAGCTGCTGCGCGACGGCTTTGGCCGCGGCCGCTCTGCGTCGCGGCTGGTCGATGCGCTCAGCTGCTTCGTGAGCGCCGCCGCGCAGGCGGCGCTTGCACCGCTGCCGTCGAGACGCGTGCTTCCTTCAATGCACGCTCCCTTCAATGACGTGGCCTTGGCGGTGTGCCGCGCGCCTTTAGGCGCCACGCGACGCGGTCGGCTGGGCAGCCGCGCTCGCGGCCGCCGACGCCGCCCTCGCCGCGGGCACCGCCGACGAGCGCATCAAGCCGGCGCGGGGACGGCTCTCCTTCCTGGCGGCCAGTGCGCACAAGGCTGCGCGCTCGGGAGGCCCCGGCGTGGCGCGGTGTGGCAGCACCGAAGGCGTGACCGGCGTGACGCGGTGAGCCATAGGCCGGGCAAGAGGCGGCGGTGGACGAGGCGGTCAAGATCGTGGCGGCGAGCCTCCGCTGGGGTGCTTAAGGACGAGGCGGTCCTGAGCATGTGGCAAGAAACAAGCGGCCTCGGCGGCCAGAGCGCCGGCCGGGAACCAACGGGAAAGGTGGGGGAAGGTCAGAGGTGGCGGGGCAGAGCTCTTAGCGAGGCCGTCCCGCCGCTAATCTGTGGCCGCTCTCAAGAGAGGCGTGGGCGAGGCGCGGGGCGGGGCGGCGGAGGACTGTGCACAGCCAGCGGCCATGTGGCGTGCGCGCGCGGCCTCCGCGCGCGGCACGTCCGGATCCGGCCGCCAGCGGGTCCGGCGTGGCGGCGTGGCGCACCGTGCGCCGCGCACACACGCGCACATGGACACATTTGGGACTGGAAGGTCGGTCGGCCTCCCTGCCTCCGCGAGTTTACCGGCATATTTATGCGTCGTTTCTTTGGTCTTTGCGCCGAATTTTGGCATTTTTTGGCATTCGTGGCATCCTATGGGTCGTCCAGAGTATCGACCTCTGGCTTGTCAGCCGGTCACTTGATGACGACCATGAAGTACAGCGATCGCCTACGCCAACTTCGCTAGCCTCTTCGCAGGCCCCCCCGACCGCGTCGAACTCATCGGCGCGGGCTCTCTCGGCTACGGGACCGGCCCCAGCTTCGGCTGAGGGCTGACAAGCTGCCGAGCCCAAATCACTGTGAGAGTCGTGATTTCTTGTTGGTTTTCTAAAATCTCTCTCAGAGAGAGACCACAGACATAGAGTATTAAGTATTATATGATGAAGGATCCGTACCGAACACACGCTTATTCACATTTCACAAGGCGTCCCGCAGCAACGAGAGTCGCGTTGATGCCAGTCCACGCGCTGATTAGAGGTGAAAGATGTTGGCTGTCACGTTCGCGAGGCCTCGGCCGCGGCGCATCCCACCCGGCGTCGCTCCCCTTTTCGCCTTCCCTTTGCTGCGACCGCCGACGCTCGCCCGAGCGGCCTTGGGCGTGGCTGCATGGTTGGATACCAGGACAGTGGCCTCGAGTGGGGGCGGAGTCCTCCGCGCGGACGCGCCCGCAATCGCGTCGATGTCCGCGAAGAGGTCTCGCAGCATCGTGTCGGGCGGCTGCAGCTCTGCGTGTCCCCTGGGAGGTCGGGCGCGGCTCCGCGCTGCGGCTCTGCGGCCTCCTGCTGCGCGAGCTGGTGGCGTGCCCTGCGGAGAGCTGGCATCGCCAGCGAGGACCACAGCGTCGATGCCGTCAAAGAGCTCGAGCATACCCGGCGTCGCGAGGCCGCCGCACGAGGCGGGAGGCCCGCGCGACGGGCGATGCGGGGTGCTCGATGCGACGGGTCCAGCAGAATCGGGCACAGCGGGATCGGGCGCGTCGAGAACGCAGGCAGCGCACCGCCGGAGCGCGCCCAGCACCGAGGAGGTCGGGGGCATCTATGCTTGTGTTGTGTAGAACGGTTGCGGGCCGATGCGATTTGAGCGAGCTGCGAGTCCGGCGGGCGCTGGACGGGCGCCTATTTTTTCCATAAAATACATTGGGGCCTATGTTCCTTTCCGCGGCATGTATTACTTTTTGTGCGAGCAATCGAGAGCAAGGTGCCCGTCCGGGCCGCCGCCACGACAAGGTAAGGTTGGCCGCCGCCTCCCCGCGCCTTTCCATGCCATCACTCGTCCTAGAGTGCGGCTCCGAGGGTCTGTGTCGCATCTTCGGCCCACTCGAGGAGACGAGAGCACGCGTGCTGCTCCTGCTGCTCGCATTGCTTGCAATCGCAACTCTCGGTGCCTTGCGCCGCATATACGTGAAATTTGGCACCGGCACCACCTTGTCGATCGCGCTATGCACCGGCCTCGCCTTTATTGTCTCAGCGACGACGCTCGAACACAAGCAGAGCGATCGAACCCGAGTCGATCGGGAGCGGGTGATGAGATCCGCATCTGATGCGGCACGCTTTGAGTGCACGGCAGGCTCGCACCACCGCATCGCGAATGTGAGCGTAGCTGAGCTCGTACCCGTTGCTGAGAGCGTAGCCATCGTGGGCAACGGCGGGTCGAGGAACAAAAACGAGTCGCTGATTTTGTCCGCGAGATGGGTCGTGCGCTTCAACTCGTTTAGCACAAAAGGACAGGGCATCGCGGTGGGCGGTAATCGCACAGACATCCACGTCGTCAACGACGCTGGCTGCTACAACCAGCTGGAGCATCGAAGCCGGCCAAAGCTCCTGCTGCGCCTCGGCTGCAGCCGCGGCGTGCAGATCCTGCGCCAATGCGACCCGGGAGTGCGAGAGTGCCGTCTGATGCCAGACTCGTACAGAGCCCTGTGTGAGGAGAGCCGCTACGCGCCGAGCCGCGGCTTCATGGCGGTCGCCCTCCTGCGGAGACCGCGCATGAGGATCTTCGGCTTTGTTGGTCAGGCCCACTACTACGAGAAAGCTCCCAACGCGGAGTCACACCGAGTCGACATTGAGCACCGCTTATACCGGGAGGCCGGGCTCAGCAGCTATGCGCGGCGGCGGGCGCGCGCTTGAGAGGTGATAGGCAAGCTAACGGGAGTCGGCTGTCTGAGCTCCCACGGATGCCCCCTTGTCTGAAAGCAAAACCACACACCAGCACCTCAGCGCGCTGGTAGTACTGCACCAGCCATCACGGCGTGGAGCAATGTATTGAGGGCATTGTACTGGGCGCCAGCCAGCATGCCTCTGGAGCCTCCCCTCATTGTCGCAGCTTTGCGCAGAGCAGCGTGCGAGCAGCGCAGCGCCAGGCCGACCCCTGGCACGCCCAGGGCGGACGTGAGACGGAGGCCCGCCGAGCGAGTGCGAGCTGCATCGGCGGCCATGTCTCCCGCAGCCGCGAGCGAGCAGCTCAAAGACGCAGCATCGCTCATGCTTTTCCGAAACGATCTCTCGGTCCTTCCTTCTGTTCGCGTAATTGCAGTTATGGACCCTCCCGTGCACGAATTCTTTTGTTGGGGCGCCCCACCGGGTGTCACCAGAGGGCGGCGAGCCATGATCTCTGAGCTGAGCAGCCAGGCGACGGAGTGGGCTCCGTCTGACGGCGCGCGCGGCCTGCACCTCTGCGCAACCGCACAACGTCGGACACTGACGCCCTCGTCTCACTCTGCGCTGTATAGGCCGCTATGGTGCTGAGCCGCAGGGGCAGGGCGGCCACTTCGGCCAGGACGCATACGGCGGCTACGGCGGCGACCAGCGGGGCATGGGCCAGATGTGTGTCTGTGCCCGCGCACACCGGCTCACTCACTGAGACACTGGCAGGAGCTCTCTCCCGCGGCGAGGCCCTCGGGCGCTGACGCTGCGACAATGCGGCACAGGTACCCGCCGGGCCAAATGATGTACCCTGGCCAGGGCGGCGGCTCCATGGATCCGGCGATGTACTACGGGCAGGCGCACGGCGCGGGCCCGTACGGCGGGTACGGCGGCGGCGGGATGGACATGAACCAGCTGGGAGACCAGTTCGGCGCGATGGGCATGGATGACATGCGCGGCGGGCGAGGCGGCCGCATGGGCGGCCGGGGCGGCTACGGCGGCGGGTATGGCGGCGGTTACGACGGCGGCAAGGGCTACGGCGGCGGCTACGGCGGCGGCCGCGGCGGCGGGTATGGCGGCGCCATGGGTCCGACCGGCGGTTACGGGTACGACGACCCGCGGAAGCGGGACGAGGAGCGGGACCGCGAGCGGGCGCGGACCGGCGTGCGCGGCGTGCGCACCGGCTGCGTGATGCCCGTGCCGGGCGCAGTCGGCGCGGGCACTTCGGCGATGTCTGCCGAGGCGCGCGGGCAGTCTCCGACCCTTCCCGCTGCCCGCCTCTGGCTGCGCACCCTCGCGCGGCCACAGGAGAGAGATCCGAGGCGGCTGCGCGAGTGAGCCCCGAGAGGCGGCTCCGACAGGTGAAGCGGCTCAAGGAGATGGTGAACCCGCCGCACCTCGACTGCCACCCAAAGTCGGCCCGCTTCTTCATCATCAAGTCCTACTCGGAGGACGACGTGCACAAGTCGATCAAGTACGGCATCTGGGCGTCGACCGACACGGGCACCGCGCGATAGATGCCGCCGCAGAGAGAGCGGCGCGGCCACTCCTTCTGTCACCGCCGCCAGCAGCAGCGCAGCGCTCTCTGCCACCAGATGCGAAGTGCGGAGCGGCGCAGCCGGATCGCGCCCACGCCAACGCCGCCCGCCCGGCCAGTCTGCGCTCTCAGCCTCCACTGCCGCCGTCCTCCCGGCAGGCAACCGCCGGCTTGACGCCGCGTACCGCGAGTCCGCGAGCCGCGGCCCAATCTACCTCTTCTTCTCGGTGACACCCCCGAGCCGCCTCGACCGCAGCCCTCACACGCTTGCGCCGAGTCACTCCCTCGCACACGCCACCCTGCCCCGCTGCCTCTGGCGCCGTCCCACCGACGCGCCCCCTCCGCAGGTCAACGCGTCGGGCCAGTTCTCCGGCATGGCGCAGATGGAGTCCGCCATCGACTACACCAAGAAGTTTGGCGCGTGGGCGCAGGACAAGTGGTCCGGTACCTTCGCGATCCGGTGGGTTATCGTCAAGGACCTGCCAAACAGCCAGTTCCGCCACATCCTGCTCGCTAACAACGAGAACAAGCCCGTCACAAACTCGCGCGACACGCAGGCGCGCTCCCTCACCTCTTGGCGCCTCCTCGATCCTCCTCGCGCCTCCTCCTCTCCGCCACCTCCTCTCTCCTCGTCCCCTCCTCTCTCCTCGTGTCCCACCGCCCCCCCACCTCCTCTCCCCCGCAGGAGATCCTGCTCGACCAGGGCCGCGAGATGCTCGCCATCTGTGCCTCCTTCCGCGCGCGCACCTCGGTCCTCGACGACTTTGGTTTCTCTCCCCGTGAACAGCGCCTCTTCACACCTCGACGTGTGAACAGGTCCTCGACGACTTTGGCTTCTACGACAAGCGGCAGGAGCTGCTCGAGGCGCGGGCACCAACCCCCCCCCCCCACACACGCACACACACGCACACGCACACGCACACGCACACGCACACGCACACGCACACGCACACGCACACGCACACGCACACACCACACATTCCGCACACCGACACCGTCCATTCGTCTCGCCGCTAACTCCCCTTCCTCTTCCGCCAGGCGCGCGCCGCGTTGGGCAATCAGCAGGGCGGTGCCGGGGCGGCGGGCGGCGGCGCGCTCCCCGCCGGCATGCCGCTTGCCGGTGGTGGCGGCGGCATGCCGGGCGGCGGCATGCCGGGCAGCGGCATGCCGGGCGGCGGCATGCCGGGCAGCGGCATGCCGGGCGGCGGCATGCCCGGCGTCGTGCAGCAGGGGATGGGGATGGGGATGCACATGGACCCGCAAGTGGCGCAGGCGGCGGCCATGTCACTGAGCTCGGCGGGCGCGCTCGGTGGCATGGGCAGTTTGGACGCGGGAGTGCCCATGTATCCACCTGTGCGTTGAGCCTAGAGAGCTGCGTCAGCCATGTCGCGCCGGTCGGGGAAGGGGTTCGGTGGAGGTGCGTGGCAGAAGGGGTGCGGGTGGCGGGCGGGGCAGACGGACGGTCTTTTGATTGTTACACTGCTTCGCGAGCGCGTTATAAATAAATAAATAGAGCAGTCATCTCCAGGGAGAGATGGGCGACGCACACGAACACAGAGGGACAGTGCGCACCCCGCCCCGCTCGCAGGGCGTGCATTAAAAGAAAGAAAACAGTTAAACAAGCGGGGAATGTGCACGTTTTTTTCTTTTTTTGCCGTGCCGGCAAAAGGCACCTCTCGGCCGGGTGTGCATCGAGCAATGCATCGGCTCACTCTGCTCTTGTCTGCCGCCATGGGCGCGGCCAGCCTCAGCATAACGAGATCGCTCCCCGGTCCCGGCGGCGCTTCCGCCGCTCGCCCGCGCCCGCGCGCTGCTCTCCGCATGGAAATGCAGGTACTGCCGCTCAGTGCGCTGCTCGGATATGCGCGCGGGCTCCGATGCCGACAGCGCGCCCACACCGTCCTCGACAGGAGCTCGAATTTATCATCCACGCAGACGGGCGGGTCGAGGAGCGCGTGCGCGGCGTCAAGGGCGCCAACTGCCAGGAGATCACCGCCAAAATTGAGTCGGCGCTGGGGGAGGTGCGCCGCCCGTCCCAGCGACCGATGATCGCACGATTCCTCCAGCCGTGCGCCGAGCCTCTGCCTTCCGCAACCATTCGCCCGGCCTCCTGCAGGTGTACCATACTGAGGCTACCGAGGAGATGTACGAGGTTGAGGTGCAAAACACCAACGAGAACACAAACTCCGCTGAGTGGGGGAGCGGCGGCGGCGGCGAGGGCGACAGTGGCGGTGGCGGCGGCGGCTGGAGCGGCGGCGGCGGTTGGTGAGCCGGCTGGCTAGCTCGTGCGGAGCGCAGAAAGCCGACGAGGCGTGGCCTCTCCCACGCCCGCAAAGCACCTCTCTCCGCTGTGTTTTCTCAAGCTCACCTCAGCGAGCGGCTTGCGAGCGCCGGGCCTCCCTTCGAGCGCGGTAAAACGAGTCCTGCCTCGCGCTACACGCAAGCCGTGAGCGTCCTTGTGGGGCTTGTGAAAATGTGATCGTATTGCTATCAGTAACCAGCCTCCGGCGGGGCCCCCCGCTACCATCCAAACCCGAGTACCGGTCTACTATCATAGGTAGAGGCTCAAGTGTGACATATAAGTCCACACCCATACACATGCACAAAGCAACTCTCACGGCACACGGGCACCGGGTGGAGCGGCGGCGGCGGCGGCAGCAGCACGCGCGGGCGGACGGATTCGGACGGGGCGGAGCAGCGACCGCCTGGGCGGCCGCTGCTCTGTCTGCCAGAGCGCGCCGTCTGCCTGCGCAGCTCGAGCGCGGTCAGGTGCGAGGAGCGAGGACGCGTGGCGGCGCGGGGAAACGCGGCGGCGGTGGCGGCGGCGGCGGCTTTTTTAGCAGCGGAGTGGAAAAGGAAAAAGGTGTACTCGTTTTGAAAACTTACGATTGACTTAAGGTGTAAATAAAATATTCTTAGCTTCAAGCCCCCCTCCGAGACTAGGGACAGAACCCAGAGATACATACGTCAAAGGGACTGCGCCTCGCCCCCACTTGCCCTGACTGCACAGGATAGCATGCCCCGATAACGGCGACACATAGTGGGGGACACTGCGCAAGGAGGGGGTGCGAAGGCTCATTGGGGTACTAGGTGGGACCATGAGGGGGGGTGGGCGGGGTCCTGTGGGGGTGAAATGTTGCGCGGCGAATTCGAACCTACCCCCTCGCCGCGCCGATCCTCACGCGGAGGGTAAAACCCTGTGGGACAAAACCCCCCCGCGGTCGGCAGTCTTCAGAGTGGACCCCCCCCTCCCCAGCCTCCCCTGTGCATCTCGCACCCCCCCCCGCTCCCCATCGGTGACTCGCGAAGGACACGGACACTCGGGGTGAGGGGGGGTCCCCCAGAGAGGGGGCTTTGGGGCATTGTTGGGTTGATCGCTCGTGCCGATCTCGGGTCGATCTCGGGTCGATCTCGGGTCGATCTCGGGTCGATCTCGGGTCGATCTCGGGTCGATCTCGGGTCGATCTCGGGTCGATCTCGGGTCTCGGGTCGGTCTTGGGTCGGTCTCGGAGTGGTCTAGAAAAGAAAAAAAATGTGGGGCGAGATGAGGCGAGATGAGGCGAGGTGAGGCGAGGTGAGGGGCGATGAGGCGAGATGAGGCGAGATGAGGCGAGGTGAGGCGAGATGAGGCGAGATGAGGCGAGATGGGGCGAGATGAGGCGAGGTGAGGCGAGTGGCGAGATGAGGCGAGATGAGGCGAGATGGGGCGAGATGAGGCGAGATGAGGCGAGGTGAGGCGAGATGAGGCGAGATGAGGCGAGGTGTACCTCGGCGAGATGAGGCGAGGTGAGGCGAGATGAGGCGAGGTGAGGCGAGGTGTGAGGCGAGATGAGGCGAGTCGAGGCGAGATGTGGCGAGACTAGGAGGCGAGAGATGAAGCGGGATGTTGTGTGGTTGCTTGTGCTGCCAAGCAGGCAGCACAAGCAGCCACACAAGTCAGCTTTGGGAGCTCTCGGCGACGCCCAATGCGTGCGCCGGTAAGGGGGAGTGTGCGCGCGCGTGTGTGAGATGTGGATTGTGGCAGGCCTGCTGCTGCTGATGGGAATGGCTCTGTGTGTGGCGCTGCGCTGGCGTGCGGCGCGCGCGTGCTGTGCGCGTGTGCGTGTTGGATCCGCGCGTGCGTCTGCGTGTGCTGCGCGCGCGCCGCCGGCGTGTGCTGTGTGCTGTACTCTGCTGTGCGCCTGTTTGTGAGTCTTTAAGGCGCAGGCCTGGCTGGCAGGGCTGCGCGGTGGGCTGCGGCGCGCTGCGGGTGGTCGCGCGCCTGCCTGGTGGTGTGCGGCGGCCGCGCAACCCGCCCGACCGGGTCGTCGGCGGCCCAGGGCGCGAGCATGCGGTCGGCGCTGCATGTGAGGCTGCTGCGCGGCTGGCGCGTATGTTTCCGTGCGATGAGGGACGCGCGTATGTGTTCACGCTGCGGGCGCGGGCGGGCGCGGGGGGCGGCGTGGTCTCACCGCGGTCCGACGCCGGTTGGTCTTCGGCGTGACGAGGGCGGGCGCGCAGAGAGGCCTTGCCGCCATCGCGTTGCCGCGAAGGAAAAAGAATAGAAAGACTTAAGGTGTAAGGTGAACGAGAAAAGTCGAAAATCGCGTCTCAGACCTCAGAGGCCAGAGCTCTCTTCCCCTGGCCTGAGATGGCGCGCGATTACCAGTCAGTGTAGACTGTGTGTGAGAGAGCATAACGGTTGAGCTCTCTCTCTTGCAATATGGTTGAGGTGGAACACCTCAACGCTCAACTTAAACTTCTTACTGCGGTCTCCTCCGGCAGCGGCACGCCCGCCGCATGCGTCGAGTCGAGGAGAGGCGAGCAGTCGACGTGCTCGAGCCAGAGGCCGCACGCGGGCGCGGGAGGGATGCGGCGCCGCTCGAACACGAACGAGCGCCTCCCTCCTGCCGCTCCCCCCTCCCCTTCTTCCGCCTCCAGACCCGCCTCCCCCTCCGCCCCGTCGCCGCTCTCTGCCGCGGGAGCGGTTGCTGCGGCGGAGAGAGCGAGCCGCACCGTCCCCTCTGGCTCGCGGCCCGTGCCGACGGCCACGATGAGCGAGGCCATCCGCCGCACCTGAAGGGGTGGGGTGGGGTGGGGTGGGGTGATGGCTGATGCGACGTGAGGCGGGAGTGCGGCATCTCGAGTGTGGAGGGGTGTGCTTTTGTGTGGAGGGGGGCGTGGGCGTGTGCTGTCTGCTGGGCGTGTCTGGTGGAGGCAGTGAGGAGCCTCTCCTGGTGGCGGAGGAAGCCACCGCCGGTGAAGCGCAGCTCGAGCACCGGACCCGCCTCGCCCGCCTCGCCCTCCTCGCCCTCTCTCTCGCCCTCTCTCCCGCTCTCTCTCCCGCCCTCGCCGCACGCGCCGCACGATCCCGGAGGAAGCAGCTCGCACCTCCCGCCTGCGGCAAGCAGCCCGCTCGGTCGGGAGGTGGCTGCTAGGGTGGCTGCTACTAGGTGGCTGCTAGGTGGCTGTAGGGAGAGACGGGGTGCGTCGGAGTGCAGCGCTCCTCCACTTGGGGCGCAGAGGCAGCCGAGGAGAGGGAGGCTGGCGTGCCGCCGCGCGCGAACCTCAATCGACGCCACTGTCCGCCGAGTCGCCTTGCGGAGGGAGGGAGGGGGAGAGGGGCGACAGGGGGGTGAGAGGGGCGAGGGAGGGGGAGAGGGGCGACGAGGGGGTTGGATCTGCCGCGGCGGCTGCTGCGGGAGGCGGGCGGCGGGGCGGTGGCGGTGGCGGTGGCGGTAGCGGCGGTGGCGGTGGCGGCAGCGGCGGCGGCGGCGGCGGCGGTGAAGGCGGTGGCAAAGGCAGAGGCGGCGGTCGCGGCGAGAGAGGGGAAGGGGCGCGAGGCGGGAGGGTGGCGCCTGCGAGGCTGGCGCGGTGCAGAGCGCAGCCCAGTCGTGCTCCCCTTCCATCGCCGCGGCGGCGCGCCGCATCGCGGCCATGTTGAGCGGCGCGTCAAGTACCTTGAGGGAGTCGAAAGGTGGCTCGGAGACGCGTCTCGGTAGGGTGTCTGGAGGCGGGCCTCGGAGGGCTCCGGAAGTGTCTCGGAAGTGTCGCGTAAATGTCGCGGAAGTATCGCGGAAGTATCGCGGAAGTGTCTCGGAAGTGTCACGCACCCAGCAGCCGCGGCGGCATCCGTCGCTGCCTCCCGCCCGACCGTCGACCGCATAGTAGGTGTAGGTCTTCGCCCCGGCGCCCGACATGGCGTGAGCCTGGCGGAGGCGAGGCCAGGTCACAGACTCCCCACATCCGGGTGGTAGGCAAGAGCTGGTCTTCTCCTCTTCCTGTGACACAAGCACGAGCCCCATACAGAGTGAGAGGGTGCGCGCGGGCGAGTCAACCTTGCGGTGGGCGTCGAGGGCGCGCAACACCCGCACGTCGGCAGGGAGGGCCTGCGTGGCGCGAATCGGAAGTGTGAGCGTGCGCTGGTTGTGCTGGTTGGGGTTGAGGACACACACACACACACACACACACACACACACACACACACACACACACACACACACACACACACACACACACACACACACACACACACACACACACACACACATGCATGCATGCACACACACACACACACACACACACACACACACACAGAGAGAGAGAGAGAGAGAGAGAGAGAGAGAGAGAGAGAGAGAGAGAGGATGGGAAGGCGGGAGAGTGGGAGAGAGCGCGCGCCTCGTTCAGCCGCGTTGCAATCGCCGCCAGTTCAGCGTCGCGAGCCGGTCCAGGCACGGCCGGCGCCGATCTGCGCACAGTCACGGTCACGACCTGCATCATCGCGTGCACGCCCTTGTCGAGCCTCCCGGCAGCGACTGGTGCGCCATCTGTCACACCCGCCCTGCGGAGCGCAGCTTGCAGTGTCTCGCAGACGCTTGGCAGTGACCCGGCGCAGGCAGGCTGAGGCTGCCACCCGCAGTAGTTCGTGCCGAGGAAACTTACCCGCAGCAGGAGCTTGGTGCGCATCCAGTGGGTCCACTGATGCTGCCCGGCCTACGCGTGGTTGGTTGGTTGACAGGCAGGGCTCCCTTCCCGCGCCGAGACTCGCCCAGGGCCGCTCCGTTTCACAGCCTTGTTATTTGAGGAGCAGGGGGAAGTAGGGTATGCGTGAGGTATGAACGTATTGGGGTATCTATTTCCATCTTCGGGGTAGGCAGGTAAATCCTGCTGTTGCGCCAGGTAGGCATACGCTGGTACTTAAAGATACTTCGTAGACGCATAGTATGCTGGTATGGGGAGTTTGAGACGCACATATGGCAGTATGTTGCAACTCGTCTCAAGTACACAGGTAGCGGCGGTCGCACCTGCAAGTATGGGTACGGGGATACCACTCCTTACGTGGTCCCGCAACCCGCCCAAGTACCCGGTACCCAGGTATCTCGGGGGCGCGCTCCAGTATCTGCAGTATCTGCAGTATCTGCAGTATCTGCAGTATCTGCAGTATCTGCAGTATCTGCAGTATCTGCAGTATCTGCAGTATCTGCAGTATCTGCAGATACTGCAGTATCTGCGGTATTCTGCAATATCTGCAGTATCTGCAGTATCCGCGGTAGGTCCGGGTCGTCTGTGGCAACAGGCGGGTGGGGTGTGGCAGCACCACCCTCGCAGCCCAGATCTGCCGCCGCCGCGCTGGCTCTGCCAGGATGCACTGTACCGGCAGCGGCGGCCAATGCCTGCAAAGTTCAAGCTTGCACTCCTGAGCGCGTGTGTCGCCGCGACCCACCAGGTGACGCAATCATGTCTGCACGCAACCGTGGCTCACGTCTCGTCGGCACCGTCCCTGAGTGCGTCCCGCCTTGGTTGGCGACACACACTCGACGAGGACAGTCCGGCCGACGGGAACGTGTCGCGCGCCGGCGACGGTTGCGGCAGGGTGGTTGTGTGTACGAAGCGCCGCTTCGACGAAGCGAGGTTGGCAGGCGCCCCTCACGAGCCCCGCAAGACATGCCACACGCCCCTCGCAAGCGAGGTTAGTAGGCGCCCCTCGCGAGACTCGCAAGAGATGCCACACCCCCCTCGTAATAGTGCATATTCTGCTTTTGGCAGCTGTTCCACCGAGGCTGTGGGGTGCCGCAGCCGCTGTTGTATAGCGCAATCAGCATCTGCAGCATCTGTGCAGCATCTGCAGCATCTGTGCAGCATCTGCAGCATCTGTGCAGCATCTGCAGCATCTGTGCAGCATCTGCAGCATCTGTGCAGCATCTGCAGCATCTGTGCAGCATCTGCAGCATCTGTGCAGCATCTGCAGCATCTGTGCAGCATCTGCAGCATCTGTGCAGCATCTGCAGCATCTGTAGCATCTGCAGCATCTGTGCAGCATCTGCAGCATCTGTGCAGCATCTGCAGCATCTGTGCAGCATCTGCAGCATCTGTGCAGCATCTGCAGCATCTGTGCAGCATCTGCAGCATCTGTGCAGCATCTGCAGCATCTGTGCAGCATCTGCAGCATCTGTGCAGCATCTGCAGCATCTGTGCAGCATCTGCAGCATCTGTGCAGCATCTGCAGCATCTGTGCAGCATCTGCAGCATCTGTGCAGCATCTGCAGCATCTGTGCAGCATCTGCAGCATCTGTGCAGCATCTGCAGCATCTGTGCAGCATCTGCAGCATCTGTGCAGCATCTGCAGCATCTGTGCAGCATCTGCAGCATCTGTGCAGCATCTGCAGCATCTGTGCAGCATCTGCAGCATCTGTGCAGCATCTGCAGCATCTGTGCAGCATCTGCAGCATCTGTGCAGCATCTGCAGCATCTGTGCAGCATCTGCAGCATCTGTGCAGCATCTGCAGCATCTGTGCAGCATCTGCAGCATCTGTGCAGCATCTGCAGCATCTGTGCAGCATCTGCAGCATCTGTGCAGCATCTGCAGCATCTGTGCAGCATCTGCAGCATCTGTGCAGCATCTGCAGCATCTGTGCAGCATCTGCAGCATCTGTGCAGCATCTGCAGCATCTGCAGCATCTGCAGTATCTGCAGTATCTGCAGTATCCGCGTACAAGCGGCGAAGTCTGTGGTATTGAAGTATGCATGCTTCGCCATACTTCGACACTTGTGTGTGGGAGGTATGGCAGTATTGTGCCGCCCCTCTCGCAGTATTGCAGTACGAGGAGGCCGGACGCCGGTATCCGGGTACCGGGCGCACTGGGCACGAGTACAGCAGTACGGATACCTAGCCCTACCACAGTGTGAGTCCTTGTCAGGTATGGCAGTATGGCGCTGACTTCCTAATGTACCCCAGTATAACCAGCCATTCGTACCGTACGGATACTTTATACCCTACTTACCCTTGTCCCCTGAAAATACGTCCTATGGCAGAGGTTGAGGTGCGAGCCCTGGCACAAGCCCTCGCCGGGGCTCGAGTCGAGCATGCGCAGCGAAAAGCACGGATCCCCCCTGTGAAAATGTGAGGCGTGGTCTCTACTCGCCAGACGCTGACTGTTGAAATGAAAGCGCGAAAAGAATTTCCGCCACTGAAAAGAATTTATCGTTGCCTCTGCCACAGCAAGGGCGTGGGGCAAGAATTTTAGAACAAGAGACCAACCTCGCACAGGATCGATGAATCAAAAGGAGAGCGATTTGTTCGCCTACTGCTCTGCGGCGAGACGACCAGTGAAAGCCCCCAACACTCGCTCGCCTCCTCCAGGCCCCTCCCCGCTATTTTACACGCCACCCCCTGAGCCGAAGAGAGAACGCGCGAAAGGCTTTCACAGGCTCGCGACGGAGGCCCCACCGCGCCGGAGGAAAGTGAAAAATGGAAATATCTACGAAAACGCCTCACAGTATCTCTGCGTGATTGCCCCCGTCCAACTCGTAACGGAAGCGTGTCTGGGTTCCTTGGAGGAGGCTGATCTGCGCGAAGTAACCCCGCTGTCCCCCGCTGTCGTGGTGGCCGGTGTTGCGCGAGTTCCACGGCTCGTACGCGGTCTGGTTGGTCACGACCAGATCTAGCTCGATTGGAGGGGCGTCGCTTCCCTCGGCGATGCGAACGACCCGGCTGTACCGGAGCTCCTGGCGGTCGTAGTCGGCAAAGTCGTCGTCATTGGTGCAGCGGCAGCCGCAGCCACACGGACAAAAGGGGTCGGGCTCCATGTCCGGCGCTCCTGGCAGGCAGGCCACCCCACCTTTAATGTCTTCGCCACCCGGGTAGCCGCCCAAGTTGTTGACAATCTCATCGCTCTCCGAGAAGGTGAAGTAGACGCCTCTGAGGTGGTTTCTTGGTCCGGGGCAAGGGTTGAAGAAATCGTCGGGCGGCGGAGACGGTGGTGGCGACGGCAGGGAAGAGGGTGGCGGAGGGGGCGGCGGCGGGAAGCTGCAACCTGGGGTCTGGGGGTGCCTTCCGGCGCAGCACTCTGCCATGTGCTGTTCGCGGCAGAAGGCGCACTGTGCTTCCCCTACCCAGGGCAGCTGGCCCGGCAGGGCCACGGCGCAGTCTTTTACGCTCGAGGGCTCGTCGGGCTTGGATATAATGATCTGGTGGCAGGCCTCAACCAAGCAGCAGTCCCTCGCGATCTCGTCGCGGCAGAGCTGGCACTGCTCGCCGCCGCAGCCATCGCACCGCGAGAAGTCGCATGCCGGTGACAGGGGCGGAGACGGTGGCAGCGGAGATGGTGGCAAGTCTGAAGGAGGTGGTGGCGAGGGCAGGGGCGGAGACGGTGGCGGCGGAGATGGTGGCAAGTCTAAAGGAGGTGGTGGCGAGGGCAGGGGCGGAGACGGTGGCGGCGGGGACGGTGGCAAGTCTGAAGGAGGTGGTGGCGAGGGCGGCGGAGGCGAGGGCGGAGGCTGCGAGGGCGGAGGCTGCGAGGGCGGAGGCGAGAGGGGTGCGTCATCGGGGGGTAAGGGTGGGAACGTGAAGGGCGTCGGCGGTGAGGGCGGTGGCGGGGACGGTGGCGGGGGCGTCGGCTGCGGTGGCAAGATTGCTGGCGCAACCTGTGGGGATGAGGGTGGCGACGTCGACGATGGGGGCAGCGACAGCGACGGGGGGGGGGTGGGAGGAGATAGCAAGGGTGGCATGGACGGTGGGGTTAATCTTGGGGGGAGTGATGGCGGCGGCGGCGAGGGTGGCAAGGTTGAGGGTGGTGGCGGTGACGGCGGAGGCGGTGAGGGCGGTGGCGGTGAGGGGGTTAGCGGTGGCGACGACCCTGAGGAGGCCCACACGGCCATCGCATGAAGGCTCATGCTCAGTTGCAAGGCGTTTCAGCAGGACGTAGAGAAGCCACGCGCCTCTCCGAAATGCCGGTTTCCCAAAAGTTGGGCTTCGCGGCAACCGCCAACCGGGATGTGTCAGTTTGATGAGCCAATTAATTGAGGCTTCATCTTTCATCGGGAAAAAACTTCCAAGCGATATTTCCCTCTGAACTCTCATGGACATGGTCACGCCCGCGCGTAGGGGTAGTAGGGTGAGTCTATCGGTAAGCGTGGGTTAGCGCGGGTTAGTGCTCACTAACCCGGCACGGGTCAGCTCGGGTCAGAATGAATGGGTTACCATAACCCGACGCTAACCCGGCACTAACCCAGCGCTAACCCGCGCGGCTGGGGGGCATACGTCAGCATGGGTTTGCGCCGGGTTAGGGGGTGGGTTAGGCCCGGGTTAGTGCAGCGCGCACCCCGGGTTAGAGCTGGTTGGCGAGATGAAACGGCTGCGCGGGCACCCGAGCCGACTCGCGCGATGGAGCCTTGGCTGCGCAGCAGGCCGTTGGATGACAAGCTCCTCATTGAGAAGATCAACAGCATGCGCAGCTCGGACAGGTCCAAGGCGGTTGCTAAGGCCGTCGGCTACACGTGCGCCAAAGACTCGTGCGGCAATGCTCTTTGCAAGGGCCGCACGAACAAGTTTGCCTTTCTGTGTGTTCGGTACCTATGTAGATATGTTGTTGACAAACCACGGCACGGCGGGAAGGAGCGCCGCCGCCAGCGGCGGGAGCAACGCGCCATTGATGCCGCCTTAGCGGCGGATCGAGCTGCACCAGATCAGAGTGTTCCCGGGCATTCACACTATATTCCTGTGATAATTGGGCTGAGATAATTGGGCGATTATATCCATAAGGGATTTCATCCCTTTGGATTGGAGATTCGTGTTTCCGTTCCTTTTTGAAAACGTATATTGCACTCTTCGCTCCGATGCGGCCCCTGCCTGGCCTCTTGCTCCTATGTGGGAGCTATGGCGGGACCGCTATCGAGTACAGGGTGGGTGCGCCGAACGGAGGCGCACCCGGCGCTAACCCGAACGTAACCCCCAAGCCCAACCCGAGACTAACCCGGCGCTAACCCAGCGCTAACCCGCGCTGCTCGGGGGCATAATACGTTAGGACGGGTTAGTGCTGGGTTAGTGCCGGGTTAGCGTCGGGTTGTGGTAACCCGTTCTGGCCCGTGCTGACCCGTGCTGGGTTTGGTGGTGGCTTAACCCGGTGTAACCCGCGCTAACCCACGCTTACCGATAGTGGATAGACTCACAGTTAGGGGTAGGGGGGCGTTGCCGTAGGCCGGCCGCGCTCTGGCAGCGGCGCCCACAGCGCACACGCGAGCGACGACGGACGAGAGGCGCCCTCTCGGTCTCGCCAGCATCTTGCCCTCCCTAATTGAGCATACGATGAACAAGCAAACGCAGATATATACACAGTACATGCTCGCTTTTCCCACACGCCACACAACGGTAACTTGAATGTCACAAGAGCTACAAGACACGAGCCGTAGACAGCGTACAACCCTCAAACTCCAGATTGAACTTGGTATAAATGTTTACCGATAGTAGTTGTCCCAACCCCGGCGGCAAGGCTGCATCACGACCCGAAGCCGCGTGTCGGCCGCACCAAACGCGTCCGACTTGTGCAGCAGCTTGAGCGGCGCCTTGGACGTCTTGAGGATCACGCCCACCGTTTCGTGGAGCTTGCGCCGCCCCTCCACGCTCAGGCCAACAAAGTCGCACGCGTCGCCCGGGCAGGCAGCTTTGACGAACGACCAGAGCGCCCGCCGATGCGCCTTTGCGCAGCGGCATGGTCCGGCCGCCGCTCCCCCGCCTCCGCAGCGCTCCTCTCGCACCACCTTCGCCAGCCTCGCACCGGGCGGCACGGCGTCTCTCCTCCGCCGTCGCTGCGCATCGCGGCGCGCCTGCTGAGCCCGCTCCTCCGCCTCCGCCGCGGCGCAACCAGGGCAGAGCCACTCGCCGGCAGGAGGTGCGGGGAGCGGCGGGTTGAGGCAAAAGAGGTGGTACGACCGCCCGCAGCCGTCGCCGCAGCAGCGCAGCATGTGCGTGGGGTGGTCACTGCAGCCGCACTCCGCACAGGAACTTTCCGGGATGAGGTTGTGCGGCGCAAACGTGGCGCGCGCCCGCTCCCCGCCGGGAAAGTCAACCACATACCTCTGCTTACTCCTCTGGTACTTGACGATCCTGACGTGCACTCCATTGAGCGCAGCGGAGGACTGCAGCCCGGCGAGTCGGGCTAGGGTGCCCCCTTGCAAGGCCACGGCCGCGGGGCAGGTCGGCGGCGTGGAGGGAGGCACGGACGGGGCGGGAGGCGTGGAGGGAGTCGCGGCAGGCGGCGCGGACGGCGGTGAGGGAGGCGCGGACGGCGGCGCGGACGGCGGCGCGGACGGCGGCGCGGACGGCGGCGTTGACGGCGGCGCGGACGGCGGCGTGGAGGGAGGTATGGCGGCGGCGCGGGCCGGCGCTATATAAATTATTATGGCCAGTCTTAGACCAGAAGAATTTTCTCGCGGCGTCGCTCCTCCCATCGCTCCCTTCGAGGCTCGGACTGGACACCAGCGCGGTATGGGACGCGGGACAGATGACGACGACACGCTCGAGCGACACACAGACACACGCAAGCTCACAAGACACACAGCCGGCTAATTCCCTGCGCCCGTCCATTTTACCCGTCGCCCCGACGTCGTAGCTGACAGCCAATGCGATGACAGACAACGGCGTCGACGCCTGCGAGGAGCAGCTCCCGCCGCCGAGGGTGGCCAGCCTCGGCCTCGCCATCAACGGAGGCGGCTTCCGCAGCTCCACCGTCGCGTGTGGCTTCATGCGCGGCCTCCACCAGCTGGGTATTCTTGCCGAGGTACACACTCACACGCTCACCCGAATCTGTGCAACCTTACAGTCTCACACAGTCTGTGGTGATGTTCATCTCACTATTTGTGGTGATGTTCCTTGGCCTGCCTGAGGTGTCGCACGTGACCGGGTGCTCGGGCGGCGGGATCGCAGCCTCGGTGGTCGGCTTCTCCCCCACGCCGCTCGAGCAACTGCTGGGGATGGGCCGAGTACCCTCGCCGCCAGATGCCTTCCCGGACTACTCTGCGACTCCGCTGGGCAAGGTGTGGGTGGCGGTAGGGTAGGGGCGGCGAGTAGGGGCGGCGGGTTGAGGCGGCGGGGTAGGGACGGCGGGTAGGGGCGGCGGCAGGGGCGTGTGGTCGGGCGAGTTGGTGACAGGTGTCTGGGGAGCGTGCACGCACCCGGCCTGCTTGCTGGCAGGTCGACAAGCAGTCTCTCGTGTCGCTCTTTGAGAAGAAGACGGCGCGCGGCGCGGCGCGCGCGGGCACCTGCCGTTGACCCGTCCCCAACAACTTCGTCCTCATCCTTGCCCCCTAGGTGCTCAGCAATGCGCTGGACTGCTGCTGCGCGTGCGGCACGTTGGGCGAGCTGTGTCTCGGTGGCGTGCCAAACACGATGCTCTACGTTTTCAACGAGGCCATCTTTAAGCCGATGGGCATCGACGGTACCGCCACGCCTGCGCCGCATTCCGCACCAGCCGCGCCCGGCGTGGTGAACACACAGGTGCACATCGTGACCGCTGGAGGAAGGGGATGCGCCACTTCTTGGAGACGCCCTCGCCCTTACACGCAGGCCGGCCGCCCCGAGCCCATCGTTACCTTCTCGATGCTGTCCGTCTCGTATCCCGACAACCTCAAGTACATCGAGTCGACGCGCTCTGCCAACAAGCTCGTGATGGACCGGCTCGGCACCAACTGTGATGGCGGCCTTTACACCGCCGAGGACGTCACCACCGCAGCGACGGCCGCCTGCTCTGAGTCGGGTGGGCCGAGGCCGGTGATGTTTGACTATGCCGAGGGAACCGTCGGGCACGCCGCCGCAGCGACAACCATCCCGGTGGAGCGTTGCTGCTGTTGCGCGGTGTCGCCGCGCTGAGCTCGCCGCCGGGTCCTGCGTCTGGTGCGCTTCACGGGCCGCGCTGTGAGCAGGTGCCATACGAGCTCAACCTCACCCCGGGCCGTGTCCCGGTCGGCGAGTTTAATTTGACGCCGCTCAACCAGATGGTTCAGCGCTGCACTGGCGGGGGAGGCTTCACGCTGGCGCACTCGGTCGTCACCGGAAGCGACTACCTGTCGGTGGCCGACAGCGACGGGAGAGCGGTTGAGCCTCGGCTGCCCCTCGGCCGCACCTCGGCCCTTCTCGGGCGTGTAGGTGGTCGTCGAAGACATCAGCTGTTGCAGCTGCCTCTCCTGCCTGCCCGACTGGGGCGTGCGGCGGCATTGCTGCATCGACCCGTGCAAACGCCTAGTTGTGAACCGCGGCCTCAACATTCCGATGAGCGTGCCAGACATGCTACTTAGCGATCCGAGGAAGGGCGGGGCACAGGCACGAATGGCCTTTGGCGACAGCGGCATCATCGATGCGACGGCGATCCTCGCGCTGCTCACACGCGGGTGCCGAGAACTAGCCGAGAGCAGGCCAAAATCCTCCCGAGGCACCGAGCGAGATGTGCCCGGCGCTGCGCAGGTGCTCCAAGATCATCAGTATGATCACCGGCCCCGATGAGTACCTGCCCCTCTCAGACGAAGCGGTAAAGGGAGACCTTACCGCGGGGATGCAGGATTCAATACTGGCGTTGTTTGGGCTCTGGCGCGAGGGCCACGGCGCCGCGTCCAGAACCACCGAGGAGACGCTAGGTTTGCTGCACACACCGGTGCGTGTCATTGCTCGCAGGCGCAACGACGTTCGTCACCCAAAACGCCGTCTTCCCCATCGATGGGCTCCGGGAGATGCGGCGCCAGTTCGACGAGTGTGCCGCCGCAGGGCAACCCCTCGTGGCACACATCCGCACTGAGGCGGTCATCCCGCTGTCCATTCCGTGATCTCGGGTGCTCCTCGGCAAATTCTCGAGTGTTCTTCTCGGGTAGGTGCTCGCGAACCCCTTCCATGGTCTACCAGGGGGGCAGGCGCAGATCCTTCCTCGCCCGGCGCCCCCTAGCCGCCACGCAGTCTCTTCACGGCATCCCGCGTGAACAGGTCGTTGAACTGCTCGTCTGGTACCTGAGCGCACCCCCTGCGTGGTATGAGGCTGTGCCCGAGGCGGCCGGGGTGCGCGACAATGGCGATAATTTTCCGCTCTGCACCACGTTTGCGCTGTATCACCCCGAGACGGTCAACATGATGGCGGATTTGGCGGCATGGTGCGTGCTCTCTTCCTCCGAGAAGTTCCTCTCGTTTGCGAGAGGCTGATGCGGTGGCCTTGGTCGCAAGACGGAGTGGGGAACTCTTACCGCGTGCTTGGTCCGCTGCCCCGGTCGCTCGAACTGGGCCCGCATTCCAACGTAATACTGGGGACGATAGGATTACAATGATCTCGTCAGCCCAATGTGTGAGAAGACTCTCATTAGCCTAATACTAACAGCTCTCCGGAGTGTGACGAGTGCGTCCACAGAGGAGAGACAGAGGTCTCCCGCGTACACACACAAGCTCCCCGAGAGCGAGGGGGTCATAAGACATAAGCACATAACACAAAGGACGGCTGAAACACGCGCGCGGTCCAGGGTTAAGACGCCGCCGGGGACCCCGGAGGGGGTCGCCCCCCTCTCCATCATCTCATGGATTGTGGGAGATGACAGATGTCGTCGGAGAGAGAGATTTTTATTAACCAACAAGAAAGACTTGTCGTCGGCGCACGGCGGTTTTGCGATTGCCACATATGATATCGCGGTATTTACTCGTTGTTCCCCCGATGACAAAAGAAAAAATTTTTAGCCGTCGCCCTCGCTTTGTTTACATAAATAAATAAATGAGCCCGCACCTCCGGTAGAGATGGGCGACGCACGAACACAGTGCGCACCCCGCCCCGCGCCGCAGGGCGTGCATCGCACAGGTGGACTGTGTGACTCCTCGGGTTTCTGTGGGCACTCTTGACAGAGGTGTGTAGTCGCTAAAGAAAGAAAGAAAACAGACAACCCAAGGGAGGGATGTGTAGTCGCAATAAATAAATAGAGCAGTCATCTCCAGGGAGAGATGGGCGACGCACACGAACACAGAGGGTCAGTGCGCACCCCGCCCCGCTCGCAGGGCGTGCAGCACACAGCAACACAAGACATATCTAGGCGCTGTGCGCCTCCTCGGGATTTCTGGGGAGGTAGGAGTGTGTGTGTGTGTGTGTGTGTGTGTGTGTGTGTGTGTGTGTGTGTGTGTGTGTGTGTGTGTGTGTGTGTGTGTGTGTGTGTGTGTGTGTGTGTGTGTGTGTGTGTGTGTGTGTGTGTGTGTGTGTGTGTGTGTGTGCTCGCTCGCTCGCTCGCTCGCTCGCTCGCGCGCGCTGCTTGCGCGATCGCGCGCGCTGCGCGAGCCGCCCTGCCCGCTGCGCTGCTAGGGATGCGCTGCGGGAAGGGCTCGGCGGCGCAAAAAAAAAGAAAGAAAACAGACAACCCAAGGGAGGGATGGGAGGACGGCACGCCGCCACCACACAGGGATTTTAAGGAGAGGTGTGTGGTGCGCTACGAGCGCAAAAGAAAGAAAGAAAGAAAACAGACAACCCAAGGGAGGGATGGGAGGACGGCACGCCGCCACCACACAGGGATTTTAAGGAGAGGAGTGTGATGCGCTAGCCGTCGCCCACCCTAGGGAGTCTGCCTCTTCCTATCTCTTTTCGCAGTCTCTCGCCGATTCTCGCTGCAACCTTCATGCCACCTCGCGGCCGTCCCACTCTCGTCGTTCTCTCCCTTGTCACTTCCTCCTCTGTCGCGTCATTCTCTTCTGCCTCGTCCTGCGCCGCCGCCGCCTGCCGTTCCCTTGTTCTCTCGGCTTCTTTCGCCTTTCGGCGCAGCTCCGCCCTCCTTGCTGCATATCCTGGCCCCTCGAGTCTATCGAGCTCCCCTCGCGCAAGGACCACATTTCTGACTCCCACTCCGATCACGAGCGCATTCTTGTTTACGGCGTGCGTTGAATTCTTTTTGGTTGTCGAGTCCGGCGGCAGTGCAAATGCCAAGCAGGGGCCACTCCGAGGCACAGATTCCTCCTTCGCTGCTACATTCGCAAAGCTCGTGTAGCCCTGGCGCTGTGCAGGCCGCCCGCGCTGCCAACGGTCGCTCGGTCGCAGCCGCCCGAGCACAGATTGCAGAGACCGTGCTTGAGGAGGTGGCGGCGCCAGCGCAAGCAGAGGGCAGTGGCCGAAGCGACGAAGCCAGTGGCGACGGTGGCGGCGGCGCTGGTGACGGTGGTGATGGTGGGAGCGTCAGCAATGGCCTGGGTGACGTGCCAGCGACGCCGGCCGACAAGACCCATAAAGTCCTGACGCGGGAGGCAGCGGCGCGCCCGGGCGTCGCCGCAGTGGCAATGCCAGAGGACGCCGCTCTCTCCGCACTCCAGCTGCAGCGGCTGCGCACGACGCTCGCGGAGTCCGAGTGCGAGCTCAGGCTTGCGGAGGAACCAGCGCCGTAGAATTTCAATGCTGACCAGCACACCGCAAACCCTCATCGCTGCTGTGGACCTCACTGCCGCTGCCCTCACCGCCGCTGCCTTCACCCTCCCGTGCAGGAGCGCGCCGCCTTTGAAGAGGCGCTCGAGGAGGAGCGCGCGCGCACGGCGGTGGCGGAGGCGGCGCGCGTGGCGGCCATCGAGGCGCTGGAGGCGGAGCGGGCAAAGGTTGCCGCGTTGGAGCGGCTTCTCTCGCACATGCAGGACGACCAGATCCAGCTGCAGCGCAAGTGGGCGACGCCATAGATGCCGTGGCCCATTCACGCCGTGTTTTGCACGCCCACGCCGTGGCCTGCAGGTGGGCAACCTCAAAGAAGCTCGTGGCCGCGGCGGCGAAAGGGAGATCGACACGCGCAACCGCCGCAAACGCGTCGGCGTCGCGTGCCACCGCCGCCGCCAGCGGTGGCAGCGGCGGGTCCGGCGGAGGCCGGTCGGAGGGTGGCGCTCCCTCTCGCGACCAGAAGACTGCCGCCGCGCCAACCGCGCCCGCCGCCGCCGCTGCCGTGGCCAGGCCGTTGCCGGCGCCGCTGCCTCCGCCGCCGTGTGCGGAGCTCGAGGGCTGGCTGCTCGTCTGGCTCGACCGGCTGCAAGTGGGCGATGCCGACGGCGCCGCCAGACCCGGCGATGCCCAGCCCGCCGGCGGCGAGGGCCCGTCTCTCGCCACCTTGGTCGACGGAGCCGCCTCCGGGCCGCCACCTTCTGGCGACCCAAATGGCGAACAAGACGGCGCCGGAGGCGGACACGGAGGCGGAGGCGGAGGCGGACACGGAGGGGGAGGCGGAGGCGGAGGCGGAGGCGGAGGCGGAGGCGGAGGCGATCCTGAGCGGTCGGACCTGTTTGCGCGGCTGCAGCTGACCCCGCGCGGAGGCGGAGCGGAGGGGCTGGTCGGCCGCGGCTTGCCTGTGCACGCGCAGCCGTCGTGGCTGAGCGTGTCGGGCGAGCCGCTCGCGCCGGTGCACTCGCAGCTCGGCGTCCCGTACAGCCGAGGTGCAGCCGAGATGCAGCCGAGAGGGAGGGGAGGCCCCGCTCTGAGGGGAGACGCTCACGTTCCCTCGCCGCCTCCCCTCAGGCGAGGGCGGCGAAGGCGTGGCGTGGGGGCAGCCCTTCCTGCTGCCGGTGCCTGCTGGCGCGCCCCTCGTTCTGACCGCGACGCTCTGCCGCACCGACTGGGAGGGCGGCGGCGAGGCGCTCTGCGGCTCTCGGCCGGAGACCCCCGCATCGGGACGACCCGAGGTCAGCCGAGGTCGGCCGAGATCGTAGGCGCTCTGCGAGGCGTTCGGCGACCTGCTCGGCGCAGGCGGCTCCTCGCCGCTCGAGCCCTTTGCGGCGCTGCGCTGCGCGTGGCCGCTCACACCGCTGCAGCGCGGCGCGGCAAAGAGCGGCGCGACACCAGACGGCACCATCCACCTCTCGCTCGAGTGGCGGCCGATGCAGGGGGCGGGCGGCAGCGCGTGCTCGCTCGGCTTCCCGCCGCCGCCGGTACCGCGGCGCACGCCCAGCCAGCCGCCGCCGCCGCTGCGCTCGATGCTCGGCGGAGAGGCGGGGAGGGCGCACCAGGCGGCGGCGGAGCTCGAGGAGGAGCAGTAGTTCCTCACTGGTGAGTCCGCAACCACTCCTAGGCGGAGCTCGCGGAGAAGCCGCTCGAGGAGGAGCCCCTCGAGGCCCTCTCCCTGCAGCGGTGGAACGGCGCTCTCTCAAGCTGCGCCTCGCTGCAGGCTTGCCCAACCCACCGCCACCTCCCCGCTGTACCCCTCGCCTGCCCCGGCCCCTGACCTCCGTCCCCCGCTCGTGCTGCCAGGAGCTGCCGCGCCCGCTGCTGCGCCGCATGCTGCGGGCGGGCGTCCCGCTGCAGCACCGCGCGCATGTCTGGCGGGCGTGCGCCGCGCTTGCGCGGGCAGACGGCGCGGCAGCGGGAGAGGACGAGCTGAGCCTGAGGGCAGCCGCAGCCGCCGGCGGCGACGGCAAGGGCGACGGTGGCGGCGGCAGCGAGGGCAGCGGCGGCGGCAGCGAGGGCGTTTTCTCCCCTGCTCTCCCGGGCGAAGCTGCGGCGGCGGGGCCGCCTGTCGGGCTGCGCGAGATTTACGCGGCGCACGTCGAGGTCGGAATCTCGCGCTCTGAGACGGAGGAGGCTTCAGGGCTGTCTGCGGCGCAGCGGCGCGAGAGGCTGGGCGCGCGCATCTCGCCCTCCGAGATCTCGCGAGATGACCCGAGATTGTGCCCTAGGCGCGAGGTCGAGCAGGACTTGCTGCGCACCTTTCCAGAGCACGCGCTCTTCTCGTCGCACGCGCGGCAGGCGGCTATACACACCTGTGCATGTGTGTAGGCACTTCCCTCTTGCGCATACCCACGCTTCCTCTCTCTCCCCCCACCCCTCCACCTTCCCCACTCCTCTCCACCCTCCCCGCCTGCCCGCCCCCAGGGCCTCGTCCCGCCGCTGCGCCGGCTGCTCCTCTGCCTCGCGCGCCAAGTGCCGACTGTCGGCTATTGCCAAGGCTGCACCAGCCTTCGCCGCCTCGACGGCCGCGAGCAGCGTCTCTTCACGCCGCGAGGCCGTGAGCAGGCATCAATTTCATCGCCGCTTTCTTGCTGCTGCATGCCGATGAGGGCACCGCTTTCGAGCTGCTCGTCGCGCTGACGTCGCAAGCGGCGCTGCTGAGGGGGATGCACACGGCGGACATGCCCGCACTGCACGCCGCCCACGCCGCCCTCCTCTCCTCGTTCGAGCAGAGCATGCCTCAGCTGATGGCGAGACTGCGCGACGACGGCGTCCCGCTGCGGGAGGCGAGCCTCTCCCTCCTCCCTCCCCCCTCCCTCGCCCCTCGCCCCTCACCCCCTCGCCCCTCACCCCTCACCCCTCGCCCCTCACCCCTCACCCCTCGCCCCCCCCCCCCCCTCACCCCCTCTCCCCCCTCCCCTCTCGAGGCGTCGACCCAGTGGCTGCTGTGCGCGCTCGTCGACGTGATGCCTCCGGGCGCTGTCGGGCGGGTGCGGTGGGGCCCGGCCTGGCTCGACCGACCGCGTTAGTGAGGAAGCAGCCCCTTCACGCCGCGGCCCTCCCCGCGCGCGCAGGTGTGGGACCTGATGTTTCTCGACGGCGCGCGCGTCCTCCTCCGCTCCATCGCCGCCGCCTTCCGCCTCCATGAGGCTGGCCCCTCGCCACGCCCCTCGCGGCGAGTGGCGCCTCTTCACGGCTCTAGCCGTGCGTAGGCGGCCCTCCTCGCGGAGCACGCCGACCTCGCCGACTCTGCCGACGGCGCGGCGTAGCCAGAGATGGAGGAGAGAGGGCCGAGATAGTATGGCGACACCGCGAATTGTGCTGCTACCGCCTCTCCTCCAACCCCCACCCCGACGCCCCATCACGCCCGGCCGCGTAGGCGGCCTCAAGGCGGTGCTGCGCGCGGCGACGCCGCGGCTGCTCTCGCGCGCGATGAGCCAGCAGGAGCTCACGCGCATCTGTGACGAGGCGGCGGGCTCCGCGGGTCTCGGCGAGGTCACGGCGGCCACCAGGGCGGCGGAGGGCGGCGGCGGGGAGCGGCCGTGGTGGGCGCTCTCCCGCGCCGCCCTGTCCGGCGAGAGGTCGCCGGGGTAGGCCAAGGACGACCACCGCCGCTATGGCGCGCTTGCCTGTCACGCTGCAGCGGGAGGGGTCGCCATCTTGGGCTCGCGCGCAGCAGAGAGGCGCACCGGGCAGCACACAAAAACGAAATACACGATCGACGATGATCCAACCGATTGAAGATCCCTCACTCACCAAGATCGTGCAGGACGGGATCACATCTTGACTATCTCGTGCATGGAAATAAATAAAACAGAAACCAGGTGCAGGTGTGGGTCGGTGTGTGCTGCGGGCCGACGATTGTGTACTGCCTCGGATCGATCGTGACGTGGGTCGTGGCCCGAGTCGCCCCCGGCCGTTCTATACGTTAACAGCGCGGAGAATGGCGGACACGACTCGAGACTTATAAGGGTAGATACCCCAGCGAGTGGCACATTCGCTGCGCGAAGGTAGAGCGGCGTCCAGACGCGGCTGGCGACCAAGTAGGCGGCGGGACGCGGGCGTGGCCTTTCTTTCTCCGTTGCACTCTCTCCTCGGACGTGCTGAATGAAGGGTGCTTGCTGGTGTGGGAGGCGCGTAGGAGGAGAGGAGATTGAGAAGAACAGTGGACGGACGGAAAAACACCCCCCCTTCTATGCCTGACCCTGGGCATGCCTCTCTGGGGGTGGGCTGGGTCGGCCACCTCCGGGGCTGCAACTCGCACGGTGGGACCGCTTCCGGGCGAGCATCCGAGGCCTGCGGTTGTCCCTTCGCTGGGCGCGACCGCCATGGAGATCCGCTGCACACAGAACAGTGTTTTTGGCGACTATTGCTCGCTCTCTGTGCAAACGCAACGCCAGAGGCCGTGCTTGGAGAATGGGTCGCGATGCTGCTGCGCCAGTGGATTGAGCCGCTCCGCACACTCCATCGGTGAGCTGCGGTGGCGCGCCGGCCGCTTCATGCATAGCTCTCGGGCGAGCTCCCGCAAAAGCGTTTTCCGTCCGCCCGTTTCATCGAGTTTGCCCGAGTGGTAAAATGCAATCGAATTTGCCCGAGTGGTAAAGTGCAACTTTGGCATTTGGTAAAAGTTGCCCGAGTGGTCAGTGGGGAAAAAACCAAAGCGGAAAGGTGGCCCCAAGAGCTAACGGTCAACATCCCCTCCGGCTACGACAATGTGAACCTGATCTGGTCCTCACGGGGTTGACCCGTCTCCTCCAGATCGAGACGGACTTCATGAACGGCCGAGCATTATTTCTTCATTACTATTATTAATTGATGCTTTTTGCACGGCTGAGCCCCCCCCCCCCCCCTCCCCTGCGCCCATTCCCTGCCCTCTCCCGCCACACATTCCGTCAGAGCCCCCTCCCCTCTTGCACAACAGGAATTTTGGACAATTAACCAGACGGCTACGAAATGAAAATGATGGGCTTGCCCATCCCGGAGTGGTTCGACCCCACACAAACCCGAGACGGTGATGGGAGGCGTCGTACGGTGATCTCAGGCCCAGTGAGGTAGTGCATCTGACTACCCCGGATCCTGCTGAACAAGCTCCTCTTGTAGCTCGATCGGTCACACCGCCATCGCCGACGGGGAGAGGGGGGACGACACTGCTTCGGCAGCGTGCACCTCGATCCTGTACCGTGTTTGTTATGACCCCCCCCAATGAACACACCAGTGAGGGAGGGCGAGACGATCGAGGGGTCCCGTACCGCGCGGAATCGACCCTATCCAGTGCTCAAGTGCTCAAGATTGAGAACTCTGCACGCGATGAGCCAGCCAGCGGGCGGCCAAGATCAGATCTCACCACTATCCGCCGACCAGCGTGTTTTTGGCAGTCGAGATGGCCTCCGAGGCTACACTCCACGATCCCTCCTCGAGCCCCTCCCTCAAGCGCCCCCGCGACGCGGACGATCCCCTCATCCCGGTGGAAGAGCCGCGATCGCCCCCGCAGTCGCCAAAGAACGGCGGCGGCTCCACCGCTGGCGCCGCTGGTGCACCCGCACCGCTGCAGTCGCAGGTGGCGGACTGGGCGGAGCAGACGGCGGGGTGGGCGGCGGAGGTGAAGGAGGCGGCGGCAAAGGTGGCGGCGAGCGTGGTGGAGGGGAAGGTAGAACCAAACGCACCGGCGGCGGAGGTCAAGCCACCGACGCCGCAGCGGCGCCCGTCCGGCGGAGTCGAGCGGCGCGAGTGGACCGCCGAGGAGGACGAGATCATCAAGGAGGGGGTGCGACAGTTTGGGCACCGCTGGCGCCGCATCTCGTCCCTCCCTCAGCTGCACGGCCGCTCCGACGACGCCGTCCGGAACCGCTGGTCGCGGCTCGCAAAGGGGAGCGAGGAGGGCGCGGAGGAGCGCACCTCGGCGTCGGACCGCACCTCAGCGCCAGAGGGGGGCAGCCAGACGGGCGGCGAGGGCGGGGTGGGGCTCGGCCTGCTCGTCGTCGCCAACCTCTGCCGCTCGCTCGCCACGGACGGGGGCGGCGCGAGCTCGGATGAGCCGTGGGAGCAGCACGCGCCGCTCGTGAACCTGAGAAGGGCGCTTTCCGCGGGCAGCGCCGCAGAAGGCAGCGGCGGCGATGCCGGCGTGTGAATTAGCAGCTGCGCCGAAACTCTCTCTGTACTCTGACTCTGTCTCTGTCTGCGTCTCGACCCGTCTGCTGAGTCTGATGTGTTTGCCCCCCGATCACTTAGCGAGATGCAATTTTGGAGCTCGGCCCTGTCCTCTCCTCTGTAGTGGTGTCTCCGGCTCACATATAATTTATCATGGATCACACATATAAAATCACCATGCCACATCATCGTCATCAAGACCACCCTATAGCAAAAAGTCCCGCAGACCAACATTGAACATACGCAGGATACTGCAGAAGTCCCAGAACACAGAACACACACACGACAGGACACCAGTCACCACACGCACACCGTCCACCGTCGCCACTCTCAATTCTCTCAAAACTCTCTCCCAACGACAAACCCCCAACAAAGTTATGTCTTATGAGAACAGTTTTTGTGACGCGGATTTGAGATTGAGTGTACACGTTAAAATTGTAGAGTCAAGAGTGTGTTTTACGCACACCACGAGAGTTTCTGCTTTCTCTCGCACCGACCACCGTCTCGTCTCGAGCTGGGGGAGTCCGGCGCGAGGCCTGGCTCATCAACGTTTGAGTATAATAATGGTTAATGCCCCACACAATGTCAAAAATACTCGCATTTAGCGAACCGCAAACCCTGATCGCGATCCCCGTCGGCACACGGCAGTCGGAAGCTCTGAACGAACCCCCGAGCACGAAATGCCAGTGTCATGTGTGCAGCAGAGAGAGAGTGAGAGGTGGGGCCCAGTCCCCCCCCCCCCCTCCCCTCGGACCCCCCCAACCCCCACCGAAACCGCGGACTAGACCGCGGCACACTTACTCAAGACGAGCGCCATGTACAAGGTGCAGCGCGCGCAGCCCCGTCGCGCGCGTCCAGAGTGGGTGCACGAAAGACGGGCGCGAACTCACTGCGCGGCTCCTCGCACTGGCCCAGCTCTCCAGACAAGAGCATGTGCCCTGTGACTGACGCTGACGTGTCCTGTACGTTCATGCAGCGAGACTGCTGCATGCGGCCTTGTCACGTCTGCGGGGTCGGGCCACGGCCAGCAGAAAAATCGCAATGCAGGCGAGGAGCACGCCTCCCACCACAATTCCAGCTATCGCTCCCGCCCCCAGGCCGTCTCGGCCCTTCGACACTCCGAGTGCTTCGTTCGTAGCCGTCATCTCCGCCGGAGGGCCGCAGATGAGCGGGGAGCCCGACGGGGTGAGATCCGAGTTCGTGGTGCAGCCAACAAACGTGATCCTGTCTTTGCAATACGTGTACTCGTAGAGGCCCGGGTAGTTGGGCGAGGCGCGGTAGGCGACCACGTCGCGGCAGGAGGTGATGAGGCCGTTGAGGAGGCCGTCGCCGCACGCCTGGCCCTCGGTCTGCGCGAGCGTCTTGTCTCCGTCGACGAGTTGCGTAGAGAGAAGCGGGCATTCGGCGGAGAGAGCCTCCGAGGGCGGCGGCGAAGAGGGCGATAGCGGGCTTGGCGGCGGTAAAGGAGGTGGGGGCGGAGGTGGTGATGGTGGTGGCGGTGAGGGGGGCGGCGGCCAGGGAGGCGACGGCGAGGGGGGCGGGGCCGGTCCCCTGCCCGGTGGGTACGGCGGCGGGTGTGGCATAGCTCCAGGCGGGTGCGGAGGCGGCGAAGGCAGCGGCGTCGGCGCCTTGCCGGGCGGCTGGGGCGGCGGCGAGGGCGGCGGCGGCGAGGGCGCGCTTTCGGGCGGGTACGGCGGCGGCGAGGGCGGCGGCGTCGGAGCCTTGCCGGGCGGGTACGGCGGTGGCGAGGGCGGTGGCATCGGCGCCTTGCCGGGCGGGTATGGCGGCGGCCGGGGCGGCGGCGTCGGCGCCTTGCCGGGCGGCTGGGGCGGCGGCGTCGGCGCCTTGCCGGGCGGGTACGGTGGCGGCGAGGGCGGCGGCGTCGGCGCCTTGCCGGGCGGCCGGGGCGGCGGAGCTGGCGCCTTGCCGGGCGGATACGGCGGTGGCGAGGGCGGCGGCGTCGGCGCCTTGCCGGGCGGCCGGGGCGGCGGCGTCGGCGCCTTGCCGGGCGGGTACGGCGGCGGCTGGGGCGGCGGCGAGGGCGCCTTGCCGGGCGGGTACGGCGGCGGCCGCGGGGCGGCTCCGGGTGGGTACGGCGGCGGCGGCGGGGGCGGGGTTGGCGGCGGCGAGGGGGGTGGCAGCGAGGTCGACGGCGGGAGCGGCGGCGGCGGCCAAGGCGGCCGTGGGCGGAGCGGAGCGGACGGCGGGGGCGTGGGTGGCGGCGGCGAGGGCGGAGATGGCGAGGGCGGCGGCGTGGGTGGCGGCGAGGGCGGCGGGGGCGTGGGCGGCAGCGAGGGCGGCGAGGGTGGCGACGACGGCGGGGCACACGAGAGCTTGGGTCCTCCTCTGCAGCACACATTCCACGTAGCGAAACCCGGCACGGTGGAGTTATCGTCGTCCGTCAGTTCGTAGTAAGTCGTGCGGTCTCCAACAATGGTACCTGCCTTGGTGACCGGGTCGAATTCGTAGCCCACCGTGGTCTTCGGATCCGCTTGAACAAAGGTGGCTCCGCACTGCCGAGTATTCAGATTCGAGAACGGAAGGTCCTCTTCTTTGCATGGTGTCACTCTGCCGTCAGTCCCAGACACAAAGTAGAGCTGATTGCAACCGAGACCTTCGTCTCGACCCTGAAGCGACGGATCTGACGTCGCTCTGACGCACCCTGGCGTAAGACAGCCGATTTTGTCGGCATCGGCATCGGTCGGTTTGTAGTAAGGGCACGAAGCTGTGCATTCGTCCAGGGATGAGTACCACGACACAGCCAAGGGAGAAAATGGATTGTTCAAGTTGTTAGCGCAGAGCACTTGCCGCGTGCGAGCTTCCATGGTTCCGAAGCAAGTAAGAGGATCAGAAGGCGGAGAGGGCGACCGTGGTGAGGCAGGTGGTGACGGCGGGGAAGGCAGCGGGTAAGCCGTCGCTTTGGGCAGTGGGAACGTGATGAAGAGCATGGTTGAAGCAGAGCCGCTCAGGCCGAGGGCTGCGATGAAGGCGACGAAGATGCTGAGTGGCCTCGTCTGCTGGCCCATGCTGGGAGACGGAGGCGAGGGCGGGCCCAATGGCGTGCAGTGGGCTGCACAGGGGCGTGCGCTCGCAATTTTATCACGTGCAATAAAAAACGAAAGCCTTTGCTTTTTCTTTCTTTTGCTCGCTGGCGATGATCGTCCTTACAAGATCCTGCTCGCGCAGGTGGGGACCCTGTCCTTCTCCCACCCCTTGTTTGGTGTGTCCGTTTTATTTATTTATTTATTCGGTGGCGATAAGGGCACACTATAGCATCCTCTATCATGAGTCCGTGACCCTCCTCACAAACAGGTAAAAACGACTGTCCCGCGGCTCGATCGGTCCTGTAGCAAACGCGCGCCCCTCGACGAGCGTTTGACCAAGGTCTCTGGCGTCGTCGTACGCATCGAGCACGCGCAGCACGGTCTGATCGTCGGTGGTGCCGACCACGTCCGGCATCCGGATCTCCACGCTCGTGCTCGTGGACCCGGTGGCTAGGACAAACACCGCGTGCTCCCCGCCGCCGAGAGGCTTGGCGAAGAGCATGTGCTCCGCCGTCGCACGGACGAGGCGCCCGGGTGACCCGGCCCACGCGGCGTTGACGCGGAGGAGGTGGACGTTGGAGATGATGGGCCACACGCGGTCGAGCGTCGCTGTGTCCGTGAGGTCGAAGGAGAGCGTGAGGGGCGACGAGAGGACGGCCCACGCGCCAAAGTGCGATCTGTCCTCCACCGCCGTCGGCAGAAACCCGACGACAAGCATGGGGCATGTCGGCTTACTAGGTAGGTCATAGACCTTCCCGAACCCCGCATGTCCGGCACACGTGTACGAGGGGGGGCTCCGAAAGGTCGGCATGCCTGGCATGTCGGCTTATACTAGCAACTAGGCAGGTCATTTGACATTTGAGTTTTGACCTCCCCCGCGCCCCGCATCGCCGCATGTCCGCATCGCCATCGGGGGAGGGCGGCTCGTAACTGAGGTTCGCGCCGTCGGGGACAGTCGTCCTCCCCTCCTCAGCCATTCCAACGGCCAGGCCGCTCGGAGGTGTCAATGACCCTACAGTTGTAAAAAAATCCATGTTCGACGAACACCACAGAATCTCGCCTCGACAATGTCCACTTCGCTGATTCGCTGCGCGACGGCCGCAGCGCTCGTCGCCACGTGCGACGGCTACATGCCCAGCGCCGCGCCGTCGCGCGCCGCCGCCGTGCGCCCCGCTGCCGCCTCCGTCTTCATGGACGAGACCGTCTTTGAGCGGGCGCTCGCGGGCGAGCTCGAGGAGGAGGGCTTTGAGAACCCGTTCATGAGTGAGGTCGGGTGGGCGGACTACCTCGACAAGAATGCAAAGTCGTCGTACAACATGAACCAGCGCCCCTCGCTTGCGGATGACGGCTACTACACCGCCAGCATTGTTGACAACCCGCTCGACGGTGCCCGCCGCGCCGCCTTGCCCACACCACCGCCACCGTCGATCTGTTTGTCCGCGCCGCCGCCGCGCTCGCGTCCGCCGCAGCCACTGCTGCCGACCTCGCCAGCGCCGCCGCCGCCGCCCGACGCTGCGGTCCTCGCAGCTGGCCCCGCGCTCCGCGGCACTCTGCGGCGCCCTCGCAGCCCCGCCCCCCACCCGTCCGCCACAGCAACCCTCCGCCCCCCTCTCTTTCCCCGCAGTGGTGAGCGACTGGCTCGGCGCGATGAAAGGCTACGTGACCAACCCCGTCGCCACCGCCTTTCCCACCATCTCCAACGACCCGACCGGCGCCCGCTCCTACCCCAAGGGCTCCAACGAGGTGCAGCTGCGCCCCATAGCTGGGCCTCGCCTGGCTCGCCGCGCTCTGCCCGCGCCGAGCCTGCCTGCGCCACTCGCTCGAGGGACGGGGAGGGAGGGAGGGGCGGGGGGGGGCAGTGGCGGCGGGGCGGGCTGCGGGCGGTGCGGGGAGAGGTGCGGCGAGGGGTGAGGACGAGGGTGTTGGTGGCCCGGAGGGGGGAGAGGCAGCGGGAGAGGAGAACGGCCTCGTGTGTCCTCACGCACGCACGCCCTCGCCCGTGCAGGTGAGCGCGCGCACCATCAAGCCGAAGGAGAAGGACTTTGACCCCAAGAAGCGGATCGTGGGGATCCCGGTGCGGCGGACCCTTCCGAGACCCTTCCGGGAGAGCCTTCCGAGACCCGACGGGAGACCCTTCCGAGACCCGACGGGAGACCCTTCCGCGACCCTTCCATGACACCCCTGAGACGCGTTCGAGACGCGATCGCCTCCGAGATGCCTCCAGATGCCTCCAGATGCCTCCAGATGCGCGCGCTCTCTCTCTCTCTAAACCCGCGCAAGGATTTGCCGCCCGCCTCGCCCACACCCGCCTCACCCGCCCGTGCAACCTACCTTGCAGGGCTTCAACATCTTCGGCACGCCGAGCAGCAAGAGCGGAAGCTTCATCGAGAACTTCTTCGGCAACTAGACGCCTCCCCTCCCAGCAGCCCCACCCGCGTACTCCTCTGCAGCCGACGTCTCTACGCCTCCAGCCTGCCGACAGGGCGACTGCCTCTCTGGCGGACGTGCGACGGCGTTTGGACGCGCCGCCGAGGTAGGACCTCCTCCACGCCGCAGCCCCTCGTTGTCCCCCCTCCCCCCTTTCCACACATGTACATGTGGTCGCACGTGATCTTCCCGCCGCCCCCCCCCCCCCCCCCTCCCTCCCTTCCTCTCCCCCTCTCCCTCTCCCTCTCCCCCTCCCTCATACCTCTTTCGCTCTCCCTCTTTCGCTCTCCCCCTCCCTCCCCTCCCCGGTAGACGAGACGGTCGGACGGCGTCGTCTTCACATCCGACGGCCTGTGAACAGGAGGGCTGGACGGCGGCCTTCACGCTCAACGCGCTGTCACACGTCAACGACATCACTGGCACCGACTTCGACACGGCAGACTGGCGGTGACTGTCTCTCACCACCCCCACCCCTCCCCCCACCCCTCCCCCCACCCCTGACCGGCTGGCGTTCCTGTCTCTCACTCCTCGTCGCCTTCTCGCCGACCACGCACTACTCGCTCCGTGGCGCACCCCGCCCTCCCCTCCCCTTCCCGCCTCGAGGCATGTCGCCGAGTACGACGCCGCCTCCACCTCGGTGCGCACCCACGTGGAGGCGCGGCGGGCCGTCGTCCTCTCCGTCCCCGCGGAGGGCGGAGGGCGGAGGGAGCTTCGCCGTTTCGCGGCAGGTGTGTCGCCGCAGTGCACAGCGTCTTTCGCCTCCGCGGACCGGCGCTGAGCTCGAGGGCCCGTGCCACAGGCGAGCGCGTCTTTGTCGAGCAGAGCCGCAAGTTCAGCGAGGAGGAGACGCGGCGGCTGGCCGAGGCAGCGGGTCTGCGGCTGAGCCGGAGCTGGGCCTCGGACGACTACCTTATCGCGGAGCTCGTCAGAGGTAGCGCCTAGCGGGGCTTTTGGGGCCGCCTGCAGAGACAGAGCGGTCCCAGAGCGCGGCACACGCGTGTGACGAGTGTGAGTCGTCGTTGAAACCCAGAGTGCAGAGACACTCTACGCTCTCTCGATGTGTTATTTCATGTGTACAACGGCTGCAGGGGGAATGTGCGCAGACGCGAGCTCGAGCGTGCCTCGGCAGCAGCGAGAGCGCCGCGAGCGCGTGCGCACACAGAGACGGAGATAACCACCCCACAGCCACAACCCGGCGCAACACAGACGGGATCGCGCGTCAGACCTCATCGGAGCCCTCCGCGCCGCCCCGGGAGGTCCCGCCCGACACACCACACGGCCCGGGCAGCGGACTCCAGGAGACGACATGCCCCGTCCTCCTCTGCGCACAAGCCCCGCGGTGCTGCGCGCGCCGTGCCCATGCACTGCATACCCAGAGCGCGGCGCTGCCGCCATTCGCGGCAACGCGCGCGGCCCACTCGCCCAGAATCAAGTGTCACCCGCCCTCTCTGCCCGCGGCAATCAGCCGCCCACAGACTTTTCTGCGACGCGGCGCACTCTCCTGCGGGCGCGCGCATGCAGGACGCGTTGGTGGCGAACCGTGCATGGGCGTGCGGGCTAGGCAGGGGGCGCGGAGACGACACGGAGGGGCGCGTGCCGGTCACTCGGCAGCGGACGGGCGGACCAGGGGTGCGGCGTGGTGAGTGGGGACAGTGGTGGGGAGCGGGACACTGCGCACCGGCCATACTGCTTTTTGTCCGTCTGGTAGAGGTGCGCCGCCTCGGGGTTGGCCGGGCTCGCGCAGTTGGGGTCCGTCAGCAGCGAACGGATCGCGATGAGGATCGAGCAGACCGAGTAGATCGGGGACCAGTTGTCCTGGATCAGGTCCATGCAGAGCGTGCCGTCGGGGTAGATGTTTGGATGGAACTGCGGAGGGCGAGGTGGTGGTGGCGGTGAGATGGAAGGAGGTCGGGCCGGGCCGGGAAGGGCGCCCGGGCACTCGCCGCCCCCACGCGCCGCCGCCGCGCTGCGGACGGCCCTGGCGGGGACACTGCCGCGCACCATCTCTGACGTGAAGCGCACGCGCGGCGGCTTGTCTGGGTACTGATCGGTGAACGTCAGCCGCATCGAGTAGATGCCCCCCTCCCAAGCTGTGTCGTCGGGACCGAAGACCGTGCCCCCCCACACGAAGAGGTTGTCCTCCGACATCGGGCTCGCGCTGACGCCTTCAGGCGGGCTCTGCTTCATCGTCTTGAGGTCGCTCATGAGCCGCAGGGCGGAGGACTGCGCCGTGGACGCCGACATGCCGCGCGCCCGGAGAGTGAGCGCGCCTGCGGGGGCGGGAGGAGGCGCGCGCGATGTAAGGGCGTCTGACAGCACTGCCTGGCAAGCGGCGCCCGGCCGCGCCTTGTGCGCGCGTTATTCTTCGTGCCAAACAGGCCTTGCCCCCCGCACAGCGCTGGCCCCGCTGACCAGTTAGCAGTGGTGCGGCATGGCATTTCTCCTCCATGGCGATTTCTCCGGGGCGGCGCGACATGGTCGGCGCCCGGCGTCAGGGCACAGGGGCGGCGACACCCCATCTACATACACAGATGATACACGCACGCATCCTAGATGCTCGAGCTTAGATGCTAAACGCCAAATAGGATGCGTTTTGATGTCACTGGGTGTCTTCGTTAACATTATGACGCTGAGCCCTGGCTGTCAGGTTGTCAGGTGCTGTCAGGTGAGTCCCGTGGCCGGTGTTGTGCGGGAGAGGTTTTTTTGTACGAGAATCTGAGATATTTTTGAAAACCAACAATTAGAATCTTATATCGATCGGCTCTCCCGCGTGGTGTATGTACCTGTGTAGTGCCAGTGCGCGCCAGTCCCGTACCTGTGCCTAGTGTTGGAGGAGAGCGAAAGAAATCGCGCCGGGCATTTAAACCGAGAGCGAGGAGCGAAAGAGCGAGCAGCACGCCCGCGCGACGAAGCAGGAGACCGCGGCGCTCGTTGCCCGGTGGATGCGGCGCTAAAATAGATGCCCGTATGCTGTGTCAATGGTTTCATGGTGTCGTCGTGTGTGATTGATTCGCAGGCTGTGTCATCCTTCCGCAATACGGAACATTACGGTTTACGCGAAACCTCGCAAGCTCTTGGGACTCTCAGCCTGTTGGCACGCTCGAACTGAGACCGATAACGGGTCTGACCACGATTGCACCCTCGAGATTGCACCTCCGCCCTAGGCATACACAACAATACACATATATTCATATAATCGTAATTATAAAAAATACAGAAAGAAAAGGCGAAGAAGCACAAGAACAGTCAGACTCCGGACACTGGACACCAAAGCGGTATGGGTGGACGCGGGACAGAAGAGAGGACGACACGTGCGAGCGACACACAGACACACAAACTCACAAGACACTCGGCCAGCCGCGGGCTCTGCCACACATCGTACCGCACTACGCCACTCTGGGCCACGCCCCCAACCCTGTCGCCCCCCCAGCACCCACGGTGCCAAGGGTACAGACAACAGCAGAAACAACACAGACAGGCGACATGGGGTAACGTGCGAGGCTAGAGCACAGACAGACTGCTCCGCCTCTAGCAATCTCGCTCGCTCGCCGGCCGTCCGCAAGGCAGCCACGGACGAGACTACGTGTGGGCTTGTGTGAGGTGTCTATGGACGCTCACAGGGCAGCAACCAGTCGCTATTGACGACACAGCATGTCTGTATGTATGTAGGAAGGTGGAGAACAGCATTTAGATCTAACAAGGACGAGAAGGAAAACGCAACATTCAAACGTTGTGGGGGCCACAAGCGGCGACGAGCGACGACGACGAGCAATGCGGGCTTCCCTTCCAAGCTCCCCCTCCCGCCGTGGCCGAAGCCGCGGCCTCGACGCTGACGACGCCCGCTCGCGCCGCAACGAGAACAAGATCGAGCTCCGCAAGGCAAAGAAGGACGAGACGCTCGCCAAGAGACGCTTTGCTCAGCCCGCCGATGCCGCAGCCGAGGAGCCCACTGACCCCGCAGCCGCCGCAGCTGACGCGGTCGCCAACGCCTGCTCGGCGGCGGCGGAGGTGCCTAGGCTCGCCTCGATTGTGCACGAGTACGTCCGGGGCGGGTGCTGCGGCGATGCCGCGGCGGCGCTCTCGACGGTGACTCGGCTGCGGAAGCTCCTCTCCCTCTCGGGCGGCCCGCCCATCGACGAGTGCATCTCGGCGGGGCTGGTACCCGTCTTCATCCATCTCCTCGGCGGCGCCGGCGCGGTCGTCTTCGAGGCGGCCTGGTGCCTCACCAACATCGTGTCCGGCACGACCGACCACGCCAAGGCAGTCGTCGACGCGGGGTGAGAAGCCTCCGCCGCCCACCCGTTCGCCAACCCGCGGCCGCCGTCCCCGTTTGGCACCACCTAGTCCGAACCCACGCCGCCACCCACGCAACGCACTTCCCCTCCTCCACGCCGCCTCCCTGCGACCCGCGACTCGCCCCCAAATCCTGTTTGATTCTTCAACATGTTTTCCGTCTCCCGCAGGGCCATCCCGCCGCTCCTCAACCTCGTTCAGACCTCGCCTTCCGTCGAGACCCGCGAGCAGGCCGTGTGGTGCCTCTCCAACGTCGCTGGCGACTGCGCCTCGCTGCGCGACATGCTCCTCGGCTGCGGTGAATCCACCCACCGCCTCCCCTCCCGCCGCCTCCCCCCCTCCCCCCCCCCTCCCTTCCGCCGCCTCCCCCGCTCCCTCCACCTCTGCTCTCGCAGCCACCCCTCTGACTCCACCTCTGCTCTCGCCGCCACCCCTCTGACTCCACCCCTACTCTCGCCGCCACCCCTCTGACTCCACCCCTCCCGCAGGCGCGTTGCCGAGCGTGCTGAGCATGATCGAAGAGATGGCAACCACCTCGCAGATGGGCCCGCTCCGCAACGCGACTTGGCGCCGCTCCGGCCAGAGGCGCGACGAACGGCGAGGAGGCTCGCGCCACCTCTGCCCCCCCCGGTAGGTGCCTCTCCAACTTGGTGCGCAACAAGCCCGCGCCCGCCCTCGAGCACGTCGAGCGCGCGCTGCCCACCCTCGCAAAGCTGCTCTCGCTCGACGACTCGGAGCTCATGATGGACACCATGTGGGCCCTCTCGCACGTCGCAGAGGCGGGGGGCGACGCCGCCGACGGCGTCGTCTCGGTCGGCTGCCTTCCTCGCCTCGTCCACCATCTGGAGCACGCGCCGCCGTCGGTGCAGGAGCGCGCGCGTCGTTGTTGCCCCCTTCGCCCCATCCCTTCGCCACCGCCGCCACCGCCCTCGCCACCGCCCTCGCCACCGCCCTCGCCACCGCCCTCGCCACCGCCCTCGCCACCGCCCTCGCCACCGCCCTCGCCACCGCCCTCACCACCGCCCTCACCACCGCCCTCGCCACCGCCCTCGCCACCGCCCTCACCACCGCCCTCACCACCGCCCTCGCCACCGCCCCCCGCCGCCGCGCAGGTGCCCGCCCTGCGCGCGCTCGCAAACCTCCTCACCGGCTCGGACGGCGCGACCGGCGCGGTGCTCGAGGCGGGCTTCCTGCGCGTCGTCGGCGAGCCCCTCTCCCGGGATCGGAGGGTGCGGCGATGTGGCCCCGAGACCAGCCAAGACCTCGCTGAGAGTAGGCAGGTTCCTCTGCTCGGAGCGGTCGCGCACCCGCAAGGAGGCTTGCTGGGCGCTCTCCAACATCGCGGCTGGCACGGCCGCGCAGATCGACCAGCTGATGGCGACGCCTCTGCTGCCAGAGGTGATCGGCCTGATGGGGCGGGACGAGTTTGAGGCCCGAGAGGACGGCGCTCTGCGGACAGCGCCGCGTGCCGCGATTGCCACACCTTACCCGTGTCCAATAGGTCAAGAAGGAGTGCCTGTGGACGGTGGCCAACATCTGCCACGCCTACTCGAGCCACCCGGGGCCGCACACTGCCTACCGGGTGGGGGCGCTGGTGCAGGCGAGGGCGTGGCCCGACCTCTCCACGCCTCTCTCCGCGCCGCTTCGCACACCGAGAGCACCTCTTCACGGCTGCGCCGGTGGACCACCAGGCGGGCTTGCTCGAGCCGCTCGTGCGGATGCTCGACGCCAACGACCCAAAGGTGATCGAGCTCGCGGTCGACGCGTGCGGCCACCTGCTCGGCGCGGGCGAGGAGCTGGCGCGCGGGAAGGGTTCCAACCCGTTCGTGGTGCGCGCGCCTCTCTAGAGCGGGACTAGCATCTCGTTCGCGACCCAGCCCGCCCGCTGCACCCGCTCACGCGGCTGCTCGTCGCCCCGCCGCTCACAGACGCAGTTCGACACGGTGGGCGGCGTCGACAAGCTCGAGGAGCTGCAGACGCACCCGAACGAGACTGTGTACAACAAAACGGTCAAGATCCTCGACGACTTCTTCGTTGCGGAGGAGGCGGAGGACGAGAACCTGATGCCGCACCAGTCGGGCGGCGGGTTCCTGTTCGGCGCCGCGGCCGCAGAGACGCCAGCCACCCCCTTCGTCTTCTGAGGAGCGGGAGGCTTTGGGACTTGGGTGCACCTCTCGTGAAGGGCGGTGCGTGTGGTCCGAACAGGCGAGGACGATGCACACAGGAGAGATCGTCTCAATGTGTCGTGAGAGTCGGATGGCGTGAGATGATACGCGCAACTATGGATGATTTAGGCGCCATCAAGCACTGATCATGTGTGATGTGTGAAAAATAATTGATACACCTTAATCGTTGACGATGACGACGTTGTGAAACAGGTGAAAAAGCCGTACCTAGCAAATCGGAAGGATAAATATAAAAATATTCACACGTTTTCTATGCGGCCGATCTCGGCCGTCGGAGAAAAGGGTATGGACTATGGTATTGTTAAGACCAACGAAAACCCTTGGTGATCGTCGCCGTGTCGCCGACATAGCACATACAAAGTTATGACTTGTGTTGTTCTTGGCCCCCGGGCGTAAGGGCAGGGGCGACAACCAACGATGTGGGCTGGCTTGGTGCCGGCAGTGGCAACATATCTAGACCAGGCACAGACTGAATGCGCATGCGACTGTGGTAGCGGGCCACCGGACTCCAACGAGGCCCGTGGGGACTTTTCTTCAGGCGTTAGCTCTGACCGCCAGGAAGCTGGCTCGGGCCTGCCGCCCGACCCAGCTTCCGGCTCGGGTGATGCTGGTGTAGGTGTGCTAGGCTGCTCCTCAATCGACGAGCTGAGGGAGCGAATCCTCACTCTGGAGGCTGCCATGGCCCGGCTGAACATGCCTCCATCGCCGCCGCCACCACCATTGATCATTCCGTCAACCACTATCGTTCCGCCTCCTCAAGCAGTTCTCACACCACTGCCGTCGGCGCCAGATATGTTGCCTGCACAGCCGTCTCGTCCGCCGCCCGAGCCGCCGTCACAGCCGCCGCCACCACTGCCATCTCCACCACCGCCGCCTCTGCTGCCACCGCCTCAGCTGCCACCGCCTCTGCTGCCGCCGCCTCTGCTGCCACCGCCTCTGCTGCCACCGCCTCTGCTGCCGCCGCTCAGACCACCGCCGCCACCGCCACCGCCACCGCCACCGCCACCGCCGCCTCAGCTACCACCGCCTCTGCTGCCACCGCCTCTGCTGCCACCGCCTCTGCTGCCACCATCACCACTGCCACCGCCACCGCCACCACCGCCACCGCCACCGCCGCTCTTGTCTCCACCACCCTTGCCCTCTACACCTGCGACCTCTCCGACAGCGCCGCCGCCCGCTCCCTCAGCCCCGCCGAGGGTCCTATTTTATGACGACTTTTCCCGCCTCGACCTCTCTGTGTGGAAGCACGAGATCACAATGGCGGGCGGCGGCAACTGGGAGTTCCAGCTCTACCGAAACAATCGTACCAACTCCTTTGTCGAAGACGGCGTGGGGCCGTGGCTCGCCCACCGTACCTTGTCACACACACTGTCTCTGACTTTGTCCAACGTGGTCATAGGCGTACTACACATCCGTCCGACCTTGACCGAGGACTGGCTGCCCAGCCCACGGACCACCCGGCTCGATATGTGCGACGCACCGCAAGTCACCGCAAGTACCGGCGGTGCCGGTGCCGGTCCTGCCGCAACACGAAGCCGGTGCGCTTAGGTACGGACTGACGCCGGCGTCCGACTGCACCGCAAACGCATTTTACGGGTGTGTCCGAAACGATGCCTCGCCCATCAGCTCCGCCCGCATCAGCACCGTCGACTCGTTCACCTTCCGCAGCGGCCGTCTCGAGGTTCGAGCGCAGCTTCCCCGGGGCGATTGGCTTTGGCCTCGAGCAGAGTAGATGCGGGGACACGAAGAGACCCTCCCAAACGACACATGTGCACGTGCTAGTTCCGGTATAGCGTGTTGCAAGTAATGGCTCTGTCTCTGCGCCGCAGGCCCGCAATCTGGCTACTCCCGCGCCACGAGACGTTTGGAGGCTGGCCGGCCTCGGGCGAGATTGACGTGATGGAGGCCACCGGCAACGCGGCCGGGTACGCCGGGAATCGCGGCGTCGATACTGTGGGCTCGACCATTCATTGGGGCACCAATCTCTCTCGTCCCGGACCCTTTCTCGTACGACAGGACACAGCGAGAGACACCCGCACCCCGCACCTAGGCCTGAACGTTGAGCAGAATCGATTCCACCAGACCTCAGCGTCGATGACTCTGCCGGGTGCGACAAGGTCCCAGACACTAGGTGCGCCCTCTGTGTAGACTTGGCGTACTCTCCTAGGCGCCAACTTTTCAGACGATTTTCATACTTTCGGGCTCGTGCGGACAGAACACGGCCTCTACACCTACCTGGACGACGACGCGCAGCGCATTCTGCAGGTGGACTGGACGAATCAGACCTTCTTCGAGCGCGGTGGATGGGACCCATCAAGCTGGAGCAACCCGTGGGCGAGCGGTCACACGAACGGCGCCCCCTTCGACGAGGACTTCTTCATCATCTTCAATTTGGTGGATCTCTGGCCGAGATCTCTCAGCCGACCCATTGCCAGGGATGGCGAGGTGGAGTGGGTGGGCTCTGGCGAGCCCTGGCCCCCGACCCTGCACCCTCGCCCCTTAGGCGGTGGGCGGCGTCTCCTTCTTCCCCGACGGTGAGGGCGGCAAGCCGTGGGAGAACGAATCGGGTAGCGCCCAGTGGGACTTTTGGGGCGCGCGCGACCAGTGGCTGCCGAGCTGGCAAGAGAACGACCCCGCGCTCAAGATAGACTGGGTGAGGGTGACCGAGGTCTGAGATATCGCTTGCATATTTCGCCGGACAAACTGAAGCTCGTGTTGAGCGTCAGTAGGGAACGCCAATGGAGGCATGTGTCCAGGATTATGCAGGACGATAAGAGATCGTCTAGAGAATGCCCCGGCAAGCTGGCAGTAGGTGTAGAGTGTTAGTCGGGCGCGTCTGCGGAGAGTTGTTTGCGTATTTTGGCAAGCCAAGGCCAGACACGCCCCCCTGATTGTGGAGTTATTGCCAAAAATAAAAAGATAACAGAAAGAAAAATCCCGCAGGCGTTACACACACACCATGGGGGCCGAGGCCGATAACGCGCTTGCGTTGATGCCGGCGCCATCCTTCGCGGCGGAGCCGCAAGAGACGCTGCTCGACGTAGTGCTACAGCAGCGAGGAGAGAAGTCGCTGCAGCCCCTCTGTCGGCTCTGCTTGGCGGGCTCGTCCAATGCCAGCCAGGCTCGCGTTGCGGCCACACCAGCGCCTCTGTTGCGCTCTTCTGAGATTCGCACGCCTCCTCCCACAAGCAGGGCACCTCCGTTGGCGACTGGCACCAGAGCACCGTCCGCAAGATCGACGCCAGCGGAGACGCTGACCTGGAGCCGCGGGCGCCGCTGACTGGGCTGCTGCTGACTCTGCCGAGCGGCTGGATCCACTTTCTGGAGGGCCACCCGCCTTCAATGTCTGAGTACCTGCAGCAGCTCACCACGGCAGAGGCAGCGGGGATCTTGTCGTCAATCAAGGCACGCCCACCTCTTTGCTACGCCTCTTTGCTACGCCGCTTGCTCGCCTCATAGATTTCCTACACGGCACAAACATCTCCGCCTCCAGGTGGTCTCTTGCATGGACGATGCGCCGGCGCGTAGCTTTGGCGACTGGCTGGCGTGCTTAGTGGAAGTGGCGCGCGGCAACTACATGGACGTTGACGATGACACGCTGCCGAAGCTCCTCGCCGACACCGTCATTGCCTTTCTGCAGCTCGGCAAAGCCGTGGGAGAGGACACTGCTGAAACTGCCAGCCAGAAGCTCGCCGAGTGGGAGACCAGGCGTGCACGTGCCTCCTCCACTGCACATGACTCAAGCGGGCTCGGCGCTGCTCAGGGCTCCTATCGGCACGCCCTGCAGGTATAGCGACTTCATGCCGAGCAACGAACGGGTGTCACAACTCCTCGCGCTCGACGAACTGCCTACCTTGCAAGAGTTTATTGACACATACGAGTCGTCCGAGGAGGCCACCTCGATGTCGGAGGTGGTCTGGCCGGCAGAGCCTACCCTGGCGTACTGACGCAGACATCTGCGTCGCATCTCGCAAAAGCAAAAAAGCACTTGACACCCAACCACCGTGATTGATCTAGCTAGGATGTATGGTCTATGGATTTTTTATTTTCCGCGTAGCGCGTTTTGTGTCATTTGAGTATTTTGAGAGCACGGTGTGACTTGTGAGGAGTGTACGGTACGGCTAGAGTGATGGGGGAGAGCGTTGAAAGAGAGAATGACGAGAAGCGCGCGTGAACTGCACATCCAAGTGTGCACACATCAAAACACATTAAAAATAAAATGCGCGGCTCGATCGGGCTTTCGCGTTTCGGGGGAGACGGGGGAGAGAACGGCTACGGTACGGGGGCTAGCAGAACGGGGCAGCGCGCAGGGCCGTGTCCGCGTGTCCACATATCAACGCAAGCCAGAAGCCACGCCGAGCCCGCAAGCGCGCACAACCGACAACCGTGTTTCGTAAGGCGGTATGTGTGTGGCACGCCTGCGACCTGGCAATGTTCTCACTCACAAAACAAACAACACGAAATGAATTCTCCAAACATGCTCGGCCTCGCGAGCGGGCCATTCCGGGCACTGGAGCGGCCCGCCCGACGGTCCCGCCATGCACCTTCTCCCGCTACCCCCGGCCAGCCGCGAGCGCCTCTGCTGGCCGATCGGCTCGGCTCCCCTCCTCGAGCTGCCCGCGCAAGCTGTAGAAGCGGTCGAGCAACTGCGTCGCCCGCGCGTGCTCGGTCTCGAGCCCCGCCTTGTGCTCGAGCAGCGCCGCGCGCGCGCTCGCCACGTCGAGCGACGACGTCGAGGTTGGCTCGTCGCACATGGTGTGCAGGCTGCGGAGCAGGTGCCTACTCGCGAGGTCTCGCGAGGTGTGGTGGCGTGTACAGACAGGGGCCCGCTCGCACGGGCACGCAGGCGGAGAGCGCGCGCGTTGGGAGCCGCTCCGCGAGGCTGATGAGGAAGTAGCGGACCTGCGGGCGCGAGGGGCAAGGGTGGCGGGGAGGGGTGGGGGAGTGCGGGGTGCCTGGGGTGGCCCTCTGGCGCGGCTCGCCTTTCGCTTGACTGCCAGAGCGAACTGGCGCCGCCACGCCCCGACGAGGCGCGTGACGAGGGCGTCCACGGCGCTCTCCCCCGACCCGACCCAGCCCCCGACCGCCCAGCTCGCCACCTTGTGGGGCGGGGGAGGGGTGATGCAGCCCTGCAATCTCGCGAGCGTGACGGGTGCTGCGAGGGCGTGGCAGCGGCTGGTCTCGGGGGGGCCGCCACCTCGCCGTCCTCTGTGACGTCGTTGGCGGGCGAGGCAAAGATGGGCCACAAGGTAGACACCTGAGCAATTCGAGGGGCGCGAACGAGTGAGGGGCGGGGGGAGAGGGTCCAAGGGGCGGGAGCAGCTCGCCTCGGACGCCCCGCCGCGAGGCGCGACGACAGAGCGGATGTCTGTGTAGCATGCCTGGCAGCGGGAGAGGAGGCGCATGTGTGGGAGACGACGGTGGCGGGCAGAGAGGTGGCGAAGGCAAGAGGCTGGCCAGGGCAGGAGGTGGCGGAGGCAGACGTGGCGAGGCGGAGGCGCGCCTGCATGCACTCCCGCAAGCTCTCGCGCAGCAGCGACGAGAAGGCCTCCTCGACCGGCCGGCGAAGGAAGCCGCCAATCGTCTCGCTGATCATCCGCGAGCGGCGCGCGGTCGCTCGCAGCGCGCCCGCCCCCGCGGCGGCGGAGATGCCCTCGTCGGCGGTGGCTGCCGCGTGAAGCAGCATCCGCGCCACGACGTGCTCCACGCGCGAGGCGAGCCGCGTGAGCAGCTCGTGGTGCTGGCTGAGCGAGTGGCTCATCGCCGCCTGGCAGACGGCGCGCCTATGGCATGGCACAGGGAGAGGCGCGGCTCGCGCACCAGCCGAGATTGCTGTTGTGGGCTCTGCGCGGGCGCGCCCGTAGCAGAGCGCGTCGTGCTGCGCGTCGACGCCGAGCGCGTTGGAGAGCTGTTCGTCGGTGACTAGCACCTGCTCGGCACATAGGCGGGATATGGGGAGGGGAGGGGAGGGGAGGGTGGACCGACGGCAGCGAGCGGACGCCGAGCTCAAACTCGCGCAGCAAGCGGTGGAACTGCGCGCCGCCAAACAGCCTCGCGCCCGCGCCGCCCTCGCCCACCAGCGCCGAGAAGTCGGCGCCGAGCGCGGCGTCGCTGCAGAGGGCGCCTGCCTCGGCGCGCTCCTGCGCGAGCGTCTGTCCGATCGGCGCCGTGTCGGTCGCAACGGTGCCTGCCGGGGGGTGGGGGCGGGGGGTGGGGGTCGGAGGTCGGAGTGGACTCCGCACGGCGGCGAGCTGCGGAGGAGGGGCATATCGCGCACCCGCTATGGTGAGGTCGTACCGCTCCATGAAGAGGGAGACGTACCTACGGGATGGCTCACACCGGCCTGCAGGGAGAGGCCACTCACGCAGCCGCTCGACAGAGAGACGAACTTGGAGCAGAGCCCACGCAGCCTGCTGGGCGCGAGCTCCTCGAGCAGCTCGTCCGCCTACGGGACGTGTTGTGGACGTGTCGTGGGCGTGGACGTGTCGTGGACGGTCTGGAGGCTCGGCGAGCAGCTCGTGCGCGCCTGCGCCATCTGCTGCGAGGTTCGCTCGCGCGCCGCTTGCAGCTGTCCGATGATCGAGGTGAGGCTCATCAGGTACCTAATTAGTTAATTATTAGTTCATTAATAGTTAATTAATTAGAGGGCAAGGTGAGGGACATCAGGTACCGCTCGCGCAGCAAGTCCTCGAGGAAGCGGCGCAGCCTGCTGATGCCCACGGCAGAGCGCGCACCCGGCTGCGTGGCGGCGTCCGCGGCGGGCGCCGCAACCTCGCGCAAGTACTCGAGGTTGGCGTGCTCCGTGCGCGCCAGCGCGTCCTGGCGTGTGCGAGGGGGCGAGTGAGGGATGCGTCCAGGGCGTGTCATGGGTGCGGCGGCGTCGAAGCCACCACGGGGCTAGAGGCGGGGGATCGTGGGCGGCGGCATCGACGGAGCAGACGGCCTGGCGCCGGAAGTGTCTCGGAAAGTGCCGCTCGCCTGGTACTCGCCGTCAGTGGCGAATCCGTGCAGCGGCGAGCTGCCCACGCGCCCCGAAGGCACCTGCGGGACACACCAACGACCAGTGATGGGGCGTGTGGCGCGGCTGCTGCCCGCGCGAGCCTGCGGCACCGAGGTGAAGAATGGGCCTCCGAGCAGCCGCGGGTGCGACTCCCGGAGAGGGCGCGCCTGACCTCGGACAATCTCGGGTGGCGATCTCGGACAATCTCGGGGGTGCGACTCGCAGAGAGGGAGCGCCTGGCGGGCGGTGAGGGGGGGGAGGGGTGGGGGGAGGGGGGGGGAGGGGTGGGGGGAGGGGTGGGGAGGGGTGGGGAGGGGGTTGTAGTGGACGATCCGCGAACCGTTGCGGGCAGCACGAGAGGTGAGTCTGCACGAGTCTGCACGAGAGTGTCTAGGACGAGAGGTGTCACGAGAGGTGTCACGAGAGGTGTCACGAGAGGTGTCACGAGAGGTGTCACGAGAGGTGTCACGAGAGGTGTCACGAGAGGTGTCTAGGAGGTGTCTAGGAGGTGTCCGCGCGCCGCGAGGAAGTGGAGGAGGTCCGACGTGCCCGAGAGCTGGGCGAGCTTGGTGTCGAGCTTGGTCGAGACGACGACGGTGCGGCCGAAGGTGGGGTCGACTTCGCCGACGAGCTGCCGCACCTGCGCTAGCGATCGGATCTCGCCGGAGGTGTGGGCGGACCTCAGGACCTGTCAGGACCTCTCAGGACCTGTCAGGACCTCTCTCTCCGCGGGCTACGTCTCGGCGAGTCTCGGCGACTTCTCGTGATCTCTCGCGCGCCGCCGAGCTCTGCCAGCAGCGCGTCTCCTCGACGCAAAGAATGACGCGCTCCGCGGCCGACATCTGCGCGACGACGAGCTCGCGCACCGCGCGCGCGTTGGTGGCGGCGCTGGGCGCCGTCGACTGGGCGGCGGAATCAAAGTCGAGGAGTCCCGGCGTGTCGATGATGCTCAGGTTGGGGCAGTACCTGTGGTTGGGCGGGGCGGGTGGCGAGAGGAGGCGCGGGTCGGTGGATACGGCTCGCATCTCCCGGCAGAGGCTTCGGCTAGGCCGGGAGGCGGGTGTGGCGTAGCACTTGTAGTCCATCCGCACGATCAGCTCCTCCGCCTCGAAGGCGCCCTCCGCCTCGAGGCGCGAGTTTTCCGCCTCGATGTACGCCTTGAGCTCCTGCAGACCCACCTGCCGCTCGCGCCCGCCCTCGAACAGGAAGCAGCGTGGCTCCTCGCACTCGGCGCGGTACTGCATCTGCAGCGCAATCGGCCGGCGCGTCTTTGTGCCGCCGCCGACGTGGTTGAACTGGAAGCCCATCAGGGCCTCGATGAGGGCGGACTTGCCGTCCGTCTGCTGACCCACCACCACGATCTGCGGCGTCTTGATCGGCAGCTGGCACTGCTGCGAGAAGGCGGCGAGCTGGTTGTAGGCAGCGTAGAGCCCGTCCGCCTGCGGCGAGCCTTGCCACGCCGGACCGTCGTGCGCGCCAAGCAACAGGAGCGGCGCCGCCAGCAGCAGCATCGCGGCCTCGCCGGCCGTGTGCTTCCAGCGGCAGGTTGGTACTCCACCGCCGGCGGCGGGAACCGGTATTTTTTTGACTGAGACTTCGCTACCCTGGGAGACTCAGTGGTTTTGTGCGGTTCCATCGCATGAGGGAATAGCATGCAGGTGCTCAGCGTCCGCGCAAAAGTGCGAAAAATCTGTCGCGAGCCCGCTTTCTTTACCCACCCAGCCACCCTCCCACACCAAATCGCCATCTTACCTAACCTAAAGCCATCTTGCGGGATGATGGAGACTGGCTTGCATTGAGCTTCACTTCCGCCCTTCGATTCCGCCCTCGATTCCGGCGGATTTGGGAACTTTGATTTCGTCTCCGTAAAAGCTGCTCGTGCGTCCCCTCGACACACGAGGCTTCGCCATGTCAAAGCGGTCGGCGTCGAGGTGCCCCAGCGCAAGCACGAGCAGACCGATCCTGATCATTGGCGTCACGACCTCCGACCGCGCGAACGAGGTCGCCTACTTTGATCGGACCTGGGCGGCGTCCGTCCCCGCCCGCGCCGTCGCCGACACAGTCTGGTACACTGACAGTTGGCGCACTCCAACGCCGCGCTGTGCTCACATCTTGCCAAAAGCGACTGACGTGCTGACGAGGCGCGTGCAGATCCTCGACGACGTGTACGCCCGCTACCGCCACCACCTTTGGTACGTGGTGGTCGAAGACGACGTGTACGTGTACCCTACGCGGCTCGCTGAGGAGCACCCTAGATGTGCCAGGACTTGTCACCACCTCTGCAGACAGTATCAACGTCGTCCTCCCAGACACAGTCGCAGACGCGGTAGGAAAGGCGGCCTCCACCAAACTGTCCCTTCGGCGCTTGCAGGAGCTACACAAGCTGAACGCGACCGCCTCACTGCTGGTGGGGCACGTGCACTTTGCGCCGCGCGGCTTTGGCCAATTTTTGAACGGCGGCAGCGGCGCAATCTACACCCGCCCCGCCCTTAGCGCCCTTGTCGAGGCTGGCCCCCCGAGATGCTCCGACACATAGCCCGTTTGTTCACAAAGGCGCATTCTACTTTCTACGACCCGTCAGTACACCGCCTGCCCCCGATTCTTCATTTCCTTAGGACTCCCGCGCCGGTCGCTGCCCCCGCATCTTCTACAGCCACTTTGGGAAGGCGGCAACGTGGACAGAGGGGAACCGGCACGGGAACGTGGACCTCGTCCTCTCAAAGTGCTCCACTCTGCCGAAGCGGGCGCGCCTCGTCCCGCTCTGCGGCTTCTACAACGTCCCTCCACGGTTTCTCAGCAAGCGGCCTGGGCGGTTCGGCCACAATGTCAGCACGGCTCTCGGGCCCGGCTCCCCCACCAGTTTTCTCGACGGTTGCACCTCCGCCGGGGCAGAGTGCGCCCCAATCACATTCAACGGGGTCAAGTCGCTCAGGCATGCGATGGAGCTGCACCAAAGCTCGATGCGCCCCTGCCTCCAGCACAGCCCATAATTCGTCCTTCAGAATACGACGAGCTTGTGGGGCTGCCACAGCGGAGAGCCCAACGAGCCGACGGCCTTGTCCGAATGAGTAGCGCCCCCCCCGACGCCAGACACCCGCGCACCCACACGGCACGGTGCGTACCCCGTTTGCCGTTTTACACCACAGTACGCAGTGAGTTCTGACCAACCCAGTTCCACCAGCTCCCAGGTTCAGCTCGCTACCGCGTACAGGGCTGGAGGGCTGTGTACTACACAGGCTGTAGAGTGTAGACTGTAGTCGCCGCGCGCATTCACAATCACATGTTTAAGTTCCCGCTTCGCAAAAAAGTATATACACCAGCGGTCTCTGTCTCTCGATCCTACGATCTCTCGCTCTCCGACTCTCGACTTCGGACTTGTCCCGCGCTGCCCTCTCGCTGCGGGAGGGTTAACCGTCTGGGGGAAGGGGGGGGGGCTCGGGACGAGAACGGCAAGCTGCTCGGCACGGCGTTCGAGGGCGACGGGGGCGGCGCTAGGCAAAACGGGTCCGGCACCAAGTGCAACTGGGGAGGGGGCATCTGGGGTCCGCCTCACAGAGGGGAGAGGGGCGCACGCACAAGGTGTACAGGCAGAGCCTTGCCCGCCGCCGCCGCGCGCGCGAGACGGAGCCGCTCGCGCTGCAGCAGGACAGCGGCGTGGGTTGTGGCGCGGCTGGCGCTCCTCCCCCGCAGCTCAGGCGAAGCAGAGCCGACTGTGGATTCCTGGGAGGGGGGGGGTGGGGTGTTGGTGATGGGCGGTGGAGGGCACGGGCGGGTTGCAGCGACGGGAGGGTGGTGCGGGGAAAGGAGCAGTCAGGGGGGGGCAGCCGCGAGGGGCGCGGTGGGGCGGGGCGGGGCATGAGAGTAGCATAGGGGGCGAGAGGCGAGAGGGGAGGCGGGAGGCGGGAGGGGAGGAAGAGGCAGGGCGGGGGGAGGGGACACACCGCCGGGTCCGCTCGAGAAGCGGCGCGCGAGGAAGCTGAGGGCGAGACAGGGGGAGGGTGAGATGGGGTGGAGAGGGGGGTCGTGCGGAGAGGGGAGGGGAGGGGAGGGGAAGAGCCAGCGTAGGGCCGCGGCGGGCAGGGCAGAGAGCAGCCTGCTCCCGCCGGCCGACGTGGACTCTGTCAGCACGGAGACGCGTCGGCCGATTGCGATGCCGAGGAGGAGGACCTGAGGCCGCGCGGGGGCGGATCGAGTCGTGGCATGCGCGCGGAGCGAGGCTGCGCCGCGCGGGCGAGAGGGCGCCGCGCCGCGACGCAAGCGGTGGCGGGATCGGGCGACTTCACGGAGGTGGCAGCGGCTGGTGTCTGGGCGAGGCGCGGCGTGTGTGCACGCACCGCTGTGTGGCTGGCGAGCAGCGCCGCGACGACGACGAGCGGCTTGCTCCACGTCCCCTTCCAAGCGGAGGACTTTGCGCGGACGGACCACTCGAGGGGCGGCGGCGGCGCGCACGCGCCGCCGTCACGCGCGCCTGCGCCGCACGCGCCCGGTGGCGGCGCGGGCGGCGGCTTGGGGCAAGCATACTCGTCGGCGCCGCAGCCGCGCGGCAGCCGCGGCGAGAGCGGCGGCGTGGCGGCGAGCAGCAGCGAGTCGGGGGGCGCCGCCTCCCCGTCCTCGTCCCGCGAGTCTGGGCTCATGCCGTGCGAGAGCGGCAGCGGCCAAGCCGCCGCGAGAATCTCGCTCAGCGCTTGCGCGGAGAGGACCTCGTCCTCGTCCGAGCCGAGCCCGAGCAGCGGGCTGAGCGGAAGCGGCGTGACGGATGCGCTCGTCTCGCCGCCCAGCCCGTACGCGGAGGCAGCGCCGCTCGAGGCGATCCCACTGTCGACTCTGTCGGCTTCGCTCTCACCTTCGCTGTCTCCCGCCGCCCAGCTCTGAGCCAGCGAGTTGCTCGAGGGCGCGAGCGAGGGGCGTGGCGAGTGGGAGGGCGAGTCGTCCACAAGAATCCACGAGTGCGCCTCTGGATTGAAGACCAACCCGCTGGATTGCACTCGCTCACACGCCGGCGGCTCGGGCGGGGAGACTGTGCACGAGGGCGGCTCGGGCGGGGAGTAGCCACACTCGCACGCGGGTGGCGGCTCGTGGTGTGTTTCCATACGTCACCGGCCAAAGCAAGGTGCCGGCAGAAGCTTGAGGCGGTTTGGGGCAAATGAGCAGTGTTTCTTTTTTCGAGGTGGAGGTGCGCCGCCCTCCGCGCCTCCCCGCGCCTCCCCGCTCACGCGCCGCATACACCCCTCACGAAGAGAATAAATAAATAAACAAAACGGACACACCAAACGAGGGGTGGGAGAAGGACAGGGTTTGGCCTGTACCAGGTTTTCCGGCAAACAAAAAGGAAAACAGAGGGTCCCCAGCACTTTGCGTTTCCGGAAATTTCCAGGGAAAACAGAGGGTGTTTGGTGCTCCATTCTGGAAACTCGCGAGTTTCCCTGAGTCTGAGAGCTGGTCTGGGGCAAAATCTGAGGCAAAATTGAGGAATCGACAAAATACCCAGGCGGTCGCAGGGTACATGTAATTTCCAGGTCTACACGCAACACGGGTTCTCCGCAAAATTCCCGGCATTTTGACGATTTGGCCTAAAATTTGGCTGATTTTGGGCCCAAACCAGCCTCAGACTCGGCTCTCAGAGCCCAAAATTTGACGATTTCCACGGAGAGTTCCCGGGAAAATAGAGAGGAGAAGAGAGGGTGCTGTAGAGAAAAAAGGAGGAAAACAGACGGGGTGCGAGAGGAAAACCTGGTACAGCCTAAGACAGGGTCCCCACCTGCACGAGCAGGATCTTGGAAGGACGACCAGGGACACAGGGGAACGGGAGCGGGGAGCGCATCGCGACACGGAGGGGGGCTGGGCAGGGTTCACCCACACGACAGGGTCCCAGGAATTCCCCTCTCGTATATGACAGGTAGGTTGCACCCGGCGGCACCGGGGGCAGGCGCGGGCCTCCTACTGGTTGCGCTCTCCTAGTTCTCCTGCTCCTGACAATCGAGAACTGCTACGCGCTCGCGGAGCTCGCCCTGAATGTGCCTCCTCCGTCTCCACCACCGCTGCCCTCGCCACCGCCCTCGCCACCGCCGCCCTCGCCGCCTCCGCCGTCGCCACCTCCGCCGTCGCCGCCGCCGCCCTCGCCACCTCCGCCCTCGCCACCACCGCCGTCACCACCGCCGCCCTCGCCACCGCCGCCGTCGCCACCTCCACCGTCGCCGCCTCCGCCGTCGCCGCCGCCGCCCTCGCCGCCTCCGCCGTCGCCGCCTCCGCCGTCGCCGCCGCCGCCGTCGCCACCTCCGCCCTCGCCGCCCTCTGGTGCTCTTGCTCCCTACCGGAGACTTACATCGGATGACGCCGACGGCCCCTACCCCCCTCCACCATCCCCTCCGCCGCCCTCCCCTCCGCCGCCCTCCCCTCCGCCGCCCTCCCCTCCGCCGCCGAGCCCGCCTCCGCCCTCACCGCCGCCACCCAGCCCGCCCCCGCCCTCGCCCCCGCCGCCCTCGCCCCCGCCGCCCTCGACATCGGATGACGCCGACGGCCCCTACCCCCCTCCACCATCCCCTCCGCCACCCTCCCCTCCGCCGCCCTCCCCTCCGCCGCCCTCCCCTCCGCCGCCCTCCCCTCCGCCGCCCTCCCCTCCGCCGCCCTCCCCTCCGCCGCCGAGCCCGCCTCCGCCCTCACCGCCGCCGCCCAGCCCGCCCCCGCCGTCGCCGCCGCCGCCCTCGCCCCCGCCGCCCTCGGAGCTGCCAGGCTTGAAGTCGATTGGTAGCGCGGCCTTCAGGCGTTGCAAGGGGCTCACCGACGTGGTGCTGCCTGCTTCCGTTGTCGACATCGGGGAGCAGGCCTTTGCCTGGAGCTGGCGGCTCTCCTCCATCAACGTGCCGAGCGGCGTCGCAAGCCTCGGTCAAGGCGCGTTTATGTTCTGCTCCTCTCTGTCCAACGTGAGCTTGGGTAAGGGCACGTACGCGATTCCAGACGACGCCTTCTCGAGCTGCCGCTCTCTCCCGACCATCACCATCCCTGAAGGCGTGACGAGCATTGGCAGCAGCGCCTTTAGCGGCTGCTCCTCGCTCACCTCGGCCACGCTGCCGACCGGCCTGGAGAGCATCGGTGGCTCCGCATTCCATGGCTGTGGCGATCTCGCCAGCATCGCCATTCCCGATGGCACGACCAGCATTGGCAGCAATGCTTTTAAGGAATGCTCGTCGCTCTCGGCGGTAAGCCTCCCGGCCAGCCTCGAGAGCGTCGGAAGCGGTGCCTTTCAGAGTTGCACCGCACTTGCGAGCATCGCCCTCCCCGGCAATGTGACGAGCATCGGCACGAGCGCCTTCGAGCACTGCTCTTCCCTCGCGGTTGTCACGCTGCCGGATAGCCTCGTAAGCGTTGGTTGGTACGCCTTCCGCTACTGCGGCGCTCTCTCGAGCATCGCCGTCCCTGATGGCGTCACAGACCTCGGCGACTACGCCTTCTACAACTGCTATTCCCTCGCGTCGGTCTACCTCTCGGCCAGCCTCGTCAACGTTGGGCACTACGCCTTCTACCGGTGCTATTCTCTCTCGAGCATCGTCGTCCCGGATAACGTGACTAGCATCGGCAACAACGCGTTTGAGTACTGCTCCTCGCTCGGCAGCGTCACCCTCTCGGCCGGCCTCACGAGCATCGGCGTCAGAGCTTTCAGGAGCTGCTCCGCGCTCTCAAGCATCGCCATACCCGACGGCGTCACCAGCCTCGGCGACTACACCTTCGAGTACTGTACATCGCTCTCGACGGCCGTCCTCTCGGCCAGCCTCGTGAGCATTGGAACCGGCACTTTCATTCGGTGCTACGATCTCGAGAGCATCATCATCCCCGATAGCGTGGTCAGCATCGGCGCCTACGCCGTTCCTCGGTGAGGGGTTCCGCTCCTTTGTTGGCGCGGCCAAGCTCGTCTTCGCGTGGCTCTTCGCGCTGGCGGTGATGGGTGTCAACCTTTACTTCCTGATGGCCTTTGGCTACAGTTTTGGGGAGGAGAAGATGCGCATCTTCATCCGCGACTTCTTCCTCGGGCTTGGCAGCGACATGCTTGTCGTCGAGCCGCTCATCGTGCTCTCGCTGGTGATGCTGCCCTTCATCTTCGACAACGCCTTCTGCGCCAACTTGCGCGAGGCGGCGCGCGAGCTTGGACTGCTCTGATACTGATCGGAATCCTCTCTGTGTGGGACGTTTATCATTACAGGTCAGGTACGCATCTCGCATGCGATCGATTCATGTCGTGACTCAGTTTGCGGTCTCCCCGCCACCCCGGGGTGAGCTGTGAGCGCGGTGTGCCCGTGCTGGCGGTGCAACACAGATAGGACTCCGCACGACCGCAGAGATGCCAGAGTCACGAGACTCTCTCCACTCTCGCGCCACATGTGTGTGTGTCCTCTTCGACGCGTCTTGAGTGTCATGTGTGTGTGTGTGTGTGTGTGTGTGTGTGTGTGTGTGTGTGTGTGTGTGTGTGATAACGCAAGTTTGACCGCCGTACGTGGGTGTCAGAGAGTACAACATGACACAAGGTAGCTACTCTCGACCATGCCTGGCAGACCCACATGCCTGACAAAACAGAAGACCTTACCGAACACACAGAAGTGCCCGCGCGGCAAGCGGGGCGGAGCTGGCGGGTGGAGCGCCACAATAGCTGGCGGCGCCGCTTGGCGAGCTTGAAGCGCCGGGCGACCAAGAAGAGAGCGAGCGCCTGCCGACACCGGGACGTGTCAAAGAAGCGCCCCTCAGGGGCCCTTAATGTCGCCGCGAAGCGGGGGTGCCAAAAGGGCGACGACTCCCGCCGCCGGGAGGACGGTGGTGAGGAGCACTCTGCGCAAGTGCTCGTCCTCTTCCTCGGTACCCGCCCGTGCAGACGCACACGCGCCTGGGGGGGGGGGGGGGGGGGGGGGGGGGCAACCGGATGACACTGTGTGGACGTGCCCCAGTGAGGATGCGCCGCGCCTCCCATATTATCGCACTGGCCGTGGCCCGAGCACTGGATCTCCTACACAGCGAGAGTCCGTCCATCCGAGACGGTTCCGAGAAAGCGACGAACTCGATATATGCCCGCCCGTCCTCGATGTACCGAATGCCCGCCCGCTCCGTGTCGCCCCGAGCGCCGCACCCCCCCCGAAGAGGCGGCAGCGGCGCTGCGCCCATGGCGGCGAACCGGCGTCGGGAAGGCGAGCACGGCGTTGGCGGTGGCGCGTGCCTCGGGAGGCCACACGACCCTCTCCGGGTCGCCGCTGTGCGTTGTTCACGTAAAACAGCAGCAAACACGCTACGAAACACGCAGAGGCGAGACAACTACGGTTTTTGCTCGACTTTTTGCAGCGCCTCGGTCGCGATGGCAAAGAGGCGCGGCCACAGCTTGCCCGTCACCAGCAGCCGGCCGGTCGGCTCGTCGTACGCCAGCCCGTTGAGCACCGCCTCCTGCTGCAGCGCGGGCGTCCGGCCGAGGCTGCGCCGCTCCTCGGCCGTCAGCAGCCCGCGCAGGTCGACAAAGCAGCGCACGGCGCCGCTGCGCGGCTCGATGACGGCGAGCCGATCCTCGTGCCACAAGTTGGCCCAGACCTCGCCCCGCACCCACTGCAGCTCGTTCAGGTTGGGCAGCGGCCGCCCCGCCGCGTGCACCGCGATGCGCCGCTTGACGCGAAACTACAAACACAAACGTGAAACTAGGGGACGTGGCGCGGGCGCGTCATCGACGTGCCACGCCGGGGGTGGGCGTGGCGTGGGCGCGGCGCGGCGCCGGGCACGGTGGTTGGCGAGCGGTAGATGAGGCGCCGAGGAGTGAGCGGCGGGCGTGGGAGGCGGTGGTGCGAGGCTGTGGAGGTTCCGCGCCGAGTGCGCGTCGAGCTCGTGCAAGATGTCCGAGCCGTCCGAGACGAAGAGGCTGCCCGCGCCGTCGCCCGTGATGCCCCACCCTTCAGAGATGCCCGACGGGAGCGCCACCGTGTCGCGTAGCTTCAGCGTCCGCGCGTCGCGTACGAGCAGCAGGCCCTCGCGCCACAGCAGCTGGATGCAGCGGCCGGCCTGCACGGTGACGCCCTCGCCGAACCAGGCGCCGGGCAGGCGCTCGCAGTGGAGCAGCCGACCGCTCTCGACGTCCACCCGCCGCACGGTCGACTCGCCGTACAGGCCGGTGCTCTCGATGAGCGTGCCGTCCTCCTCGAGGTGCAGGCCCTGCGTGAAGGCGTCCGCGTCGTGCGGGTAGGACTCGAGCACACGGGCCGGGTACACGTGGACGGGGCTCGATGGTGGGCGGATGGTGAGGGCGAGAAGGAGCGGCAGGAGGTGGAGGGAGGGCATTTGCCTTGTCTTCGAGTGCCCCGTAGCCGCTGAACCGAGCGAAAGCGGGCCAGGCAGCGGGCTGCGAGCTCTGAGCGAGAGTCACCACGGGGGGGCTCCCCGAAGCTGGGAAAAAGACCACGGGAAGCGGGAAGCGGCGTGGCGTGGAGCGGTTGAGCATCCCTCCGGGGGCCCCTCTGCGCCGGGGAGGCGTTGTTGGAGGCTAGGACGCAAGCGTCCGTCGCCCTTTTCAAACTCGGGGCCCACTCCGCTACGCTCCGACCCGAATTCGGAGAGAGATTTTTAGCAATACCAAACATTTGACAACACAAACAAAAAAAACATTTGTCGGAGGGCCTAAAAGTTTAAGGTGTTGCTGCGCAAAAGGGGTCGGACACAGGGCGCAGCTCATGCTAAGAGCCAGAAGGGGAGCTATAGAGAGAACGACTCCCTGTCCCGTTATAGTCTGAGGGAGGGTGTAGAGGATGTAGAGTGTAGAGCGCTGTAGAGCTGTAGAGCTCTACATCCGCCGCGTGACGAGGCGGGTGCGTTGTAGAGAGAGCGATGTAGAGGCGCTCTACAACGTGAAATCTCTACAACAAACAGCAAACTCTACATCATAAGCTGCGAACGAGGCACGGTCGCTCTCCGACATGAGGCGCGTTGCACTTGCCAGTGCTGCCCTGGCCTTCTGTCTGCCCGCCCAATGGGTGGGAGGTGCCTCTGCTGCTGTGGCATGCCTCACGGCTGCGACTGGCCGGCGCCTCGGCGCGTCAGCTCGGCTCGGCGTAGCGATAGTGGCCAGCGCAACTCGCCTGGACTCAACACTCAGCCAGGAGCTCCCGCACGCGCTGGCGCGAGGCATGGCGCATGCAACGCGTCTGAATGCTCGCCTCGCCTCGCGCAAATGCGACCGTCCTCGCAGCCGACAGTCCACCGCCTGCTAAAGAAGCACAGCGAGGAATGCGGCACCTTTTCTCGAGCTGAGACGAGCAAAAGCGGCAGCTCGAGCGACACGAATGGTTGGGGAGTGGAGAACTCAGCAGGGAGAACTCTCCGGCAAGAAGAAACACTCGCGCTTGCCGCCGCCGCCGCGCCCACACTTGCCAGCAGACCGCCCAGAACTATGGCGCCTGTAGCCTCCTTCCTCTCCTCCATGACGGACGCTGACCGCGCGACGCTTGCTCGGGCGGGCGCCCTCTGCCGGCTGGCTTTGGAGTCCTCCGGCGGCCGCGTGCCTGCGGCGACGGCTCTTGTCTTGCAAGATGCACCTGACCGGCGGCCCTTGAGCAGCACCTCCAGGCCGTCCGGCAGCGGCGCTGCGAGCTCCTCCCGACCAACCGTCAGCGGTCGCTCCAGGCTCTCCCCGGCGGAGCGGCGCGCCGCCCTCGTCCGCATCTCTGAGCGCATCCGCCGCGAGGCTCGCGCCTCACAGCTCGCTCGCGAGCTTCGCGCCGACCCGGAGAGGATGGAGGCGCTGCGTAGGATGCCCGAGGTGCAGGCTCTGCTGAGCATGCCTGCGCTCGCGGGCGTCGAGCAGCGCCCGGCGGAGCTGGAGCGGCTGCTGCAACGAGTTCTGGTCGACCCCGAGCTGCAGCGCGCGGTCGGCGAGCGGCGCGTGACTGGCGCGATGCTCGAGGCGGCGCTGCGCGAGGGCCCTCTCGAGCGCAGCAGGGCGGGCGCCGCCGCGGCCGCCACTGCAGCCGCGATGGAGGCGCAGCTCGACGGCGAGGCCGATGGTGAGGCCGTGGGACGGCTTGAGGGACTCGGCTTCACGCACGCCCAGGCGCTCGAGGCGTACCTGGCGTGCGGCAAGGACGAGGCCGTGGCCGCCAACCTGCTGTTTGAGGGTGGGTCCTAGCGGGCGGGGGTGGTCGTAGGAGATAGATCGCAATGTATTGTTTGGTGTATTGTTGTGTCCAGTAGGTGCCGCAGCAGGCCAGATTAGGTCTAAGAAGAGGCGCGCGGGGTTTCTGACCGCGCAAGATATAAAGGCTGGCTAAGGGCTCTGCCCGCAAGGCGCCCGCGTCGCAGACGCGGTACCATTGACAAATCTGCAATATACCCCCACACGAACAAATAGCAAAATCCGAATACCGTGCAGCAGAAACGCAAACCCCATGTGATCTGGGCCGTGCAAGCCTTCAGCTGGTGCCAAGACATTCCGGTAAAATTGAAGCCAAGAACGTCCGCCAAATCCGTGCTAGGGAAAGCTGATCGAGCCCAGCGTGCCCGCGGCCGCCTCCCGCGCAGCACCGCCGCTGGGGACGACACGCTGCGGAATCGGATCGCCCATGCACGGGCAAAGAAGGACGCTGCAGAAGCGGTTGGAGAGGCAGCCGGCGTCTGCAGGGTGCGCCTCCCCTCACTGCTGGCCTGGCTGCGCACCGCCCCACAAAGCACCCCCTCGAGCATCTCTACAAGTACAAGTACAAGGGCGACCTTCTCCAAGTCGTCAACACGCCCGGCGGCTCCGGCAAGACTTTAGCCTTGGCCACCCTCCTTGCGGAGCAGGAGGAGATCCGCTCTCGGTCGGCAACGTGGCAGCTAGTCGAGAGACTCGGTAAACTTGTGACCCCCTGAGTGAGGACAGGAGAGAGAGAGCTTTTGTGGTGTTGGTGTACGCAATAACGGGACAGGGTAGTCGTTCTCTCTATAGCTCCCCTTCTTTCTAGCTCTGAGCATGAGCTGCGCCCTGTGTCCGACCCCTTTTGCGCAGCAACACCTTAAACTTTTAGGCCCTCCGAATTCGGGTCGGAGCGTAGCGGAGTGGGCCCCGAGTTTGAAAAGGGCGACGGACGCTTGCGTCCTAGCCTCCAACAACGCCTCCCCGGCGCAGAGGGGCCACCGGAGGGATGCTCAACCGCTCCACGCCACGCCGCTTGCGGCGGTCCTATTCCCAGCTCCGCTGACGTTCGTCGTTTTGTTGGGATGTGTCCAAGCGACTCGCTCGCAACGGCGCCGGCTCGACGACTCGACGACGCCGCAGCGGCGCAATGATCGACCCTCTCCTCGACGCTCGACGCGGCAGCCCTCGCCGCGGGCTCCTCCTTTCCTGCCTAGTCCTCTGGCTCGGCTACAGCTTCTCCACCTCGGACGAGTGGCGTGCCACAGCGTGGGCGGCGCTCTGCACGGCTGCCCTGCTCGCGCTCTGCGTGCCGTCGCTCTGGGCCACGTTCGCGCTGCTCCACCAATACATCGCGACGCTCTCCCTCCGGCCCAACGCCCGGCTCGTAGACTGGACGTACCTGGCGCTCCTCCAGGGGCTGCTGGCGGCGGCGGCAGCTTGGGTGTGCGGCGCGTGCTGCGCGTGGACGCTCCCGGGCGCATGGCCGCTCTTCGGCGCCGCCCTTGAGGGCATCCCTCCGCCCAATGTGACGCTGCCCGTCGTCGGGTGGGCGGAGGTGCCGCTGGTGCCGCCAGACGGCGTCCGCCTCCCGGCGTGGGTGCCTGCCGCCAACGTCACGCTGCCCGCGAGCGTGAGCTGGACGCACGGCGAGCTGCACCTGCGGTGGTGGTCGGCGGGCGCGGCGATCGGCGCGCTCGCGGGCGGCCTCTTCCTGGCGCAGCGGCTGGTCGCGTTCGTCGCCATGGGATGTGGCGGTGGCCCTGCGATCTGGCGCCGCCACCCGCCTCGCCAGGGCGGGTGCCGCCCGACCAGCCTCGAGGCGAGCGCGGCTGCTCTGCTCCCTCGCGTAGGCGCCACACCCGCCGCGTCGGCGCGGAGGAGTTCGACTTGCTGGCCGAGTACGTGGCAAGCCAGTGCGGCGCGCAGGCGGACCGCTACTCGTTCGGCATGTCGCTGCACGCCGCGTGGCGCGTCGCCAGCCCGGAGCTCGAGGCTGCGTTTGGGCGCATGGCGGCGGCGCGAGAGGCCGACGGCAAGCCGACGCGCCGCGAGCTGCTCTTCCACGGTGCCGCCCGCCGAGGGGGTGCGGGGGAAGGCGGGCATGCCGACGGCGCGTCCGTGACGTGTCACGACACCGCCTCACAGGCACTCCGATAGAGAACGCGCATGCGATCGTCGCCGAGGGGTTCCGGCTGCCGCCGCACGGAGGCATGTTTGGGCGCGGCGTCTACTTTGCGGACTGCCCGCTCAAGTCGCTGCGGTACGCGGGCGGCCTCGGCGGCTGGCTGCGCGGAAGGCGGCACATGCTGGTCTGCGAGGTCGAGCGCAGCGCCCGTCAACACTACTAACACTCAGTCACGAATTAACCAATCGATCTCGCCTGCGAGGTCGAGCTCGGCGCACCGCTCCACACCCGCCGCGCCCGCACCGGTCCGCGACACTTCCGAGACGCTGCCCACCTCCCTCGCCCGCCGCGCGCCTTCCGAGACGCGCGCCTTCCACACCCGCGGCCTAGCCGCCCAGCAGCGCACACCTCTTAGAGCCCCACGACGCGCCCGCGACTCGTCCGCAGACCTCCACGGCACCTCCACGGCACCTCCACGACACCTCCACATCACGATGACACCTCCACGACGCGCCCCACGACGCGCCCGCGACTCGTCCGCAGACCTCGACCCAGAGAAGGACCTCGAGGCGAAGGGGTTCGACTCGGTCGCCGCGTCGGCGTCGGCGGGCGGGCTGCGCGCGCCCGAGTTCGTGCTGTACCGCACCGAGCGCGTCGTGCCGCGCTACGTGCTCGCGGTGGCGCAGTGCGGCAGGGGAGAGCCGGCCGAGCTCCGGCCCGCACTACGAGCGCGGCCGCCGGGGGAGTGGCTCGCCGCCCTCCGCGCCGCCGCCGCCGCCGCTCCTTCCGAGGTCGCGGCCGAGGCGAGGCCGGGCGGCAAGGGCGGCGCGGCGCCCGGCACGGGGCAGGGCGTTGCGGCGGCGCGGTCGGCGCCTTCGCCCGGCGGGGTCGGCGCGCCGCTCTCGGCGGAGGAGCGCGCGCTGCTCGCGGAGCTTGTCGCGGGCGGCACGCGGGTGGCGCGGCGCGAGACTGGCGGCTGGAGCTCGTGGGGCGGGTCGGACCTCTCTGGCGAGAGGCTGGTGGTTGACGCTGAGCGGGCGGCTCTCGTGTTTGAGCACCTCGGCGACGAGGAGGAGGGCGGAGGCGGCAGCGGAGGCGGCGGAGGTAGCGGCCAGGATGGCGACGACAGCGGAGGCGGCGCCTTTCTCGCGGCCGTCGGCCTGGAGTCCGTCTCGTCGATCTCGCCCGCTCCGGCGGCGTCCCCTCCCGGCCTGCTGGTGGAGGTGCGCGGGTCCGGGTGGGTATGGTCTCGGCCAGGGACGGTCTCGCTCACGCTGCTGCCCGACTCGACCGGGGGCGACGGCGGCGGCGGCGGCGGCGGAGCCACCCTCGAGGCGCGCCGCGACAGGCTGCTCGCGCTGCTGCGGGGCCTCGCCTCGCGCGTGCCTCCGCGGCTGCGGGAGGCGGCCCCCCGCCGCGGCGGCGCTTGGTTGGCCGACGAGTCGAGCTACCGAGCGGAGCGCGCCTCGCTGTCACCTGCGGAGGTGCGTGCGCTGCTCGGCCAGCCGGAGCCGCCCACTTCCCTCTGCGACTGCTTTGGCGCCGAGCGGGGTGCGTCGGCGAGAGTGGTGGCGTCGTCGCTTTGCGACTGCGCAGAGGCGCGCGCCTCCTGCTCCTCCTTCCTCAGCGGCCCCCCGATCGAGGTCCGTCGTCGAGCGAGGTCGCGCCTCTGGAGGAGCCCTGCTTGAGCCGTGTCTCAACTGCATTGTAGGTCGTCCTCAAGCTAGCTTGCGTCCCGCTCGCCTTCCCGCTCGCCCTCGCGCTGCTGCTGCTCTGGCGCGTCCTGCCCGCGGCGGCGCGGCTGGCCGGATCGGTGCTGCTCGCCGCCTGCCGCGCGGTGCACGCCGGCTGGGTCGCCGCCGTCGAGTGGGTCGCCACCCACTGCAAGCGCTGCGTCTACGCGCTGGTCGACCATTGCTGCTTCCCTCTCTCGCGTGCCGTCCGCGTCGCCACCGCCCCGCTCGTCGCCGCCGCCGCCGCCGCCCTCCGCCTCGCCTCGCCCGCGGCGCGCGCGCTCCGCGACGGCACCGCGGCGCGGCGTGCACGCGAGCCGAGATCGCCCAAACTTGCCCAAGATCACCCCGAGGTCGTTTGGGAGCAGGCGCTCGGCGTGCACGCGAGCCACGCCGTGTGCGTCGGCGCCCGCGGCGCTTGCCGCGGCGCCGTGGCGCTCGACGCGCTGGTTACCGAGGCCGTCTGGCTCCCCCTCGAGGCTTGCGCGCGGCTCGCGTCGCATTTGCTCGGAGGGTGCGCGGCGGCGACGCAGCGCGCGTTCGCCTCTGCGGGCGACGCGCTGCTACGGCTCGTCGCGGCTTGCTGCCGTTTGCTCGGAGGCGCCTTTTCCGCGTTTTGCTCCGCGCTGAGCATGATTTTCGACGCGGCGGCGCCGCTCGTCTCCGCCTTTGTAAGCGCGGTCTCCTTTCTCATGCGCCACGTCGCCGCGGCGCTCTCGCCGGTCGTGACACTCGTGCAGGCGGCCCTCTCCGCCGCCCTCTCCGCAGCGCTGGTGGCGCTCGCGGCGGCGGCGGCGGTGGCGACGTGGGTGTTCGACTCGTTGCTGGCGCCTACGTTTGCGGCCGTGGCGGGAGCGGTTACCGCCGTTGGCACGGCGGTGGCGGGCGCGGTGGGCGCGGTGGGGGCGGCGGCGGGGGCGGTGGCGCTCGTGCTCGGGGAGGCGGTGGGCTCTCTGCTCAGTTGCCTCGGCCTCGGCGGGCGGACGCGGACAGCGGGGGTAGGGCGGTATCAGCGGCAGGCGGGGTGAGCGATCTCTGGTCGACATCTGTCTCTCATGTGGTGCGGATTGAGTGGTTTTTAGTATACAAACGAAGAGTGTCCCAAGGCTGAGTTGAACACCCGGCCGTGTTGAACACGCATGGACGCAACAGCTAACACGCTCATACGAAGACACACATGACCCCCCTGCACCGCACGTACCACCCTTCGTACACAGTACCGTACTCCTCTGACACCTGAGTACACTATCTCTCCGGAGGTTCAGCGGATCTCCTGTCCTCGCGCCGGGCCCATAACACCCATAGCAACACACCCATAACATGTTATGGGCTGCTATGAGAGAGCCGTCCGCGTCCCGGGTCCACGCACCACGGTGTTATGGCCCGAGAGGCGAGAGGCCACGCCGAACTGCTCGCCGCTGGAATTTTCGCTTCGCGCGCTGCCGCGCGCGAGGTTCGGCATCGATCCCCAAATGTTTTCTCTTTTGCCCTGAGCCAGCGAGTTGTACGTGTGCTCGTCCTCCGTCGACACAGACCGGCACATAGTTGAAGCCGGGAATTCTCTTGAAGTCGGAGACGCGCAGGTCAAATGACGAGGGCTTCTGGCTCTTGAATCTTCATCCGGTAGGCCATGGTTGGCTGAATGGCTGGTAGCATCTCTGGGGGGGTCCATGACCCCCCCCCCCCCAATGTGGTGAAGCCTCTGGGGGGGTTCGGACCCCGGCGCGGGGCGGGCGCTCCAAAAGAAGAATTTTATTGAACAAACACCGGGATTCGCGCGGCGGGGCCCCTCCCTTGAAAAAATCCGTGGGACAGAAGGAGCAGGCGGACATCGCCTCCAGGGAGGGGGGCGTGCTTCTGCTCACACCACATGCTAGGGGGGGGGTCCGACCCCCCCCAGAGGCTTCACCACATGCTAGGGGGGGGGTCCCGCCCCCCCCAGCGCCTTCACCACATGCTGGGGGGGGGTCACCGCCGAGGACCCCCCCAGAGACTCGTGGTCAGGCCCTCCGGGCCCTTGATTTTACGCCTCATTTCGCAGCATTTTCGAGGGGGAAATCATCCTTTGGAGCTACATGAGCCTTGAGACTGGTCAGATTCTCCAAGATATTGGACTTTCAGCCACGATTTCACAACTTTGGGGGCAAAATCGGCTCTCTGGCGGCTATTCCTAGCCCACGAACTGCTGGGGGGTGCCCACCACATGCTAGGGGGGGGGTCCGACCCCCCCCAGAGGCTTCACCACATGCTAGGGGGGGGGTCCCGACCCCCCCAGCGCCTTCACCACATGCTAGGGGGGGGGGTGGAGCGTGAGCAGAAGCACGCCCCCCTCCCTGGAAGCGATGTCCGCCTGCTCAAAGGTCAAATTCGGTTTTGGCCGAGTCATAACAGCTGTTATGAGGTTGTTATGCTGGCTGTCATAACAACCAGTGGGAGGTGTTATGAGTGCTATGAGGTGTTATGAGGTGTTATGAGGTGTTATGGAATTCGTGTTATGGTAGGGTGGGCATAACAGCCATAACAGCGATGGAGGTGTTATGAGGTGTTATGAGGTGTTATGAGGTGTTATGAGCAGCCAGCCATAACAGCCATAACACCTGTTATGGCCGCTCCCATAACCTTGTCTGGGGTCAATCTCTTGCCCGCAACCCGATCCCGATCAATCCGGGATCCGGCCCGCTGGGTGCGCTTCTTAGCTCCCCGGCCCTGTGGGTGTGCGGTTGATAACTGCACTCCAAGTGGAGAAGCGGGTGCTCCTCGCACACACCACACAGTCGCAGCTCGCACTCTCCACTCCCCGCGCGAGAGTCCTCGTGGACCTCGCACCTCGCTCCTCGGGCTCTCGCCTCTCGGCCTTCTTTCTGAGCCCTGGCTGTCAGGCTGTCAGGTGCTGTCAGGTGATCTGTCGGGCTGTCAGGCAGCTGTCAGGCATTGTTAGGTGCCTCTGTCCACTATCAAACTATTAGCCTAATAACGACCTAATAGCATATACCTAATAACGCGAGAAGCTAATAACAAGCTAATTATTAGGCTTATAACAGCGCTTATTAGGTGCGTATTAGGTGCTTATTAGGCTAATAACGCGAGTCAAGCTAATAACAAGCTAATTATCTCGCGTTATTAGCATTAGGTATATGCTAATAATAGGTCGTTATTAGGCTAATAGTGTGATAGTGTCAGACCAGCTGTCAGGTGCTGTCAGTGCTGTCGGGTGCTGTCGGGTGCGTGTCTGACAGTCGAGGTGCTCTGTAGCTGTCGGATGCTGTCGGAGCTGTCGGGTGTTGCTGCCAGACTCTGTTGGAGCTGTCAGAGCTGTCAGGCTGCTGCTGCTGTCAGACGTATGGCCGGTGCTGTCAGGTGCTGTCAGGTGGTGCTGTCGGGGTGCTGTCAGGCTCTGACACACACCAGCCACACTTGTGACACTATCAAGAGGAGACCAGCAGGACTCTACGACACATACTCTAGTCTCTACTCTGCCTCCGGTCCCACCATCTTTTTCATGGTGGACGTCACCATCTTCTTGTCTGCCGCACACTGAGAGAATAGCAGAGAGGCAGGCTGGAGTGCTTCTTCAGGTACACCTTGCTGATGATCTGGTAGTTGCTCCCCATCGTTGTCGCTCGTCAGCTTGTAGTACTTGCACGCTCTGTTCTGGTAGCGCGGACCGACTGCGGGGGTCCCGTCACCCTTCACCTCACGGTGTACCACCGGAGGATAAAGAGGCCCTTGGGGTCATTGATGAAGACCCCGTTGCTGCGCTGACTCATGGAGAGCTGGCGCAGGTACTCTGCGCTGGAGCTGCCAGTGGCGCGGCGCGCGTGCCGTCTACCGTGCCGTCGGCAACGGCCACCTGCTCAATGTTGCCGATGGCAAAGACCTTGGAGCTGGCGGCGCAGGCGCAGGCGGCGGCGGCGGCACAGACGGCGGCGGCCACCCCCACCCAGACGCCGTAGGCATATGACTGTAGGGCCCCAGAAGGCTAGCTGGTAGCTTCATTTGTAGTAGCACAGCCGCCGGTGCTAGAGAGGGGTCCGCAGAGGTGGGGCGGGAGGGTTGAGAGAGACACCCATGACCATCCCCCCATGACTACATACATGGACATGGACATGGACATGGACATGGACCACACTCACATGTACACGTCTTTGCATGTAATTTTGTTATACCCTCATGGGGCACAAGAAAGAGGCTCTACGGGGTCTGTGTACGGTCTGTGCTGCTGTCGGGCTGTCAGCGCTGCTGGGTCAGCGAGGCCACTGTGTGCTGTCAGGCTCTGTCAGACAGCTGTCACGTGTCAGGCTGTCACGTTGGGCCTGACAGCGACGGGACCCCTCGACTGTCAAACTCTGCTGTCAGGCTGTCAGATACGTGCTGTCAGACTGTCGGAGAAAGTGCTGTCAGCGCTGTCAGGCTTTCGGGCACTGACCCACTGTCAGGCGCTGTCCCGGGGTTTGCTGTCACGTCGGTGTCAGACCAGGGCTCAGCCTTCTTTTGAGATCGAATACCATTTGATGCAGGGTGCCTCCGACGACTACCAACTCCAACGTCTCACGCCGCTCTCTTGCGACACCGACAAGCCGCGCCTGCACCCACCATCTCGGGGGGTGCAGTCGATTCGGGGGGGGCGAGGGGGGGGAGCACGAAAACTGGACAGGGCCGAAAGAGCCCGCACACGCGTCAGGAGTCCCAGTCGCTGACCGGCTCGTTTTTCAGCCGCTTGGGCCACTCCTCTCGCGCGGTGTTTTGGAGCGCCTGCTCCTCGACCTTGGCTATTTTGAAGCCAAACACGCGCGGCACGTACCTCTGCGTCGGCGGCGGGGGCCGGACCTCGCGGAAGGTCTGCAGGAACAGGTGCGGGTATGTCGACCCGAAGAAGGCGCCGTCGATGTAGTTGCCGCCCGGCACGTTGTGATCGTACAGCTCCTGCGAGGGGGCGCGGGCGGCGGTGAGGCGGCGGCGCCGTCGGGCGCGCGGCGGGCGCAGCGGCGGCACGTGTCACCTGGCAGCGCGGGCAGAAGAGCTTGAGCGGGTTCTCGTTGGACGTCGAGTGCGTGTCGCTCAGCCCGACCGGCAGCACCACCTGCTTGTCGCACAGCGTCCGCGGGCAGGCGCCAAACTCGTGCGCCTTGTACTTTGCTTTCTGCGGCGAGGCAAGGCCGGGGCGGTGGGGGAGAGGGGCGCGCGCGCCGTGTTGGCGGGGAGCGGGAGAGCAAGCGCGGAGGGCCGGGCGGGGCGCGTGGCCGGCGCACGCGCACCATGTCGCTCAGCCCCTGCGCCGTCAAGATATAGCGCGCGTGGATCAGCCCGTATAGTATGCGCGCCGTGTCAAGCACCTGCGGGAGGGGGAGAGGCGGGCGGTGAGACAAAGCTGCCGCCGACGACCACGCGACCGGCGGCTCGCTCGCGCCTTGTGCACCCTCTGCGTTGGGTCCGCCAGCTGCTTCTCTGCGCGGGAGGGCGCGGTGGGGTCAGGAGGGCGATTTTGCTGCTTCTCTGCGGTGTGTGCAGATGCGGCGGTGTCAGGAGGGCTATTGCGCGGCGCGCGCGCGTGTCGAGCCCGCACCTGTAGGCGCGTAGCCCAGGATCATCGTCATCGCCTCCCCATACAACGGACCGACCAGCTCTTTGAGCCCATAGAGGTTGAAGCGGTCTTGTACGAAGGAGGGGTCCACCTCGCAGAAGAACTCGTGGTTCCGCAGCATGCAAAACCAGGACACCCAGGTGGGCTCGTCGAGCGAGCTGCCTTCCTCGGAGGAGGAGAGCGCGCCCTCCGCCGCCTGCATCAGACAGGAAGAGGCTTGCCGGGAGACCTCGGCGCGCTGTGGGTGGCGAGCGTCTGGCCCAGGAGGAAAGAAGAAATGGAGCTAAGCGCCCCTGTGTGGTGGGGCGTGCCGTCCTCCCATCCCTCCTTTGGGTTCTACGTTTTCTTTCTTTCGTTCTTCCCTGATCCCTCGCCCGCTCCTGTATTTCTTTTCTTCTCCGTCACGTGATTTTTCTTTCTTTCCCACGTTCGTTCCACAGCTGTGAAGCCCAAATCACTGTGAGGGTCGTGATTTCTTGTTGGTTTTCAAAAATCTCCCTCAGCTGTGTGTGCCCGCGAGACTGCCTGTCCCAGGAGAGAAGAAATAGGGGCGAGCTGCGGGGACCCGACTCTGTCACCTTCTCTGCCATCCCTGATCCGTCCGTTAGTTTGGCGCGGTCCGCCGTTTTCTTTCTTTCTTTCGACCTCCGTGGCGGGACTTTTCTTTCTTTCTTTCCGCACGACACTGGGCACCTGTCTATGCTAGTGCCAGGGTGCGCGCTCCAGTAGGCCTGTCGAGGCCTGTCGAGGCCTGTCGAGGCCTGTGTCGAGGCTGATACCATGCTTGCCGGTGTCGAGGTGTCGAGGAGTGGTGTCGAGGGTGTCGAGGGTGTCGAGCGGGTCGAGCGGGTGTCGAGTTGCGTGGTCGGTGGCGCAAGGTGTCGAGCGGTGTCGAGCGTCTGTGTGGCTAGCACGGCATGAAACCATCCTTGCCTCTCCCCAGCTCTCCCCACAGCACACTGCTCCACAGTAGAACACATGAGGCTTGCGTCCAAGAGGGGACCGGTTGGAACGCGCAGGCTGCGCGCAGGCTTTGTGGGGGCCTGACGTGGGGGCCTAGGCATCCAGCCTGTTGTTCGCAGCGATCTGCATGGCAGCAAAGCTGCCATCAGCAGGGGCAGCCGCGGCAGCCGTCGCCGCTTCGGCGGGCGCGGCGGCGGCGGGCCCGTCGGCGGCAGCGGGCTCGGCCACGGCGGGCTCGGCGGCGGCGGCGGCGGGCGCGGCGGCGGCGGGCGCGGCGGCGGGCGCGGCGCGCGCCGGTGGCGGGCGGGCGGCGGGCGCGGCGGCGGCCGGGGGCGTGGCGGCGTCGCCTCTGAGGAGACGATAGATCAGACAGTCATTGATGCACAGGAATGGATGCTGCTGATGCTGATGCGGTTATCAGCGCGCGCTCATGCGTACCGACGCGCGTCGGTGGTCACGACCATGCCGAGCTGGGAGATGACCGAGCAGCTGTGCTGGAGGAGGTGAGCAACCTGCTCCGTGACTTCAACCAGAGCATTCAGGAGGAGGCAAAGGATCGCAAGTACAGATTCCACCGCACGTCAAGCGGTTGATCTAGGGCCACAGTCGTGGGCTTGATTCTGTCGACGAAGACCTTGACTTTATCACTGACGACGACGACATTGCTGTGCTTTCACTCTCCAGAGTGGATCAAAGGTGTGGGCACTTGGCAACGTGGAGGCTGTTGCAGTTGCCCGGGGCAATGTAGGTGAGAAGAGGGCTGTGGGCAGATGATCTGGCTCCTATCTTGCTTCGTTGGACGCCGACGAGCGGCCCTTGAAGGGGGTACACGTAGATGACCCGAAGGCCATGTTCCTGTTGCGCTGGTACCAGGAGGTTGATGCAAACGGTACCGTCTTCAAGGATAAAAATGTCAGCAGTTCACCTACGGGTATGTTCGTAAGAGCTACATACATAAAAAAATGGTACAGAGACGTACCTTAAGGTACCAGAACAAAGGCTGCAAGGGCTACTATCTGGGACTGCCATTGGATAATGGCAGCTATGCCTTTGAGTGGACCAGCATGCACCAGGTGATGACCGCAGTTCACCTTAAGCCTCACTCAGGTGTGCGGTGCCGGTGGCTGCTGCATTCTAGTGAGTTGGGAGGGAGAGGGGAGAGCTAGAGAGGGAGGGAGGGGAGGGGGGGAGGGGAGGGGAGTTATGTTATAAAGTTTTGCAGTCAGATAAGCAAGAAGAGAGCCGCTGGCAGGCCGCCAGCTGGATATGAGCGGTGTCAAGCGGTGTCGAGTGGTTCGAGCGGTGTCGAGCGGTGTCGAGCGGTGTCGAGGGGGTGTCGAGGGGTGTCGAGGGGTGTCGAGGGGTGTCGAGGGGTCGAGTTTGGCACCTTGACACCGGCGAGCATGGCAACAGCCTAGATGGTGTCGAGGGGTGTCGAGGGGTGTCGAGGGTGTCGAGTTGGCCTGGAGTTGGCAGGGGGTGTCGAGGTGTCGAGTTGGTGTCGAGGTTTGGTGTCGAGGTGTCGAGGCCAGGGCTCAGGCCAGTCCCGAGGCGAGACGGCGGCCGAGGAAGCATAAGAGGGGAAGGTGGGCCCCGCAGCCACTGCCTGACCCCACAACGGAAAGCGAACAGGGCCGAGGCCGCGAGGGGGAGGAGGGGCTCCCCCAGAACGGAGGTGAGGAGTCTGCGCGGAGGGGTCTCGGGTGAAGATGTCGGGTGCGAGTGTGAGTCGTGTTCGTGTCTGGTGTTCATTACAGTAGCTCCGAGTAGAATAGGGGCGTTCCGCCGCTAGGGGGGAAACCCACAAAGCGCAGACCAACCCTCGGAGAACCGTGTTTACTTTATGGCCCCTTCCCTGCGAACGCGCATCCCCCAAGGGTCAAGGCTTTTTTGCCCGCAGCTCCCGATACCGAGCATCCGGCCCGCTGGGTGCGCTTCATAGCTCCTCGGCCCGGCGGATGTGAGGTTGATGACTGCACTCCAAGTGCTCCAACCCTCCAAGTGCTCCGAGCCGTGCCCCAGACCCCAGTGTCGTGCGAGAGCCAAGACTAGCGTCGTAAAAGTATTCTCTCCAGAAAAGTGCGTGCGCGCAGCCCCCGCGGCCGGTACGGGGGGGGGGGGGGGGGGAGGACGCGTTCGACATACGACGACGGAAAGGGGGAAAAGAGATAGCAATATCGGGTATCAGAAAAAAATTGTCTCACGAAACAGTCAGTGACTCACGTACCGCCCCCCACCGGCGTGTTACACACGCCCTCCAAATTCAAAGTTCAAAGTAAAAGACCGCACGGGCGGGGGGACCTGCTCCTTTTTGCCCTGAGAGGTGCCCGTTTTATTTATTCCCCCCCTCCAGTCCTCTCAGCAGGGCGGGCAAATGCTCGGCGCCGGCCAGCGCGGTCGTATGATGGTCCCGCTGCGCGCGGCACAGAGGCGGCGCGCCAGCCGGGAGGCTGCGAATCTCGTACCCGGCGTGGGCGGCGAAACGCGCCAGCAGCTCGGCCCACGCCGGCACCCGCTGCGCGCCTTCTGGCTGCGCCGCCGGCGCACTAGCCAGCACGCCGCGCGCAAAGGCGTGGAGCTCCGCCCACGGCTCCGCAAAATAGACGGCGCCGCAGTCCGCCTCCGGCGGCGCGCCGCCCTCGGGCTCGGGCTCCGGCGGCGGCGCGCCCAGCCGGATCGCGAGCAGCCCGCGGGTGCGCACCGGCGAGAGCCGCGCCAGCCAGGCGTGCAGCACCGGCGACACCTCGCCGTCGGCGCGCAGCAGCACGAGCGAGCCTCCGTCGGCGCCCGGCATCCACGCCTCCACCGCGCGCGCCGAGGCGGCCGCCGGGACCGCGCGCGTGTGCAGCTGCACCGCCCCGGCGCCCCACCGCCACGCGTGCGCAAACGCCACCGCGGCCGGAGAGAAGGGCGCAGGCAGCAGCAGGCGCAGCGGCGGCCGGCGCCCAACCCACCCGACGGCGTCGAGAGAGGCGCGGAGGGCGCGGAGCGGGGAGAGCGAGAGGGCCGCCTCCTCGTCGGCGAGGACCGCGAGGGTGAGCCCTCCCTTCGACCAGTTGGCGAGCCGGGCGGGGGAGAGCAGCCCGAGCGCCTCGGCCGCCCACGCGGCGGAGCCCGGGGCGAGGGCGCCCGCCGCGAGGGGAGGGGTCAGCCGCGAGAGCATCGCCGCCGCACGCGACGCCGGGGAGGCGCCGTCGTCGAGCCAGTACAGCGCCCTCGGGCGGAGGGAGGACACCATCTCGTGCAAGCCCTTGAGCGCGGCGGCGCGCATGCGCATCGGCCGGTGCGACGCCGCCGCGCCGCCGCCCGCGCCGCCGCGCCGCCGCCCGCCGAGCACGTCGAGCGGCTGGCCGCGCGCGAGCGGCAGGTCGAGGAGGGCGAGCCGCCTCTCGTCGCAGTCTCTCCGCACAAAGCCGAGGAGAGGCGCGAGCGCGTGGCAGTGCTCCTCGCCCCCGCCCCCGCCCCCGCCCCCGCCCCCGCCCCCTGCCCGGCGAGCCAACACGGCGAGTGGCGTCGCGAGCTCGCCGCCCGCCACAGCGCGGGCGCGGATCGCGCCCAGCAGCGGCGCCAGCGCCCTCGCGTGCTCCTCGCCGTCGACGACGACGAGCGAGGGGCGCGCCTCCTGCCGCGGCGGGGCTGTGGGCTCGAGGTGCGCTCGAGGCGGCGGCTTGGAGGCGCCTCTCTCGCCCACCGACCGTGCGGGCGCAGCCGGCGGCCACGACTCGGCCACGCCTCGGCCACACCTCGCCGGGCCACATCTCGGCTGCATCTCGGCAAGGGGCAACCCTCGGCTGCCTCTCGGCTGCCTCTCGGCTGCCTCTCGGCTGCCTCTCGGCTGCCTCTCGGCTGCCTCTCGGCTGCCTCTCGGCTGCCTCTCGGCTGCCTCTCGGCTGCCTCTCGGCTGCCTCTCGGCTGCCTCTCGGCTGCCTCTCGGCTGCCTCTCGGCTGCCTCTCGGCTGCCTCTCGGCTGCCTCTCGGCTGCCTCTCGGCTGCCTCTCGGCTGCCTCTCGGCTGCCTCTCGGCTGCCTCTCGGCTGCCTCTCGGCTGCATCTCTAGATCTCGCGCCTCGAGCGGCTTACGGAGGGGCGCTGCCTCGCCCCACCGGAAGGAGGCGCCTTGCCGGAGTGCGCCCCACCAGATCCGGTCGCGCCTGACGAGACACGGCTACACCTCGCCCGATCTCGACCTCGCCCGATCTCGACCTCACCCGATCTCTCCGCGGCGGGCGCGCGCAATTTCGCTCCTCGGCCGAGACGAGCTCGGCGAACCCTCGGGTGAATCTCGAGTGAATCTCGGGGAGATCTCGGCGGGCACATCTCGGCTATGCTCGCGCAGTGCGATGGTGGGTGCGCCCCCCGTCGAGTAGCGCGAGTAGGCGAGCCGGTGGTCCGTGTCCCCGCCGAAGGAGGGGTCCCCCGCAGGGAGGACGTACGACCGCACGCCGGCGTACTTGCGCAGCATGTGCGAGAGGTGGAAGTCCTCCCCGGTGGCGTGCGTGAGCGGCGCCTCGCGGAAGAGGAGCCTCACCTGCTCACAGCTGCAGCCGTGAAGAGACGCCGTCAGCAGCTGCGCCTCGCGGACTGAAGCGTCGTCGCCCACTCTGTCTCCCCGAACCACGCCGAGCAGAGGTAGTCCACCTGGCGGAGATGTGGCCGAGATGCGGCCGAGATGCGGCCGAGATGCGGCCGGGATGTGGCCGAAGTGCAGAGCAGAGGGTGGCAGGGCAGAGGGTGGCAAGGCAGAGGGTGGCAGGGCAGAGGGTGGCAGAGCAGAGGTGGCAGAGCAGAGGGTGGCAGGGCAGAGGGTGGCAAGGCAGAGGTGGCCCGCCTCGAGTAGCCGCTCCACCGCGAGCCTACAGCGTGGGCGAGGTGGGCAGGGCTTTGATGCGGGAACGTGCAGTCTACTCCTGAGACCTGCAGGGGAGGGAGTGCAAGGCAGGCGGCCCTCTCTCGTCGGGACGCAAAGCTTCTCTCGTCCGATGGCGGCGCGCGCCCGTACGCCAGGTCGGGCACGTACAGCCCGCCAGAGCTGTTCTCCGTCGCGCGGTACGAGCGGAAGACCAGGCCCTGCTGCGGCGGCGGCAGCAGCCAGCCTATCGAGCCGAGCAGCCGCCGCGCGCCGAGCGGCGGCCGGAGCATCGCCACGTGCAGCAGCGCCTCGAGGTGGCGCCTGTCACCAGCGAGCAACCACTCGGGCACTCACTTCCACGGCGGGCGTGCAAGCTTCGCCTCCCGTCGCCTGCCCGGGACCATGTCGTCGTCGATCACCGCCACGAAGCGTGTCGGCGCGGCGAGGGCGGCTTGGAAGCGGCCATAGTACTTGAGGTTCGCCTGCCGCGAACGTCGGGAGGGGTCGGTTTGCCGCGGGTCCTTTCGGGTCGCGGTGGGCGATGCGTCCGCGATCCTCGGAGCGGAGGAGGACGATCCTCGAGTCGTTGTACCTCGAGACGACAGCGCCGAGGGCCGCGGCGAGCGGCGTGGGCCCAAATGCGCAGACCCAGATGAGCGCGGGCGGCGCCGTCTGCGCGAGTAGCGCCTCGAGCTGCCGGCACAGCGTGCGCCGGTTCCACACATTGAGGACCGCGGTGACCGGCGCCGGCTGACCAGGCCCGAGCCCGCTCGCGTCAAAGTCGGAAGCGGCTGCGAGGAGCTCGCGCAGCGTCGGCTGGCCCGGCCTCGTCCGGGCCTCGAAGGCACGCTGCCGCGCGAGCTGGCGCGAGCGCGGGAACAGCTGCTGCTCTGGAGGCGTCTCAGTCGACGTGCACGCCTCGAGGCTGCTGCCGGCCGGGTTCGAAGCCGGGAGTGCGCAGGCGGCGGTGAGCGCCGCGAGGGGCATGCTGCCGCTCGGACGCAGAGCACCGTCGCGAGTGGCGCCAAGGGTTCGCTCTAGAGCGTCGCCGTGGGTGAGAGGGTTTGGAGTGGAGGCAGCGAGGTGGCTGGCGCGCTCGAGCGCGTTGTAACTCGCGCTGCGCTAGGCTCAGACGGCGAGTTCGCGCTCGGATCAACAATTACTTTTTCGCAATTAGGTGCCCGGTAGGCTTGGCTGCAAAGGGGATTTTCGCGTTTTGTTTTTTTATTCAGGGTTTTGCAACTGATTCCGTTTGCAACAAACGGAATCAAGAAAAGAAACGACCGCAAAAGCAGGCGGCGTCTCGTGCTCGACCAGGATCGCCGTCCCGGCGCGAGAATGCAGCCGGGCTTGCCGTCGTGCAGCCCTTTTTGCTTCGGCTCGTCGTCAGCGACGCGCCAGTCCTGGCGCAGCCGCCCCGCCGTGCGGTCCACGGCCTTGCAGCCCGTCGACGCGCCCGACGACGTGACCGCGGCCGAGATGGAGGCCTTCATGGACCACATCCAGCCGAGCTTGTACCAGCCGCCCGACGACAGCGACATCGCCCATGAATTCACGGCGTGGCTGGCGGCGCGCCGCGAGACGTTGCGGACCGCCGCCGGTGCAGGCCGCCCTCGCGACTCGCAGGCCGACGTCGCCGCACCCGACGCCGCCGGCGGCGAGGAGTCGCCCGACAACGAGACGGGGCGCGCGACTCCGCCCGCACCTGCGCCGGCGGCGGCGTCCGGCCGCCGGCGCCGGCGCAAGCCGCTCGCCGGCGGCGGCGGCGAGAAGGAGAACGCGGACGTCGAGATGGACGCGCTCATGGTCGAGCGGCCCCGGCCTGCGCAGACGGAGCAGCGCTGGCGCGCCGTCCTTGCCGCGCGCCACGAGGATTACGACCGGGAGCTCGAGAAGGACAACCCGGAGCGGCCGTGGCACAGGGTGCCACACTTCCAGGGCGACGTCGAGGCGGAGTGCAAGCTGTGGGCAAGGGTCTCGCGTGCGCTCGGCGAGGCATACGCGCGTGACGGCTGGCGCATCGAGACCATCGAGTTTGACCCCAAGCGACCCGGGCAAGCCAAAACCGCGCGCGCCACGCGCCACAAGAGGCTGCGGGAGGCGGCGAAGCGGGCGGAGAGCAAGGCTGCGGCTGCCGCCGCCGCCACCGCGACGCCGTCGCCCGCCGCCGCCGCCGCGGCGGCGGCGGAGGCCTCGGAGGGCGCGGCGGCGGCGGAGGAGCTGAACGCGGTGCGGCGAGCGCAGGCAGGAAAGACCGCTGCACGGCTGTTCGAGCAGCTGGAGGACGGCGAGGAGGAGGGGGAGGGGGAGGCGGCTCGCGAGGCGTCAGCGCGCACGCTATCCATCGCCACTGATGCCTTGCTGGGCGTTCTCGACGCGGCCGACGGAGGCACCGTCGAGACGAAGGACGCGTACCAAACGGCGGACAAGCCGCTGGGCGAGGGGGAGGCGACGGAGGCGGTCGAGAAGGACAACATCACCATCGCCTTCAACAGGACCATCGTCCGCGAGGTGCGGCGGCTCCTGCAGACGTACGGCGGCGATCACAGGCCGCCGAGCATGGGCGCTGAAATGCACTACGAGCTCGCTGCGATGGAGGGCCCGTACGCTGACCCGAACGCCTTCTCGTGCGACCCGGACTCGCTGTCCACGCAACAGCTCGACGCGCGTTTGCTACTGTGGTACCGGCAGTGCCTCCCCAAGCCGCCGCAATGGCGCGCCGACCCAAAGCTCAAGCAGCAGCCCTGGCGCGGCGCCGATGAGCAGGAGCTGCTGCTGCCGCAGTGCTGGCCGTCGCATTGGCTGACGCGCGCGCGGCTGCTCGGCGCGCGGCGCGGCGTCGCGCTGACGCTGCGCGAGGCGGACGCAGAGGCGCACGGCGAGGCGCCGCACGCGCCGCAGCTCGTCGCGGACGCAAAGTTCGCGTTCGAGGTGGCGCTGCGCGAGCAGCAGCCCGCAGGCGCTCTCTATGAGAGCTACCGCCGCCTAGCGGCGGCTCTCGCGCACTCGCGGCGCACTCGCGCGGGGCTCGCGCTCCGCCACCTGGCCCTTTGCCCGGCGTGCAGCGACGCCCTCTGCTTCCCGGCGCAGCACCTCCCGGCCGTGACGCGCTACACGCTGCCGCCCGTGGTGCAGCGCGCCGGCTGCAGCGATTGCGACTACTTGGCGATGCGGCGCATGCTCGCCGCCCGCACGTCGTCGTACAACGAGTGCACCGCGAAGGACGCGGCGGAGTGGCTGCGCGGGCTCGAGCAGGCTGACGCCGTCAAGCACGCGTGGGGCGTCGTCGTCGTCGACGCCATCAACCGCCCGCCCCACGCGGCGACGCGGCTCGCCATCATGGAGGGCACGTTCGACCACGACTCCTTTGCCGCGTTCCTGCGGGCGACGCCCGGCGTGGCCGTGCCCTACTGTGGGGCGCATGGGCCGCCGCGGTCCGCGGCGGACGATGCGCCGATGCCGGGCGCGCCACCGGGCGCGCCGATGCCGGGCGCGCCGATGACGGACGCGCCAATCCCGGGCGAGCCGCCGGCCCCGGCGGCGGCGGAGGATGCGCCGATGCCGGGCGGCGGGCAGGACGCGCACCGTAACGGCTGCGCGTGCCCCGGGGGCTGCCTGGGCGGCCCCTCGTTCCTCCCGTTGGATCCGTGCTGCGAGTGCGAGGAGTGAGTCTCGTCGTCGCTTCCCACACTGCGCGGCGTGTGGGTGGGGGTCTCTGTTGATCACTGTACTGTACTCTCGCTCTCTCTCTCGCTCGCTCGCTCTCTCGCTCGCGCTCGCTCGCTCTCTCTCTCTCTTTCTCTCTCTCTCTCTCTCTCTCTCTCTCTGTGTGTGTGTGTGTGTGTGTGTGTGTGTGTGTGAGTGTGAGTGCGTGTCTCTCTGAGCTAATTCCTCTCCCGCCCGATCCTTGCTGCTTGCTGCGAGTGTCGGGGAGCGTGTGCGACCAGGGGAGTGAGTCTCGTCGTCGTGTCGGGGCGTAGCTGCTTTTTGGAAACATGTTTCTACTCGTTGGACCGGAGATGGGGGGGCAGGTGCACACCCCCTGCGCTGCTCAACCTCTGAGATGTTACTCCAGACACCGTACCGCCGTGTCTGTATCTCCCAACATCTCCCGGTCCCGCTACCCGCAGCTCAAAGCGACGTCTCCCCTAATCTCCACGGCACCCACCGCCCGCGCACACTACTCGCCGACGACTCGAGAGTCGCGCGCACGCACAACCCAGCCGTCGAGCAAGCGGGCATGACCAGAGGCGCCCGCGGAGGGACAACCGGGATCGCCCTCGCCCGAGCCAGAGCCAGCCCTGGCCCCTGGCCGCGCGCGCGGCCTTCTTTCTGGCCCGCATCCACCGCAGCGGCGGCCGCCGCTGCGAAGACTGCGGCCGCGCGACGCCTCCACGAGCATACGATCGAGCGCCCGGAGGGGCTCGGGCTGAGTGCCGTCGCGAGACCTCGGCACGCCTGCGCACGCCTGCGCACGCGGCAGAGCGACAGCGGCACCACCCTCGTCGGGCGCCGACGAAGCGTGCTCGCGGGTCGCCGCTCCGTCGACCGACGGCCGAGACACTTGCTCCGACGCCGCCCCGCCCCCGCCCCGCCGGTCCGGCACCGATATCTCGGAGGACGACCTAAGGAAGAGCGTGGCGGCGCGTCGCCGGAGGACGGCGCGCTCGTGCTCTCGCCGCGAGATCGAGGGGGGGGGGGGGGGGGGGGGGTTGTGTTTTTCTGTGAGTGCAGTCCGGGGTTGTGCGTTTCTCTAGTGCAGTCGGCAATTATAAAAATGAACGGGGGCACCGGGGTGCAAGTCGGCAATGGTGGGTCCCCGATCTCTCCCCCCCGAACGGCTCTCCGAAACACCAAACTCGTCGGAGTCGCCGCCGAATTTCGTTGACTGCTGCAATGCGTGCGATCGCCGACCCGTTGCTTGTTAACGATGCCAAGCCCGAGAGGGAGCTCACCACCAAGGCGCTCGCCGAGGCCCTAGGTGCGGATTCTCTCCCCACATCTCCCCATCTCTCGAGGCCCATATACCGCCATGTACGACCTAGGCACCTTCTTTCTCGCCCTCAACATCGGGATGTGCTCCGGCGACCTGGCCCCGTTTGCTGTCGGCGGCACGCTTATGATCATGGTGTACGCGTTTGGACACATCAGTGGCGGCCACTTCAACCCGGCGGTCACTCTCGCGGTCTACCTCCGCGGCAAGCTCGGGGACGCCACCAACGCCGCCTACTATGCCCTCGCCCAGTTTGCAGGCGCATTCGCTGGCGCGTTCGTGTCGAACATCCTCTCCGACGAGCCAGGCTACCCCGCCCCAGCCGCCGACGCGGGGGCGCTCAAGGCGCTGCTGGCCGAGGCAATCTACACCTTTGCCCTCTGCAGCGTCGTCCTCAACGTGACGACGACGAAGAACCAGGAGGGCAACTCGTTCTTCGGCCTGGCCATTGGCGCGACCCTCACCTGCTCCGCCCTCGCTGCCGCCGGCATCTCGGTGCGTGTCCCTCGCCGTTCTCGGCTCGGGCCCTCTCGTTGCGCTCAGACCCGACCTCCGCCCACAGGGAGGCGCCTTCAACCCGGCAGTCGGCACCGGGCTTCCATTGGCCGCCGCCGCCGACTTTTCAAGCGTGTGGATCTACTGGGCTGGACCCCTGCTCGGCGGTGCCGCCGCGGGTGCGGCGTTCAAGCTCATGGGGAGCGAGTGAGGCGAGAGCCCGGCGAGGTGGCGGGGCGCGTTTAGAGCAGGGGGCAAGCCGTGGCGGTCGAGGCCCGATAGAGGTGCCTCCCGCAGGCCTGCGTGAAGTCGGGACCCTGCCGCCCTGCCTATGATTCGTAGGAATACGCCTACGCGAGCAGCTGGGTAGCTGCCAGCTTGCGGCCGGAGCCCGCGGGACCAACAGCCTAGGGCTAGGGCCTAGGCAGGACTTGAGAGGTATGACCAAATGGTTTTGCACAATTCTATATATTCTTTCTGCCGCCGCCGCCGCCCGCCCTCTCGAGGTTCTCGAGGTGGATATCCTTTGGCCGCGTTGGGTAGCGAGGATTGGTGTAACCCGAGCCACGGAGGCGTGTTTTCTGACGGCCGACCGTCAGTGCACGGAGTTGCCCCTTCTCCGACTGCCCCGGCTAGTTCCCGAGGTCGCGCGGGAGTGACCCCTGCGTCCCCCGAGACCTAGCGCGGGTGGGTTGGAGGGGGCTCGCCCCGCTCCTCCCCATCGGGCCGCATGAGCGGCCACGCCTCGCAGATTCGTTTCTCGCGCCTGGGTCAGGCGCGCGGGGCATCGCCCTATTGGGCGGCGAATTATTCTTTCGCGATAAAGTTCTTTTGCCCTAGTGAAAGAAAGAAAACAGACAACCCAAGGCGCAAGGGAGGGATGGGAGGACGGCACGCCGCCACCACACAGGGATTTTAAGGAGAGGAGTGTGGTGCTAGCCGTCGCCCACCCTCGGGCGTCTCGCGTCTCGGGCGTCCACCACTTCCTATGATTCCTATCTCTCTTCGCAGTTTCTCACCAATTCTCGCAGCGACCTTCATGCCACCTCTCGTTCTTCCCACTCTCGTCCTCGTTCTCTCTCCTGCTGTTTCACCCTCTGCCCTAGTGTCGTGCGAATAGTTCTCCAAAATTCTTTTGCGGTGCTAGTGCCAGTGCGAGCCAGTCCCGTAAAGAAAGAAAGAAAGAAAACACACAACCCAAGGGAGGGATGGGAGAACGGCACGCCGCCACCACACAGGGATTTTAAGGAGAGGAGTGTGGTGCGCTAGCCGTCGCCCACCCTGGCCAGTCCCGTGCCCCGTGTGGTGCGAGATTGTAAAATTCTTTGCGCTTTCGCGGAGCCTGTCCATGCCCGACTCGTCCCTCCTCTCCACTCAGCTCGCCGTACAGGTCGATGCGTCGAACGTGCGGCGTGTCAACGCCATCGACGAGCACTGGACAAGTCCTCCGCTCGATCTGCCTCCGTACCTCCCGCCGGACGCAGACGAAGCCGCGCCGCTCGAGCCAGAGGCGCTGGAGGCCTCCGTACGCGCGCTCGAGCAGCTGCTTCGCGCGCCGATGCACGTCTTTTGGTCGCGCCTCCTACACGACCGCTCACTGTCCGAGTTTCTCGACGGCGTGCTGCGCTTCTCTCCCCGCGGGTTCGGTCGGTCGGCGCCGCGCGCTGATGAGGCCGACGGCTCTCCCGGCGAGGGACAGCTCCGGGCCTGCCTGCTGCGGGTACTGCTGCGGCTGGCCTCGCCTGAAAAGGACGGAGGCGCTGCGGCTCTCCCGCCGGCCGACTGGCGCTCGCATAGCCGAGAGTCGCCGAGAGTCGCCGTGATTCGGCGAGACATATCTGAGGCAGTGTAGACGCGGCGGCGCGGCCTGGGCTGTAGGAGCTCCCTCGTGTACGACCGCTGGCTGCTCGACGCTCCGAAGCTGCTCGACGCCTCCGCCCTCTTCGGCTTCTCCAACCCGGCCCTCGCCCGCCGGCTGCTCGCCTCAGCCGTCCGGCTCGAGCCTCGCTACGCAGACGACCTGGCGGAGGCGATCGGGGCGGCCGCCGAGGCGCTCTCGCAGGCGTCCGGCGCCGACCCGCTCGCCTCCACCCCCAGCGCCGGCGCGAGGCGTGGTCAGTCGGAGCCTCGCCCGAGCCCCCTCGGAGCCGACCCTCGGACCTGTCCTGCAGGCTCACGCGAGGTCTGGTCGCTGCCGTTCGCCTCTGCCGCCGAGCTGCGCTCCGCCTCTGCGCAAGACAGCGCCGAGGCGTGATATGCGCAGCCGAGATGCGGCCGAGATATAGCCGAGACATAGCCGAGACGCGGCCGAGATGCGCCCACCCGAGCGGCCGGCAGCGAGGCCGGAGGCTTGCGCGAGACTTGCGTGACACGGTTGCGCTCAGGCGGGCCGGCTGGCGCGGTGGGCGCTCGACTGCGCGGGCACGCTGCACGCGTTTCTGCACGCGGCGGGAGGCGAGCTCGCCGCCTCCGTCCTGGGCCGCTGCGAGGGCGGCGGTGTGCTCGGCGGGCGCGGGCTGCTCACTGCGGTGCAGTACGCCGTCGAGGCGGCGGCGCCGTGCTTGCGCGCGATCCTCCCGCAGGGCAGTGCGGCGCGGCAGTCTCTGCTGGCCGCCGTCGCGCACCTCGTCCGCGTCGCCGGCTTGCTGGTCGAGATCGCGCTTCCTCCCCTCCCCGGGCAGGAGGGGCGGGGGCAGGAGGGGCGGGGCGGCGGGGCCTCGGGCGGGGGCAGGGCGGGCGGGGCGAGGGGCGGAGCAGGGGCGAGGGGCGGAGCAGCAGCCAGGGGCGGCGCGCGCGGCGGAGGGGGGCGGGGCAGAGGCGCCGCCGCGGGGCTGTCGCGAGCGGAGGGCGCGCAGTACGACGCCCTCCTAGCGACGCTCGAGCAGCTCGCCGACCCGCGCGGCCGCCTCGCCGGCACCAGCGACCTCTACTCGCGCGCGGGAGTGACGCTCGACCCAGTCGCGGTGCGCGCGGCGCGGCGCGGCGGCAGCCTCCGCCCCTCCGCGCTGCGCGGCGGCGCGGGCAGCCTCCTGCAGCTGCTGCTGCGGCTGCCCGGGCCGGGCGCCCTCGGCTCCGCCCTCGAGGAGCGTGCGGCCGCCCGCGAGGCGAGCGGCGGAGCGGCCGCCATCGCGCAGGCGAGGAGGCTCCGCGCGCTCTGCGTGCCCGTCCCCATCTCAGCTGACGCGCCGAGGCGACGGGGAGGCGGCGGCGCGGCGAGGCCCGTGGCCGCCGCCTCGGTCTCCGCCGCCGCCGCCAACGCCTCCGCTGCCTCCGCCTCCGCCTCCTCCGCCTCCGCTCTGTCCAGCGGCCCGTCGCCGCCGCCCGGCCGCGCCGCCGCAGACGCAGCGGAGGCTGCGGCTGTCGCTCAGGTGCGAGAGATGCTGCCGGACGTGCCCGAAGAGCGTGTCAAGGCGGCGATCGCCTTTTACGGCGGCGATGTCTCCGCCGCAGTGAGCGCGCTGCTTGACCCAGACAGCCTCCCCGAGGCGCTGCGCCAGGGCGCGCCGCCGCCGGCACCGGCGGCCGTGCGGGCCACCGCGCCCGCACCGCCGCCAAGGCTTGCGGCCGCCGCTGGCAAGGGCGGGAGGCGCGGCGGAGGCAAGGGCGCGGAGCGGCAGCCGCTCGGTCTGCGCCAGGCGGTGGCGCCGAAGGGCGCCGCCATTGGTCGGCCGGCCGGCGGCGCGGTCGCCTCGCTCTTCCGGCGGCGAGCCGGAGCCCATTCTGAGCCTTGGTGGAGCCTCCCCTGCAGGAGGTGCCGCTTCGCTGTACGACGACGAGCTCGACGACTCGTGCCGCACCCTTCTGCTGCCGGGCGGCGGGGGGGGCGATGGCGGCTCCTCACCCGCCTCCTCTGCCGCGTAGGTACGACCTCCTCTCCTCGGGGCCCGGGATGCGCGCGCACGACGAGTCGGCGGACGACCGCGAGGCGAACGAGGCGGCCGCCGCATCACACCTCTCGGAGCCTTCTCGGCCCCTGCTCGGAATCTTCTCTGAACCCTCCCATAGGCGGCCGCCGCGTGGACGAGGGCACACTTGCGCGCAGAGATGCACGGCGGCGGCGGTGGCGGCGGCGCGGCGGGAGATCGGGCGGCGGCCGAGAGCGCACCGCTGCCGCGCACCGCCGCCGAGTGGCTGCGGGCGATCGGGCTGCAGCAGTACGAGGCCGCGGCGAGGAGCCACGGCATTTTGCGGATCGAGCTGGCGGCGGCGCTGACGGACGCGGACTGCGAGCGGCTCAAGGTTGCTCCGCGCGACCGCACGCGGCTCCTCTCCTCCGCCGCGCTGCTCGCCAAGCGCCTCGAGGCGCGCGGCAAGCGAGTCCCGCGCAGCGGGGCAGCCGACACGTCCGGGGGATACGCCGCCGTGTACGAGGAGCTCTCAGCGGCGGAGGAGATGGAGGAGTTGGGCGACGATGCCGGGGCACTGGCGGGCGCCGCAACGGCGCGCAGCGGTGGTGGCGGCGGCGGCGATGGCGGCGATGGGAGCAGGCGGGGCGGCGGTGGCGGCGGTGGCGGCGGTAGTGGCGGAGGCGGCACGCCCAAGCCCGCGCGCGGGCCGCCTTCCCGCGAGCAAGTGTCGAAGGACCGCGTCAGGAAGGAGCAGAATAAGGCGAAGGCTGCCAATCACAATCGTAAGCAGCAGGCCGCCCGCAAGCACCGTGAGCTCTAACCACGGGGCTACCATCGCCTCAGATTGTGATGATCCGACACAGAGCTTCTTGCGCATCTCTCGAGGTGACAGTGTATGCTTTTCGTGACGAAGATCGTAAAAAATCGCGTCGTTGTTTCACAGTAATCAGTATTGCAATAGGGGGTGATATAAAAGAGAGACACACACACAAAACGCAAAAAGAACCTCGCGCACACGGACTCCACGACGCTACACGACGACAGTGCGAGGGTGTGTGAGAGCGACAGACTCAGGCAAGGTCTTATACCGTGGTCGGGAGGCGGGTCCACAGCCGCCGTCCCAGGCGACGAGTCTGGGCAGTGCACGCAGAAGCGATCGCACACCCTTTGTTGACTACGTCGTTGAATGAAGATACGAACCCAATCCCCGATAATTGGGATCGGGTAATGACACACGAGAGAGCGTGAATGGGTAATGACACACAAGAGTGGGAGATCAAAAATAAAATATTCTTAGCTTCAAGCCCCCCTCCGAGACTAGGGACAGTCACCACAGATACATACGTCGGTGGGAGTGCCCCCCGCCCCCACTTGCCCTGACTGCACAGGATAGCGTGCCCCGAAAACGGCGACACATAGTGGGGGACACTGCGCAAGGAGGGGGTGCGAAAGCTCATTGGGGTGCTAGGTGGGACCATGAGGGGGGGTGGGCGGGGTCCTGTGGGGGTGAAATGTTGCGCGGCGAATTCGAACCTACCCCCTCGCCGCGCCGATCCTCACGCGGAGGGTAAAAACCCTGTGGGACAAAAACCCCCCCGCGGTCGGCAGTCTTCAGAGTGGACCCCCCCCTCCCCAGCCTCCCCTGTGCATCTCGCACCCCCCCCCGCTCCCCATCGGTGACTCGCGAAGGACACGGACACTCGGGGTGAGGGGGGGTCCCCCCGGAGGGGGCTCTGGGGCATTGTTGGGTTGATCGCTCGTGCCGATCTCGGGTCGATCTCGGGTCGATCTCGGGTCGATCTCGGGTCGATCTCGGGTCGATCTCGGGTCGATCTTGGGTCGATCTCGTGTCGATCTCGGGTCGATCTCGGGTCGATCTCGGGTCGATCTCGGGTCGATCTCGGGTCGATCTCGGGTCGATCTCGGGTCGATCTCGGGTCTCGGGTCGGTCTTGGGTCGGTCTCGGAGTGGTCTAGAAAAGAAAAAAATGTGGGGCGAGATGAGGCGAGATGAGGCGAGGTGAGGCGAGGTGAGGGGCGATGAGGCGAGGTGAGGCGAGATGAGGCGAGATGAGGCGAGATGAGGCGAGGTGAGGCGAGATGAGGCGAGATGAGGCGAGGTGTACCTCGGCGAGATGAGGCGAGGTGAGGCGAGATGAGGCGAGGAGAGGCGAGATGAGGCGAGGTGTGAGGCGAGATGAGGCGGGGTGTGAGGCGAGGTGAGGCGAGATGAGGCGAGGTGAGGCGAGATGAAGCGAGGTGAGGCGAGATGAAGCGAGGTGAGGCGAGATGAGGCGAGATGAGGCGAGACTAGGAGGCGAGATGAAGCGGGATGTTGTGTGGCTGCTTGTGCTTCCAATCATGCACCACAACCTTCCTTACAAGTGACCTTTTGCTCTTTACGCTGCCCCTCTTTTTTTCTCGTTCTACCCTTCCCACCCCTCTTTTTCTCTCCACTCATTCCTTCTCCCCCTCATCTTCCCTTCCTTCTCTTCCTTCCAACTCTTCTATCTTTCTCTTTAC